ACCGCGTGGACAAATCAATATGCAGAGGCGCACCTGGCGTTGGAGGAGGACGCCCCTGAGGGCAAGGCAAGGCCATGGCTGCCTACGTGTAGGCAGGAGCTGTACGCCTACTTTAGAGTCGTGATTCACATGGGAATCACCGTGGAGCCGGCCATAGAGGACTATTGGGGGCCGCTTGAAAAGGGAGCTGCTCACAAGGTGGGCGACTATATATCGAAGACGCGATGGGAGCAGCTTGAGCGCTATATTCGATGCTCTCCTGTGCCTCAGGACGGCTTTTACAGTACATTTGACCGCGTAGATAAGCTCTCGGAGCATCTGCGAGTACGCTGCCGGCGGTACTGGCGCCCAGGCCCGCACCTAGCTGTCGATGAGACCATACAGAGGTTCATAGGCAGAGCGCCGGAAATTGTTAATATTCCATTAAAACCTACACCAGAAGGCTTCAAGATATAGGTCTTGGCGAATCAGGGCTACGTTCTTAACTGGCTATGGCATGCTAAAGGCGACAAGAAGGGGCCTGTAGACCTGGATACATCCTTCCTGGATAAAGGCTTTACAAAGACGCAAGCCGTTGTCCTTAATCTGCTTACTCAATGTTGCCCAGGCACGCAGGAGCGCCTATATCCGCCGGACAAGCACGTAGTTTGGCTGGACAATCTCTTCAGCAGTGTGAAGCTCTTTGAACGGCTAAGATCTCTTGGAATTGGAGCTGCCGGCACGGTCAGAACTACACGCATAAAACAAGAGGAGCTTGGAGAGGAGGAACACGACGTGGAGGTCCTCACAGCCGATCAAAAGGCCTCTAATAAGGCCTTAAAAAGGAGGACCAAGGCCAAAAGGACGGTGCCGGCTAAGCGCTTCTCAGCATCACTTACAGACCTTAAATTAAGCCACAATAAGCAAATTCCGTGGGGCCAGCTATACGGAGAGTTATCTAGGAGTTATAAGGTAATGGAGTTTGCCTGGAAGGACGCCACGGTGGTTCTATTCCTGTCTACAATTCATAATGGTACGTACATCGTCCTCAACACTATACCGCAGAGCCGCTGACGTCATACATCGCCAGGTCAAAACTACATCGCAAAGCTACGAAAACAACCCTCTACAATGTCCACAGGCTACAGGCAAACAGCGAAGGTGTTCGGCGATGAGGCTAGGAAGGAATTAGATATACCAGACTTCATAGAGGAGTACAATCTCTTCATGTGCGGCGTCGACGTGGCCGACCAATTAAGGTCCTACTACAACACCGAGAGGACTTATAGGAAGACGTGGAAGCCTCTATTCTCTTTCCTATTAGATATAGTAGTTGGCAATTGTTACCAGCTGTCCACCTACAGGATAGTGGGTGAGCGAACTCTACGCCAACATTCGCATGCCCAATTCCGCCGCAACCTACGCGATGCCCTCCTCTATAACTCTATTTGTGCTCGCAAGCAATATACAGTAGAAGGAGTGAAAGGAATAATGGACATAGTATGGCAGCCGGTTAAGGAGCATAAGCTAGCTAAGGTGTTTAAAAAACAACACTTCTGTGCTGCCTGCAAGGAGGCAAGGCGTACTACTACAACACCACACTATGGGGCTCGGAAGCCACTTGCGAATCTATCTATTAACACTACAAGAAAGGAAAGAGGCGATAGTCATGGCTGGAAGCGTCGTATAAGGACGCCTCGGACGAATTATGGTTGTACAGTTTATATAATTGCATTCTGTACAGGTTTACAGTGTTGGAGTGAACATCTAGCAAAGCTCAACTCCATAGAATAGGCCTGTATAGCTATCTACAAGCAATTCGAATAGCCTCAGGTTATTGTAATTCTCATCACGGAGGAAGGAATTAGAGCCTCTTATTGGCCGCAGCCTTATCGATAACGTAGGACCCATTTCAACGGGTTAAGGGATACAGTACCAAAAAGTGCTGAGGAGGCTTTTCCTTTTTAGCGTGCGTTCAACGTTCAACATATCGAGGAACCAACTTCTTAGGGGGGATCGGCTCGTTCAGGCGTTGCGCATCACTATAATTCTGGTTAGCTACGTAGCATCATACAGAGCGGCAAGATTCCAAGACGTTACGACAGAGGTCTAAGAGTATGAGATTTCAAATGGATGCCAAAATGTCTAATCTATCCCAAGCGCCAAACCAACGAGCGACGTGTTGCTCGCCCACATGTGAAAACGCCACTCAATGCATGGCGTACGATGCTCGTAATCGCCCTTGATGTTACAAAATGTATGCAGCCGCAGGCTCCGTCATGATAGCACCACACATAAACACTGAACAACTGCTTTTCGTACTATAACAAAGCGTCGTCTTTTGAAACTAGGGGATGTTCGTCGAAGAACCGTAGAAGGGTTTGATATAACACGAGCATGGTGCCACTCTGCACGCTCGTCCAGACTAGACGAGGGCCAACACCACGGAACCATCCTGCGAAACCCTCCGTTCTATAAATGACTTTCAATCCTGTTAACACTGATGACGTGTCCAAGGTTGCGGCCGAGTGGTTCTTGAGCGCCGTGGAAGGAGAGGATGTTGAAATGGGCCGACTGTGCTGGTGCGGCGTTTGCTTAATAGGTGCCGGCTTTTGGTGTTTCGAGGGTACATGAGGCGAGGTTGGTTTTTGGGACACTATTGTCGACGTTGTCGCACTCGTTGGGAGGGTGTCTGGGTTGTGCTGAGTTTGAATGCGAGTTTTTACGACGTCCAGGGGACATGTTATTATGCCAGCCATACCCCCAGCGCTCGCCGCTGTCAAGATCTCCAGGGGCAATCCTATTGTTTTTGACCCAACGTATGCCTTGGCCCATTTTTGCTCTTGCTCGTAGAAGGCAAATTGTAGGGCTGAGAATGGAAGGTCGCGCCAAAGGGTTGCCTTATATCCGTAGAAGAGGGCTGAAAATCCTTCAGTCTTTACGATTGTCTTTGCAGCATGAATAGTGGATCGGTAATTGTAGCCCGAATTGAAGTAAGGGTTGTTGTGTCGGCCTTGGAGTTGGAGGCGGGTCTTGAGGACTTCAGATGGGACGTAAACGGGGGCTGCTGCTAGATCTGCGACGAGGCCTATCCAAGAAGTTAGCTTCCGTCGTTTACAGCGGTGGTCTTACAGACCCATTCCCAGAGCGCTTTGACATACCAGCCGTGAAATAGGATATCGACGGCGCAACGCCCATGTCTATCAGATGTCGTTTACTCCATTCATATGTCCCGAAAAATATCACGGTTCCAGAGAAGGAGCCTAGGAAGGCTGGCTTCACGCCTCCATATAGGCCTCTTCTTATTCCTTCTTGCCGCCAGATTGTGTAATATGTCGACCCCATGGATGTGTACTTCGGGGGCATGTGCGGATCGCCCTGCTGCCTCGTTTTGACTGTGTCCAAAGAATGCATCAACATATCTCCAGTCGTCCCTCCTAGGCCGCCAGCTAACATTGCCTGGGCACCGCCATGTCAGTATATGTCGGACTTGATGCGCGACTGTATGCGCATCTCGTGCTCCTTACATGAATGTAGGGCGGCCGGACAGCCTCCAAGTCTACCTCCTCCTCCATTGCGTCCTGCATGGTTCCCACGGCTTCCATTGTGAGCGCGCCGCCCTCCCGTCCATCATCCACGAACTGCGCCTTCGGATTGTTCGTTGAGAAGAAGTCAGCCACACGGGCTAGTCCCATGGAGGCGCCAGAAAATCCTGCAAAGGTCCGCAATGAGTCGGGAGAGTATATACGGCGAGCGAGTGACGCCTTCGAGCCACTGCAGTACTGGAGGAGGGGGGTGATAAGGAGCGTCAAAGAGGCGATGGGATCGGACGAAGGTTGATCCTCGGATTTTTCTGGCGATATGCTGGCCTGCTAGAGCCGAGAGACCGACCGCGAATGGACCAGAGCTCGATCTGAGAGCTTTGGGAGAGAGGAACGAGGGGTCCCAACTCAATTGCTGCAAACAGCACAGCTCACCCAATTCCTAAAATATTCCCCGGAGGCATCTCTAGGCGGCCTGGTTCTGCTGCGTCAGTTAGCGCGCTCGTCGAAGCTCACGTGAGACGCCTTGGCATATGTAAACAACATCGCAAGCGCTGTTGTCCCATCTCTCCGTCATCCGTCCCGACGCCCGCTCACTGCACCACCACGCAACATTTCTTCCCCCAGCCTTAACTAGCTTTGCATATCGATATTGCGGGTCGCATCTGCTACGCGACCCACTTCATACTACTCTCAACTATGTCGTCCTGGCTACACAGAAAACGCAAGGGCGAGTTGCAAGAGCTCGCCTCGCAGGCCAACCTTCCCGAGTATGTTCCCGTCTTCCAGCTTGCGACGCGCAATTGTCTGACAGGACTTGAAATAGTGCGGGCCTCTTGAAGGACGATCTCATTGCCGCTCTTGAGACTCAATTGTCGCAAAACCAGAGCACGTACAGCAAAAATCCAGCCTTTAGTGACTATTACAAGCGCACTGGATCGCCCTTGAAGCGTGAGCGCCCGTCACCTCCGGATGCTGGTACCGCCGTTGTTAGCAAGCCGAGAAGACGCCAAACCAAGCTCATTGATCAGGAGGACTCCCAGTACGTCCATTTGTTTACATGAACGCGTCCCATATACGCGCCTGTGCTAACCTGTAACGCCTCTAGAGAGGATAGCACGCCACAGAAGGCACTCACGACGCGCACCCCACGGACTGTGTCCCGAATCACGTCGGCAATTGACATCCCCGCGTCGCCATCCCAACTCGCGAATGTGGCTGAGCAGGCTGGCACCGCAATCGATAAGAAAGCGCGCGACCTCTGGAAGTTCCAAAAGAGCAGGACCGAGGGAGTTGCTGAGTTCTTGCGCGAGAATTTCAGCTCCGTGGTTGCTGTCCAAAGCTTCGTGTTGATCGTCGAGGCCGCCGGCCTCCAATACAATACCCTCGAATGGGCACATCCCAAAACGCCTGCGATTGCCAGTTTAGGCCTCCAGTCGCGAGAATTTCCATTTCCCAACCTGTGGCTTCTTCTGACCAGCGATTTCTGGGCACCTGCGACATTGTGGTCGCTCACGAGCATTCTCTTTCCGCTCGTCGCGTCTTACTTCGTCAACCTTACTCTGCGCTCCAACACGCAACACAAGACCAACAAAAAGACCTACACCGCCGATCCTTTGACCTTCAATATCGTCAAGGCATTGTTAGCCTACACCATCTACCCGCTGGTTACTGTGGCGAAGGTACAGGGCATTCCTCCTGTCCCCGTCGCCGAATATGTCGTCCCAGCTTGGGGACCATTCAGCTCGGATACTGTTACTACTATCAGCAAATCCGTCCCTGGAGGGCCGGCAGGTCTTTTGATTGGAGCAGGCGTAGGCGTCCTCGCGGCCATTTACGATGCCGCCCTGAAGAAATAAATAAGAATGTTCGGTGTGACAAGATTGGATGAAGTTAGTAGGATATGACAAGATGACGACGACTAGATGTTGACAATGGGTATATGGCTCTGATATTTATTTCTTCTGCTTGTGTATTTGGGCTGTTGGATGAACATACCTAGGTATAGCCGGCGAGATGGTGGGAAAGGCGTTGGAGGCGTTTGCCAGATACCATCGTCCTGGATAAGGCTTGGAGACGCGGCTGATTTTAGTAAATGCATTTTCTTTGCCAGTTCGTCTATAGCCTCTGTTGCATGTAGGTCACGTGGCTCGGCTAAATTGAGGTAGTTTCTAGGCTTCCAAGATACCTGCAGCAGGGCTGAGGCGGAATGAATGGAGCTTCACTCAACATCTATTCTTGTCGATATTTCTCATTATTGTGTCTCGCGCCTCGGACTATGGATCCTGACGCGACCAGATTCATACTCACTTTTGAGGAAGGGGCTGTTAGCTCAGATCCTAACAACCTCGTGTCGTTCGCGTTCCGTGCAGCTTGCGCCGCTTGCATTCAGGCTGTCAAGTTCTCGAAACTTCTGGATCTTCGTTCCGTTCGATGGATCGAGCTTTTTCAGGAATTCAAGCGTTGGCCAAATAGACAGATATACTGCTGTTTACTAGGCGGCCTCATCAGCTTCGGCAACAAGCCTCCAACAGCAACGTTGATGAACTGGTTTGGAGGTCCTCTTGTATTCGTTGATAATTGGAAACTCAAAGACCTTCATCACCAAGCGTTCGAACTCAGTTCTGCGAAACCAGAGAGCACATCACCTGCTCCACTAAAGTTGAAACTCGAAACTGCTGGCCCACTTCAGTCAAGCGGCACTCGCGTAGTCAATTCGAATCAGGCTGACTTCGATTGGATATGGAAGAGCCTGAGCGACTGCGCTAAGAATCATCCAAAGTGTGCAAAACATATCGGTCCCTCTAGGGCTATCTCGGGACTTCTTCTCATTGATATTAAGCGAAGATGCTTGGTTGAACACGCATCCGACGTGCAATACTTTGCGCTGTCCTATGTTTGGGGCCATATTCCACAATTCCGAACGTCAAAAGCCACATTGCCAGAGCTTATGATGGACAACGCCTTAGACACTTTCGCCTATCTTATTCCGAAAACAATCAAAGACGCTATCGAAACTACGAGGGTGCTCGGAGGACTGTTCCTATGGATAGATGCACTGTTAGTCTTATTCTTGTTCTCTTGCCACTTTCATAGAAGCATCAATACCCTTTCTAAAAACAAACGCGTTACCTTGCTCATCCATCACTGTAGGTGCGTTATTCATGACGACGATGTTCAGAAGCATGAGCAGATCTCGCAGATGGCTAGCATATACTCATCAGCTTCCGTGACTTTAATCGCATCGGCCGGAGAAGACGCAAATGCTGGGCTGGCTGGGGTTAGCCCAATGTCAAGGACAGGTTGTGGATATCTAGTTGCTCCAGGCGTTCGCTTGGATCATAGAATAGAGACCATTGGAGACAACAAGGTTAACACGAAGTATTACTCCAGGGCCTGGACTTACCAAGAGCAGCTCCTCTCGAAGCAATGCCTGTATTTCGCGAAAGATTTTGTGCGTTTCGAATGCCAGACCAATCACTACTGCGAGTACGAATACATCCATGATGAGCTTGTTCAAGCTAGGGCCAGATATGCCAACCCCTTTCTACACTTATCTCAGACACGGAAAAGCGCAGAACAAGGCGATTGGGCCAGTGTTTTCGGTTATATCGCCGATTTCATTATCAATTACAGCGCAAAACAACTATCATATTCGACTGACCGGCTCAATGCATTCATGGGTATTCTCGACGTTCTTTCCAGAGGGATTGGATTGAGATTTGTGCAAGGGGTGCCAATCGCGCTTATCGACCTTGCATTACTCTGGATACCTGCAGCAGGTACTGTCCGAAGCCGCTCGACCTCGTGTAATGATAATGCAACTCTTTTTCCGAGCTGGTCGTGGATTGGCTGGAGCGGCATGGTGGACTACAAGATGGTAGTAGGAGAGAGAGACGTACAGACGAGGATACACTCAGTTCGCCTTGAAGACACATCCGATACGATATATCTCGAAGGCAGAGTACAAGAGATTTCTGCTCTTTGGTATCCCTGGACGTTCAATTACAACTCTATGGCGTTGTCTTCCCCCACCAAAGAGCCAACTCAAGGGGGGCCGGGAACACTGAAGTTCAAGGCATCTGTCCTGGGGATCGACTCGTTCAGGTTTCATGCTGGGTGCAGTGGGATGCATCACTCATCCGCAAGCCGCAACTCAACGATCAACCCAACCTACACGGCAAGTTTAATTGAGGATGAAAGGGGCAGGATGTGCGGAATGCTGCATGGTACCGACGACCTTGCGGTAGATCTCTTTTCTCGGGACAACGTATACCTAATACTGCTCTCGGCGACAACAACAGGGTCGATATGGGATCGCAGAGATATCAGAAGGTTCGAGGGGAAGGGTGTGCCCAGAGACCTCGACCTTCAATACGATGCGTATGATCTCGAGAAGCCGTGGCCGCTATTCAACATCCTTCTGGTCTCTACGAAGAATAACGTCTCTGAACGCCTAGCGATAGGTCAAATCCACTCTGATGCTTGGGAGTAAGCAAAGCCGGTTGAAATGGAGATCACGCTTGCCTGATAGCTGACTGGAGCCGTCGTGACCAACGAGCAGGTAGCAGTTGTAGAATTAGAATATTAAAATGGCCTTTGACACGAAACCCGCGGCATGTCATAGACTAAGCAATCCCCCGAATGCAAAGATATACCATGATTAATAAGTCGTATAGTGCCTGACATAGACAATATTTATCAAGTCCATTTCCTTTCATTGTTCTGTGCGATTTAAGATGAACGAGCTGCTGGATTTGAACTTGAAACCAGGCAGTCTCCATTAGCTCTGAGACTATTTACACTAGTAATGTCTCGTTCACGGTTCAAACCGAAAGATGCAAGTTCAGAAGTTGTTGTTGTTCAATGGGACGACGTCGAATTGGAACTGAATGCGGGGTCTTGGCATTCGCGGCGGAAAGCCCCACAATTTCTTTCTTATGACTCTGCACCTACACCTCACCCGCCACAGTAATCTAATCCATACGACTCGAGGCCTGTAGACTACATACAGCCCTCCGAATTCTTACAGAAACGAATACCTAGGACATCGAATTCACCTCGCGAACCACCAACCCGCGCCAGATCCCGTTTTCACCCCGCTGCCCCTCTCGCCGCAGAAGGCACACAAATCAATCACCCCCGACTAAGGCGAAAAGCCTCCCTACTACCACAGCCATGTCTCTCACAAATTGCCGCTTCTATGAGGAGAAGTACCCGGAGGTCGAGTCCTTCGTGATGGTGAATGTCAAGCAGGTAGGACAATCCAATTCTTCAGACAAAGCGTTTCGAGATCGACTGACAGAATCCCCAGATCGCAGAAATGGGCGCCTACGTGAAACTCCTCGAATACGACAACATCGACGGCATGATTCTGCTCTCCGAACTCTCGCGCCGACGTATCAGGAGTATCCAAAAGCTGATTCGCGTGGGCCGGAACGAGGTCGTCGTCGTACTGAGGGTGGACAAAGAGAAGGGATATATTGATCTGTCGAAGCGGAGAGTGTCGCCCGAGGATATCGTGAAGTGCGAAGAACGGTTAGTCCTATTCATGCTTTACTCTACGGACGCTGGTGTGAAGATCAAGAGGGTGGTGAGGTTTGTGGATAATTTGGGCACGGGAAAGGTGGACCGGCGGAAGACTGGAGGTGGCGCAGAATGCTGACTTGAAGACAGGTATAATAAGAGCAAGATGGTGCATTCGATCATGCGACACGTGGTATGTGGAGATATCCTTTCGTGAAAGCGGGAGAGACAGTAGTTGCTAATAGTGCAACTCTAGGCTGAGAAAACCAACACCCCAATCGAGGAGCTCTACTCTACTATCGGATGGCCACTCAACAAGAAGTACGGTCACGCAGTTGATGCGTTTAAGCTTGTGAGCGACTTTGCCCATAGAATTTACTTGTCTACATTGCTAATTTGCGATCAGTCCATCACAAACCCAGAAGTGTGGTCCGGCATGTAAGCGTTTCCGCTACGAAGCGTCGATATTGCGGCTAATGATGTTTTAGCGAATTCACCAATGACGTAGTCAAGGACGAGCTACAAAGCTACATAGGAAAGCGTTTGACGCCTCAACCCACCAAAGTCCGTTCCGACGTTGAGGTCACTTGCTTCGGCTACGAAGGCATCGACGCCGTCAAGACCGCTCTCCGCTGCGCAGAAGCCAAGAATACACCAGATAACCACGTGAAGGTCAAGCTCGTCAGCCCGCCCCTTTATGTCTTAGTAAGTATTTCGGACTTTGTTTTCTCTAACCCGGCACGTACCTTGCCACGTTGGGATAAGCATCTAACGAATGTACTACAGACTAGCCAATGTCTCGACAAGAATGTCGGCATCACCACTCTCACAGATGCCATCAAGGAAATTGAAGAGAACATCACGAAAGCCGGTGGCAATCTTATCGTCAAGATGGCACCCAAGGCAGTTACCGAAAACGATGACGCAGAACTGCAGGCATTGATGGAGAAGCGAGCGCGCGAGAACGAGGAGATCAGCGGTGACGAAGACGAGAGCGCGAGCGACGAGGGTGGAGTTGTTGAGGCGGATGCATAGAGCCTCCAGCTGCTTTGATCTCCAGTTTTCTGCATCAGAAGGTATGTGAGTGGTAGCCCCCCTTCGCCCTTATTCTCTTTTCAGGCGAGCAGAGGTGGGGCTTGGACTGGCAGGTTGCGATTATGAGGCGGTAAATAGGAAGAGAGGTATGGCGATATGGCAAAGAATGCGGAACGGCCCCGGATGGTCAAGGGCGTATACGACCAGCGTGCTATGGTAGAGGTGGACGCTATCGAACTTCAAGTTCAGGAATGCGTCCTTTCTCAACATAAAAGTCAAATAAGACGACAAACGGTTACAAGTTACTTCACGTTCTACTCTCTTGCAGAGATCATCTTGATATCAAGCACTTTCCGTGGATACATATGTGGTCGTCAGAACAGTCGTTTCTTTGAACGCCACTTCTCTTCTAAGAGCGCCTCCTCAACAGGTCTACCCAGGTAGTGAGGTGGTGTCCCGTTCGTGCCGAAACTTCCAGGCTACATTGACACCATTCACACGCCTGTTTTTGGGGTCACGGAGATTCAACTGGGACTTGATTTTAGGGATGATGGTTCATTGATTCTCACTTGAACCGATTCACAGTCTATCTATAGGTACCGCTCTCTGAACTACTCGATTTGACTGCTTCACTTCTAATTCTTCAACTCTCAAACAGCTAGTAGTCCTTCAGCCTTCTACATCCAACACTAAACCAAGAATCATGACGGAGGCCAAGAATATCAACGGCTTCGGTGCCGACGCCGAGCGCAAGGTTGCGGACAGCCGTGAATTCGAAAACAGAAACAAAAACATAGATTTTACCCCTCCTAGCCGTCCTCTTGACGCTAGTCTCGGGCCTCGACGTCGCGGCCCTTCACCACAGGTCGTGATTCCTTCTCCAACTCGACCTCGTCCCCCTCCGCTTGTCGACGTTGCTCAGCGTAACGCCGCTCAAGTCGACACTAAGACGGATAAGAACGACGACTCTAGGAGTGATACTATGTCTATAGACTCTGTCATGCCTAGCGAGCTCAAGCCTAGGATGCAGGCCAAGAAGATCGCGACACTGCCCCCTGACAAGGATGCTGGCCCCAACCCATCTAGTTATGGCTTCTCGATCAAGACAAACCCGGAGTTCAAGGCGGCATGGTCTTTAGATACCCATGCTCACGGCGGCAAGAAAACAACTCACACAAGCCCCAAGAATCCTGTTGGACAGAAGCAGGAGCATGATACCGGCTCTGTCAAAGCCCAAGAAGAAACCTTCAATCCTGAGGCCTCGAAAACCGAGACAGCACAGTTTAGCTCAGATGCCCTCTGCGCCCTCTGCTCTGCCCCGGGAGATCTCTGCACAAACTGCCGTGGCATACGATACTGCAGCCCCGAATGCAAGCTGGAAGACCTGCCAACACATGAAGTGCTTTGCAATACGTTCAGTCTCTACACCGGCCACCTACGACCTGCCTCACGTCCTTATCGTGCAATATTGATGTCAATTAATAGCGACTGCCCCCGCTGGATCTGGCTCCAAAGCGGCGACGACCCTGAGATCGCAATACATTTGAATCTCCTGGGCCGTTCTTCAAATCTTAGCGCGAAAAAGTCAGACAATGGTATGATGACCGCGACTATCTGCCGAAATGGCGTCCTCGGCCGCGAGTTATATGACGACCTCACGGTGTATTACCGAGCACCCTCCATTGCGGACTCTTGTTCTGGCAATCAATGCATCTCCATCGCGACCGCGGACCTGAACCCACTCCGCTGGGTAGGATCAGTCATTGTGTGCGCTACTCTATGCGATGGGTCTCTCCGGGATATGGAAACCTCAGATTATCGGCATGTGGTTGACGCACTATCCGTGTCCGATCTCCAAAACGACGCATGGCTTACATTCACTGAAGAGGCACCGCCAGAACAGGGACCACGTGCCGGGAGAGTGGAAGCTGTGTGTATCGACTGCGATGGCGAACGCCTCATCTCCGGGTCCACCTCCGCTCGCATAATCCTCCTTCCCCGCCTCCATCCCCAGGGAAAGTGGGTACGTACATCAGAGACGTCGCATATCGCCGATCTATACACCTCTGACGGCATCAATCGTACCAGCGTCAGAAGCTACTTCGCCAGTCGTCTCGATATCCCAGTCCGCACTTGGCAGGTAGCTCCGGATCGTGCATGGACGGCTGCCGCATCCCGCAATCCCTTGGTCTCCTTCCTCCACTTCAATACACGACCCCTTATCAACGGCATCGTTACCAACGATGATGACATCGCCATGAAAGCAGAGCTTTATCGGACGTGCCCTGGCTCTGTCTTTCTCGCTCGTGGTGATGGGAAGCCGCTGCTTCCGGAACATGTCGAGGCCATCGCCGCCTTCGCCCGCTTCGTGATCCTGCCGCGCGCACAACCCCTTGGCGGATACGACCAAGCCGACTGGAGCAGACCGGAGGATATCGTCGGGTCGTTGGAGATCGTAGCGAGGTTGGCTGAGATGTACCGTGTCTCGGGACAAGAGGATTTGAACCAAGCCAGCGTCCGGGCACGCATCGAGCCGAGAGTCTTCAAGAAGTTCTGGGAGCTCTACAAGCAGCAGAAAGGATGGGAGGGCGTGGTATCTCCCTATGATGTCTAATCTTCAAGTTCTAGTGGCCTTGGTGTGGATAGGCGGCATTCATGGATATGAAATAAAATTGGTTGAAGTCATAATTTCCCAGGCTTCAGTTTTGCCCGTCTGATGGCACCGTAAGGAGTGTCCCAGCCTGCAGATTGCTGGCTAGTCAAAAAATAGTCTGATATGTAACACATCGGCCTTTACATCGTATCTAGAGTCTGAGAAATCCATAAGTAATAAATAGGCGTTCTCGGGCTTTGCTCTTGCTCATCTAGTACCGCTGTACGGGGTGCCCTAGCTAGCATGGCTCCACTCCTTCAAACGGTAGCCTAATTGCCTCCGTCATGGCTTTTACATGGTACAATACTAACACATCCCTGTATATGTTTCCTAAGGGTCAAGCCCATTCTTTTGCAGCTCCCTTCTCAACTCGGAACCTGACACCCATTGCACTGATCATCACACCCATTCTCGCCCTTTACCATTTCTGTCTCATTACACCCAGGAGTCGTGACATCGCAGTTCGTCGGGGTACATATACACTGAGTAGCGTCGCTAGATCTGCGGTCCGGCTGGATGCTGATTCGAAAGCAGAGACAGAACTAGAAGCAGAAAGAGCACTATTGGCTATAGGGCAAGAACCACCATCTTACCGCTTGAGCAGCTCATCAAAGTCTTCCAGGCCATCTTCACTCACGTAGTGAGAACTTCTGGTCCGATACCCCATTCGAAGTCACGTGAGCGGAAGGGGCTGAGTAGTGTGCAGATTGGGGGGAGATAGCAGAGAATTTATGGAGGGTTTGAACTTCTTACGGTCAGCTTTTACGGTGCATACTGATTTACTGCTCTCTGCAAAACTTCAAAATGCCTCCAGGAATTTGGAGCAAGCGCCGTTATGCTCAATAACAGCACGAATCCGCCTAGGTTTCGAACGCTCGTGGTCTAACCATCACCAACGCCGGGCTATCAGAGCAGGTTGTAGTTCTAAAGAGGACACCGAAGTAGTGATAGGATAGTATACACGTCTAAGAGCACGATGCTGCGTGCGCCGTAGCTACTAAACTCAAGCGTCGTTTTCGTTTGCGATATTAGTACCGCCTCCCAACTTCCACACCAACGCCATCATCCAAGCCTCCAGCCATGCCTCTGGCAGTCGGCGTAGCTTTGACCGTACTGATGCTGGGGTCAACTTCGCCCCTATAGTCCCAACCACCATCCTGGATAAAGAAGTCCACTTCGTCGATAATGTCCCACACGACGTCTTCCGCAATTTGCTCCTTATATCTATCCCCAATCGCGCGCAGCTTCCTGCCTTCTGGTATCGCATCATTGGCATCACTTCCGGCCATGTCTACATCCTTCGACTGGTTGACAATCTCTTCGGGTGGACACCAGAAATCCGGGCCAAAGTTGACTTGAGCTATGCCGCCGCAGAAGGCTGCAATGCACGGGAAATACCCAACCATTCCGTCGTCGAATCCGAGTCTAGCACCAGCTGGGGCTGATGGAGCGCTCGCTGGCGGGAGAAACGCTAGGAGGTTCTCAAATGCTATGCCTACATCTTTTCCATTCTTATAGACCTTGATTGCTGAGTGTGGTAGTGACCGTAATGGGGGGTCGTCGTGATTGGGGGATAGAACGGTCTTGGGTGTTGGCCCTCTGTCCGAGTATGATTCCATAGGCTTAGTCGCGACGTAGTCGAGTTGTTCGAAATAGAAGTTTCCTTTGTACGGAACGGGGATACGGTCCCTAATGATGTCTAAAGGCCTATCCATGTTTAAAGGATCCCTTGGCCCAGAAGAATGAGGCCCCACATCGAACCCGTCTCCTATGTCTACAGCTGGGTTGTATATCCCTTCCACAACTTTCCGGTGCATGGATAGCGAGGGCAGCTGAATCTCGAGCCCGATGACATCGCCCTCGCGAACGTCCATATCAGTGATATATTCCACTGGTGACGGCTTCCCATGAGGAGGCCGAGCCTTTGCGTACTTGCTTTTCGTGCCCTTTGGGAGAGGTTTGAATATTTTGCTCGCTCGCGAACGGTGCATTGTCTCAAGCCGTAAGTCAGTGATAGCGTAGCTGTACCCATCGAACCCCACTGGCGCATCCAAAGGTGCTTCTCTTCTCGCCCATCCCATGCGCACGTGCGGCTGTGCAATCGGGTGTCCATTCTCTGTGTGCTTCAAAGCCGGTGGTCCGTCAGTTGGTATACCCTTTACAACCTTGACTTCGTAGTACAGCCGTCCTTCGCGAGCCACAACATTGCCTCGTCCCATTCGCCATCCTTTTTCATTTGTGACCATGCTGGCCGATTCATCGAAGTGGAACCACTTGTCGCAATCTTCATGGCTCATTCGTGGGCCGTACGGACGAGAGTCTGATTGCCGGTAGAACTGCTTATGGCGGAAGTGAGGGTCGGCGACGCAGTGAGTGTAGCGGTAGCCTTTCTTGTTCCAGGCACTTAGTAGCGATGTTAGCCTCACATGTGTTAAGAGTCCCAATGTACTAACTGATCTACAGCTTTCTTTAGCTCTGTCTGCTCGTCTGGAGTGAGAATTGGGTTGGGCTCATGCGACGCAAATATGCCGTCCTTTGGCACTTCATAGTCTGACACCTTGGGCTCTGGGACGCTGTATCGCATGGGCGAAGGTGTAGACTCTCCATTCTTTTTGCTCTTCGGATTCGGCGTGCTTCCCCGTGCGCTCGCGGAAGCCTCTCTCTTTTTCAGCGTCTCACGTTTTTCGCGCTGCTCTCGAGGCGGGGGACGCGCCGGACGCGACCGCGCTGCAGCATCTGGATTCGGATTCAGTGGGGACGAAACAGCTGGGGCATGGTGGTCGTCTTCGAGTGGGCGACGCAGAGGAGGAACAGCACCGGGCGTGCTGCCGCGAGATTGCGGTTGTTCGGCCATAGCTGGAGGAGTGTTCGGGAATGGTGTTGAGGAATTGGTGTGTGATGATCGGGCCCAAATATCGATAGATCCTGGGCGGTCTAGAAGGCTGTGAACGTTTCTGCCGTCCCGAGGCTCGGAGCCAGAAAGCCGTCATTCACCACAACTCCCCGCAAATTACGAGGCCGCTGATACAGCAATTCGAAATCAATTCTCCTCGTCAATCGAATAGCATCATATTCCATCTACGCCATAGCCATGGCAGCCGCGACTAATCCGCTCCATGGCACCCATTCGCCGTCCAGCCCCGCGGTTTCACGCAAGACGTTCACTATTGCCGGCATTTTGACCACAGTGTATGGCCTCGATGAGCTCGTTCCATCCATTGAGCCAGTCGCCTGTCTCTGGCTTTTACATCCCCGGCTTCAGACGCAGGAAACCATGGCGCCGGTCGCCGCGCAGACGATACACGCCTGGAATGATCGGATAAGAGATGGGAAAGCAGGCAGAACACCCAAAGGACTCATTGCTGTCACTTTTGATCAGCGTAATCATGGCTCAAGGCAGGTTGACAAGCTTGCGAATGAGGCCTGGCGACAAGGGAACACACGGCACGCCCAGGATATGTTCTCTTGCTACCGTGAGTAGCCAGCTGTCTCGGTCATCACGGCGTTTGAGATTCCCAGCGAGGTTGCAGACTGTTCGAAATGACGAACCTGCATCTTGATGTGATTTTTCGAAGCATTCTGCAGCATCTTAGGCCGCGTCAAGGCAGAGCATCCGCTAACAATCGCTAGATGGTACCGCAGTCGACACCTCCCACCTCCTGACCTATCTTCCCTCTTACATATTCCACCCACCCTCACCACACCGCCTGACACAGCACCTCGTTCTCGGCGTCTCACTGGGTGGTCATGCAGCATGGCACTGTATCCTGCATGATGCTCGCATCACGGCCGCTGTGGTAGTCATCGGCTGTCCAGACTACACTCGCCTCATGACCGATCGAGCTACCAAATCCAAGCTCAAGACTTGGACATCCAGCTCGCCGCCTGGCTCCTCCTTCCTTGGCTCGCAAGACTTTCCCAAGTCTCTCATCGACGCCATTGCGCGCTATGATCCCGCCAGTCTGCTATTGCCAGGCATAGACGACGGTTCGTCGCCGTCTCCAGTGGCATCGCAGAAGTTCAAGCAGCTATTAAAGCAGCACCTTGGATCTAAAAGGATCCTGAATCTTTCTGGAGGCGCGGATAAACTGGTACCATATGCAGCGGGCGATCCATTCCTGCAAGTGCTGAAGAAGACTCTACACGAGGACCCAGAACTAGACATAGAACTTGAGGATGTCGTTTTCGACGGCGTAGGTCATGCTTACACGCCTGCCATGTCTGAGCGAGCCGTGGGCTGGATTGGTGACATACTGGCGAAGACGGGAGAAGGTACCAAAGACTCAAAGATATGACTAGGTCCGTAGCCTGTCGTGTATGAAAAGCAAATAGATGCATAACAAGAAAAACTCCCGTACATACCTGAAATCACGCCATAAAACACACTCATCAAGAAATACTCCCATTTCTTCTACCAACCACAGCAATCCCCCTCTCAGCCCTACCTAAACCTCCGATCCCAGCCTCGCGCCGGCCCGCCTCCAACGCATAATCCACAACGCCGCACCCAGCCAATCAGCGCCCGCAACGGGCCATACCCAATACGCCACCTTCGCACCCGACCCGACCCCCCCTCCAGCCGCAATCCTCAACGTCGGCCCATAACGCGCCCACATATAGCTAACCGCCCTGCCACCCTCACGCTATTCCACACGGGCAGGTGTGTTCGCACGGCCCCGAAGCAGGGCGCATGCGCAATACGCAATCTATCCGGCGGCCGGGAGGGCGGGTAAGGGAAACACGGGCGGTTGGGAGGCCTTTTACAAGGGAAGGTTATTGTAATTTGTCTCGCTAGACTCGGCAGAACGCTAGGTAACCGCAGATGTCGTACAGGCGACTCGCCCGCGCCCCCCGCCCCCCGGAGATTAGGGCTTCGTAATCTGATCCGGGTTCGTTTTTTGTGGCGCCCGGCGGCTACGGGGGCGAGGTGAGAGAAGAGGGAAAGTGGGGAGGCGGGTATTTGGGCGAGGTGGGGTTTTTGAGGCGCTTGCGGGCTGATGGAGACGTACGGAATGGTGCTGGATGAGGTATCTGGATCCTTATTTGGAAATCTGAAATACACGAAGTGCATCGTTTTGGCAAGTCGGCTAGCTTGCTGAGCTATCTCGGATGGCGTTAAGACAATGAATCACGTCGCATGGCAGTTGAGATGATGTGTGATGCAGGAAACTCAGTTCGCTGAGTTGAAATTAGGTATATTTTGGTTAAAAGTCAGAAAGCCGCCCGTTGAAGCCGCTGTGGGCCCGTTACCGAAACACCAGCGCCAGGCAAAATATATGCAGATGAAGGGGAATCATGACCATGCTGTTCTCTCTGTACCACATCCACAAGCCAGATGGGCCACGCTCCATTTTGATCAGGCGGGACCGTAGATCCAGTACTGAGCGGCATAGGCGACCTCGAAAGTGGTTGTCGTGATGCCGGCACAGGTTGCGGGGGCACTTCCTCCAGCAGTCTCGAGACGGTAGACTGTGTTGATGCCACCACATGATCCGCCAGCGTCGATGAGTTGGAGCCAAGGGACAGCGCCTTCGTTGGTCTTCCCGGGGCAAGAGTCGGCTGGGGCAGTCATGGTGGCGTTCTTCTTGCCATTGACCTGAGGGAATGGGTTGGTTTGGACGTTCTCGAGAGCGAATGTGGGGACGCCTGCACTAGAGAAGAAGTGCTTGCCGAGGATGTTGTTGTAGCCAGACGCGGAGAGGAAGAGGCCTAGGACCTGAGGGTACGAAGACATGGAGAGGGTGAGGCCAGACAGGGTGTTGATCTTCCACTTGGCAAGAGGGTCGCTGCTGAGCTTGGTGCCCAGGTCGTAGAGAGTAGCTAGGGATTGTTAGTACGATTGCTAGGGTCACGTTGGGTAAAAGGGAGAAACTGTACCAAGAGCTCCGGTAGTGCCTGGAGCAGCTGTAGATCCAGGTACGGTGCAGGTGTAGTTCTGAGTGCCGGTGCCGAGAAGGACGTACTTAAGGACGAGACCAGTGGGGGGCGGCAGGCTGTTATCAGGCTGCTGCATGGTGAGAACCTTGGAGGCACCATCTCGAGGCTCTGGATGGTGGAGTGGCGAGCTCGTAGACTGGGCGGCCAGAAGGCAAACAGCCACAACCGCGGAGAGAATGGCCTTGGGGAACATGCTGGATGTCTTCTGGTTCTGGCGGTGTCGTTGAAGGGCGCGTTCGAAGTGCAAGACGAAAAACGAAGAGCGCGTTAGATGTAGAAGACGAGAAGTGAAGAGCGCGGGGGGGTTTTAATCCTCGGTGCGGCAGCAGTCGCAGTTGCTCTTTACGGAATACAAGAACGCAAAGAAGGAAGGAACGGCTGCTCTGGATACACGTTAGTCTCCGCTTTTAGGCGCCGACGCTGGGAGTGCCTTCCATACATTTTAAATCCAGGTGAGGACGGTTTCACACAGCGCGAATCGGCACAAATCTAAAGCTGGCAACGGTCTGTTGTCTACCTGATACACTCGAGAAAGGAACGCCACGATGAATGATTAAGAAGAGAAGGGAGGGGAGAGAAGGGTGACGAATGGGAATATGTATGCGACCTCGAGGCTCCCCGGGGGTATGAACAGCAAGTGTCTCTGGACGCACAGAGGAGCCCGCGCCATCTTATACAAAGCATCCTCCCCACTCCGCACGACGGGCTACAGGATCCATCCCAGCGGAAGCTAGATTGCAGTCGACTCGAGCTTGATCCTTGAAGCGAGGTGCAGGAGGTGCAAGGCTTTCGGGACTTCTAAAAATTCCAGGTTGTGCCACCAACAAGGCCAGCCTCCTGCCGCCATCCGCGTCCCAAGCTTGCCCGGAAACGGACACGGCGAGGGCAGAGGCAGAGGCTATTTGGCGACGCAAGACGACGTGGGAGATCCGTGCTGGAGGCCGAGAGCAGATGATCGGAACGGGGGGGCTGCCCAGAACGCCTCGCTGCTGAGCCGCATGCCCGCCTGCCGTCGTGTAGACGCCCAATTGGCACGCCAACGACTTCGCCGTTGCAACTCCCTGGGTGTGGGTGCGGCGAAGGGTGGACAGGTTGTCAGCGGGCCCCGCAGCAGCACTCACCGTGGCCTCAGGCATGCAGGTTGCCGGCGTCGAAAAACTTCACGAAACAGGTCGGGACGTCTCCAAACACATCTTCATTCAGGTACAGCGGGACGCCGGGGTCGTGGTGCGGTCGAGCGTGAGACAGTCCGTGGGATGGAGTCCGAGGCCGTGCTGAAGCCATACTGAAGCCCGCAAATTGCTCCCCGGTCGGCTAGCGTGGTGTTGTAGCGGGCCAGTATGCACCTAAATGGGCACGGTATGCCACCTAAAGAGACTCAATGCAGAGACATCCATTAACAGCAAAATAGCCGCTCTAGTCGGCATTGCCAGCAAATTAATCGCGCAAGCCACGCGGGTCACGCCCCGTCCTCGTGCGTTAGCCGCGTTTCTCATGCCTCGAGGGCCCGTTTCTCCCACCTCCGTGCTGCACCTCGTCTTCCGCGACTCGTCGACGGGCCTACTGACGGCCATTGCTGTCCCTCATCCGTCTCTGCTCGACGCTTTCGGCTGTGGTAAACGGGCTTGTCTATCCTAGCCACCAACCTCTCGTCTCTGGGGACCCATGCTATCCGGCCAAACCATACTCTTTCTTCTGGCCGAAAGTTACCATGGCGGCAATAATGTACCCTCGCGTCCCAGCCGCCATTGATTTCTCGCCGCCGAGCGACGGCGTCGCCTGAGTGCGCGAACACTTCTAGGCATCCTCACGTCGTGCTTACTGCTAGTTTCCGCCCTGCGACTTGTCCCAATTTCACAAGGAACTCTATCAGGGCTCTTGTTTCGAAACCCTGCACGGCCCTGGTCCCTTCGTTGCGAACCAGTGTCAGAGCTTCCATGACAGAGACATTGTTTCAGCACTCCAAACCTCAACACCATCACTCGAAACCCCAACTCCTCCTCCTCACCATTTTCGACCTTGTAGCTACCTAGTCCTGCAGATTTCGAACCATCTCGAGCTGGGTAGTCGTTTCATGAACCATCTCCATCAATGTCCGAGACTAGCAAAAAGTAACCCCCAACTTGTCCTACGTGCCTCATCATGATCAGCCGACATGCCGCACGTCCGCTTGCTCCCTCGCTTTGAGTTGTCGTGTTGGCGGCGGCGGCACGATCAAGACATCCGCACGGCGTAGGTAGCCTCAAGGCTGATACCTCAACCCTCCGCTTTCCTTCATGCGACTCAGTATGCCTGCCGAACCACAGATGGCACCTGACAATCTTACGAAACATACGTTAACTTTAAACTACTCGCGATCTTGTGCACATATTTGATAGTGGGTTTACGCTTCAACCCGCAAAAACATGCTGTGGCATGCTTTCCCTACATCAAAGTCTCTTTGCGCGGTTCCGGCCAGCTCGAAATTCCTTGCTTCCTCCCTCCAAAAGCATTATCCCTGAACGATTCATCCGCAGACATTACCGTCAGTCTCTGACGTGGGACCTTACTCTCCTAGGAATTCGAGGTTAATATCCAACACCAGCAACGCTAATGTCAACGCTCGCATTAGCACGCGTACTCCGCACAGTCGGGTGCTTTACAAATTGTAAACACATCAGCAACATCAGCACAGCCTCATTAACCCTCTAGTGGCCTTTCTTGACTAAAGAAATAGGAGTAACCAAATCATTCTCGCTATCGTGCATATCCCGAAAGCCGCCTGCGATAACATTGCTCTATACTAGTTCAACAAATTGAACGAAAGCGTTTCTAAGCAAGCCAAAAGCGTTCAATGGGACCCTACGCAGCCTTGCAGACATGAAATCGCCATCTGGTCTCTGTTAATTGCAGGGTGGAGAACGTACGCCAGACATATTGAATTTCTGGACACTCGCCTTTGAAAGACAAAATATCTCAACAATGCTATTGTTCGTATCCTTTGTTCTCAAAGACATTCGATGTTCATGACTTTCGCCATCATTAATACTTCTTTCATCTCTCTTGTACTTCTCAAAGCCTCCACTACTGTCGCAGCAAACAAAGAACTGACACAAAGCAATTGTCTCAGCACTGAAATATCTCCACTTTCTGAGTCGATGCTGGCTAAAATCCCGTGTCTGAAGGACTCTTGCTTACTTGAATGCTACGATCACGACAGTCGAGCATACCATCTCCTCTACAGCGATATTGCTACTTTGCTACGCGAAGATACTGTTACTGATAGGCAGTAGACGCCTGAAACGACCGACTGGCTCTACTAAGCCATATTGACGAGAAGGTTACTTTCCACCGGCGATCAGCATGGGTAAGAATGGAAGGCCCCCACCTGCGGGTGTCTGGAACCCTCGAGCTGGAAGATATGACCCGCGTAGAAATCCCCAAGGCCAGAGGAACGACAACCATAAAAGGAATGACCACAAGAAACAAAATAACAAGGGCAAAAAAGACGAGAAGAAGGAAAATAAAGAGAAGCAGCCAAAAGGCGATCCATGCGGGAACTGTTGGCTTTACGGGCACCCGACCGAGAGGTGTGTCGCTACCCTCATCGCAGAGGAAGACCGATGCGGTTGCACTAACCCTTACCATTTGCCCAGCAAATGCCCATGGGAAAAGAAGGTGGATAACGTCCCCAACGGCCTGACCATGCGACTAAACAAACTTCTAATCTGCGCGTGGTGCAAGGAGACTGGTACAACCCATAATGCAAGCAATTGCCCAATCAAGAAGAAATTTGAGGACGGCGCCAAGGAAAAAATATATGCCACCTATGACAAGTTCGCTTTCTGTGCTCACTGCGGTTCCAACCAACATCTGACCAAAGGCTGCCCTACAACTCAACGCAGACATAAGGAGCTTAAATGGGAAAACGGGATTTTACAGTGGGAGGCAAAATGGGAGGCGAAGAACATACTCAAAGAACCAAATCTCAGACGCCCCGAAATTGACGAGTACATGTGGTGCCACTTCTGTGAGGAATTCTACAAGAAAGAATTAAGCCACGGGCCTAATTACAAGAGTTGTCCAGATAGCGACGGTAAAACGGCATTCATTGATAACATACCGGTTTCTTTGAGAGGTGAATTCTTGAAGGAACCAGTCCAAACGATGAGTTTCGGACCGCGCGGCATAGAAAAAAACACCAATTCCACTGCCTTGACTGGCAACCAGCAGACCTTCGGCAACCAGCAAATCTTCGGCAACCAGATCATCGGCAACCAACACATCAAGATTGACGGAGATAAGTTGACAGTTCCTTGTCAACAGTGCGGGAAAGCGGAACTCGAATTCGACACTCGTTTCGTGTTGGAGCAGCGTCAATGCCGCAATTGCAACACCGTGATTAACCACCCCAAGAACCCGAACGCTAGACAGTTGCAAAACTCAGGTGATCCCTGGGGCTGGTTGAAAAAGGATTCGGATACTCAACCTGGCACCTACAAATTCGAATTCACTGTCGGTAACGAAATTGCTAAGAAAGAGGACGACAGGATGCGCCGCCCCTCCGACCAATTAGAGGTTCATCCCCATGAACTATGGCCAGTGGAACAACCACAATACGTAGACTCTAACGTTGGCTTGCTGGAGAGGTTCAATCAGCCAGGAAACGACCAGACTTACTTTCCTTCCCGCAAGCACCGGGTCGGACCTACCGATTGGTGGGTTGCAAGTAATGCCGGTGCGGCGATCAATATATACGCAAGGGATGGGAAGGTTATTGGATGCCGGACATGTGGCTGCAAAATGACCATGATGGATGGCGATTATGATAACGACGTTGTCATGACCTCTACAGGACTTGCGAATGTGTTTGGATGCGCCTGGGGCTATATGAAGTGGAACAGCATTGCAGGGAATGACTGCGGCTGCGTTGGAATTGCGGGGCACAAAAAAGAGTGGCTCATGATACCTGTTGATGACCTGTAGGGTAAGGTAAGTATGGTGGATGCTGTAAGTGACTGGCTTTAGTGTTTATCAGTAGTAGCGTTGCAGCGTCCTTGAGCATTAATTCGGTTTTCACTTTTTCTCGATATTGCATAATCTCAGCTGAAATCCACATCGAAGATTAGTAACTAGCCAATCTCAATTCCTCAATCTCAATTCCCCTTAAACATTGCACGCCAGGTTCCCCTTTTTTTCAGGTACAAATCCATTCCCAACCTTCCGCAACCTCCCAAAACCACCCTCACTCCACCACCCTCCCAAACCCAAACCCTCTCACCCCATTACTAACCCACATCCCCTCCCCCACCCTCACCGTCTCCGCCAACACCGGCTCCTCCATACACAGCCCCTTCCCCAGCGCCCACCGCCTCGTCGTGCCCCGCTGCCCGCCACTCCCCACCTTCGCGCTCCGTACACTATGCCCCCAGCGGCCCGGGAACGGCGTGCGCAACTCCCCTTCGTCCTTCCCCGGCAACCCGCCGTCCCCAACATCCCCCGGCTTGACTTCTTCAGCGTACCGCCCCGCCGGCACGCCCACCGGCGGCGTCACCCACCGGCCCCCGCGGAACAGGTACAGCGACGTCATGCTCCCCTCCGTCAGCTCGTCGCACGGGTTGCGCAGCATGACTTCCACGAGCGCGGGCTGGGAGGAGTAGGCGGGCGGGGGCAGGGCGCGGGTGCGGGAGGAGTCGTAGTGCGTGCGCTCGGTCGTCTTGAGGGAGGTGAAGGGCGTGATTGAGGTGGGGAGGGGGTCGAGTTTCAGGGTCCAGGTTGGCGGTTGGAGGTCTGGTGGGGAAGAGGCTGGGAGGGAGTCCGTGGGGCCGAGGGTTAGGGCGCCGCCAGTTCGTGGGGAGGGTTTGAAGGTGTTGGCTGGATGTGGGGGTGAGGGGGGAGTAGGGGGTGTGAAAGAGGGCGGGTAGAGCGTTGATAGGGGCACGGCGGGGACGGGGGAGAGCTCGACGGAGAGGGCGGCGGTGATGGAGAAGAGGATGCGGATCTTGATGGTTTGGTTAGCTACGCTTCTAGCAAGAATGGAAATAACGGTTCTAGTCTTTCGCAAAGGTCATACTTTTAAAGGTCCTTCGGTTCCCGTGCTCTTCTGATACTCCACCACCTTCTCGAGAAGCGTGTCAGCGAGCGCCTGCCCGTCTTCAAGCTTCTTGGCCACTTCGCTCCATTCAAAGTGTTGCGCGGCTTCTAGCATGCGGTCGCGGTGGTACACGAGCATGTAGAAGGGGCTTGGGGAGGAGAAGCTGAAGTCTGGGGAGCTGTTTTCGGCGCTTTGGAGGAGGGAGGGGTCGTAGCGGAGGGAGGTGAAGAGCTCGAAGGTGGGTGATGATGTGGCCATCTTGGGTCTGGTTCAAAGCGTGTTCGTGGAGGTTTTATTTACTGGAGGTGTTACTTGATACTCGGAGATTTCGAGTCCGAAGTCGGATAGGTGCAGATGCAGACGTGGCGGCCGCGGATACCTATGCACGCGGGGCATGGAAAAGGTGGCACACTCATCAAGTACTCTGCCTGTGTGTACACCTGTCTACCACTGCTTGGATTGCTTCAATGCATTTTCAAGAATCTAAAGAAGATAGAAACTCTTCGCCTTGGGCTATATGGAAACTTGTTGACGCAACCCAAGCAGTGGTAGACAGGTGTACACACGGGCAGAGTACTTGATGAGCGTGCCACCTTTTTCATGCCCAGCATGCTATGATTGAGGTAGACAAATGCGACAAACGGTGACGAGAGAATTTCAATTCCAATGTGAGAAGAGCCCCAAATGGAGCAATAGACCTAGACATGCTGGAAAAGGACATTGACAGGGGTGATCGTATGGAAGTTTTCCATCACGTGACCTCGAATCGAAGGTATCGCTCCATGGCTCTTAGAAAGTACTTGATGATGGAGTTTGAGGCACTTTGCGGGACCGTAGTGAAGATAAGAGACCACGCACCTTGTTGAAGACAGTTCATTGCCTGTACGAAGTAAACAGCGTTGTGGAGGCGAGAGGCTCCCCTTCTTTTTGACGACGTAATTCCAGTGCTTGGCAGCAAGCTCCAACTCCTTAGGAAATTTAACAGCCACTCGTACCAGCTCTCTTGTCCAACAGCCATCACCAGCCATCACCTTTCTTTCCTCCCCGCTGCGCCTGTTCTTGACTTTTGTTCAGGAACGCGCCTTTTAATTCCTGTCTAGCTTTTAGTTCCTCCTTTAGCACCATGTCGCTCCCAATCCCCCGAGAGCCTCGGCCAATCCCCCTCGAAGAGATTCCAGCACCGCCGTCATCGCTCTGGGACAGATTATCGACATGGGCGAGCGAACATAAGGGTGTGGTCTATACCATCGCGGGTGTGACGCTGGTGGTGACTGCTGCGGGAACGATATACTACCTGTCTGATAGCGGGAAAGGCGCGACGACGCCGGGGACGCCCTCGAAGAGGAAGAGCAAGAAGGATCGCAAGAAGGCGAAGAAGGAGGCGGAGGAACCTGCAAAAGAGGAGCCCAAGACAGGTAGCCCACACTATGGCCGATGCGACTGATGGATGACGAAGGCTAATCAGGAGACAGAGGCGAAAAAGCCTTCAGTGACAGTCGAGACTGAGGATGAATTGCCCCAGGTGGATGAGAGCACTGTTGGCGCGCTGACCGTTGAGGTTGCCTCACTCTGTTAGAATTTTGGGCATTGCTAACGCAGACCAGGAGCGCAAAGACTACGCGGCGAAGCTCAAGGCTGCCGGTAACAAGGCCTATGGCTCTAAGGACTACAACAAGGCCATCGATCTCTATGGGAAAGCCATTCTATGCAAACAGGACCCTGTCTTCTACTCCAACCGTGCCGCTTGCTGGAATGCCATGTCGGATTGGGATAAGGTCATCGAGGATACAACTGCGGCTATCAACTTGGACAACGAATACGTGAAGGCGTTGAACCGGCGAGCGAACGCATACGAGCAGGTCGACCGATTTAGCGAGGCCCTACTTGATTATACCGCTAGCTGCATCATCGATGGGTTCCGCAACGAATCGAGCGCCCAGAGCGTTGAGAGGCTTCTTAAGAAGGTCGCAGAAGCCAAAGGTCGCGCTATCCTGGAAGGCAAGGAGAAGAAGCTTCCCAGTCCCACGTTTGTCACAAACTATCTACAGAGTTTCCGGCCCAAGCCCCCACCAGCAGGACTGGAAGAGGACGAGCAGCTCGCCGTGGACTCTGGGCCAGGGCAATTGAGGATTGGGCTCATCGGCCTGAGCAAAAAGACGGCAGAGGGATATGCGGATGCTGCAGATGCCTTTGACGAGGCCCTGAAGTATGACGATAACGGAGAGTACGAGGCGTTCGCGTACAACATGCGAGGAACTTTCCGGTACCTGAAGGGAGATAACCAGGACGCACTAGCAGACTTAACCAGGTCTGTAGAGCTGGACCCGTCGTTGACACAGAGCTTCATCAAGCGCGCGAGCATGCATCTGGAACTAGGTATGTTTGAATTCAATTTCTGGGGAAATCCCAGCTAACATTTCGTAGGCAATAGGGACGCAGCCGCACAGGATTTTGAGCAAGCGATGGAGCAGAACAAGGAAGATCCCGACATCTACTACCACCGTGCCCAGCTTCACTTTATTCTCAGCGAGTTCGCGGAAGCGGCCAAGGACTATCAGAAATCTATCGATCTCGACAAGGACTTCATCTTCTCACACATTCAGCTCGGCGTCACACAGTACAAGATGGGATCTATTGCGTCATCAATGGCCACGTTCCGACGATGCATGAAGAATTTTGATAAGGTCCCAGATGTGTACAACTACTATGGCGAGCTTCTGCTAGACCAGCAAAAGTACCAGGAGGCCATCGAGAAGTTTGATACTGCTGTGGACATGGAGAAGGCCACTAAGCCTCTTGGAATGAACGTTTTGCCCCTCATTAACAAGGCTCTCGCGCTGTTCCAGTGGAAGCAGGATTTCTCGGAGGCGGAGAAGCTCTGCCAGAAGGCCTTGATCATTGATCCGGAGTGCGATATTGCTGTGGCCACGATGGCCCAGCTCCTCCTGCAGCAAGGCAAGGTCACAGACGCTCTAAAATACTTTGAGCGGGCAGCAGAGCTGTCGAGGACGGAGGGTGAGATTGTGAACGCTCTTTCATACGCCGAGGCTACCCGGACTCAACTTGAGGTAAGTTCTTTTTAATGAACTATTCTCTATTTTTACGAACAATTGGCTTACCCTCTCTTCACAGGTCCAAGAAAAGTACCCACAACTAGCTGCCAAGCTCCACGGCATGATGCCCGGAGGTGCGCTGCGGTAAGCAGGAAGTAGAATTCGCATCTCCTGCCGAGAGCATAAAAAATCCTAATATTTCGGGCACGTTAATCTGGTTGCCCGCGACTGCCCCCCCTTTTCAACCTGTATTTATCCATCTCTTCTCTTGCTTGATAGCGAGACCTTATCCTTAGGTCGGCCGTGGTGTTGGGTTGCTCCTTTGCGTGTGCTTAGCTGGACTGTTTGGCGGATATGGGTCTGAGTGGCACCGTGTGGTAAGCGGGTAGACGAGTGATGATACATGGGAGGATATGGATGTTGCGTCGGTCGTTGTGTAAAATATGGTGATGTTATGGGGGTTGGGGAGGATAGGATGGGTGCACAGATGAAAACGTGCCTGGTAATATATTCGGTGACTCTACTCTTACTGTGCTGTGAACGGTAATGACGTCTCTTGTAACATGACGGTTGGTGATAGAGAGCTTCGGTGAATTAATTTTCCCGGCTATCAAAGGCACGCATGTAATATAGAAGCACCAGCAGACATGAACGTGATGTATTTACACATGTTTACTGCGTTGGATATTGGGCTTTGGAATTGTCCTGCTGGGCGAGCTTTTATCAACTGCCTGTCCAGGCAAGCTTCTCAAATATACAGAATAGAGCATATGTCGGCATATCAAACAGAGACTATTGGGAGATGAAGGGTATATCCCGTCAACACCCAGTTCCATCTATCACGGCTCCGGAAGATCAGGTAGACTGCGGTCCGAGGCACTCCACGGCTGGCAATATTGCAGCATCACAACACGCCACCAGAGCACCAGAAGAAGAGCAGTTCCTGGTCCGAGGCCGCCAAGCGTCCATCGTTTGTGTGACACTGCCAGATGAAGTGGTCCGCGGCCGGAAGCGGGCAGTGCGCATCATTCCAGGCCGACAGCGATCCGGCCGTGATGGCTGACGTCAAATGAGAAAGGTGGCGGCTGAGAGAGCCATGGAGCTGGCTGCCCAGCTGAGGCCGCCCAAGCATCGCGGTGGTTGCTGTGGTGGTGTGGGGTGGGGACTTGATGGAGTAGAAGACGCAACAGAAGCATCGCCGTCATGTGCAAGGCCCGCGGCCAAGTGGCTGTGATTCGCCGCGGGCTTCTCCAGCTTGTGCATCCCAGGGAAAGCGGGGCCATGCTCGCTGCAACATTCCAGGGCGCAGAAGTGAGGGGAAGCTCCCTCTGTCACTCACAGCTGCCATGTTGCTGAGAGGTACCACCCCGTATTAGACCAGACACAGACTCTCTCCCGCGTGTTCCCCAACACATCATCACCCCGACGCCCCTCGCGCCCGCCCTCCCAGAGCTTCACTTCACCGCGCTTTGCTTTGCTTTGCTTTGCTTCTGTCAATCCCCGCCTCAATCGCTCTCTTGCTCTCTTGCTTCGTCAACCCCCTCACCACCGGCACAATGCTTGCACGACGCCTGACCCCGCGTGTTCGCAATGCCGTCCCCTCGTCACAGCCCGCTGTCGTCGTTTCTCGCTCCTTCAGTGCTCTTCCTGCAGCCCAGGGCCCGGCGAGAGCTCCAGCTCTCGCCGACATCACACCGGACGCCGCGCCGAAGTTCGACGCCCGGCAGAAGGAATTTCGTGAGAGCCTGGTCGCCGCGCAGAAGCAGAGGGAGCAGCAACTGAGTCAGTCCCCCTCCTCTCCCCATAGTAGTCTGTCTGCGTCTAGCACGAACGGTGGGCCCCCTCTTGTTAGCGATTCACTTGGCTCACTTACTGCGTCTCATGCAGAAGAAGCACGCGCCCGCGAAGCTCAAGAAGGCTCCAAGAAGAAGACCGGCGCTCTTACCTCGCTCATCTACGGCACACCCGAGGGCCGCGAGCTCGACAAGGACATCGAGCGGAGCTTCTCCCAAGTCTTGGCGAGAGGCAAATACGTCCATTCCATCGTCTTCCACGATGTCAAGCCCGACAAGGTGGACGAGTACACCGAGCTCGTTGGAAAGTGGTATCCGAGGATGGCAGACATGCCCGAGAACAAGGTCCATCTCGTGGGCAGCTGGCGGACAGAGGTTGGAGACTGCGACACATTCGGTACGTCAACATCCTCGGCTTGGGCCATCTTTCACACGCGTTGGCTACTGCCACGAGACCTCCGCGGATACTCTGCATGATCTCTTCTCCAGTCACCCTAAATCGGTGTCGGGAATTGGCATCATAAACACTATCCTTGCGAATCCCCTGGTGGCTGCAAGTAATTTGACTTCGCTAACACTTTCCAGTGCATATCTGGGAGTACCAGCGGTACCATGGCTACCATGCCTCCCTAAACGCCATTCAACATCACCCCGAATTCCCAGAGTTTGACGCGAAGCTCAAGACCCTCATAAACTCGAAGCGAACCTCCCTCATGCAAGAATTCTCCTTCTGGCCCACCACATCTCCACGCCAACTAGGTGGACTCTTCGAACTGCGGTCATACACATTGCACCCTGGCAATCTTCTGGAGTGGGAGACACATTGGCGCAAGGGCCTTAAGGCCCGTAGAGAGGTCATGGAGGGCGTAGGAGCTTGGTTCGTGCAGATTGGCGAGCTCAACACCGTGCACCATCTATGGCAGTTTGCAGATCTGGAAGAGAGGAAGGTCCGGCGCGAACAGAGTTGGGGAGTCGAGGGCTGGGGTGAGACTGTCCACAAGACAGTCCCTCTGATTCAGACAATGAAGAGCAGGATCTTGATCCCGTGCCCGTGGAGCGCGGTTGCATGAGGCGGACGCTGCAATGGATGTGGGATAGGCCCAGTACTAGATATGGAACATGTCTATGAGAAAGCCAGCAGTCCGTGAAGGCAAGGGACAGCTGTGGGAAACTCGATTACACCTGGAATGACAGCAGGCGAGAGACACAGGACGATAGTCAGTGTAGATTAGGAGCCACAGCGATATTCCCGGAAACAGCACCGGTATCGAACTATGATAGCATTGGTACTGAACAAATATATACCAGCTACAACGAAGCTTCTGCTATGCTAGCTGTTGAGTCGTCGTGCTGGCCTGATTTTTTATGTTGTTGCAAGCCGCCCCACGTGCGTCATCGGAACGACGAAACGCGGAGGTGAACGCGAAAACTGGAAACCCAACCACCAAGAAATATCGCGCACCTGTACCCTCTCTCACCACCTTCCCTCCTCGCATTGCTAACTACGACTATTTGATCTGTATTGTAGCAGTCATTCACGATGGTTTACATCCGACAGGACAAGCTCCCGAGGCTCAAAGAGTACAAGTACTCGGGAGTCGACCATAGCCCTGTGTCCAAGTATATTATGAAGCCGTTCTACAACAATGTAGTCATCAAGTGTTTCCCTTTAAGTATGGCGTAAGTAGTATACTCTTCTAGGAATGTTCTCCTGCGATTCCTTCGAATAGGGATATCAAAAAGGAATTCTGCTAACCTTACTACAGGCCGAACTTGGTATGCATCCTTTACACTATTCCTCGAGTGACGATCTTGCACCTCATACACGAACGAGCTACACCGAACCACATGCTGATAGGTTTGCCTTGCACTAGATCACCCTTACCGGCTTCAGCTTCGTCATTGCCAATTTCCTCACCCTCCTGTGGTACACACCTGGCCTGGACCAGGACTGCCCTCCGTGGGTGTATGCGAGTTGGTCGATAGGACTATTCCTATACCAAACATTTGATGCGGTCGATGGCACACAGGCCAGGAGGACAGGCCAAAGTGGGCCTTTGGGCGAGCTGTTCGATCATGGTGGGGCATAATGGTAGCTTGAACGAGTGTCGGAAGGCGGCTAACGATATTATCAGGTGTCGACGCTCTCAACACAACTCTTGAATGTCTGATATTCTCCGCCTGCATGAACTTGGGCCAAGGATGGAAGTCGATGTTGGTACTCTTCGGCTGTGAGTGTATGATCCTCTCCATTCGTCGAATTCATTACTGACGATACAACAGCTTCTTTGACTTTCTATGTGCAAACTTGGGACGAATACCACACGCATACCTTGACTCTCGGTGTCATCTCTGGTCCGGTCGAAGGCTTACTCATTCTGTGCACTGTTTACGGTTTCACCGCGTACGTCGGAGGCGGGAGCTTCTGGCAGCAGTCACTGTTCCAGACCGTTGGCATACCACACCTCAGCATCATCCCTGACTACATCTACAATCTTGCCTGGGATGAATGGTACATGGTCCAAGGCGGCTCCGTTCTGGTGTTCAACACGATCTCCAGGTAAGTCTCCGCACTACGTCCCTCGCCCCTGATAGCTTCTAAAATATGACAGCGCCCAGAACGTCATGAAAGCCCGCCGCGAACGTGGTCAGAAAGCCCGTGTCGCCCTCATTGGTCTCGCACCATTCTTCACCGTCTGGACCCTTGTTCCCATCTACCTGAAGCTGCAACCCGACATCCTGCACCACCATTTGGTCCCTTTCATCTTCTTCATCGGCCTCATCAACGCCTACTCTGTCGGCCGCATGATCGTCTCGCACCTTACCAAGTCTCGCTTCCCCCGTGGCAACGTCCTCATCTTCCCCCTGGCTTACGGCGTCATCGACTCGCTGGGCCCATTCCTGCAGCAGAAGGTAGGCTTCGGGTGGCCCAGCGCACTCGGTGACGGTACCTACCAGGTCGCCTTTGTGTTCTTGTGCCTGGGTTTTGGGATTGGTGTTCATGGAAGCTTCGTCGTTGATGTCATTTTCGCTATTTGCGATTATCTAGATATTTGGTGTTTGACGATCAAGTATCCCAAGGTTGAGGGACAGGAAGCGAAGAAAGAGAAGTAGGTTGCGTAGAAGAGTACCTTCTTGCTTTAGTTCTATGGCGGGTAGATTGGTCTCTAGAAAGCGGGTGATTCTGTAATCCGGATGTGTGCGTTGATTAGGGCGGAACTCTAGTGTTGGACGAGCGGGCGTTTGGTGATTTGGCGAATCCGAAAACCTTTCATGGTTGGCGCTATTGGAGGCGGTACATTCCCTTGAATTAGTAGATCTCATTAATTAAAGAGTATCTACTCGTTGTTAAATGTCGAAAGCACGGCCTCATAATATCATATCGGGGACCAGGGGCGCGACTGCAAAGCTCCGACGATTATATAAGCAGTATTCCGTCTCAACCTCAACCGAACCCTTCCACTGGACAACTTTCATCGCCCTCCATCAATGCAGGTGGCACCCATTTCCAAGCCCAGTCCATGTAGGTTCCTCGTTCTGCGTTACCTCGTATATAAGGCTAGTGAACGTGAGTTAAATTCCAAGCACGTGTTCATATCTGGGTCGTTTCACGCGATTTGGAGGCACGCGATTTGGAGGCACGCGATTGTGTTGCACTCTTGCCTATGGCCAGGCGTCTTGATCGTGAACACATCTTCCTGTACTGGACGTACCTAAGAAATCCATGTTTCTCTGCTTAAATTGGTGGCTCGCAAAGACCGTCCTGTTGAGTATATAGTAGGTCCTCGTTCATATCAGGTCACGTCTCAAGGGTCATCTCGGTTTGCTTCGGTACTGGCGACGCACTTGGAAGACTTCTGTGTATATCTTCTTTCTTGCTAATGCCCGTCTGTGGTGTTGCAAGGTTTTGAGAAAATCCTGGAGCAATAGGCTGCCAGGCCCATGTGTGTACAACTCTCTGCGACCGCCTGAGGTGGCTTAGAGAGGTCACCGATTATTTAGAACACTGAAAACTCCTCTCGTTTGAACTCCAACAAGTGCTTTGAGGTACCACAGGCAGCGGTGAAAGACTGTCCACGAAGATAGTACGAAGCACTGCGTAGAGGACGCGTCCAGAGTCCTTTCGAACGTTGTGGGTTCCCCGAGACTGATCACTTCTTCACCGAAGCGACTGTACGGTAGCCTGTTTGCGCGTCCACCGCAACGCGTCATATCTTTCTTAAGCTCAACCCATTCTCTCCTTCATCCTCTCATCTCACTCCCCCTCAACGCCTTTCTTAGCGCGGCAATGCAGAGCCACTGAAATAGGTGTACGATCACTCTTCGCTCGTTTTGGTCTTCGGACTTTTCGATCTACAATGAACAGCTTCAATATGGCCAGCGCTCTCCAGCTCGCAGGCGCCCAGGTGGCTAGCACGGGCGACGCAACCGGAACAAGCACTTTCATTCTAGAATCCATCATCCCAGGGTTTTCCATCATGCGCCAGCTATTCCTCCAGTATTTCCGGTACGACATCACGTCTCTGGTGACGCGCGCTATCTTTTTCGCCATGGCTACCCAGGCCGGAAGATACTTAGAGGAAGGCATCAAGGATCTCCTTCTTAGATTCTGCTGTGCTTCAGTTACCATCTCTCCCAACGACCGATTGTACCGTGAGGTGACCAGTTGGATGGCTGTTCACGTCATCGAGAAGGGAGCTCTTCACATGGCCGCCAAGTCGAGCAAGAACGACGACACTGCGAACGACCCGTATCGCAAGTATAATGCGCTGTACGGAGCTACGCAAATCTACGCCTACAACCCATCCGACTTTGATGAGAATACTCCACCTGTTACATACTCGCCTTCAATCGGCACGCAGTGGTTCTGGTATGGATTTCGTCCATTCATGTACGCGCAGTACGGCAGCGGTAGGAACGGTATGTTCTACGGAAAAGATTGTGGAGATATTGTCATATACTCTCTCGGCAGGACTACCGCGCCTCTCAAGCGCTTCATCCAGGAATGCAAGGACTTCGAGGAGAAGACGCGCAATGCGCTAACAACCATCCATATCAAGAGCGGGGCACGGAGCGGATCTATTTGGTCGGATCCCATCCTGAAGCCAGATAGGCCGCTGGATACAATTGACATGGATGAGACACTCAAGAATGCCCTTATCGAGGATTTTCACGGCTATCTTCACCCTACAGCCAGACGCTCTTACGGCCGCCGCGGTATTCCGTATCGCCGAGGATATCTCTTCTACGGCCCTCCAGGCACCGGCAAGACGTCTATGTGTTTCGCATTAGCCGGACACTTCAAATTGGAGCTCTATACCCTTTCTGGCCAAGGCTTGCAGGACTATGAGCTCGACCAGTTGTTCACCGCGCTTCCTCCTAAATGCATCGTCTTATTGGAGGACATCGACTCCGCCGGTATCACCCGGGAGCACAACAACGAATCCATGCCCGAGACGGAGCAACCGCAAAATCAGAACTCTAGGATGAATTTGACTCGGGTCACGCTAAGTGGACTGCTTAATGCTATCGATGGAACTACCTCCCAAGAAGGCCGCGTCCTCATCATGACCACTAACACTCCGGAAAAACTCGACAAGGCTCTTATCCGTCCAGGCCGCATTGATCAGATGGTTTATTTCGGCCCTGTGACAAAGAAGAACGCAGAGAGTATCTTTATGCGCATGTTCTCCCGGGACAGGAACGGCGACGAAGAGCACGCAATCTGGTTGGTGGACACGAAACTGAGCGAGAAAGACCTTCGGGAGATGGCTGTAGAGTTCTCAAAGAAATTCCCAGAAGGTCAGATCACGCCTGCCGAAGTGCAAGGCTTTCTTGTCAACACCAAAAGCCCCCACAAAGCGTTGGCGGAAGTCGAAGGCTGGATCGCAAAGACGTTGGAATCTAGAGATGGGTCCAAAGCGTTTGAGAAGATGGAGATCAAGACTGGAGAACCCTCTGAGCCTTCGAAAGACAGCACCAAGGCCGAAGCAAGCAGCAGCGGACTGAAGATCGGTACCGTGGGAAAGGCCAAAGAAGCTGCTGTTGAGTCGACTGAGTCATCACCAAAAAAGACTGGACTCGAAGGATCAGGCGCCGTGTCTCAAGGTTTCTTGCCTACCTGGGAAGCGTACAAGATGCGAGCATCCGAGGGTACCCCAAGCGTTGCGACTGACCCTCTTACTGAGGAAGATGACACCACGGCGGGCGCGGAGTCGGTCACGGAGAGCCTGCACACACTGAAGTCGTTGTAAGGTACATGTATCACAAACCCCCATTTCTTCCCTTAGCACCAACACTCAAATACCCAGATCTTTAGAGGAAACGTATATTGACATAGCATAGTCTGTTCCTTAGCGGTACGGACAGGGCACTTTTTTGGCCCTGAGCAACCACCCGGCGGCAGTTACTTTGGTGAAAACTTGGGATTTTGCTAGTAAAGGGAACTGGCCTCTGGATAGCTCACCAGTTACTAAAACTCCTAATAACAACTAGCAATGCTAATGTTGAATCTTGGAACCTCGGCTAGGCCATTCGTGATGATGTGTACAGTACTAGGCCATGATTTTAGCAACATCGATATAACACTGCACCGCCTCCCCTCTTGCTCACCGGACACCGCCATGAGGAGTAGCCTGGCTGTTACCTAGCTGTGCAGTCAAGAGGTAGTCTAATTCTAACTGCATTAAGCTTAACATCTAATTTGGATTTTTGGAAGCCCATGGGGATACCCCAAGCAGTGGCAAACAGACGACCCAGGACTTTCTACCAAGACATCGCACGAGCAGCACACCAATATAGCATTGCATGGGCTCTGCCTTTGCTCACCGGACGCCATTGTGAGGAGTACCCTGGCTAGTACCTAGCTATTCATCCACGAGGCAGTCTGATTCCAATGGTATCAACCTTGACATCGTCTTCGGAGTTTACAGAGCCCTATAGGTACCCCAGCCAGTGGTAAAAGCATGTTCCAAGCATAATTGCAACAAGTTGCATCTCAATCAACAGGCTTAATATGCACCGGCGTCCTCCCCTCCACCCAAACCCCCACAGCCGCATTCCCCTTCTCATCCGCGATAAACTCCCCTCCCACGCCCTGTTCCCACTTATACTTCATCCCCGGCTTCAGCCTCTCAATGCTCAGGTAAAACGTGCCCTTTCCGGCGCCGTTATAGAGAACTAGATCCAAATCCTCTCCGCGGCTCCACGCTTTCGCGACTACGACCTCTGGGTAGGGCGCATCTGCCAGCAGCGGGCCCTGAAACGTGTGCTCCGGCGGCCCGTGGAGCAGCGTGTTGACGAACATGTTTGTGCCGTTGAAGCGCGCGTTGGCGAAGGCTGCGTTGTTCAGCGTGGAGTTGTTGGCGGCGTAGGTGCCGCCGCAGCCGTCGGAGAGGAGGGGCCCGGCGGCTGCGGAGACGGAAGCGGCGAGGTGGGAGGCTAGGTCTCGGTCGCCTTTTTCTTTGGCGGCCATGTAGACCCTATGGAGTTGGGTTAGTGGGATTCAGGAGCTGTGTGATGGAGGACAACGGCACGGGAGGGGCATGGCTTACCAGGTTTTCCCAGGCATTGCCTCGGGATGCATGGTGTATAGCCCAGCATCCACGTGGTCTCCAGCACCTAGTTTCAGACCAGTGGTCTTGCCCGTCTCGTCTCGCTCGGTGTGCTCTCTCTTCGTGATCGCCCACAGCTGCTCCGAGTATTCCGGAAACACAGCCGCGCATTGCACTGCTGTCGATGCAGTTACACACGCACCCGAGATAGGCATCTGAATACCAGCCAGCCCAGACCGAAGTGCCACGATGCTGCCGTCAGGAGTGGTGAAGTCGGAGTACCAGAGCTTTTTGAACTTTGGGAGGATATCGCGGAGGCGGTTGGTTTTGAAGAAGCGGTCGTAGACGAGGGCGCCTTGCATGCCATAAAGGTTCTAGAGCAAATCGTGTGAGAAAGAGACGGAAGAAGGAGGGTCGAGGTACGTACGCAGAGCGTGTAAACCCAGTTCGGCTCGCAAGCGTATAGGCAGAACCTCGCAGTCTCCCAGTTGTCCACCAGGGCGTCCATGATCGTATGGATAGAGTGCGGATAGGAGTGGAAAGGAGTGACTTTGAAGACTAGGCTTCCAGGTTTCGTGTATCGCAAGTCTCGAGTTGTGGACGTGTACATCATTAAAGCCATCATATACCATCCGGAGAGCATGATGCTGGGATGGGTCAGCGGTGTGCAATGATAAGTCATAAGGTTGGGCACATGAATGAAGCACTTCTTAGACTCCAGCTCAGCTCACTCAGCACCACTGTCAGAAGCACCCCAACTGCCGCGTCATCGGCCAGTCAAGGAATAACTCAGCTTCCACGGTGTCGAGCTTTACATCATTTCTAGGACTTAAGGACCCCGTATGAAGCAGGAAGATGGGGTGTGGATGAATGGCACGACTTACTTCTCCCACTTGATAGGATCCCAATTCAATGAATGGCGGCCCCAAAAGGCCTCCGTGGCCCAGTAGTAAAGCACGCTAGGCTGCAATACTTTCTCTAGAGCTGCCCTTTGCGCTTTGCTCAACGCACCGTGGTAGTTCGGCATGACCGAGCACTGTAGAGACGAGAGAGCGTACACGATTTGGTAGAGCGGGTATCTATAAGCTCCTTCTCTCCACTGGTCTCTATGTGTGAAGCCGTTCCATGAATCAAAAGGTTGTCTGGTAAGATTGATGAGGTATCGCATCGCACTGATCTCGTCGTCATTCAATTCGCGGGACCCCGGGACCTCCTCCTGGACCGTTGCCTTGCGGATCTGCTCGCAGTTGCGAACTTCGGTTTCGATGTACTTGTTTCGCTCGAGGCGCTGAGCTTCTTGGGAAGCGGCGTAGCTTCTATTTGTCTTGAAAGTAATGCCGAGGACTAAGAGACTAGCCGTAGCGGCTATGCCATAGGTAGCTTTCAGAAGAGAATCGCGCTCCATGTATCGCGCCTTGTAAGCCGCTATTGTAGCAGATCCAAGGTATATGCCGGCCGGGAACTGAACAACCCCAGCCCAGAACCAAAGAAAGATTGCAATCGGCGTGAATATCTGTTCAGGGTGTGAGATGTTTGTTTTCGAGGAGAAAGATCAACTAACCGTATTCATCATAAAAGCCAGGACTCCCCAACCCCCCAAAGCCAGATATCCAGCTCCAGGAAATACTGCCCAGAATTAGCTTTAGTGAAAAATAAATTTATATCTTGACATACCAAGACCAGCACCAAACGCTCGCACTGGGGCGGAATCCGAATAGAACCAGCAACCCGACCCCACCACTACAGCAGCTAGATACATCTTCAGCATCCTGTATGCCGTCCATCTCGTCACAGGTCCAAAGGCATCTTTCTTTGGGAATAAATAGGATTTAGCTTCAGCGTCGAGCTTCTTCCGTGTGGTTGGGGGCGCTCCATTGGCCTTGACGCCTCCATTCAACGATCCGTTCAACGCCGCCATCATTAGTGATATTACAGAAACCCGAAGGAGGGAAACTGGTCTTCGAAATGTGGAGATGGAAGAATGTATAGCAAGATGAAAAAAGGAAGCGATGATACTAAGATAGTTAGGAACGGAAATGAGAATTTCCGAAAGCCAACAGATCTAGCCAGCACGACCATGGATCCCGCAAAGGTCAATGAGTAAAATGGGAATGCGGGGATGCCTACCTAGGTAGCATGTTTTCTCCAAGGTAATTGATGATTCCTTCAAATTTGGATGAACTGCGGTGGACTCCCCCCGCATTTTCGATCCGACTCAGTGCACGCTGACTCCGCATCCTAAAATTTATGTGAAGAGCCTTCAGTCAGTACCTCGTTACCCGAGCGCTTAAATATCGGTTGTATCAATTGCTCGTGCGGTGTCTTGCTAGAACCTCTTGGGACATACGGAGGGTACTGCTAGAGGCACCCCTATGGGGCTTTACAAAACCCGAGTACGATGTCAAGGTTAATGCTGTTGATATTGGACTGCCTTTTGGCTGACTAGCTACCTATTAGCGGTGTCAAGTGATCAATGGCAAAGCCCGTGCAGTCTTATATCGCTGTGCCTAAGACTATGACCTATGAAGAAACCCACACTGAAGGTATTGCATTATCATCCACTGGTTCTCATATCAATGCTTCTAGTCCCACGAAGCCAAAAGCCCATGCCACAACCCACCATCCCGAGGCATTCGCCGGCCCCGGTTTCGCAGCTGCCCCGTCGCTTGAGACCCAGTATAGACCTCTGTTATAACGGTTGGGGCACCATTGGGCCCGGTAGTGGAGAGAGTCACTAGGGCGGTAGGTGAGACTATCGAGGTTATCAGGACCGGTGACCCATTCGACGCCGTTGCTGAGATTGTGACCACGAATAGAGGGGCGGTCTCCGGCAGTATGGTTGACGTTATCACGGTTAGTATCCAGTTTGGTGCGATTGTCGAGTATGTCTCGACGCTAGGAGGTATTGCAGGTATGATTGATGTTATTATGGTCGGTTCGCCATTTGGCACGTTCGTCGAGTAAATTACGGTGCTGGGAGGTGCTTCGGGTATAACTGACATGATCACGATTGGTTCACCGTTTGGTGCGGTCGTCGAATAGGTCACCACGCTAGGAGGTATCCCCTGCATGGTTGACGTTATTACGATTGGTGCGCCATTTGGCGCAGTCATCGAATATTTCACAATACCAGGCGCTGCTGTGATCTGGGGAGGGCTCAGTTCGGGAAGTGACGGCGTGACGCTTGGAGCGCTTTGAGTATCTGATGGAACTGTCTTGCTTCCTGGTGTTGCTGGCGGCTGCGGAACTGCAGGAGTTTGAAGAGGCTGGGAGGTAACTCCTGGGGTTTGAGAAGGCTGAGTAGATCCTGGTGGTGTGCTAGATCCACTAGGAGAGTTGCTTGGGACAGTGACGGTCCCGAGAACGTCGGCCTCAGCTGTTGTCTCGGTAAATGCAGTTGCAGTTAACTCCAATTCGCTCGTAATTGCTTGTATATTCGTCATGGACGTGCAATCCGTTACATGTTCTCCATCGAACTGCTCCACGACTGTACTCAGCGTGTCGAGATATGGTAATACGGGCGCAAAGAAGGTATAATCCTCGGAAAGAGGGAATACGAAGCTGGCTGGATTTGTCGTCGCTGGGAGTGTAAGCTTCCTGGAAGCGCTGATTTGCACGCATGTTGAAGTGGCAGCAAGCGACCCAGTTGTGAGTGACGCTGGTATATCGGCTCCGCCCTGGAATTGCTCTACGATGAGGTAGGCCGTCGGAGACGTCCGTTAAAATCAAAAGTCAGTAGGATGCCGTTTATATTTAACCGAGGTTTTCAGAGTAGGAGACTAACATGGTGACCCCATGGGTTACAGTTGTGCTACCGATGAAATTTTATGTTGTTGGCGGCAGAGATATTTAGGGGAATCGTAGAATAGCTTGTAGTATTTGTCCCGTTACACCAAGGTGTGACGACAGGTACCACAGTGCGAGTAACTGTCGGTACAGATCCACTGACAAAGTTGATTTGTGTGACTATCCATGCACCTATCGCGCAGCCAGTACATGGACTACTCTGATTCGCAAAGCTCTGTGAGCTTGCCTCGATTACAAGACTGACAAGACAGTTTAACGCCAGCAAGGCATGACTACTTTGGAGTACCCTCATGACCGGCCTGGAAAACTGATATTCGATGGAATAGACTGACTAATGATTGAGCGTGAGGCTGAAACGGATCGAAGAAATGACATTGAGATAGTGAAGAAGGATAACAGCAGGATTTAATGTTTTCGAGGCTGCCAGCACTCCACTGCCACCCATACAGTATCCCTACATCAGCATTTTGGTGCACCGGCAGATGAGGCTTTTGTCGCTCCGGGCGGGAGGGTCCATATTGGGATAATTGCACGAGGTGCAGATCTAACAAGGCTGAAGTCCCGTGTGAAAGATTAGACACAGCTAACAGGTCTGACTTGTATCTGCAGGTGCTGCTCTACGCGAATGTAACTACTCCTGCACGCGTGAGCCATGTTGTGTGGTGGTTGGTAAGGGAGAAGCACCTGAGAAGGCTGAACGTGTTGCACCGGCGTGGTCCAAGCTCACGGAGTCTTTCTTAACGTCCTTTCACTCTTGCATCATGAGAATACAAGGAAGCCAGCACATACTACAAAAACATCACATCAAATTCCTTACGAGAAGGCTTAAGTCCCTGGGTGATGGCCTGCCTGGACAGGGGTACACATCACTTATCCACGTTTCCCTATTGCCCCGATACACATTTTGCAGCTAATGCATGCATGCTGTATCGATGCCTGCATAAGCACTGGTGATAGGACAGGCATCCTGGCGTCTTGACAGCAGAATTGGGCGATGAGGCTCTATTCCAGCCTTGTTGACCTTTTCAGGCTGAGTATGGCCCCCGCACTCTGTCTAAGGCCCTAGAAGTCGCTGGCACTTCAGATTTCACTCCAGTGCCCCCTTCCCGCTATCTAATGAAAACTCGGTTATTAGATATTGTATCTGAATCTGCACAGGTACACTGGTTTGGCGCTGCTTGACCTGCTTGACCTGCTTGGGCCCATATTAAGAAGTTCGAAAGAAACGTTTTGAACAGTGTGGAAGACCTACAGGCTACTTCAAACGGCGTTATCCTCTCGTCCTTCGCCTTCTCATGAGCATCAAATGGCGCGCCTCTTTGCCAGGCAGACTCCAAACCCAGCACCGTTCTTATTTCCGCCATCTCAGAATTGGGATGGCAACGATGGCGCCTAGTCGACGTTTTTAAATTCAAGTTGGCAATCCACCCCAAGGCTTTCGGGTTCTTGTTTCAACGGCAGGTCAAGAGACATGGGTTTCACTTGTAGACGGTTGCGGTGGTGCCAGCCCTGAAGATGTGGCGATCTTCGAGGCGTTGAGCCTTTTCACTCGGCCTCAAGCCTGGGCTTCCGTACAAATATTTCGAGTATCTGGCGCTCGATGTGTATATTTAAATTGGATCTTGAGAAGCATCTTGGTTTCACCGGAAACGGACTCTATGGTTTGGATACCGTCGCTCTCGGCACCGATGGACAGAGTGGTCCAGCTCTCCCAAATCAAGTGGTTTCTGGAGTTGCTACCAAAGAGTACTTTCTAGGAGTCTTTGCTCTCGGACCCAAACCTACCAACTTCATAGGTACAAATAGGTCCTTGTCCTACATGAAGAGTCTAAAGGATGCTGCTTTAATACCAAGTCTCAGCTGGGGCTACACGGCTGGAGCTTCCTATCGTATGATATCTATCGTTGTCGGTTGTCCTAGACTATCAGCAACTGACGTCTTTGGCTTCCACGTGATATCTGTGACAAATTTGAAACCGCATTTGGATTAACATATGACGATTCCACAGACCGATATACGATCCATGACAACAACCGCAGCAAACTCCAACAATCTAACACCACCATTATATTCATCCTTAGCGCTAGTACCTATGGCGGCAATACTACCAACATCGTACTTCCCTATAGTGCGTTTGACCTCCAGGCAAGCTGGCCCATTTACGAGAATGCTACAAACTACTTTCCTCTTCGGCGCGGCGCCAACGACTCCCAGTACACTCTCGGTTGTGCATTTTTTTAGAAGGCATACGTGATTGCCGATTATGAGCGGTCTGAGTTCTCCGTCTCCCAGGCTGTATTCACGTCTCCGATGCCTTTGGAGAACATCATGGCCATCCAAACCCTGGGTAATGCATCAGTGCCGAACAACACAACATCACATCACTCATCTAGCAGTCACTCTCTTGCAGGAGGGGCGATTGCAGGCATCGTTATCGGCGCTATCGTGGGTCTTGTGATCATAACCGCTGCCACATAGTCATCCCTTCTCACTATTTTGAGACGCTTGGGTGTTGCCTTCTAATGCCCTTCTCTAAAGCCTTCTTGCTGCATAGGAAGTTAGAATGCTGATCAAGAGAGCTTCAGGGGATGCACGGGGACATATGAGGTAGTCTAGAAGAGGCCAAATCACGTGACAATTCCCAACTGATAACATGTTCCAGTACAATTTCTGTCAAGAAGCCATAGTGCTCAAGATAGGCTTAAGGCTGTGAAGTCACGGGAGAAAGCATCAATTATCATATACTCCATTTCAATGGTGTATTTTTCACTCCCCACTGCCCATGGATATCATCCGAGTATGTCCATTTGCATTCGCAGTCACAAATCCGGCCATCTACTCCTTCAGATCTCTGAACCATTTCAACCTCAGGCATGATATGCCGCCAACGCCATATCCCTCGCCCTACCCCAAGCCGAAAATCAAACCTGGGTGCGCATAATGGAGCCCCTTTCGGGCCAACCATTATGCTGCGGAAAGAAGATGAAGGTCCATGAAAATTAAGGTTTTTTCCGGGAAAGGAATGAAAAGGGAAGATTGAAGCGCTGCTGTGGATGGTGGTTTATACCTCTTTCGAATGCACAGCAGACCCCCTAATACGCAAGAGACCAGTATATGTAATGGAGCAATGCCAGTGACCAAATAGGAAGTGAGAGAGAGCTACTCGTCATGGCTATGAAGGTTGGACTGGTCGTCTGCTACGTCTGGTAGGGTGGATAGAGCAACAGACGGCACAGCGGACTTCGGAGCGCTGTATCCTGAATCCCAGAACCGAGTGCCGGTGTCATCGCGCTTTGTGTTTTCATGACTGTTGGATGGGGCTGTTGTAGCAGAAGCCGCTCGCGAAGTAGTACCATCGTCGTTGACATTGTCCTTGTCCATGTCCTCATCATCGTCTTGCATCTCACTAAAGTCGACACCGCTTTCCTTGTCATCGCCCTCATCTGCCGGCCCGTCCTTCGCTTCCTCAATGGTTTCGTCAATCTCGCCATCAAGGACTGATTTGAAACGGTCGTCTGCGCTAAGTAGAATTTCGAGAACATTCTTCCTCAGCATACGCTCAGCCCTAGGCATCACTTGGCCTGGACGAATGTGAGCTCCGCCGAGTATTACCATGTAGTCGCGGCGCATGTTTTCAAAAATAGCGTCTCCACGCTCCCTCATTGACTCGTCTACGGTTTCCACCATTTTCGATAAGCGCTCTTTGACGGTGTCGGTAGCATCGCGGAACATGGAATTCTTTTCCTGCTCCACGTGAACAGCCATGATGCCTTTCATGCGCACGAACATTCCGGTACCTGATACACATTTCATTAGCGAATTGGCGGTCTTCAGTAAAGAGGCATGCCTTACCGACTTGGCTACTGCAATTGTCGTAGCCTGACTGCATGGCTGCAGCGATGACCGGCGTGAACTCCCGATTGGCATCGCGCTGCCATTCAGTCATGATCTGTGCCATCGCACCGGCAAGATCCATGAAACTCTTCTGGTATTTGGGGAGCTGCTGGGCAAGGATAGCGAGGCCGTGTGTTGCAGTTCCGACCAGTTGAGCCCTCGTTTCCATGGCTTTGTGAAACGTGATCAGGTTATTGTACGACACACGAGTATAGTTCTGCAACGCATGTGGTAGCCGACGTTGGAAAGCGCGCTCCCACCCACTCGCGAGTCGCTTGGTGATGGGTTCGGCCAGTTCCGCGTTGAAGTCTCGTAGACCTTTCGACCCAGCAAACACACCATCTCGCCGAACTGTGGCCCTGTAGGTTCCCCAGTGCAGGCCGCCTTGATGTTGGGGGGCACTCCAACGGGCGGCAGTAGGCACAGCGTTTGTTGCAGCCTCTGATATCGCTTCATCGTACTTGTCATAGATATTCTCGGTGAGGCTATCTTTCATTTCGTTTGCGCAAGCTGTGACGGATTTCTCCAAGCCCTTTCCGAGTTCCTCAAGTTTCCTATTTAGGAATTGAGCTTGTTTGCGCCTGTCTTCGTCCGTGAAGTTGATGCCACTCCCATCGTTCGATGACCAAAGGTTCAAAGATGTAAGCAACTGGCTCAGATTGTTCAAGAAGGTGCGGCAGGTCGACGCCCTTCCAGCTTCCGTGAGCTTTTTGCAGTGAGCTTGTAGCTGAGGAATCCCAGTTTCGTCCACAGATGTGAACCCTGGCACGGGGGCATCCTTCTTGAGACGCCCGCAGAGTTTCTGGTAAGCCCTACTACTAACGCAAAATACTGGCAATGTGCGGGCAACATGGTCGTAGTCCCGGATGTCCTCATCAGGGTTGAAATTTCCCTCGTCTTGCTCCATTGCGTTCTCTTGGTCAAGCTCTTTGATTCCAGCAGCGAAATCTAGCTGAATTGCACCCTTAGAATATTGGTTGCGGCCGGCGATGCAGATTGCGCTCATCTTGGCTTTGACATCAGCACGTTTTTCCTTAAGTTGGCGTATATCTTGCCTTGCAGCTTTGATTTTTTCGTCCATCCCTTTTCTCTGGGTCCGAGCATTCTTTTTACTATCCTTTAGCTCGTTGATCTTATCATGGACTTGCTCCTCAGTGAGAGGAGTGCAGTCTGTACGGTTCTCATCGTCGGACTGCTCTCTATTGGAGTCGCCGGAACCGCTCCTGACTTCGAAGTCGTCGTCGGCAGAATCCGGTGTCCGATCTCGTCTTTTTTGAGACTTGGCCGGAGAAGAATTCCGCTTTCGCTTGCCTTTACTCTTCGGTGGATAAACTGTGCGGCCGTCTTGAACGTCGTCTTCAATTGTTCCCCAGGTTTCCAGCTCGTCGTCCATTTCCTCAATTATATCTGTGTATATTTGCTTGGATTCTTGGAACTCGGTTATCTTCTCTTCTAGATCCTTGACTTGATGATTCAGTGACCGCTCTTCCTGGTCAAAGTCAGATACTTCCTCATCCAAACCAAGACTGTCGGCGGCTTCAGTAATCGAGATATCATCTGTTTTGCTACAAATGAACGTGATGTTGGAGTATGTCCCGTCGTACTTTAATTGACGTTTAAAGGAATCCCCCAGGAGAGATTTGGCTGCTTTATCATCAACCGCGCGGTTGATGGGGGCAACGATCCAAAGTCCAGTACATTGTTTCATGTACCCTTGGGCGACGGCTGATCTGGCCGCGTTGGAGTCGTGCACACCAGGAAGGTCCACAATCACAGCCCCAGTTGACAACGCAGGAGACTTGGTGTAGATCTTCACCACCTTGATCAACGGCCAGAACTCCATGGTTTTCTTTTCCTTTTTTTTCTCAGCATACTTGCCGGCGACCTTCGTATCCTTCTCTTTGCTATCAACGTAATGCTGAAGTTGGCTGTAAAATCTATCAGGCTGCGATTCGAAGATCTTTCGAGTTTTTCCAAGCACGTTCATGACCGACTTGTCCCTCAAAAGTGACTCGACCGTGCTGCCAGCCAGCATATCCTTAGTCTTCTGAGGAAATACAGCTTTGAATTTAGCCCAAGCCACTCCAGCCTCACTATCTGGATCAGTGCAATCTCTGGAGACTTCGCCGTCAGGACCAAGAAGATCTTTGAGCAACACGCTCATCTCTTTCTCCCAGTCTGCCTTGCTAATGAACTCGATTTCGGCAGAATACTTCTTGCGTTCGTCCTTGCTATCATTCCACGACATTTCTGTTACAACTGCAGTACATGCGCGCATGCAGTTGGTGGGGACGAGTCGCTCCTCATCAAGCATCGCGTTAATAACGCTACTCTTTCCAGCACCGGTGTTGCCTACGACACCTACGACGGTGCGTTGTCGTATCGCGAGCTTGCGAACGCTATCGATCGACGCAACCCATTGCTGCGCATCGGGAATGGCTCCGAAGTTGGCCGAGAACGTCTCTTGAAGATTGTTCAGCAAAACCAGGGCTTTACGTACTCCCATTTCCAAAATATCCGGAGACGCGTCGTCCATTAATCGTTGAAGATGCTCCGTCGAAGGCGTTGGCGCTGGCTCTAGCTCTGGCGACTCATCCTTCGTCTGAGCGGCTTCGGCCATAATGGAATCACCATCAGCTTCGATACTAGATATACCGGGTGGAGGATCCTCTTGCTCATTCTTGATCTGGGGCTTCGTGTTCTGTGGTGATTTAAATCTTGTAGCCCTAGCCCCCATATCCGGCGTGGAGCTCCGAACGGCCTGAGGGGCAGTGGCCTCACGGAGACCCTCCTGAACTGAAGTTGGGCCAGTGGACTCTGGAGGACTATCAGCCATGTTCTCATCTCTAGTCGCATTGTTTGCAGTAGTCGTGCTGTCGGGCACGACTGACAACGGCTGGGGTGCCTTCGCGTTACTAGGGGTTATTGACCGGAGTTGCGATTCCGCTGTCAATTGTCGGTTGACAGGCTGCAGAGCGGGTCGAGGTGCTTCAAATCTCAGCACAGCGCGAAAGATGACGATGTTATCACCATAGCTGTTCAGGTCGGCAAGTTGGGCACTGTCCGCAGGCGCCTTGCCGTCCAGTTCCAAAGATATCTCGTCGGGGAATCGCTTCTCGTATTCCGAATTGAGTATCTGCACGGTAATTCTCTGTCGCAACATGTTAGCTAGACCTTACTGGGGTTGGGGCAGGCTACAAACCCCATGTGCTTTGATCCAGAGGAAATCGCCTTCAGTCGATGGTTCCGCGTCGGCAAGGTCATGCTTCAGGATACCAACCCAGTACCGCTTTTTTGCGATCTCCTGGTCAGGCTTGAGGGTTTTCGCCTTCTCATGAAATGCGCGATAGTCCATGCTGAGCACAGCGGTACGCGCAGAACCGCCGGCCAGACGAGAAGGAGTCGGCTTCGACAACAGGTAGATGGAGCGCGCGCGTCGGGGTGGCGCAATTGGCTCCAGTGAGGAAGTCCTATTGATGGAGTAGCATAGAAGTTTACGTATACTCAGGTTGGGTCCTCATAGACGCAGGGTTGGTTAATGATCGTTGTGAAGGCTGTGGGTGAAGTCGCGTGCAAGTGAGCAGGTCAAGTCACCAGAAGATCCGTGGAGCGCGATTACGGTTAGTGCGGTCCCGAGGTCACGGGTGCACGTGCAGTAGCGCACTATAAGTGGTATGAAAAACATTGGTACTTCAAGTGGATACTGCCCTCTTCCTCGTCACAAAGATTCAAATAGTGTTCCGTAGAAGAATGCCCAGGTATTTATCAGCTTCTTCAAGCCTCCAGATGACTGCTTCAATGTTAACAGAAAGGCATGTTTGCAGCCGGTCACAAGGATATTCTGCAATAAAATTGCGCTGGGCACAGGGTTGACTATAGAAAACGTTCATCCAAATCTGAACTGAAGGATTTGTGACTATCACTCCATGTACCACAGAAAGACCTCCCTAGAACAACATGGTGCGTCTATTTGATGTGACGGAAAAACTGATCTATCACTCCGTAGAGTTCCCGGCACAATTGGATAGGTATGCTCTGCCCTCATCTTTGGTGCATGTCAGCTGCGGAGCTTACAGTACTAGGCCATGCCTCCATCTAAACGAATCTGTCATTGCTTAGATGCATTCTCAATCGACACGCACCACAATCTGAACCGGACCAGCTAAGACACTGGCGGTTGGCGCGCTTCCAAGAGTCGGCTCATATCACGCGTTGGTAAAACTTACCTCCGGCCTAGATCTTCGGTACTACGCCCATGCCCCAAGCAGTGTTGACCAGGCATACACAGAGGTAAGGCCATGAGGCACTGCTTTCTACCTTCCTATCGAACTACCGTAAGCTGTCAGCCATAGCCAGCACGCACCGTTGGTGTTTGGCCGTGACTTTGTTAAAGTTAACAATGCCTTTGTCCAATCTCTCCGCAGCCTTTATCATCGCCATATATCCAGATTGTCTTTGTTCTCAGAGTCCGCCTTTAAGATGGGTATCGTACACAAAGCTATTGTTGGGCCATGGTCGTTTGATTATGTCTTTGTCATCGAGCCTACACTCAACATGTAAAATGCGTTCTATAGTCTGGGAGGCGATAAGTATAGCTGGTTAGCACGGAAAGGAAATTCCTACCTCTAACTCGACTTACTGAGCTTGATTCTACTCGGTTTGCCAACTACCATGGGCATATCCGCTCGAGCAGACGAGGATGCTGCAGCACGAACACCACAGAAGCTCATCGCGTATGCCAACTCCAATGATCGCTACCGTCTCTTCAATGATGTGTCTGTACCCTTCCCAGATCTAGAGGATAACATACATCCAGTCTTTCGACGATCAAACTTTCGCAATGTGGGATTCTCTCTCTACCAGAAAATCCGGCCCAGCCTTCGATTGGCGTCGTTGTTTCTTGAATCCGAAGCAATGCTTGGATGGTTTATCCGTCCAGCCTTCGGAACGCCGATTCCAGCGTCACAATCGCGAAAGGTTTTCTTGACAGAACCCAAGCGTTCCCGACAGCGAACGGCAGAAATGATTCGCGAAATCCGCTCCTTACTAATAGGTTTGTCGTACAGTGTCGAATTTCACTTTGTCGAGGAGTTGAAATGCTTTGCTCTCACGTGTAAAGACACCAGCAAGGAGACATCGTACCTTGCTAAATTCTGGAGTCCAGTCTTCACGTCGGCCCACCCTACAACCATAAAACTCCGCGACACCAATAGGGAGTTTATTGAATACGACTATTCTTCCAGCAGCCTTTGCGACAGATTACGCTTTGACTTCATGTTCGCGACTACGATCCTTCACGAGTTGACGCATGCATTCGGTATTATGATTCGAGGTAACTTGAGAGAACCGTACTACGACTTGACTGATCCCCAAGCAGAGTTCGGATGGTCATGGGAACGCTTCGCTTTAACAGGTATCATCAACCCTTTCGATCGGACATCAGCTCGAGTATCCTTCTTGATGTGGAAGGTATGGCTCGACGACGACGAAGCGTACGCTAACGGGGGAAAGGAGTGGACTGCAGTGCCAGTTCAATGGGTCAGTCAATGGTTCCAAAAGTCCACTTGGGATGCGATCGCAGAGTACGGACCTGAAGCAGTCGCGCCGCCTTCTTGCGACCTGAAACTACACTGCACACGCGATGGACTCTATACAGTGCTTTCAGACAACGAGGAGGTCCTGAGGGACGTTCTCGAGCTGAAGTCGGAAGCATTGGCCGCTCATCGGTCGACATTGCCTGGAACGAAACCGTCTTCTCTGATGAGCGTGAGAACCATCAAAACAAACAACAAAACTCATCCGACCTTTGCGCAGGAGACAATCGCAAGGAGATTGGTGAGTGTCTCATCTCGAGCCTCTCGCGCTCTTGATCAAGCTGGTCTAACTTTGGGCGCCATGCCTCCACTCCTGCATGGGACTGCACTCAAACGTCGACGAGAAGGGAGTGCCGGCGACGCCGATAGTGACGATGGGGTAAACTCACCTCATTCGCGATGGAAAAGACCCAGAGTCTGATTATGGCATCAGGTGCATGAAACCACCGTGTCACAGTCCACCAATAACCCCCAACGACATATGCCACCATCTAAGAATAACCACGAGTATCCACGGCAAGACGCTGCTGGCAACAGCACGAGATCGAAAAGAAGCATACGTCCGACTGGCTCGGTGGGACTCGTGCACTATTTGATGTACACTTTTTTGCTATTTTGATCTTCTCGCATTCATGACACCCATTGTAGCAGAGGTAGGTTTGTGTGCGACTCATGCCGCTGAACACTCCCTTCTAGATCTGATCACTATCGATTACTCCTCAAGCTAGCACGACCGCTTTCGGCAGAGAAGATTTCTCATCATCGCTCTAACGCCTCGGATTCTTGGCTAGTGGCTAGCATTGCTTCCCGTGAAGCGTATTCTGAGCCGCTCATCACAGAGTACCACACTCTCAGAAGTAAGATTTTTCTTACATAGCCATCCGGAGTATTAATTGCCATGTTAGGCTTCGATCATGATGACTATAGAAAACGCTCACCTCCGTCTCACTCACCCCATACCTCGCACAACTATCAATAACCCATTCCGGTCCAAACTTACAGGCCATCTCATGCTTACTCCTTCCCCACGCGCGGCTTTGTAATACCTCAATCATCCCGACCCATGCAAGTCTTTGCCCGTGTCCGCTTGCCTCGCATCAGCATCAAATCTCCACCCCCCAAAAAGGCAGCGCCCGTTCCCCAAGAAGCGAGAGACACAATCATCATAATCGGCGGCACAGGCAACCAACCCCACATTCGGCAATCTTGCTCTTCTAGCCCAAAAGGGCAAGTTAATAGATGCAAGGCTGGGCCGGCTGTCGGGCCCTGCACTGCTCACTCGTGTTGCCAGGCATCAATCTGGGGCCGAGAGATCGGTTGCACGTCTGCACTATTCCCAGCCTCGTGGATGTACGTGGGTAGGGTATACGACTCCCCAGCATCTAAAGATACGCACAAGCAGCATTTCCCTAAAGAGATCGACTGGAAACCTTGCCCCTTGGGGTAATGACGATCGATTTGGAGTGAGGCGTGGACTGCGAGAGAAGGCACCGCCAGTTCGCCGGGACAAACGAAACTCACGCGACTGGCTATCTTTGTAGCGAAGTTAATAAACACTCTGTTTCTTTTCATAGTTCTTCGATAGTCGTAATCGTACTACATACTTCTCGTGCTGCAAAGTTGCTTCCCACACATCACCACCGCGCCCAACCCATAGCATCTAGACAAGCAATTCCATATTCCAAATAGCAAATATCCATTATCTGATAACCATTTAAACAACCCCTCCAATGCAAGCCCGCTCAACTGGTAGCAATCCCGACCCCAAAAATCCGACGATCTTAGTCGAATCCCGTTTCCCCGCCCAACTCACAAACTAAAATCTATAAATACAACCCCAAGCCAACGAGCGTGTCGTCACCCACAGAAAAAAAAAACAGACCACCCGGAAGCCGTTCCCGTCCCGCACCGCATGCATCCTTTGCCCAACTCTGCTATCTTTGAACGGGTTGCTGGCACATGTACGCCGCGCGCAACACACTTTATTCGAGAAGGCATAGTTTCCGATGACCTAGTCACTCCCCCGATTTTCTGCATTCGCATGCAAGCTATTCCCCATTTGCGTCTAGAAGGGCTCTCTGAGAGACGCCTTGCTGAGTTATTCCCGGGTCCGCTCCTCCCATGCGTCTGTACGCTTGCTGGACGAACATCTGGACCCGCGCAGTATCCCCGCGCAGAACCTAACATAGTCCCCCCCCACATGTACTACTCGTCCACGGCTTCTAACTGCATTGCTCGCAGCACTCGGCCGAGCCGTGTGGGTCGCGTATGCATGTCAGACTCGAGCTGCTCGGGATGGCGACATCCAGATGTTGCTTGTGTCCCCAGTGGCCTCTCTCGTCCGCCTCGCTGCTTTTGGTAGTGGAGATGCTAATTTGGAATACGGCGTCGGAGATTAGGAAGAGGCTCATCTCGTGTTGCAAGAGAGGCCTTTCACACGGTGACGAGGAAAACGTAGGTTTGGAAAGTGAGGACGAGATAGGGATGAATAGATGGATGGATGAATAGACCGAAACGACCGTTGTGGCGCGGTGGACCTTAGATATATACAGTTTCCATCTGCTAGATATACTCAAATTCGAACTAAAACATCTTAATCGTCTTTCTTCTTTCAAACGAGGGTATCAATAATGCGTGCTCTAGAACTCATACGCTCAGAAAACTCGTAAACCAGAGACAGAAACCCATCTTTATTGAAAATCCGTGGAGACCTCAACCTAGGTGATAAAACACTGGGAGATCTAGAAAAGAAAACACAAGTATGACTCCTGGCTCTTGCTAGTGACCTCCATGGCGGCATCGTCACCGCCTCCCCCTACTCCTCCAGCTCCGTTCCAACTCAGCAGCCCGCCGCGCCGCCTCAGCTCTCCGTGACTCGTGCATCTCTGCCTGGCTCTGTGCGTAGTTTGGCAGCTCGTCGTCGTCGTGGTTGTCCTCATCGCCCGACAATCGCTCCAGCTCGTCTGCAATGCGCTGGGACTGCGAGCTGTACCCATAGGAGCCGGACGTCTGATGCTGCGCAGGATATTGCGGCTGCGCGCGCGAATACGAGTGCGGTTGGCTGTGCGGACTTGAGAGGTCCAGAACGGGCGCGGACACGGGAGCTGGATTGAGAGTTTGGCTGGTGCGGATGAAGAGCGAGGGCGTGGCACCGGGTGGAGACAGCGGACTTTGCATGTCGAGAAATCCGGGTGGTAGACCGCTCGTTGCTTCGACAAAGAGCCGGTACTGGGCGGCGTCTGCAAGTGCTTCGGGCTCCTGGTACTGCATGCTTGATGAGGGAGCGGTAGTGGCCACAGGAGTATCAAACTGCGTCTCTGGGAAAGTCCGGCGCGCTCGTACAGGCTGCGGCTCGAAGCTGGGCTCGTAGGATGAATGGCGGTAGGACTGTGGTGCGCGGTCCTGGGGAGAGGTGGGCGAGACCACATGGGCTGACACGGAGCGGGTGAAGAGCGACGAAGGGGCGTCCATAGGAGAGGGCGGCATGCTGCGGGCTGACAATGAAGGCACAGTGAGAGCTGGCGTGGACTGTGCGGGCTGATAGTACGAGTAGGGCGTGAGTCCGCCCTGTTGCGTGGACGGCCGAGAAGGGAAATAGGAGTTGGAGTCTGGCATCGGGGGCTGCTGTGGTCTCGGGGCATCGGACTCTGGCTTCCGGCGGATAAGAGAGCGCAGACTGGAAGGCATCCGCTGCTTTTTGTCTGAGGTGGGCGAGGCTGGGGGCTGGGAGAAATACTGCTGTGCGGGAGAGGTCCTCTGCGCGTTCGCCAGATTGGGGGTGGGATTCGCCGTCGTCGAGGTCTGGTAGGCAGACTGCTCGTCTGAGGGCCACGGCGAGTGCTGGCCCACAGGCCGGCGGTGAATGTTGCTCGCCATGCACGGCGGGTCAATCTGGAGCAGCAGGAGAGACGACTTGAGCAGCTGGAGGGAAGTATACGAGATATAGTCGGGGCGGGCGATCGACGGAGGGGTGTCCGACTGGCTGCAGGGTAGCATTGTTCTGCAGGCCGGGGTGTCGATCAGGTGGGATATTTTAGAGGCGTGGTGGTGCGGCCCTCTGCGTCGCGCGTGCGGTGTGGTGAATAGATGTCCCGAGATGGCTGCTTAGGTGGTGCCAAGCGGTTGTGGAGGCGAATGCAATGGAGCTGCACGACTGGATGCGGCAGAGATGGCAGAATTGGGAGAATTTCGTCGGCTAGCTGAGCATGCTCACAGCAGCTGGGACCAGAGCCCATTATGTGTTGCGACGCTGGCCCGTGGATGCCTCGCCCAGGGCCTCCTGAAGGATCGCTGGGGCTTCATCGCCCAGCGGAGATTGAGGCAAGACAGTGCTTCGAGCGCTGGCCCTGATCTGGCAGGCCTCAGGATCTGCTGCGGCGGATCAGTTGGATGATGCCCAGACGCGAGGGGAAGACGCTCTGCCTCCGCCGTGGGCACGACCTGCGGCGCGATGCGGCTCATGCCCGTCTCAGCCCGCCCGGTGAGCAGTCTGCGCGGTGGTTTGGGCACCTGGGGGGCACGCGGGTGGCGTCAGCGGGCGACTGAGGCCTTCTGCAGCGGAAAGAGCCTGTCGTTCGGGCGACAGATGCCGGCGCTGGCGTGAAGTTGGTGAGAGACGGGCTATCACGAAGGGTTTGCACAGCCTCACCCGCCAAAAATAGCCAGCCAGCCAAGCGTCGTATTTCTGGAGCCGAGGCCTGCTCGCCCTCCCTCAGTGCATCAGTCCCGCATCGAACCTCCCTGCCGCAGGAGCTTCGAATCCTCGCCTCTCCACCCAAGAGATGCATGTTCGCCGCCGCCTCCATCCTCAATCCATTCCAGGCGGCATCGCGACGCCAGACGCGGGGACTTCGCGACGTCGGGTGTCGTTGCGCTGAACCGGGCAAAGTCTTGCGTTGAATCCTGAGGCACGGAGCCCCTGTGGAGCAGCCTCCTTCACCCTTCACCAGGCTCGGGCACATCGTGGTGCTATCTTCAGCCTCGCCCAAGCCTGTCATGCTTTTGGGCGCCTCAATAGACTTCGTCGCTTGCACACCGCTTGAGTGCTCGCCTGAGTCTTCGCCGGTGTATTTTAGACCACTTCGCAGCCGCTTTATATAGCATGGCATCTGCCTATAAGCATCTCTAATAGTCACAGCTACCAACACCCATCTCGCATCAGACCAGAGTGGCGATCCTTTCCATCGTGCCAATCCGGAACAGCGGCACGTGAGCGGGCACCACGTCAACGTTTCGCCTTTCTCTCCGCACGGCTGCGACGACACTGTGGACTGATGGGCATCCACCTTCTGCTTCGGGTAACCTTCTGGAAAGAGGCGAAACCGGGGACCATCGCGTGGTGCCTTTGTCTCTTGCATATGACGGAATTCTACATCCCACTAGTACTTACTACTTCATGGCTATGCAAAAGATGGCCAAATCTTCCATGGCCCGAGATGTAGATCGTTCGCTGTGTATCGTTGCCGATACGCCGACTCCAAGGTTCATTAAAGTCTTAGACATTATGTAGTAGCACGACCAATACATTAGCCTTCAATACATTCCAAAAGTCTACAGGATTCTGCATACCCTTGTTCGTACCTCCAGACTCGGGAATAACTGTACCACCTCACAGCCTCACCCTATAGTCCAGCCTCGCATTCACTCACCATCTTCCATACCAAACCCTAATCTCACTTGGAGCAAAATAACTTCCTCCCCAAGGAGACATGCATTTGTGACTCCACATTTGGGCGTCTTACAAGGTTGACAAATAATGTGATCCTCTAGGCCGCCAATCCGAAAGTGTGATCGCTGAAGCCAACGTCTCTCTCGACCGAAACGGGACAAGCTTCAAAGGTACAAGAATGTACGGATCCTTCGGGTATTTAGCTCCTTGTCGGAACGTGGGGCCAAGTTGGTGATCGCGACTTGGGGGTATAATCCTTCGTGGTTCAGGAAGTCAAACTTTACCGAAACCGAAATGAGGACCAGAACGTACGAGGAACAGCTCCGCCGCGTGGGCCCACATTCTCTCAAGTCTTTTCATCCAACCCAAGACTCCCAAAGCATTCGCCATGCATGTAATTGAACATATGTAAGAACGGACATCTTCGATGTACGCTCTCAGCCCCGCAATCCAACATTCTCGGCTGCAACAGGAAATTGCCCTATCATATTCTTAGATGCATATAATCTATACAGTATGTCCTGCTCTTTCTTGATCAATCTCTACGCTTTGTTGGCGAAGTCAGAGAGATCCTACATACTCGGCCTCTTTGTTCTTCGGAGCTTGTAGGTATCTCACTTAGACTTTTGCTCCAACCCTAACGCTACTCCATCAGCTCTCTATACGAACCTCGAGCAAGGACACTAGACTTCAGATTTGCCAATCTGCATTACAAGTGCTCGCCGCTATCAACATGCACCAGCCAACTCTCACAAATTTGGACACATTCTTGACACCTCGAAATCGCAATCAACCCTTCTCAAGAGTGCTGTTGACACTTGCAAAAGGCAAGTAACTCGTTAGTACGAACTAGCAGCTCTACACTCCGTGTTTCCGTATTATTCGCGTATCATGCAGCTTTCAATTCTACCTACCACTCCGGTCGACTAGCTGAGCCACCTAGACGGCGCCGATAGGACGTCGAAAATCAACATTCATCTCCCGCTCTCTCGAACCCGACACGAGCATTACCTCGTCCACTTCTAGCCCCTATTCTTAGAGTACACCAGTTTAATTCTAGACATACACGATTACAAGATTCAAGTTTTATTTCTCGAGATGTGGATCATTCTCTGACTGTTTTAGGCCAGCCACTTCACCTAGTTAGGCCCCCACCCCCTCAACTCCTCATCCTCGTTAAGTCGCCATGCGAATCTCGGACCAGCGTAAGACCAAGGCACTCGTATAAGACGTGACGCTAGAGTTTCTTAGAGCTGTCGCAGTAACTCGAAACGTAAGGTCGTCTGGAGTCGAGCACCCTCGTCATGACGGCTGCGATGCTACTCATAAGGCTGCAGGGAAATAAGTGTTGCAGCAAAGGAGTGGCTTTTGCGGTTTGAGTATCCCGAAACCCGGGGCATAAGAATACTGCATTTTTGACCCGTTGATCGGATGCATAGTTGAGACTCTGCGATACTAATTAGAAGCCTGTCGTTCAAGCACACTTCGATCTATCCACCGCCGACCTAGTGCCAGGTCCCAAGTACTCAAGTTGAAATAGTTGCCAATAAGAGAAGTTCATCCAGCTAGTCTATGCCTCCTAGAGCTAGTATTTCATCGGCCCGACCCCGAGCGTCCAGCAAGCGATGTCGGGTCGCTGCCACATTTGTTTGCTATTCACAAGACCATCACAAGGCGTTCGGAAACTTCCACTGATTTAGGCCACCCTCAATGCAGGGCAATTTGCATGCTTACGCATGTCCTGAATCCTTCGTATTCCTAGCGCTTCGAGCCCTCTGCAGCTGTGCCCCGCCGGGCATGTTAAATCCGGGTTCCCCGCTGTCAAATGCACCAGGTGCACCCTCTCCTACCTACTCCGCAGGCTGAATTCAACAATCTACTTGGGTCGTTATCTGCGCATTTCTAAGCTTCAAACCCAGAGTTCTAGAGTGGGTTGCCCGGCCTTGTCTTCTTGAAAGTCATCCCGGCAACTTTCTTGTATCTGCTCGTTGTTTCTCCTCTCAATTGCTCAAAGCGTACTGCGTTGATCCCTACACTCCAAGAGGTATGCCTGGGCCAAAGAGACACATCGAGACTCGTCTTCTCATCAACGGGGAGGTAATGCACTCTTGTGAACCTGCTATATCAGATCTTGCTGATTCTGACTTGCAACGTAGCTTGTCGAGTCCGAGAAGACGTTTGACTTGATCAACCCCGCCACTCTAGAGCCGGTTGCCAAAGGTTCGTTGTGTTTCCCTAGGGAGCCAGTATTACAAGCATCCAAAAAGAACTATAATAACAGAATCATCTAGTCTACGAAGCCTCAGAAGCAGACACAAACGCCGCCGTTGCGGCCGCCAAGGCCTCCTTCCCAGCCTGGTCCGCCCTCAGCGTCGAGCAGCGAGCTGTCCCCCTGAAGAAACTGGCTCAGCTGATCCGCGAGAACCATGACGAACTCGCAAGCCTCGAAGCCATGTCTATGGGCCGGCCCGTAACCCATTTCTTCGACGCCATGGAGGCAGCATCCCGGATCGAGCACTACGCCGAAGCCGGGTACGAAGTGCAGGGCACGACAAGCATTCAAACCCCTGGATACGTCAACATGACCTTCAGACAGCCCTATGGCGTAGTAGCAGCCATCATCCCCTGGAACTATCCCCTTTTGTTCTTGGCTGGCAAGTTGGCCCCCGCGTTGATCACGGGAAACACAGTTGTGTTGAAGAGCAGTGAGAAAGCCCCTTTGACCGTAAGCATACAATTATCACTCTCGTTCCCTCATAATTATCTATACAAGAAAATCGCAACTAAAAACTCTCCCAGTCCGCCAAAATCGCCACCCTCGTCCTCGAGGCCGGCTTCCCCCGGGGCGTCTTCAACATCATCACAGGCTTCGGCAACATCTCCGGCTCCATCCTTTCCCACCACATGGACGTGCGCGCCCTCACCTTCACCGGCTCCGGGCGCACCGGCCGCCTCATCCAAGTCGCCGCGACGAAATCAAACCTTAAGCACGTGCTGCTCGAGCTCGGCGGCAAATCGCCCGCCATCGTCTTCGCCGACGCCGACCTCGACGACGCCGTCGCCGCGACGGTGCAGAGCATGAAGCAGAACAGCGGCCAGGTCTGCATGGCGAACAGCCGCATCTACGTGCAAGACAGCATCGCCGAGAAGTTCATGGCGGCGTACCAGAAGACGTTTGCGCTGGTCACGATGGGGGATACGCTTGACCCCGCGACGAACCACGGCCCGCAGGCGGACGCGGTGCAGCACGAGACTGTGCTGCGGTATATCGAGGACGGGAAGAAGGTTGGGAAACTAGTCGTGGGTGGCGAGGCGGCGACGGAGCATGATGGGTTCTTTATCCGCCCGACTATCTTCACTGAGGCGCCTGAGGACTCGAACATCATGAAAGAGGAGATTTTCGGTCCGGTGGTTAACATCAATACCTTTGAGACGGAGGAGGAGGTCTTGGCGAAGGCGAATGATACCGAGTTCGGGCTGTATGCGAGCGTGTTTACGAAGGATATTGATCGGGCGATGCGGTTTGCCAAGGGGCTGGAGAGTGGCGTTGTAGGTATAAACTGCACGAGCCCGACGCACATGAAAGATGGGCCGTTTGGTGGGTATAAGAGCTCTGGCAGCGGGAGGGAGGGTTATAGGTATTCGATGGAGAATTTCTTGGAGACGAAGGCTGTGTGTATCAAGCTCGGCGGGTCGGCTGGTTTGTAAATCGTTCTCAATGATAGAAGGAACGCAATTGGAACTTCACATGATGATATCCATGACTCCAAGGCCGCACAGCACCTCTCAAGAGCGGTGCGAGTAAAATGGCGAATGGACTTATGGGAGCTTGGCTTTGCAGGGGCGTGGATACTTGGTAAACTTCTAGTCCTCATTAAGACATTCTCATGCACGAAGACTTCCTCGGAATTCGAGTCGCCTACCCCGGCTGCATCTTTTGACTTCAGTTGGTCGGATCGCGAATTTTTCAGCCTTGCGAATTAATTTCAGGTGAACACCGACATACATAAGCATGCTGGCGCCAGAACACGTCAGTCTTAAGCCTTCCCCCCTCTTTCTTCTTAATTTTCTTCTCTTACACGACAATATATCAACCCAGCCAGAGCATTTTGCTTCGAGCCTATATCTCCTCCCGCCAGATACAGCATTCAACTTTCAGCGTTCGTTGAAATGGGCCGAACGCAGCGCTCAGCCTCGTGGGCTCTTCTCGTCTTTTTGAACCTGGTAACGACTACATAATGCTCCAATACCACATACAACAACGAAACCTCTTCGCACTCACGCAAGACTGGATGGCGAGACGGCCCCAACGAGCGAGGCACAATGACACTAGTTTGGACTTGTCTGACGACAATCATCGCCTGCACTTGGACCATACTTCATCTCAACGTGCCCCATCCGACCGAAAGCACGTGGACTATCATACGACGCAAAGCGAAATGGATGATTGCCACTATTCTGTTCCCGGAGTTCATCTTCTCGAAAGCAATATGCGAGCTTCATATGGCCATTGATGATCTACATGGCATGAAAGAGAAGGAAGACATACTCAAGAGTCTGAAGGGTGACAGAGAGACTGGTTGGACTGTTAAGTATGGACGTGGAGCACAGCTGTTACATTACATGTTCCGAGTATTTGGTCAGGAACCTGTCCGACATTTACCGAAGAACAAACCGGCCACTCGCGATGCAATAGAAATCAAAGAACCAACACCTCCGGCGGTCTCGACCAGCGGTCCTGCTCGTTATACCACTTTCGCCGACTATTCCGAGGCGGCTCGCACATGGACACTCACTCATTCCTATTTTGCTAGTACGTAAATCCGAGGTTCAAGTTTACAATCTGCTGCAGGTGTGCCTTCTGTCTTGGGATATCACCCTGGCAGTGGTTCAGTGACCTTATTTTATAGACACGCTCTATATCTCTAATCTTATGAACACACGCTAATGCTGGAGTTCTGAACTCAGATATGGGAGGCTTGCTCCATGTTGGCCCGCTCCATGATGGCCCTTCCCCTTCCGCTCCATATTTCGGGTTCATCACAAGACATAGGCTCGACCCCATCACAACACTCAGGTTGCAGCACTACAACCTAGGATCAACAACTCATATGCCAGAAAGCTACTCTCCGAACATCAGCTGTAGAGAACCCAGCTGAAATCTCAGCTGTGCAGGGCTCATCTGAACTTACTAGCGCGCCACCCTGGGGGTGGCCCCCTTCCTTCCCCTAGTATATATACAACTAGCTAGACGTCTATAGAAATCAGAGTTCACATCAATTTCAACCTGAGTACAACACATGGGCTGTTGAATTGCTGTATCAACAAAAAGCACAGTGTCTTTAGTCACCTTGCGCTAAGTAAGAATGATATCAAAGACAAATCAAAGGCCGACTGGTTCTCGAAGTCCATTGCTATCCTTCAAATATCCTGGCTAGTCGTGTCTGTGATCACGAGGACCGCACGCAATTTGCCATCTAGTCAGCTCGAAATTTGCACAGTTGCATTTGCTGTTCTGGCTGCAGCGACATATGCGGCAAACTGGTCAAAGCCAAAGGACGTAGGGTCTGCGGTACCATTTGAGCTATCAGAACAGAACAAGGACACTTGCGAGCTAGTCGATAATACTGGCCACTATGGCCGTTCTTTTTTTCAGCGGTTACTCAGGCCCACAGCGTATGATCGGACAGAATTTAATCCGTGGAAAGGTAGGATTAGAAATGACGCAGTAAGAGCACATCAGCTTGAGTCACAAATACCTGAGATGGCAGTCTGGATCGCAATCTCGACATCGCTATTTGGGGGATTACATTGCTCAGCCTGGTGGTCTAATTTCCCTACTACAGTCGAAAAAATTATGTGGAAGCTAGCTAGTATTTTGTCCGCGACCATTCCCCTGATCAGTCTCTGGGCAAATATCGTAGCCGTTAGTGTACTCAATCACTACGTGCGGCAAGCTCAGCTCCTATTATCTCAAGAACGGGATAGACTATACAATTGAGTCCATGGTACTCGTGACTCTAGAGAAAAAATCTTAACGCCTGCATGTGGCGATATCTACGCCGCCAGTGAGCATCCTCCGGAGAAGGTACGTAGTTTCGATGCTCTCAGATCAGAACCTCTCTAATCCTGATAGCACGACTTATATATACTGTTCGAGAATCTTAAAGAATGTCCCGAGGCTTTGAGAAGTTTCACAAATGCGGACAATTACAAGATACCGTGGTTGCGAGCATTTTTCACTCCTCTCCTAGAAGCAGAACGACTTTATGAGCAGTTGAAGAAACGAGATCCATTCTTCCGCCTGGTTACTAAGTCCGACGCTGTAAAGTTCTACTCCGACATCGAGATGCCTGAGACTGCCATGAGGTCTGGGATGGAGGCAAGCATTACAGGCTCAGATATACCTGAATGCAATATCCAACCACGGGACCAGAATCTCATGATAAAACCTCATGGAATCACGCGTAGCTAGAGAGATCGAAGATAAGCTGAACCATAGGGCTGCATTCCCCTATAGAGCGTCTGGTTTCTTTACGATCTCCGGCGGCATCATATACGGCATCACCCGGATCACCATCCTGGCACTCGCGTTCGCAGCCCTGAGACAACAGGACGAAAGGGTCTACATCGAAACTTAGACGAAGTATCTACCGAATATCAGCTAATGTACACTTGGCAAGCAGGAAGGAGAGCAGATGGGACTAGGGACAGATCTTTGGACTATTTTGTTTCTCTTTAGCAGCTCAGATAATCCCACAAGAGCATTTGCTAAATCTTACCCCTTGTCTTCGTCTATAGTGAGGGCTTACAACGAGCACGCACACCGGGCCTTCTCATTAGCCAAGCTGTGAGCAGTGCCCTCAATAGCAAGACCCGAAAGACCGAATAGAGCATGGACCCCACGCTGCGGAGCTGTTTCTCGTGCATTCCGATTTTCATTTCGGTTTCTGTAAAGCTCGACTTCCTGTGATTTTCCTAGCGGCCGTTCAATAACAACCTTACTTTCCTCGTAGATAGCGAGCATGACTGGATAATCGATCTCGCGTTCCTTGTTCGAAAGCAAAAACTCCGAATCATACCTGAATGCTGCAGTGGCACAAGCATTTAATCCATATGGGCAAGAGGCGTTGTTGACTGCTGATGAATTGACTCCAAGACTTTTGATACCGAGACTCTATTCTTACTGCTACACGACCTCCATGAATTTCCCACCATGAACGCCACCCTAACCATCAGAATGCCTCAACCCTACCCCTTCCTCCCCACACTCCTCCAAACCGCCTCCTCCGCCCCCTTCAACGCCTCGCCCGCCCTGCCCAACGCCCCCCAAACCGCCGCTCCCACGCCCCCTTCCTCCGCCTCCCGCGCCCTCGCATCCTCCAAACTCCGCCTCTGCGCCGCACTCCCATCCGCCGACGCATACGGATCCTGCACATACCCCGGAGGGTGCTCCAAACTGCGCCTCGTCTGCTCCGCCGGCTGCTGGGACTGGCCCGTCTGCTCCGGCTGATACGCACTCCCCGCCGGCCCCATGCCCAGCGTCGTCGGCCCAGCCCTCTGCTCCCGCGCACTCGTCGTATCCGTGCCCCTGCTCGCGCGCGAGCCCGTCGTCGGCGCGGCGTAGCCGTACGCCGCCGGCGTTGGGACTTGCTGCTGGTGCGTCGCCGTGCTCGTCACCGTCGCCTCGACGCTTCGGGGGACGTTGATGCCCGGCGCGGGCTGCGGCGGCGCGGGGGCGTGGGCGTGGCCTGTTTGTTGTGCCGTGGCGGTGGGAGGGAGCGGACGCGCGCCTGGTTGCGGCGGGGGAGGGGCGGAGGCGTCTGCGGTTGTGGTGGCGGGGACGGAGGCCGGGGTGGTGCGGGTGGGAGGAGGGTTGGCGGTGCGGGGCGTGATGCCGTCGGCCTTTGCTGCGGTGGTAGAAGAAGTTGAGGCGGAGGAGGCGTCGTTGATGGGGTCGTTTGCGTGGATGGGGATGGGTGGGATTGGAGGCATGGTGGGCAGATTTGTATAGATTTTGTGGTAGTTCGGCGATTGAGGTTGAAGCAATACTTCGTGGGTAATGGAGGGTTTACGGGATTGGAGTGGTGGGGTAAAAAGATGGATGGGGAAGTTGTTTGCCTTTGAGTGACGGTACGTTGTCCTCTGTGAAGTAGCTGGTTACCGCTTTAGGCAGTGGCATCAGTGACACGTGACCAGACCCACATATCTTCATATCAAGCAATGTCACGACGAGGGCTCCATGGAACAATTTGTAGGGGAAACCAAACAATCTATGCTAGTTATTTTGATCGACCAGAGCCGCAGACCGTTGAACCCCTTGCCGGAGAAAATCGCAACATCTATCAACATGTTGAGCCCCAACCGACACCAGGAAACCCAACCGCGCAGCCAGTCAACCGCAAGAACAACAGGAATAAAGCAAATGGAAGAGGAGTTGATCAACCATGCAAGCCAGGAGTAGTACAGTGTGATGGGGGTGAAAAATTGCCAGGCAGTAAAGTACAGAGGCTGGGATATTAGGAAAAGTAGAAGCTCAACCCGTCTTCCCATGACCGCATCGTGCTTTCGTAACCAGAACAATATTCCGCCTTCGCGGGCTTGTTATTGCTCTATCCAGTCTACCACCGCGACACAACCACGGTCGCCATCTCCCCTCCTACGTCTCAGACAGCTGTTTAACCAGATCCACCCTTGAACTTCTTGCCGAACATGAGGAGCTGGGCCTGGTCGTAGATGGAGAGCACACCGGCACCGGCGACACCACGGAGAATGTTAGCACCGGCACCCTTGAAGAGAGACTTGACACCCTCAGCGGCGATGATCTGGCGACCGGCATCGAGGGAAGACTTGTACTTGACGGCCTACAAGGTTGGGTTAGCAAAAGCAGCAATTGAGATAGGGAGGCGATCTGTACGTACCTCACCGGAGGTCATCATCATGCGACGACGGATGGTGTCTAGAGGGTAGGAGGCGATACCAGCACCAGTGGTGACAGACCAACCGAGCAAGAACGAGGCGAGGAAGTTGCCCTCAAGAGGACCAACGAGGATGACGGGCTTCAGGGAGTCGTACATGCCGAAGTACAGACCACGGTAGACGACTATGCCGAGAACGGAGGGCATGAAACCACGGTAGAGACCGGCAATACCATCAGAAGCGAGGGTCTTCTTGTAGACGTCCACCAGGCCGTTGAATTGACGGTCACCGCCCTTCTTGGCGTTCTTAGCATCGTTGGCAAGACGGGTACGGGCGTAGTCGAGGGAGTAGACGAAGAGGAGCGAAGTCGCACCGGCAGCCTATTTCATGTTAGATATTATCAATTGAGTGAGGCTGGATAAACATACACCACCGGAGGCCAAGTTACCCATCATCCACTTAGCGTATCCGTCACGCTCCTTCTTGTAGGCGAACATGGACTTGTAGGTGTCGCGGAAGGCGAAGTTCAGGGCCTGGGTAGGGAAATAACGGATGACGTTGGCGGTGTTACCTCTCCATAGAGAGACGATACCCTCCTGGGCGGTGGTTCGGCGGAAGCACTCCACAATGCCATCGTACTTGCGGTCGAGACGACCGGACTTCAGCATCTCATCCTGGAAAGCTGTTAGCGCCGGCTCACGAGGGCTAGAGACAGCTATCCCAAGCCAAATCTGCATATTTAGAGACGTACCTGGTTCTGGATGAGGAGCTTGACACGCTCGATGGGAGCAGCAGCGGTTTTCGAGACGGCGGCAGAGATACCACCCACTGTAGATAAGGAGTTAGTCGCCGCACAGATGGACGAAATTTCCCCGGATGCGCCGCAATCAAGATTTGATAGCCAATGGCATCAAAAATCGCTGGCAACTACCCGTGGAGAGGATACGTACTCAAGAAATCGACGACGAAGCCCTAGAGTGAGGTCAGTAACCGATGCGATCCCGCGGAACAAAAGAGGCGGAGCTGAGCCGCCCAGCGACAACAGCCATCAACAACAAGCAGACCACCATCCCGAGGATCGTCGCATCGCAGAGTAAAGCGCGGACGAGGTCATTGGAATGGCAGCCCGAGGATTGGTGATGGAGTCGCCGCGGTCGGATCGAGGCGCTGGAGGCTCGGGAGAAGTGCTTACCGGCATGCCCATGAAGGACTTATCTTGCTGAGCGGCCATTGCGAAGGAATGGTAAGCACCACTGCTCTGATGAACTAAAAAGACGGAGGGGAGATGGGTGTCTGAGACGGGGGATGGGGGAAGATGGAGGGTTGGATGAAGAGAAGACCTTAAAAGGCGGAAAGGAAAGATTTGCTGGAGCGCCCGGGCCGCCAAGCCTTTTTTGGAGCCAGCCAAGTTTGGCGACTCCCTTTTGCTACGGCAACCCGTTTACCTCGGGGAGAGCCGGGCGGCAGAGCGGCTCTCTATTTATTCTTAGGAGGGCCGCTCGTGAATCGAGGTTTTGCATTTTGCATTTTGGTATTTATATTCACTACGATGAGCGCCTTCCGTTTTTCTGGCGAGCATTTGCTGCATTGTCGTCTATATCTCTTCATCCTAGTCTGAATTAACAAGAGCGTGGCTAGCGAAGCTATCTGGAACAGGTTGTACCGAATATCATTTGGCGCAACGCGATTCCATGGGCCTCACAGCTTGTGTAGCTCGCTGCCAGCGATTATGAGCCAGGGAACCACCAATTTTGAGCAACACATTGAGCGTTTTCACTGTTCCTTAACTGACTGTCTCTCGGACTATCGGATCAACCCGGCTCCTGAAATGCCTCATTGGCTGCGAACGATCGTCACAAAAGCAAAGCCACTGGGTTCCCTACAGAACCGAGCATTCCGGATGGAAAAGACTTATGCATCATCTTTGGCCACCTGTCGCCTAGCTCAAATGTCAAGTATGTTGAGCTAACGGCAAACATCACGTCCTAGGCACGAGGCGATAATATCCTGTCTATTGAAGAGCACGTAGATGCGAAAATATGTCCTCCGAGTGCTTTGTTCTGGCTGTCGCCTTGCTTCGGCACTAAAACAATGCAACGCCACTTCCTATCCTATCCTACACTTCGTATCTCAAGCCATGCCTTTACCCGAACGCCAAATGCTCCTTGTAAAATGCGAAAGGTACATTGAAGTGTTTAGTCCTCCCATTCTTCGTCCAGATTGTCAATCAGTCGGTTCTCATCGTCATTTCGGTGTCCCCGGCCGCGATCTCGTCCATTTTCGTGGCCTAGAGAGACTCGGCTGTAGCCTCGGCGTGAGGGAAGGAGGCGTGCACATGAAGAGGTCAGGATGATGACCACGTCCTAAAAGCTTATAAGTAGAATTCGTAGATATAGAAAGTCTGTTTCTTACCCAGATAAATCCTCCGATTCCAGCCCACATGGAATAGTTGGGCAATTGACGCCATCCACGCTGATGCATGACTGTGCGTTGATATACACAGCCACCGACTAAATAAACCAAGGCCGCAATCAAAGCACTATGCTTATTAGGTTCATGCCGAATCCAGATGGACCTTTAAACTTACATCACACCGAAAACGCCGCCCGGTCCGAGCGTCTGCTTAGCAGCCTCGATCCCGCCACAGGCGGCGCTGGTCCTAGCCTCGAAGAAGTAGGTGCATTCGTCTTCGCTTGCTGCAACGAATGCAATCGCGGTGGTCGCCAGCGGGTCTTTCTCACAAAGAAGAGAGATGATTGTAGACTTGCGGCGTTCGTCGGAGCCTTTGGTCGGCTTCTTCTTGGGTTCATCGTCTCCTGGATCGTCCTTGTCCTCGTCGTCGTCATCATCGTACTTCTCACGAGTAGCGAGGTCTTCTGCATTGTGAGGGAGGAGGGCACGCTTCGAGTGGCCAGAGGAGCAGAGGGATCCGCCGGTGTAGTTCAAAACGAGTTTGCGGCCGCGGAAGACGGGCTCGGAGTTCTCGAGGCTACAAACAAAGACGGCATCAGCTTCTGGTACGAAAGACTTCATAGGGCAATATTGATGGTTCCAAGTCCGAGAACATCTCCCTTCTCTCAACCTCGGAAGGTACAGGCAGTGACACCGGCGCATCAGACTAGCACTCACCCGATCGCGTACTGCACTCCATCCCTCTCGTAGAAAGCGCTGACATTCCGGTACAAGCTCTTGTCTAAATCCTTGACCTCATTAAGCTCTTCAACTACCGGCCCGCAGAAGTTGATGGTGAAGTTTGCGCCATAGTCGTAGCCCTTTGCATGCCAGCTTTCGGTTCGGTCGCCCTTGTGTACCTTCTCGCCCTCCTCTGGCAGCACGACCTGGATGGGGTTGAGGTCGAAGAATCGGTCGGTTGTGGGAGAGTGGATTGTGCAGGGCTTCGGTGCCTGTTTGGACTTGTCGCTGGAGGCTCCGACGGGGGAATAAAAGTGGAAAAGCGCAGCGAGCGCGCAAAGAAATGCGGTCCTCATGATGGATAAGACGGAACCAGCATCGATGAAATAGCACAGCGAGCGTGGAGAAGAAAGGAAGGCGACGGGGCCGGCGAGCATCCGCAGTACGTAGCCTAGTAGTCCTCGCGGCGTTCCTGGCAGCAAGTCCGGCACCCATTTGGAAGGCCGCCGAGATCACGTGCACGTGCGCTAGAGCGAACGGGGCCTGGCGCTGTCTCGTAAATGCAGGCGTCATTGCGGCTGCGAAGATTCCGGCGTCGCATTTCTCGGACCACTCGTCGACTCTCTGCCGCACATCAAAAGGGCCCTTCTACTGTCCAAGTCGCCGGGAAGTGTCAATCTTTCTTGTCGTCCCTACCGAGGAGCAGACCACTTTATTTTTCTTTGTATCAGCGCCCCTTTTCAGCGTCCTCATTTACGCGTTGACCCCTGTAAACAATGCCTCCCAAACGCAAGACCCAGGTTGCCGTAGAAGAGCCATATCCCTACGAGTTCTTCGGGCCGTAAGCATATGAAGCTCCGGTCCTTTGAACCCCAGATCGCTAACGGTCCTTAGACCAGGAGCACTAGCCGTCTCTTTAGGCCTCCCGCTCGTCTGCTATGTACTTGCATTCTCCTGCAATGGCGTCTCTGGATGCCCCGCCCCTGCTCTTCTGCATCCGTCAACTTTGACTTTGGAGACATTGAAGCAACAGGTCGCCTGGCCGGGCTTCTCAGGTCTGCTCAACACCAAGACTGTCATCGCTACGTTTGGGTACTACTTGCTCAACCTCACCCTCTATGCATTGCTCCCGGCCTCTGAGGTCGACGGGACCGAGCTGGTGTCAGGAGGACGTCTCAAGTATCGCTTCAATGGTATGGCATACAAGTCACATGACTAGACTCAAACTAATGAACTATAGCCTTCTCCTCGTCCATCTTTGTCATGGTCATTTTGGCAGCGGGCACTGTCGTTGAGGGCGCAGATTTCGCCGTCTGGACTTTCATCTCCGAAAACTACATCCAGCTCCTCACCACCAATGTCTTGATAGCGTTCTTCCTCGCGGTATATGTCTACGTCGCCTCTTTCTCTGTCCGCATGCCTAACAAGGATATGCGCGAACTTGCAGAAGCCGGCCACAGTGGCAACATCATCTACGACTGGTTCAAGGGCCGCGAGCTCAATCCTCGCATCACTCTTCCTCTATTTGGCGAGGTCGATATCAAGTCCTTCATGGAACTTCGGCCGGGGCTACTTGGCTGGATCATTCTCGACTGCGCCTTCATTGCCCAGCAATACCGCACGTTCGGCTACATCACCGACAGTATCTTGTTCGTCACCTTTGCTCAGGCGTTATATGTTTTCGACTCCTTCTACATGGAGGCAGCTATCTTGACCACCATGGATATCACCACCGACGGCTTCGGCTTCATGCTGTCATTCGGCGACCTGGCCTGGCTCCCATTCACCTACTCGGTGCAGACCCGTTATCTCGCACACTACCCTCTCGAGCTTGGCTGGTGGCTCGGTCCTATTCTGGCCGTACAAGGTCTCGGTTACGTCATGTTCCGCTCCGTCAACAATGAGAAGAATCGTTTCCGAACCAACCCCAAGGACCCCAAAATCAGCCATCTGAAGTACATCCAGACCGAGGTCGGCTCCAAACTGCTGATTACGGGTTGGTGGGGCCGTGCACGCCACATCAACTATCTCGCTGACTGGTTCATGAGCTGGGCGTTCGTACTTCCAACGGGCATTGCTGGCTACGTTATTAAGAGTGCATTGAAAGAACCGATCACAGCGACCCAATCGACTGCTATTTTCGACCGCCAAATTACTGGAAGATATAGGGTTCAAGCTGATGCCGAGGGCTGGGGCATGCTGATCAGTTACTTCTTCATCTTGTACTTCGCCGTCTTGCTGATTCACCGGGAAAGGAGGGACGACGAAAAGTGCAGGAGGAAATACGGAAAGGATTGGGAGAAGTACTGCGAGATTGTGCCGTACAGGATCGTTCCTGGTATCTACTAGCTGTGGACCAACTCCTCGCCGTCAGGCGTGTATTATAAGTATGTGTAATATTCACCAGGTGGAGAAAGCCCATCACAGTCGGAGAGTAATGAGGAGGTAGTAGTTTGAATAAATCTGATAATGTCAGGATGAGAACTGGGTTCTCGGTGAGCGCACTTGATATCAACAGCCTTTTCATCCTTGAAGCTGTTCGACTACTCTTGGTACTAAAATATGACGTATGTCTAAAACCGCGATCGTCGTCCACAAATATGCAATTTAGTGTGGAATTCAGGACTCAAGTCCGAGTGTTCGTAGGCCGAGGATCGGGCGCCTTGGTCTATATGCAAAGTCTGGTAAGGGCCTATAGAGGTGCTTCGATTAGCTAAAAAGAAAAACATCTTCCGTCGACCCTTTCAATACATTTCCTCCTGAAAATACGGTTCCTTATACTTTTAGACTCGACCAGGCTCAAATATCATTGGTTTTGATACCAACAGGAACAGCCTCTCCTCTCGCCGGCGTAGGGTAGTTTTTGCGGACGGTATAGTTGTCGAAGGGACTAAATGTAAGGCCCAGCTCGAATCCATTACGTGACTAAAAAAACAAGAAGATAAAAAAGGGGAAGTCTGCTCATCCTGGACACGTCCACTCATATAGGTCTGATTGACAATCCTCGTGATCTGGCGCTCCGTGGGCCAATCAGGCGGATACTGGTCCTCGAGGTCGAATACACCCTATCAATATACTCGCAAAGTGGGCTGATAACCTCCTCAACCTCCGCGGATGGGTATCGACCCCAAGCATCCAGCTGAAGATCAGGTACGCGCTTCAGCCGTCCCGTAATCGTCTTCATGTATTTGGACTCTGGGTTCGTGTGGACCATGCCTTGCACGCCGATGTCTTTGTACAGCCAGATGTTCCAGTGGCTCTTGTACCTGTCGTAGATGTCGAGCTGTGCACCGAGGACGTCGTAGCGGGCCGCGTTGATCTCGTTAGCCTTGGGTTCGAGTACTGGGTTTGCGTAGACGGGGCCGAATTCGCCGTTCCAGATGGGGGTCTTGAATTTGTACATTGTTTCTGCTTTCTTGAATAGTTGAAGCTTGAGGGCGTTCTTTTGATGCTAGGCGCCCAGTCCTGCGCCGCGTAGAATGATGGGTTGGCCATGCCCATCAACGATTAGCTCGCCGTCAGCCTTCAGGATGCCAGCTAATGATTGTAGTGGTTTGTCCTACGGGGCCGAATAGCAAGCCTGGCGAGAACGTTTGCCCCATCATTTACGGGAAGGTGTTATCTTAAGCATGAGCTACCCAGGTATCGGGTACAACGGGGCTCTAAGCGCGGTGCCACGATGTAATTCAAGCTAAAATCGATATAGGTATTTCATTGGATGGACGATTAGGGGGCTTCGGCGATCGTCAAGCAGATTCATTGCATCGCGTCTATCAAGTACATGTTGACTGTTGATAATTCTTTCGTTACTTTTCCTCTCTTTCGTGCCAGCTATACACAGACGCCCTTCGATAAGATACATGAGGCGCATAGTGCAAAGCCTATGGTCACCTTTACTAGCCTCAACTCTTAACACCTATATTGCCTTCGTCTTGCGCGACCCTTCGGGGATCTCTTATGATTAAAGAAAGTTGGGAACTCAACTCGTATAGATGCTGTTCTTCATCTTCCCAGCTCTAGGATTTTCTTTTTGTCTCTTCCGCTCCTCTAGGGGTCTCCGCAGTCAATACCCAGGTAGAGCGTGCTTGTTCTCCATTTCTTATAAGGCTTTAGTACGGCTTTTATTTTAATTACTTTGAAACTGTATAAACCTCTCTAGGGCATACGTGCTCTCCTTTGCACCTATTCTTAAAAGTTTCGACTGAAGTAGTGCTTTGACCCAGAACCTTGCTGTCTCATTTACTGAATGGTACTTACTTACTTGCGCCTTGCACTCTCTAGTTTCAGCCATCCTTGAAACCTCTGCCAGAACCTATCCCCATATTTTCCACTCACGTCTGTTAGATCTTCGTTTCCATCCTTCAGTGCCAGCACTCGCAGCCTCTCCCTCTCCGCCAGCACTACCTTGGCAACATCGTCCACAAGTTCCTCCACCCCGATCCTCTCCTTCGCCGAACACTCCCGATACATCGCACCCACTTTGGCTGCAACCTGCATGCCCTTTTCCACGCTAATTTCGCGTTCCTCGACTGGAATATCCGCTTTCGCACCAACGATCACGACATGACGGCAGCGATCCGCGCTATCTAAGAAGCGTTGAATGGCCGGATAGTTGTTCACAAGCTTGACTAGCGTTTCTCGATTTCCCACATCAAAAACAAGCATGAGCACATCTGAGTGAGTGGTTGTAGCTCTGAACAAATCATTGAGCGCCTCTTCGCTTGAAGCCCATCCACCCTGGATCTTGTCGATATCGATCAAGCAGTGCTCACCAGCGACAATGCGTTGTTTTCTCGGACGCATACCGAAGGGATCATATTGGGGTCCTGCAGAGTAAAAGGACCAGACGAACCGGTAGTATGGCACATCAGCAATGCTTGGGGTGTGGCAAAATGGCGAGATTCGAAGCTTACGCCCTCAACAATGCACCTCTTGCCCGTATTCGGCACACCGAGAACCGCGATTTGAATTTCTTTCAGTTTTGTAGCCCCTGAAGCCATAGGTGCCCATGAGCATTTGATAACAGTGTCAGAGAAATACCGGCATGTGACGAAAATGGCGTCTGCCGGGATGATCCTTTGTTGTAGATGATAGACGTACAGGCTCTGTGAAACTCAGGAAAGATGAGAGTTATGTGGAATCGGACATTTTGATTTATGGAAACGTTGCATGATGATATAGATTGAGCATTGCGGCACAGCAAATGACTTGTCCAGGCGGGGTCATGAGAGAGACACAGCCACAGAACTAGCCACACATTCAAAGTTAGTACTATCCAATGCGCACGTGTTGATTTCTGACCAACCCCGATCACTTAAGTTATATTCGATCACGTGACCTTAACCGTGAGACGATGATGGCGAGTACCATGGTTCAAAGTGGAACTTTGCCGTGTACCCTTCTTTGCTACTGTTAAACAAGCCTCAACACACTTTCCGCAACCTGAACGAGGTGCAATTCTACCCTTTTGAACGACCTAAAAGCTTGCTAAGCCACCTCAGACGACGCCATCTACCACCCACACAAGGTATATCGACGTACCGGTATGTCACAAATACTTGAAGAAGAAGCTTTAGTGGGTCTGCCGCTAGCACAAATCCTGAGCCGATGCCTGTCAATTTGTTCTACCCTTGTGTCAACTTCCTCGTTCGCCGCTCAACAGCAACTCCACAGCCTACCCCAAGCTCTCGAGCATATTGGCGAAGGGCTCCAAGCTGTATGCTACGGTCTCATCGGCACAGACAAAGTCTACAAACGGGCTCACGACGGGAGCAACAATACGGAAAATAACACTGAGAACGTAGCTACTGAGTACGAAAGCTATCAACAGCTCCGCAAAGCTTGGAACAGATTCCCAGATATTATGGAACTCGTTGAACTGCCCAAAGCGTTCCACTTTGTCACCCCCAGTACCCATTTAGGGCAAGAATGGTCGCAAAAGAACGAGAACTTGTTTCCTTCCGCCCACCAAAAGGTCACAAGTTGTTCTCATTTTGGAGCGAATCCTACCCCTCCCACGGATAGTACGGCACTCGCTCATCGACGAATAGCTACCCAATCAACACTCCGACCACGCTCTCGTCCTTAAATCCTCCAAGTTCCAGAAGCAGTGCTTGGCTAGAGTCTTCCTTGGCGAGCGCACAAAATCCGCAGAAAGCGTCCTCCAACGTCCTACCCAAAGAACCCGCGGTCTTTACTTTGCCAAACTTCCCCTTCTACGTAGACATGATGGAGACGCTAGGGCTCGATCTTGACGTATTTGCGCAGGCTTTGGCCAGGGCACATGCGGTGATACATTGGGCCGCAAGGCTTGACGGGGACGATATCGAGTTTGTTCTGGGTACTTCCATCACCTCTTCGGGTCAAGGAAGCGTCCAGAATCGGGCGGTTAAGTTGTATGTTCTGGATTTTGGGCGTTGTCAGCCGATTAAGTTGGATGAGGATGGGTGCGGCACTGATTACGAACGCGCCGTATACCCCCCGGCCTTCAATGAAGAACGCGAAGGACCAGCAATTGTGGAATATCTTTAGAAGCCACTATCTCCTCCATAGCGATACAATACTCGCAGCGGTAGGGATGACCGGGTCTGAGCTACCTCAACAGGTTATTGAAAAGGTTGAGCAGTGGTATCAGGATATGGAGGAGTATTGAGTACACCACTAGGTCTTACGTTTGGGCATATAGAGATACCACTGCTGAGGCTACAATCTTGCTCGGTCGCTCGGTTGATGCCACTGTAAGGAGTGGCCCAGCCAGCAGATAGCCAGTCAATCAAACGGCAGCCTGATCTCCACTTCATTAAACTTGACGTTGTATTTAGAGTTCTAGAATAATACATTGCATGGATATGCCACTGCTGAAGGCTTGCCTCTTGCTTGCTCGACATCGCTGTGAGGGGTGGACTGGCTCGTGGATATCCAGTCAGTCAAGAGGTAGCCTGAACTCCACTGCACTGACATTCATATCCTATCTAGAATCCTCAAAGCCTGTAGAGGTATCCCGAGCAGTGACGAATGGGTGTGCCTAGCTTTTCGCCAAGGCGCATCAGATAGAGTACAGCATGATCTTCTCGTGGGTTCGAGAAATGGTGACGAAAAGCGCCGATGTGACAAACGTTTGCTCTTTGACTAGATAGAGAGAAAACGAATGCAATGGGGATGATACTAAGAATGTCTCAGAAGGAGGTGAATAAGTAGACTCATATTCCTACATATACCAGTAGAAACCTCGGACGTAGGCGATCTGAAGCCCGTTCGGCACTAGCTCAATCCCTGAGGGACCACGTTCTGATCATATATCAGCATTAAACTTGATCGTATAGACCTTTCAGCCAACGATCTCGCGATCTTTTTTGCGGTAGAAACTTACCGTTGCATACCAGAGGAAAGAATCGGTAAAAAAAACACTGTCCATTCACCTCTCGCCTCCAATCCGACGCCCCTATCGCGACTCAACCTACCCGCTTTCATCACGAAAGTCCAGTCAGACAACTTGTAAACAATGCAAGATGTCTGCCTACCCGCCAGATTCACTCTGAAGACCATTCTAGTGACCGTTCTGGCGCCTTTAAATACAGCCTCGCAAACACCCTCCGGTTCTTTTCCTTCCACCACGCACACTTGCTCCCGATGCCACCACTATGGCATCCACCACCATGCCCAGCCTCAAGCACCCGCGCAGCGACCATAGCCCCCAGTCGGGCAAGAGGCGACGCCTTGCCGGTCGCAACCTCGAAGAGAAGCCAGCCTTGCTGGATATATCCATGGAGGAGCTATCTAAGAGGCATGTCCCGCTATGCGCTGCACTAACATAGCCTCGTCAAGACGAACTTTCTTATACCAACTCTTGCTGACCGTTTGTAGACTTTCGAAGCTGCGTATCGCGGAACCCGATCCTCTCGACATATCAATCGACAAGCTCTCTGAGAGGCAGGTCTCGCCATACACTGCACTCTTCCTTGATGATTAACACAGCTTGCTCTCTCCCAGCTCTTGCTAATCGCTCATAGGCTGTCGAATTTGCATTTGGTGGAACCAGAGCGCGCCAGCCCCATCATCCCGGATGATTGTCCAGAGCAGACTGTTGTCACGGGGTTCTTGTATGAACTGAGCGCGTACGTAAATTGGCAAAATGTGATGAGTGATAAGTGACAGGAAACAGGAGTCGACCTGCTACCTACCAGTTCGCGAAGTTCCCAACGCACGATGCTGGAGTCGTGTACGGATTTGGCGGCTACAATTGCCCATCCACTCCATCAGCTACTGGGACAGGTGTTGGGAACCAGAGCCAGTCGGGGTCGAACACTTCGGCACCCACGGAGGATGGCGACCTGTATCCCTCTCGATATAGGGTATATCGAGGCCTGGGAAAGCGACGTCGAGACATCTTCGAAATCCAACAAGGCCCAGGGTTGCCCCTAGCCAAACGACAGGTCACGACCTGGAACCATGTCCGCCGGCTATTCCTTTCCCAGTTTCCACAAGTTCCCGTTTCTCGCAAGAGGGTCCTGCGCGATGAGGCAGAGCTGAAGGAGGTTGAAGAAGTCCAACGTCGGGTCAAGAGGCGGGCGACTTACAAAGACAACGTGAAGACTTTCTCGACCTTGATGCATCGCGTTCCGCAAGAGGTTCGCGACATGATCTTTGCCAACGTCGTCCGCGAACCTAACGGACTTCGTTATGACCCCAGCAGCAACACTGTTCTCAGTCGGAACGGGTCGAAGCGGACGACCGTGCTAGAGAAGATCAGCCCTACCATCTCGCGGCAATCCCGCAACGTGCACCTGAAGACAAATCAGATCACGTTTCCGAATATCTTCGCGTATAGGAAGGCAATGGAAGAGATGCCGCAGGACCAGAAGGAATCCCTCCGGCACATCAAGGTCTACGGCAACTGGGCTGAGCCGTACTGGCGCGAATTTCTGGTGGTTGGCGGCCGCAACGTGGTGCGCACTGGTATCGATGAGCTGCTCCAGCTCTATAACACTCTGCCGGCATTGAAGTCAATCACAATGGTCATCCACGCTTGGAACTGGGGAACCCGGCGAGAGTTCGACGATTCATCCAGAATCGCCGAAATCCTCACAGAGCTGCGAGGAAAGGGAGAACTTCCAAGCCGAAAGAAGCTCGCGATAGTTCCTCTCATTGGCGACGAACCCGAAATTCCCTACACCTGTTGGGGGGACAATTCTGTGAAGGTTGACGAGGAGACCGAAAAGGAGATGGTTGCGGCAGCCAAGAAATGGGTCCGGAACGAGGATTAGGAGACCTTGCGAAAGCCTTCTTGAAGTCACAATGCCATCGGGAGGATACACGGCCAAAGCTTTCTACGCCTCGACGTAGCTAGCGAAACGAACCCACACTCCCATCCTGAAAGGCACCACATCCACTACCGTTGTCACGACTGAAACAGCTGGATGCAACCGCTCATTCTTGGAAAGCAAGGATAAGCTACACCAAACACCCTCGGAAAGGAAGGAAAACCTATGCGAAAAACCCATGGGGCTTGGGCCGATCGTGTGCTAGAAGCTTCGCATTGTTGTGCGTCTGTCTAACTGTACTAGACGCAACCTTGAAAGAAAGAGTGAAGCGACTCAAAAAGCCACTGGTTGCGGAAGTGAGTGAGATTTTGCATCACAATCGGCGGCTGGTAGAGTCGAACGTTGGAAATATTCAAGACGCGTGCATCCATTTGGACGCTTGTGTTTTCGAGAGTATGCTGTACTGGGCTTTTGATTACGAGGATTTATGTCTTTCGCATCTGTGTTTGAGATTTGGCATTTGCGTTCGAGATCTTGTATTTGCGTTCGAGATCTTGTATTTGCGTTCGAGATTTCGCTTTGCGATTGAGATTTTGTTTGAGTACGACAATGTATTGAGTATTGATGAAATCCTTATACGAGTATTTCAGAGACCCACACGTGCTTTGAAAAGGTGAAGCATAGAAGATTGTTACTTGCCTCTGGTGCACAAGAACCTTCAAGGAATCAGTCTTATGTATTGGCAGTGTAATGCGGTTTCAGTATTGCATTTGATGGTCGCAGCTTCTACAAAGCCTTGCATTGGTATGTCTTCAGCTGGTATCCTCTTTGCAAGACTTGAACGTCTCTCAGAATGGAATATTGATCCAGGGAGCGTTCAGGAGACCTTTCCAACACACTTCGTCGACTACTTGCGGGATTTGACTGAACAGTCAGCTTGACCTAGTGGATGAAGACTCGTGTCCCCTGCACTGCAATAGGTGACCTACCATAATCCGAGTATTCTAGGGCCTGGACCTGAACGGCGGTTGAAGAGTTGTGTTTCTGACTAGCATCTCGAGTGAACCCAGTGGTCTAAAGGCGACTTGTGGGTTCGTGAAGAGTTCGGTGCCGTTTGGCGGTTTTCAGGATTCAATTTGCTCTTCTTGCTCTCTTCCTTGCAGTGCTTCTAGATCAACACTCCATTCCCGAGCAATTTTCTCTGTGTTGCCAACCCAGCTCTTCAGAATCGGATGTGCGTCCGCAACTTCAATAAAAGTCACCCCCCCCTCTGTCTCGGCTCCAGGGACGTCCCACTTCCAAAGACCTTCACCGTCGACCCATTGCGTGCCCAGAAGCACCTCAACTCTTAAATCTTTCCTAGCTGTTTCCAACAATGCTCGTGCATCTTTCCACCCGTTACTGACCGACGCAGTCCGCCTGAGAGCTGTGACAATTCCCTCAAGAACACCCAAAATGTACCCCACTTTTTGGCCTAAACAAGCACCAAGAGCATACCCCTCGTCAAATCCTTCTTGTATGAACTTCTCTTTACTCGTGGACACGCCCTCTCTGTACCCTGCGGTATTGTGCGATCTCCGTATCGCCGGGATGTCCGAAAGAGCTTCGTGAGTTTGAAAGTTCAGGAGCTCGGTGTGCTCGGCCGAGGGGTCGTGAGAGGAAAGAGTCGGAGATGCAGGCGCAGAGCCGTATATGTCGTCTAGAGCGTTGTTCGAGACGCCTAGGGGAGCATACGGAGGGATTGTGGCGGTGAAGGCGGTAGAGAAGTTTGACCGCGCGTCGCCGTCCGTGTCTCTGAACATGGCTTCAGAGGTAGCTCCAGCACTGTAGGCGCTCCAATTTTGCTGGAGGATTCGCGTGTATATTGGGTTCGAATTTGATATGCGTTGAGGTAGTGCTTGATGAGTCAGATAATATATCGGAGCGCGTCATCGATAACTCCGACCTCACTAATTGTTTCTATATACCACTACGAAAGCATGGCCCTCCTCATCCCTCACGCATCACGCCTCTTGCCCTCTCGCAGCGATGTTCCATGGCCTGTCGCTGCTGCGAAGAGCCCCTCATAGCCATGGTCCTCTCAGCGCCTTGACACAATCCTCCCTCCGCTTCACCAAACCCAGCCATGTCCCGCCGCAACTCATCCGCCGCATCCAGTCGCAGCAATTCTCTCCTCTCCTCCCTCCGGACCCGGCCTCCCTACCAAAACCGCGGATACGCAAGACCAAGCCCCCGTTTCGCCGTCGGAAATGGGTTCGCCGCCTCTTCTTCTTCTCCGCCACGGTAGGCGTGGTGTACGCCATCGACACGCAATTCAACGCTTCGGCCATAACGCGCTCGTTCCGCACATTCAAGACCGGCTTGACAGTTGGGATTGACTATAAGATTAACTTCCGCGCACACCCTCCCTTCGCCGATTCTATCGAGGCGTTACATGCTAGAAATGCGCAGAGGCTGTTCGACCTGCTCGCCGGAAATGGTGGACTTTACCTCAAGATTGGCCAGGCCATAGCTATGCAAAGCGCTATCCTGCCTCCCGAATTCCAGTCAATGTTTGCCAAGATGTTCGACGACGCGCCCCAGAACGAATGGGGCGACGTCGAGAAGGTGATCAGGGAAGATTTTGGGAAAAGTCCGGAGGAGCTCTTTGGGGTGTCGTTCTCGGGAGAAGATGGCAAGGGCGTCATGGAGAAGAGAGCTCGAGCATCAGCCAGCGTAGCACAAGTGCACTGGGCAAGACTGGCTGATGGGAGAGAGGTCGCTATCAAGATTCAGAAACGGGAAATCGCGCGGCAGGTTGGATGGGATCTTTGGGCATACAAAGTGGTCGCCAAGATATACACCTGGTGGTTTGATATACCTATGTATAGTTTTGTTCCCTACATCACGGACCGATTAATGTTGGAGACGGATTTCGACAACGAGGCGAATAACGCTGAAAAGATGAAGGAGCTCGTTGCAGGGGAAAGTCGGTTGCGCGGAAGAGTCTACATTCCTGAGGTTTACCGTGAGTTATCCTCCAAAAGAGTCATGACAGCAGAATGGATTGAAGGGGTTCGACTTTGGGACAAGGAGGGCATGAGTGGAAAGTGGGAAGGTGGTTGGAGACAAGGCAGTCCAGGAAGTGGTGGTGAAAAGCTATCAGCGCTCCCAAAGGATACCCCCACTGCTCCAAATCCCAATATCCCACAAGGATACGAGGCATCGGCGTCCAACGAGACTCTCAAACCTGACCGCTCAGCCTGGCGCGGGCCCAAAGGGACTGGAGGGCTCGGCGTCTCCCTTAAAACAGTCATGACGACCATGGTCGACCTTTTCAGTGCACAAATGTTCCTATGGGGAATCGTTCATTGCGACCCCCATCCAGGCAATATCTTCGTTCGCCGATTGCCCAATGGACAACCAGAGCTTGTGCTTATTGATCATGGCCTCTATATCAATATGTCGCCGACGTTCCGACATCAGTATGCTCGATTCTGGAAATCTCTTCTGGCATTCGATAACGCAGCAATTTCGGAAATTGTCAAAAGCTGGGGCGTCAACAATCCTGACATTTTTGCGTCTATGACCCTAATGAGACCGTATACTGGCGGCGACAACTCCACTCTCAACGAGATTAGGAATGGACCGCATGGAAAGGATGAGCGAGAAAGGCGCTTTCGCGTGCAAGCTAGAGGCCGCGATGCCATGAAAGAGATACTAGGCGACGAAACCAAATGGCCACGCGAACTAATCTTCATCGCCCGAAATCTCCGTATAGTCCAAGGAAACAATCAATTCCTCGGATCGCCTGTAAACAGAATCAAGATCACTGGATTGTGGGCATCAAGAGCACTAGCCGAGTCTAGGGACCTGCAGTGGAGCGATCGATGGCGCAACTGGGTGAAGCACCTCACATTCAGACTCGTATTACTCGGAAGCGACGTCATTTTCCTGTGGTCGCGGGTGAAGCAGATGGTTGGAAGGGGTAAAGGAATGGAAGAAGATATTGAGGAGCGTATGAAGTTGATGGCGAAAGACTTTGGCGTCGAACTGAATCATGGAGTGTTCGACGGCTGATTTGATACTCCGTACTTCGAAGGTTTGCATTTGAGTTCGACATAACTTTGTGAATAGTTCTCAGCTCTTTTTCCCTGATTAACGCGGTATGCGCATGAGCATGGTGTTGGGGTGATTCCACTCTAGATTTCCTCTTATCCTGGGATAGATAATTGGGACCGCCTGTATAAACAGTATAGACCGCAATTGTATGATATACGAATATAGAGAGCCTTTGAGTATGCCCAATTCTAGCTTCATTATCCAATGATCGTGAGCCCTCCTAGCCGCACGCCTCACATAACCGCGAAGTGCCGAGCTTTTCCGGCTCCTACATACCTTAAATCGTCAACATTAGGTCAATTTAGTAGCCAGAAAACCAGCACAGCTCACGAATCTATTTTTCCTTCTCCATTTCTCACGAGCTGACTCGATTTCATTTGCACGTTCCTGAGCCACGCGATCCTAATCTGGTATTGAGCCGAGGCCGAATTGATCTCACTGCGGGGCCAAGGGTACAACTGACCTAAGATTACTATCCTCCTACATAATTTATTCTTGAGGTCATCGACAGACAGCTCTTTGTACTCTACCGTCTATTTCTATTCCCGTGGTCCAGAAGAGAAAGAATAAAGAGGAGGCTATCACGAGAAGCTCTTTCGGATCTCATACCCTGCCCTGCAGCCTACCTTACACCAATCAACATCATCCGCAAACATGGCCGCCAAAACGTACGACGACATCAAGCTTGAGATTACCGGCAAGATTGGTGTCATCAAAGTATGTGACCTCTTTCTCAAACTTCAATCGTACACTTTCCTTTGTTGCCTTCATATTAACAGCATTCCTCAGTTCAACCGCCCAAAATCTCTCAATGCCTTTGGCGGCAGCTTGATCGCGGACACGATTGATGCGCTACGATACCTGGACGAGCATCCGGACACGATCTTCACAGTCCTGACCGGAGAGGGCCGATTCTTCTCTGCTGGTGCTGACGTCAAGGGTAAGTGAAATCTTGATGCTGTAAATAGTCATGACATTGAATGTGGATATAGCCACGGGCAGCGAAGCGCCAGTCGACTACAAGTACATCGGCGAGAAGAAGCTAGCAATGATAACTCGATTCGGATCCGGTAAGCTCATCATTCCATTCATTTCAAAAGATCTATCATCATCTCTACCACCATCTCATTCAATCTTCTTATCCAATCACCCTTCTTCAACCTCAAACCCCCCTCTCACACGCCCCCTCCCAGCAATCGAAATCCTCCGCAGCATGATCGACCACCACAAAGTCCTCATCCTCGCCCTCAACGGCCCCGCCGTCGGCGCCGGCGCCTGCTGGTTCCCCGGCGTCGCCGACATCGTCCTCGCCTCACGCACCACCTACCTGCAATGCCCCTTCAGCGCGCTCGCCCTCGTCCCCGAGAACGGCTCCGCGCTCTCCTTCGCGCAGCACATCGGTATCCACCGCGCCAACGACTTCCTCATGTTCGGCCGCAAGCTCTCCGTCGAGGAATGCGAGGCCGCGGGGCTCGTCAACTACGTGTTTGAAGAAGCCGGCGACGCGTTCCAGGCGAAGGTGCTGGCGTTCTTGCAGGGCCAGTTGGACGTGAATGACGGGAAGAGCATGATGGAGATGAAGCGGTTGCAGAATGCGCCGATTCGCGATGCGCGCATGGTGGCGGTGTATAATGCGATGGATGCGTTGGCGGAGCGGTTTGTGGAGGACGCGCCGGTGAAGCGGTTTGCGGAGAAGAAGAAGGAGTTGTTGGCGAAGAAGCGGTCCTCGAAGATATGAGGGTGGGCAGTGTGTAAGGGGGTGTGAGCTTCTTGGAGCGGTTGAATTTGGGGGTATCGGAGCAATTTAGCCTAGGTATATGTATATGTATATTGAAGGTCTAGAATCAAAACATTTAGAATCATTTACGTCGTGGAGGTTGAAAGGGCACGCTGGAGGTCCTTCAGTGGAGCATAGCAGCCAGGATTCCAAGACAAGTCCCAAAGTTGTGCAATGAAGTGAGAGGAGCAAGCCATGCTAGCATCAATTAGACTATCAACACCTAAACACCCATCCTAGGATGCATAATGCCTTCAAAAGCAGATGAAACCCTAGGCAGACACCCACCAGCCCGCCGATCTTTTCAAGAAGGAGCATCATAAGCCCTTCAGTGGTAGCAGCCATCAATTCATACATCTCGCTTCCAACCCAAGCGAACCACACCAGCACCAGCACCAGCGACAGCTTGCAGAAGTTCTCACATGATATCAAATTCCTTCTTAAGCTTGACAATAAGTGCCCACTCATCGTTACTGACATCGCTGCGGTAGAACTCCTTCAGCGTATCAATGCTCTTTCGCGAGATGGCGCTGTACAGAGTATCTTTCTCCTCCAGATGTCTGCCATAGAGGGGCTGGTTGGGGCCTTCGATCTTGATAGCTACGGATGGCTGGCCTTTTTTGCAGATCGGGATTTGCTTGTGATCGCGCTCGATGGATGTCCTAGTGCCGGAGTTAGCATGTTATAGACAAATAGTGAGACAATGGTAAGGCGAAGAAAGACTTACACTCTGCCCATTTGAAGGATTTCCTTCACGCCTGTCACAGGATTCTTCTTGATAGCGCAAACTGGCGTTAGGAGCCGTAGGTTACCGTCGATTACATCTACACCGATCACAATAGGGTCTTTCTTGTTGAAGACCGCCACGGGTGCGAGCACGCAGGGGAACACCGCCAACATCTTGCTGTCTTCCTTACGTTGCTCTTCCAGCGACTTCATATGCGCGGTGAACTTGTCGAAGAGATGGTATATGATGTCTGCCTCGAAAATCTTGACACCAATGTCGTCGGCGTACTGTCGCGCTTCCTTATCGACTTTGACGTCGAAGCAGAGCATCACAGCGTACTCCTTAGCTTTCTCAAGCATGACACCGCAGCGCAGCACATCTTTCTTGAAAACGGGACCGATGGAAATACTCGCCACAGGAATCTTGGACGTTCGCAAGAACTCGAGTAGCGCTTCCAGGGATCCAAGAGTAGACGCTTGAACGCTGACACCACGACCGGTCTTGGAAACCTTACCGAGAAGATGAGCCAAATCCGCCATAACGTCGTCCATGAGATCCTCTTCATCGTCGTCCTTGCCCACCACTAGTAGACGAGATCCAGCAATGGCAGTGTCCAGACCATCAGCAGCAATTTTGATACCCATAGCGGCCTTTACTTCTTTGTTGTGGACGTAGACTGACTTGAGTCGAAGTTCCTTCATTTCCGCGGGCGTAAGGAGTGCTCGAATGTTGGTGGCTATAGGCTCAGGATTACCGCAGAGGACTATTCGGTCGCCTTCGTGAAGTACACCGTTGTTTAAAATGACATCGATGGTCGTGCCGAGACCCTCAATGACCTTGACCTCGAGAACCGTACACTCAACCTCGGCAAGGTACATGAGCTTGCCAGTCATCCGCTCTTGTGTTAACTTGATTATTAGTTTCAACATGTCTGGGATACCCTCGCCAGTATGTGCAGAAGTCGGCACTACGGACACGTTCTTGGCCATGCTCTTATTTTCGTAAAATAATTCGGAATTGAAGGCCTGCTCCATGAGCTGTGTCTTTACGAATTGCCATCGATCCCGGAACTCCTGTTGGACTGACTTCTTCTGAAGACGGAGACTGTCCTCGAAACCGTTGTTATCGATTCGTGACCATCCGTATAGACGATCGATCTTGTTGAGTGCTACGATGAAAGGCGTCTTGCGGTCTCGTAATAGTCTCATAGATTCTAGAGTTTGCGGTTCGAGGCCGTGCATAATGTCGACCACCAGGATAGCGATGTTACAAAGCGACGAGCCACGAGATCGAAGATTAGTGAAGGACTCGTGACCAGGTGTGTCGATGACCAGGAGACCTGGGACATTGAATTTGAATGAGCCATCCTTGTTGACCACGGCGGTCTTCTTTTCCAAAGCGTCGACAGGGAAGTACGTAGCACCGATCTGCTGCGTGATACCACCAGCTTCGCCTTCCTGGACATTCGTTTGGCGAATCTTGTCTAGAAGCTTCGTCTTACCGGTATCGACGTGGCCAAGAATACAGCAGATTGGCGATCTGAGGTCGTCTTTTGATCGAGCTGCCATGGCTGCTTCATGCTGTTCTCTCCTACGCTCAGCAGCGGCAGCTTTACGAACAGCCTCAGCCTTCTGTGTAGCAGTGGCCTGCTCATCTTCTGATGAGTCGTCTTCGGAGTCAGACTCGGATTCAGAATCACTATCTTCGGCAGTCTTCTTGGATGCGGGGGCTGGAGGAGGTTTAGCAGAGTTTTTGTTGACAGGAGCAGCTTTGGCTGGGGCGGCCTTAGCTGGGACAGTCTTTGAGGTTGCCTCTAGGACAGCTTTTTTACCGTTGGCCGCTTTGGTGTCCTGACTTGCAGGTTTACCATTCGCAGCAGGCTTCTTAGCCGGAGCGGGCTCCTCTTCTTCGTCCGAAGGCGCATCCCAACTGTCCTTGACGCCCTCCATTTCGTCAGCTTGCACCTCCCAGTCTTCGCCCGAGTCGCTCTCATCCTTCTTTTCTTGAACATTCTCGCGTGCAGCCTGTGCAGCTTCCTCAGCAAGTCGTAGTTCTTCCAACTTCCGCCGGGCCTCTTCCTCAGCTTGTGTGTCTTCCGCCTTTGGCTCCGGCTTCTTTGGCCCCTTCTTCTTCTTGTTGTCGTACTTGGGCTTTGCAGGCTTCTCGGTCTCTTCAAGTCCAGCTACTTTTACTCCGCTGTTCTCAAGCATCTGCTTCACTGCCAGTTGATTGCGTGCCTGTCGTTCCTTCTCGGCCTTGGTCATGAACTTGCCCTCCTTCTTGAGTTGCTCAATCTTCTGTTTCTCCTTCAGTTTCTTTGCAGCTTTAGCCTCCTCCTTTCGCTTCGCCTCCTCTGCCTCTAGTCGCTCTTCCTCCTCAATTCGGGCCCGTTCCTCGGCTTCTGCACGCGCCGCCTCTTCTTCCCTCAACCGTAGCTCTTCCTGTTTCTTCGCTAGAGCAGCTAGTGCAGGATTCAGCTTCTTTTTCTTTCCGCCCGCTGGTTCCGGTGCTGGGGTTGAAGGGGTCGGCTTCCCGTCTGTAGCTTTAGTAGGCTCGGCCTTCGCAACGGGGGTGGTAGCTTTCTTCTTAGCAGCCTATATAGAAATATATCAGTAACCAGACTTCCAATATGCCAACATGACATCTCTTACCAGCTCCTTCTTCCGCTGCTTCTCTTTCTCCTTCTTCTCCTTTTCCTTCTCCGCTTTGGTCTTCACCTTTGGCCCCTCATCGGCCTGTGGCTCAGGCTCCTCCTCCGCCTTTGCAGGCGCAGGCTTGCCCTTACCCTTCTTGACCGGCGCTGAGAAAATATCCTCATCATCCATTGTAGCCTCCTGGGGCGCTTTCGATGCGAAATCGTCCACATCACCAGCTGAGCCGTTTGCGGTGGGGTCCTCGCCCTCCACAAACTCTTTTGTCTGATTCTTCTTCTTTTTTCGCCGCTGGAGAGACGCCAGAAGCCCTCCTCCTAAGGCATCGTCCTCCTCTGGTGCGGCTAGGCTTGCATCTTCGGTCGGTGCAGCGGTGGCGGCGGGGGCAGTCTCGCCCAGATCCGCTTCCCAGTCGTCGTTCGCCTTCTTGTTGCCTTTCTTCTTGGGCGGCATTGTGGGTGAGGTGAGAGGACGATGTGCGGTGCGGTTTCCGGTGGGTTGGAAGAAGTGGAGGGCGTTTGGTGGCGCTCGGTGATTGTGTGCGTTTTTGAGTCGCCCGCCGCGGGAAGATGGGAGAAAAGGGCGGAAGAGGTGACGCAGAAGAGAAAAACAAGTGCTAGAGAGTGACAGAAGGGGAATGGACCCAAGATACAGCAGGGCACAAAGGCTGGTTGATTTTGACGTTGAAGTGTGGAGGGGATCGAGAATGACGAGGACGGTGGAGGGGTACTTCCGATCGCCGCACTGGCAGCCAAGGCATCACTCGGTGCAAGGACTAACAGAGCATTCGATGTAAAGACTTAAACGTACTATCTGACGGAAAACTGCAGATGACTCAGAGGTCAGTGTCAGAGGGTCGAGACGTCTTGCGCCGAGACATAGGACTTTAGCCCCGCTCTGCAGCTGCCCTTTGTAAGAATCTAAATTCTGCAACCACAAGTATTGTCTCTTTCAAACTAGGTACACAGAGTAATAAACGCTGGTCAACGTCTAGAACGTAGATCCAGCTCAACATTGTGATGTTAAACGTGCATGGTTTGTTCCTCAACAGAGCCATGCAGACTATCTAACAATGCCGAAGACTAGGGGAGGCACATTCAAAGCTTTCATTGGAGGTATATACAAGCCATGACCTTGAACTCCGGGCGAAATAGAGAAACTACTGTGTTACAAGAAAACTTTAGAAGTACAGCAAAGCCACCTCAGAACACGCTGATGTAGTTCCCAATCCTCTCCTTCTGGTTCTGTGCAATGCATTCTGCTATCCAAGTGATATTTCGGATTTCCTACAATCGTCAGTGAACCGAGCATTGGCATCTGGCCTCCACCTAGACATACCTGTTCCCGTAGTTTGACCCACGCATACACCACAGCGTGCGTGAATTGACGGGTGAAAGCCAGCTTAGAGATCTCCATTTCTTTCTGATAGAACAGATCCTCCAAGCTCCTTGACTCTCCACCAACCCCGCCAGCCATGTTGCCAATGCCAGACTGACCACCTTGACTCAAGCCGGTTTGGTCGAAGAAGGTCTTGTAGTCCGCTACGGACTCTACTGCGATACGGACACCCTCGACGTCATCTGCCCTTGACAACATAAGTGTGCCCTCCGGATGTAACCTGCCAAAGCTGGGATACAGCTTCTTCCTGTCTGCCTTTGACAGCTCAGTGCCGAATGAATTCAGCGTGATGTTGATGCTTCTCCGATCCGCCTCAAACTCCAGTACTTCTGTCATGACGTCGGACGTTGGCGTTCCGGCGAGTTCGGGGTGTGTGTTGACCCAGTTGTAGAAATCCTCCAGGTAATTCTTGTACAGAGTGTTCCGGATGATCTCGATGTTGAGCTCGTCCAAGTCTTGGTGGCTTAGCGATCCCTTGAAGTATGGCGCCAGGGGAGTCTCAATCAATACAGAGTTGTAGAGCTCCTCAATATTGGTGGCCACGCAAAGCACGGGCATCGTTTCGAACCAACCTAGAGGATGGCATCTCTCCAGCAGCTCGCGCGTATCCCGCTCATGAAGCGTTCCAGTAATGAGCAGAGCAACGTTGTCGATCATGTATCCGTATGTGAGATATTCCATGAATTTGGAGAGGGATCCTGTCGCATTTGCCTGGACGTAGCGAAACTCGGCGACGAGCTTCTCGGTGGTCTTGTTCGCCAGCGCGGAGGTGGATGGATTCGGCGGGAGAGCAGAGAGGAAGTCCCCATAGGCGGGAGAGAGCTGGAGCTTCACATCTAGGAAGCATTAGACTGAGCTTGTAGCAGAGCCAGTAGAAGAACGTACCATCTATGGTTTCGCATTGCGTCAGGTTGCCATAGTTTTGACTGGTGAGTAGGGCATTTCGGTAGCCCCGCACGATACCCTCAATGTACCCGAATTTGACGTTGTAGAAGAGGCCCTCCATGGTGTTGTTGTGGATTGCAGGGGAGACGGCGGCTGATAACGAGTGTTCGATGATGCTGCTGAAGCTGCTGAAGCTGCTGCTGGGGAGCTATCGCGGATTATGGCGCCAAGACGGAATCAAAAGAAACGCTTTTTGCAACACTTTTTCCACGTGCTTGTTTAAGCATCAGCGGCGTGCAATCGACGATGTTAGAACTCGACTCCTGTAGTATCAAGAGCAATTATTTACTGGCAATTTGTCCTCGAACGTGATATCCTACGAAAGCAGTGCAGCTACTATCGTCCGCGGTAGTAGTCTTCTACGGCGAGCCACACAGCCGAAAGCACAACCACATATGGCGATCTGAGCTCCACAAAACCTGCCGCGTAGTAGGCTAGGCAGTCCGAAACCAGAATACTTCGTACGTTGCTCGCAAGCGGCTGGTCAAATCATATCAAAGGGCGACCGCCTCTCCCCAAACTGCGCCTCGAAGGCGTTCGGCCAAAGACGCCAAATCGCGGCTGTGTTCTCCCAAGGTTCAGCCAGACTCCAATTCTTATCGCTGATTCACAGTATCAAGCCACTGAAAGTCTTCTAAAGCCTTGAAGTCATCTTGTGTTCCAGCCACGTACCCCTCTAGCTCACACTTCCTAGAAAACAATTGACTTCAGCCCGACGCCGTCCAGGCAGCTAGGCAGGACCAGGCAACAATACAAGTTAAGACCATGCTGCCTTCACATTCGTCTATATCCTGACAGCGCTCGCCTAATACTCACTGAACTCTACAACCTCTAGAGTTTGCACTCCTAACTATATCCTGGTCTTCTGATCATTCCGATCGAAAACAACATTCAACTTTTTTTATAAACTACTCTTTCAATTTCAGTCACAATGGCAGGCTATATTTGTGGCATATACTACATCCTCCCAGGCCACTCCGTCTTCGGGCAAGTGAAGCGACAATACCTTCCACAAATCGACCTACAAGCCCATACGACAATCTTGTCCACGACGTCGCGCACAACTCTCACGCAAACTTTCGTCAATCCATCCGAGTCGAAAGGAATCAAGGAGCTAAAATTCACATTCCCGCTCTATGACGGAGTCAGTGTTGTCGGCTTCCAATGCCGTGTAGGAGATAGAACTATCATAGGCGAGGTGAAAGAGAGGAAAAAGGCTAAAGCTGTCTACAAAGAAGCTGTCGCTCGAGGAGAGACTGCAGGTGTTTTCGAGCAACTCCCGGATGCCTCTGATGTTTTCACCACCACTGTGGGAAACGTGCCCCCTAGAGCTTCACTCGTCACTGAGATAACTTATCTTGGTGAGCTGAAGCATGACGCTGAGATCGATGGTATACGTTTCACAATTCCCACTATCATCGCCCCGCGGTATGGGAGCTATCCAGGAGACCTGGCCGGAAGTGCGAAGAATACCCAAGGCAAAGGTATCCAGATCACTGTCGATGTTGAGATGCCCCAAAACTCCTTCATCCAGCAAATGCGATCGCCTAGCCACCCCATATCCGTCACAATGGGAAACACATCTCTTGCCCCTAACGCTGAGCCTAAAATGACCTCGGCATCAGCAACCCTCAGTCTTGGTAGTGCTGAGCTCGACAAGGATTTTATTCTACAAGTCGTATCAAAGAACACTGGAGTACCGACTGCTATACTCGAAACCCATCCTACACTCCCTAATCAGCGCGCCTTGATGGCAACTCTAGTGCCGACATTTTCACTCCCACCTGAGAGGCCAGAAGTTGTTTTCATCTGTGACCGAAGCGGTAGCATGGCGGGCAGCAAGATTCCGCTCGTCATCAGTGCCCTGAAAGTCTTCCTGAAGTCTCTGCCTCTTGGTGTAAAGTTTAACATCTGCTCCTTCGGTTCTCATCACTCATTCCTATGGGATAAGAGCAAGTCCTACAGCCAATCGAGTCTTGATGAAGCTATTGAATACGTAGATACCTTCCGGGCAGATTATGGGGGCACCGAGATGTTCGCACCAATCAAGGCCACTTTGGAACGACGATACAAAGACATCCCACTTGAAGTGATGCTACTTACCGATGGCGAAATTTGGGATCAGGAGACCCTGTTCTCATACCTTAATAAGGAAGTCATCGAAAGTAAGGCATCAATACGCGTGTTCACCTTGGGTATTGGGAACGGTGTTTCTCATGCGCTCATCGAAGGCGTTGCAAAGGCTGGCAATGGGTTTTCCCAGGCAGTGGGCGAAGGCGAGAAGCTTGACAGCAAGGTTGTTCGCATGTTGAAGGGTGCATTGTCGCCGCACGTCACTGACTACAGCTTGGAGGTGAAATACGTTGACGACGACAGCTTGACTCTCGACGATGAGTTCGAGATCGTTGAGAAAGTGATCGACAGTTTGAGCATCAAGACAACGGAGGAGACAACGAAAGACGAACCAGTAAGTCAACTTCTCTCTAATATACTTGCCTTGGAAGGGATCGAAGTTTCTGATCGCACTGTGTTTTATTCTCCACTATGCTAGTCAGCATTCATGCCTTCAGCTTCGTACAGTGCGTCGTCATTTATATCCACACACTTCTCTACCACCGCTTGTGGAGCCTTATGGTATTTAAGAAATCAAGGGCGACGGGCGACAAATCACACTTCCAATCTGTGTACACTCCTCTGCCACTGCTTAGGTGGTCTAATGAGTTTGCCAGGTGTTCAAAAAGCAGAACCTGCCTGTGATTCAGAACTCTGAAAATACCATAAGGCACCACAAGCGGTGGTAGAAAGGTGAAACGATATCTATGGCGAGAGACAGTACAATGAACTTAAATCACGCATACTAACGGCAACCCGCAGAAAAAGCCAATATCATTATTCGATCCGTCGGTGAACCTAGACAAGGATGAACCCGCTCCTATTGATGAATCTGGCCAAGCGCGTTACGCCCACCTCCCAACGATTGCGGTACCGAGCGTGCTTCAAGCGCCCCAGAACATTCCTCCTCTTTTCCCATTCAATCGGACCAGTGTGTATCTACTTCTGGGCCCTAGCTCCGTACAAAAAAAACTTAAGTCAGTGGTTCTTCGCGGCACTTCAACACATGGGCCGCTAGAACTCGAGATCCCAGTTCAGATTCTCGACATTCCAGGGGAAACTATTCACCAATTGGCAGCAAAGAAAGCAATCGCAGAGCTAGAGCAGGGCCGCGGCTGGCTTACAGAAGCAAAAGACGAAGCGCAAAAATTACTGAAAAAGAAATATGAAAGTCGTTTCGAAGACATGGTGGAGCGCGAAGCAGTTCGGCTTGGCGTCCAGTATCAAGTTGGTGGGAAATGGTGCTCATTTGTTGCTGTTGAGAGCAACAAGGCCAATAAATCTGCGTCTGACGACTCCACTTTGGTTAACGTGGAATGGCTCGATGTACCTAGCACCAGCTCTACATCGTCACATTCGGCGACTCAGCCAGAATATTTTGCGCCTTCTAGGGGCATGGATCAGATCAAGGCCAGAATGATACCACATGGTACTCGATTTGGCGGTTCTGTCCAATCTGCCTCTATGCAAGGAACTCGTAAGGGTCTCTTTGGCTCCGCACAGTCTAGTTCCGCCTCAACAACTTCCAGCTCGTTGTTCGGAGCACCGGGAGCGCCGCTGCCACCAATGGCACCCTCATCACCTTTCGGGGCACAGCAGGCATCATTTCCGTCATATGGGAATAACAGCCCTTTCCAACCAGCAGCTGCAACGCAACGACACTTCCAGTCGGCGGCTGGATCGAACGTGCTAACAAAGAATCTGGACTCCGTACTCCAACGAGGTGAACGTCTAGACTGTTTGATCGACAAGAGCGATAGTCTCTCTAGCAATTCGAAGATGTTCTATAAGGAGGCAAAAAAGCAGCCATCTCTTTGTGGCTCCATATTTGGCAGCAGTAGTGCCCCTAAGCCGTCTAGTGCTGCACCAGCGCTGTTCGGTTCCCAGAGCGTTCAAAAACCTAAGGCTGCGAGCAGTCCGCCCCGTCCAAAGCTGGATACATTGGTAGAACTTCAGACCTTTGAGGGTTACTGGGAGTGGAGCGAGGCACTATTTGCTGTGATTGGTATTAGAAAGGAGCAGGCGGAGAAGCTGGCGACAACATATTCTCAGAGAGCTGTTGCGACTGCGCTGGCTGTGGTATTCTTTGAGAAGAAGTTGGCTAGTAAGAAGGATGCATGGGAGCTGGTGGTTGAGAAGGCCAAGGGGTGGCTGCAGGTTGAATTAGGGGCAGTACCGGTCGAAGATGTCATTGAAGTGACTGGTCACCTGATTAACTGAATGGGCGATTGATGCCTATCAGTCTGATGTTTCAGAAAAGGAGTCATGTTGAGCGAGCACGGGGGAAATGGGTCCCCATCACCCTAGGCGTAGGGGTATAATAAGTAGGAATGAAATACACTCAATTACGATCCGTACGAAGTCTCCTGTCTTTATGCTATGTGAACATGATCTGGAAGTTAATTAATGCGTTGAACATAAATTACTGTCTCTCGCCATAGATACCCCGTACTGTTCTACCACCGCTTGTGGTGCCCCATAGTGTTTTCAGAGTTCTGAATCACAGGGAAGTCCTCCCTTTTGAACACCTAGCAAACTCGTTAGGACACCCCAAGCAGTGGCAGAGGAGTGTACACAGATTGGAAGTGTGATCTCGTCACCTTAGATTTCTCAAAATACCATGAAACCCCGCAAGTGGGGGTAGAAAAGTGTGCGGATATTTATGACCACGCACTGTACCAACATAATCTGACCAGAGGCTCTCAGCTACTGAAGCCCCATGACATAATTTTGCTTTTCTAGCATACCAGTGATACAAAAGTGCTCTCTGCATTCCTATGGCGGCGGATTGCAGCGGTGCACATGACGTCGACTGCGGTTTCACGTGAAGCTGAGAAGTGTTTTCGCAGGTTGCGCGACTCCATATTCAATTTCTTATATCGAGTAAATTCATAATTTCTCAAACTAATATGATGATGCCTTAGTACCTATATAGTAAGCTGCTCTTCCCTGGTCTCTTCATTGCGTTGTATACCTTACGACCCCACCTTCAACATAGCCTCCAGCTTCTTTCCAGATCCTATAGGCACTCACCTCGCCGCAATGAAGTCACCACCTACGACATCCAGCGCGTCACATGACGCACTTATTCGAAGAGCCACGTTTCGGATTTGAAGGCAATAGATATAGAAGTGCATCCCTACTCCATCATTTCTTTCATACCCAAAGCCGAACACCCTGCGTTCTTCACATCGATAGTTCTCCGTGTAAGGACACCACATTACTTCATCTTGATTAAGTGGATTTTGCGAGACCAAGCTCACATCATGCGCGCCTCCGCCATCATTATGTTGGCCATTTTCGCACTGGGTATTTCGGCGATGCCGAGATGGACACCGTTGGCTGAATTTGATCTTGAGGCTCGCTCGGTCGATGAGTATGCTGGGAAGAGAGCGACTTGAGCGGAGTTTTCTACAAGGGAACACGATGAAAGGGAAAGCAGTAAGGGTACGTGATTTGAGAGTTCTGAGGGATGAAATCTGATATGCTGATTCGTATGATGGATAGGCTCAATTTGAGTATCGATAGAACTGAAACTGGCACGCTGGACGGTGCTGATTAGGCCGGTATCTTTTGAAAGTTTGGAAATTTTTGCGGGTTGACGGAGTAATCGAGTATGGATTCTGCTTTGGGGTTCCTTGGCTTATTGACTGCTTCAATATCTTCCTTAAACACCTCGTAGTAGTAATGCCTATGCCAATCCGTTACGAACATCTCTTATATTGTAAGGTCCACTACGCATCTTGTGCATTGAGTCGTGACACGAAGGTCCCGTCTATGTAATGGGGGTATCATAAATCATGTAGCAGGTTTGTTGATTCCGATCAAGCCAGCTGGTATCGTTAGCATTTCGAGAATACGCAGACCGCCTCTCATAGTCCGCTCTTCTCTCCACTAGCAGCCGTCTCCGCCGCAGCAGCTTCCTTCTCGAGCGTTTTCAGAAAGCCATTCGTCATTCGCACAACCTGCTCATACGCGATCTCAAACCCATTCCTCGCTCCGTAATAGGGGTCTGCAATCTCTTCGCCTTTTCGCCCTCCAAACTCTCCAAAGAGCATGACTCGGCCCAGTTCATGGTCCTCCAGGTTGTTCTGCTTCAGCAACCGCTTCCGTAGACGGACCAGGTGGTCGGCGTTGTCGTCGTCCATGGCCATTATGTAGTCGAAGGTAGTGAAGTCGCTGGTGCTGAACTTCCTAGCACGGTGCTTGTAGGATTTGATGCCGTTGTCGGCGAGGGTCGACATGGTGCGGGAGTCTGGGCCGTCGCCGATGTGGTAGGCTCCGGTCCCGCAACTATCGATTTGGTTGATGAGAGGGTGGTGGGGCCCGTGTTTGGGTTTTGCGATGTGCTGGAAGACGCCTTCGGCCATTGGGGAGCGGCCTGGGGATGTTAGCTTTGGCGGAATGGTATCGAGGTAGATCTTACAGATATTGCCCAGGCAGACGAATAGGACTGAGACCGGCTGCATTGGGGCAGATGGCTTCTTGGTAGCCTCGCCGTTCATGTCACTGGCTGCTGATGCAGTTGATTCTCCTGCAGTCATGGTTGTGGTAGAACTGGGTGGTGGAGCTGCAGGCGTGTGAGGTGAAAGGCGCAGGTGCCACAAGATTTCCAGATAGATAGTCTGCCTGCAGTTCTTTCAACGCAACGTTGGATCTAAGAGCGTGTCTGCCGTATTCTATTGGCATGAAAATGCCTTCAATACGATTAGACGATTGTTCAAATCTTCGGCTGCTGTGAATTGGGATTGTGGCTTGCTACTTGCGCAGTGTTGGTAAGTTTGCACGTGACCTTCTACTTTAATGCTCTTGTCACTCTACGACAACGCTAGCATTCGGTACGAGTCCTGTTTGCCTCAAAGGGGCATTGTTGTCGGACTGGCTTGCACTCTAGATGAAGATTGAACACCAGGAATGATAGCTTCCACAGTCATTCAGCGTCAACCTACATACTCAACCCAATATCGACGGCTACAGCTACCTTAGTCGGTTAGGCCTAGGCTCATGACGGGTCCAACATATTGACACAAGTACTGTACAAGGATACTTTCAGGCTTAGAGGGAACAGCCTTTCAGTAGCAAGATGAAACGGCGCGAGTGGACAGCACCCACAGATGCTTACTCTGAAATAGATAGTCTATAGGATGCTAGGTACCTTCTCCCTCTTGTAGGGTACGCACTGGCCCCTAATTTCAATGTAGAAGGATCTTTTGACTGCCCAGCCCTCATTCCGGGACTTCGGGTGAGATGGTACGGCGCCAGATGGAGCCGCTATGCCTACTACTTTCTAGCCTGCAAGATAAGGCAACGCGCTTGGCGCTAGAATTCAAGGCAAGGCTTGGAGCTGAACGGCTGAAAGCTAGGGACCCAGTCTAGAATGGTGGCCGAAAAGCCATTCAGAAGAACCTCTTGACGCGGATACAGTCGTGTGCAGAGGGCAAAGAAGTGTGCGAAAGGATAACCACAGCGGCATACGGGCGGAGCGTCTCCATGAAAGTGCGCGTCTTTGTCACGTTTCCCGGTTTAGAATAGACGCAGCACTGGGCATGCTTGACCGCGCAGGTGGCTGCGAGGATCGTTGTGGCTGAATGCTGAGACCCCCGACTCTCCATCTTCACTACACCGTTCCTAGCGCGGCTGAGAGACAGCTGACCGAACACTATCACACTATTTACACTTACATCCACCCTCGCTGCATCCTCTTCCTCATCCATTATCCCGTGGCCGCATTGTTGGCCTTTCGTTGCTCGTTGCCGCTCCGCCAGCGTAAACACGCGGCCAAACCAAAACACACCTGAAACGACTCTGCCGATCCGCCTCGGCGCATTCCAGAGCCTTCACTCGCGTTTCCTTGCCTACGCGATCATTTCCGGGGATCAGCCAGTCAGCGCCAGCTCACAAGGGCCACAAAGAATCGCCATGTCCCGCTACAACAGACTTGGTGAGTGCAGGCTTCTCTTGTCTTTGAGGAAGTCAGGGCCCTTTGTGGACTGCATAGCCCCAGATCCACGTCGTTGGTGCTGTATACGGCCCTAGCTCCTGGAGTCATTCCAGTATTTGTGGAGGCCGCCGTGCGCACCGTTGTCGCAATTCGTTGCGCTGAGTGTATTCACCAAACTGACACTCAACTTGCACAGGGTCCGCAGGCGAAGAAAGCGAGCATTACGACGCCGGAATGGATCCTCGAAGAACAGGGCGCTCGCCGTCGCCGGGGCATCCTCTTCAGAGCTACCAACTCGATGACAGACCATACATTCCCTCAACCTCTCCAGGCGCGCCTTTGGAAATCCCCATGGGCCCGGGGCCAGGACCGGGCACTTCAGGAGACAGACTACAAGCGCAACCGACAGTGAGTGAGAAAAAAAGCAGGGCGCAGCAGAGTCTAGGCTGACATCATGACAGTACTCAGTTGAAAATATACACACCTCTTATGGCCATAACGAAGTCTACGAAACCGACCATCGCTATTCCCCTGGCCCGTACAACCCTCATCCCCAAGGCGGAGAATACGCGATATCTCCCCAAGATCACCACGATGCATACTTCAACCAGGGCTATGATCCTCACCCTGGGGTCCAGGACCAACATTACTGGCAGGATGACGCAGACGACCGGCCGATGTTACAACCTGACAATCCATATGGCCCAGATCCACACTCACCAACAAGTCCAGGTGGCTTGGAACCCCCGGGCGAAGAGTATCACGACGAGCCTGCCCCAGCACCAAGTCCTACACCATTGAAGAGATGGAAAACCGTGAAGGAAGTGCAACTGTTCAAAGGCAATCTCGTGCTAGATTGCCCGATTCCCCCCAGACTGCTCAATCAAGTCAACCACGCCGCACCGCCAGAGCGCGACGAGTTTACGCACATGCGATATTCTGCCGCAACATGCGATCCGGCGAATTTCTTCGAAGAGCGCTTCACTCTGAGGCAGAAGCTGTTCGCTAAGCCAAGACACACGGAACTATTCATTGTCATCACCATGTACAACGAAGAAGACGAACTATTCGCGCGAACAATGTCTGGAGTCATCAAGAACATTGAATATATGAATTCCAGGACAAACAGCAAAACATGGGGCAAGGATGCATGGAAAAAGATTGTTGTGTGCGTGGTCAGCGATGGTCGAGCTAAGATCAACCCCCGGACTAGGGCTGTACTCGCTGGTTTGGGAGTGTACCAGGACGGCATCGCGAAGCAGCAGGTCAATGGCAACGATGTCACTGCGCATATTTACGAAGTAGGTACAGCAGATGGAGAAGCAAGGCGGAAAGCTGACAGATTGACCAGTACACTACTCAAATGACTGTGGAAATCAAGAAGGGGATTGTCAACGTCAAGAAAGGCGTAACACCGGTCCAAGTTCTCTTCTGCTTGAAGGAGAAGAACCAGAAAAAGATCAACTCACATCGATGGTTTTTCCAGGCTTTCGGAGCCATTCTGGACCCTAACATCTGCGTTCTTATCGATGCCGGTACCAAGCCTGGAAAGGACTCTGTGTATCAGCTCTGGAAGTGCTTCGATCTTGAGCCAATGTGCGGTGGTGCTTGCGGAGAAATCAAGGCCATGTTGGTGCATGGCAAGAAGCTTCTCAACCCACTTGTTGCAACGCAGAACTTCGAGTACAAGATGAGCAATATTCTGGACAAGCCGCTCGAATCGGCCTTTGGATTCATCTCAGTGCTTCCAGGCGCCTTTTCGGCTTACCGATTTGTGGCTTTACAGAATGACAAAACCGGAAATGGACCGCTAGAGAAATATTTTGCCGGCGAGAAGATGCATGGCGCCAATGCTGGTATCTTCACCGCCAACATGTATCTTGCGGAAGATCGTATTCTCTGTTTCGAACTAGTCTCCAAGAGGAACTGTCACTGGATCTTGCAATACGTCAAGTCAGCCACTGGCGAGACCGACGTGCCTGTTGAAATGGCCGATTTCATCCTGCAGCGTCGAAGATGGCTCAACGGCAGTTTCTTCGCTGCCGTGTACGCCCTTGCTCATTCTCATGAGATCTTCAGAAGTGACCACACCTTTATCCGCAAGTTCATGTTCTTGATTGAGTTCGTATATCAGACGATTAGTATGCTGTTCGCATGGTTTGCAATTGTAAGTGATCATGCTGAGAGGCAATCTAGACACACTCTTAACATTTCCATAGGGTAACTTCTTTCTGGTCTTCCACATCTTGACCAACTCATTGGCAGACTTGCTGGGCACTGCCGGCAAAGTCCTGTTCGTTGTCTTTGAGTGGACATATTTAGCAACCCTAGTCACTTGCTTCGTTCTGTCACTTGGCAATCGACCTCAAGGTTCCAACAAATTTTACATGAGCATGGTGTACTTTTGGTGCATTATCATGGCGTGAGCATGAATTCCCTCGATTTTCAGGATGATTCTGACGACTGTCTAGTTATCTCATGTTTGCTTCAATCTTCATCACTGTCAAATCTGTTCAAGCCGAGATCCACTCCAAAGACGGCCTCACCTTCCACGATATCTTCACCGACAAGACCTTTTTCACGTTAATTGTTTCGATGCTGTCAACCTACGTCCTCTATCTACTCGTGTCAATCATTTTCCTGGATCCATGGCATATGTTCACGTCGTTCATCCAGTATCTCCTCATGACGCCCACCTACATCAACATTCTCAACGTGTATGCTTTCTGCAACACGCACGACATCACGTGGGGCACAAAAGGAGATGACAAGGCCGAGAAACTGCCCTCGGTGACAACGAAGCCGGATGGAAAAGCAAACATCACAGCACCCACAGATGATGCAGATCTCAATACCCAATACGAGGCGGAACTTCGCGTCTTCGATAGCAAATATGTAGAGCCGAAGAAGGAGGCGAGTGCTTCGGACAAGCAGGAAGATTACTACAAAGGATTCCGATCCTCTGTCGTTCTGTTATGGATGTTCTGCAATCTCGCGCTTTGTGCCGTGGTCCTCCAAACGGGTGGATTGAGTGTTGCTTCCAAGAATGGCCAGGTAGACACGGATGAGCAGCGGAAGGCTCAGATCTACCTGACGGTTATCTTGTGGAGTGTGGCGGGTCTCAGTGCTTTCAGATTCATCGGCGCCATGTGGTTTTTGGTTGTACGAATGGTAAGTCTCACGTTCCCGCAAGCTCCGTGCCGCTCCCAATGGGCTATGTTGGCTGACAATATTCTAGTTCCGCGGTGTGTAAGCCAACAGCGGGTATTTTGGAAAATGGATTTGCTAGTAGTTTCTGTGTACTCTTTGGGTATTGTTCGGTCCACAGGCATACTCGAGGGAAGCTGTAGAGAGCGATTTACCGCCCAACCGTGCGTTGGTCTTTCATTGCTTGCATATGTGCCGCATTATGCGGGGCTTTGTCTTACTAAATATGAGGGAGCGAGCGAGCGGTGTTTCGGGGAGCAGTTCAGCACTAGCATGATACCAGCCAGCATTAGACTAACTACAACATAAGGTCTAAAAATCACTTTTAAATTTGGCCTGAGTCTTGATAGAATAATGTGCGTGTTTCCTTGGCATGCTGAATCACCGACGATCCCTTTCCTCTTTATTATGTCTCTCGTAGTCGTCCCACATGCGACTCTTCCATCCCTCATTATTCGCTCAAGCCGCCATTCATCTGAAAGATGCTTCCTCTAGCCCTTCCCTTCATGGCCCTTCCCTTCATGCCAGCGTGTCCCCATCTCCATAGTCCCGCAATCATGGCATCTCTATCCTTCTCCAATTGCACCCAGCTTTCCCCTGATCTATGGCCTTGAAAAGGAGTTCAAGAACATGTGTATATCGGGTGAATTTCGTCGTCTTTGTCGTATCGTATTCGCTTTGTGTTGTAGTCTATCCTTGCTTTGCTCGCCGCGAACTGCTGGGTAGCTCCCTAGCTCTCACTGCCAGGGTGTCGTCACCACTGGCATGTGCCGGATTGCTGGCGGCTAGGCGTCGGCTTCAATTTCCAGGCGTCGGGTGCTTCAATACATCTTCGAAAAGATGCAGGTGTGTAGAGTGCTGCTGTCTCTGATAGTGGATGGGGCCCTCTGGGGCAGTCCAGAGGGTGAGCGCCCGGTCGGGTTCATAGACTTACATCTCATCAAGCACCTTAAAGAGATATCGAAGCGCTCCCCACCGTTGGCCGGGCCGGTTGCGGAGCAAGCTGGGTGGAGGGTCGCGGGCTATCTAGGAAGCCGCGCGACTCGATCTTAGTGGCGGGGGGAACAATCTCACGATGAGCTGGCTTGCTTAGACTATCTCTAGATGGGGTGAGATGTAGAGTACTCTCTCCAGGCACACTGGGAAACCGCCTATCGCGTCTGTTCCTCGTGTGCGGGCCATTCCAGCCGCGTGAAGTGTTGAAGCTGCCTGGAGCACCTCACCGTGCCATCGCAGCTCTTCTTCCAGGCCTTGAAAGCTGGTCCACTAGAACAGTCGAACAGACCCTGAGCTGGAGCGGCAGGAGCAAGAGCGACTGCTGCTCGCTTGCAGCCTCTTCTGTTGTGATCCTGAACGCTCCACGCCCGTTGCCTGGCCACCGACTCGACTATTTCAACCAGTCCGCCTCACCTCGCTCCGTCACCTCTACACCACACTCCATCATCGTCGTGTGTCCCTTTACCTTGCAACACCTCGACGCAGGCTTCGTTCTTAGAAGCTGCATCTCTGCACATCTCTGGTAAGTCATCGCGCGTCTCCTCCGCTACCCTCACCCGCGTTTGTGTTTGCTGTCGCGACGTCTCTCATGGCGGCTGCTACATCAACTCGCAACCCTCTGCTCCCTCTTCCGCTCACTTCGCTCGCTCGTGCGGTCTCACTACTTCGTCTGGGCAAGGCTGACATTCATCGCTTCTAGCTTACAAGGTACTACTCCACCCTCCAAGTCATCGCGTCTCGACGCGCCGACCTCATCTTCGCCACTCGTCTACCAACGCGAGCTAACATTGACCTTTCGTCAGCTCTTCTCTCGTTGCGTTACTGCAGCCCATCAAGATGAGCTGGGACAACACCGGTGGTACGTTGATCTCGATTTCTTCTTTTAATTCTGTGCCTCACTAACATGAGTACAGGTGCCAGCGGTGGCTGGGAAGACAACAGCGGCGCTGCCGCAGGAGACGACTGGGGCGCTGGCGATGCTGGTACTGGTGACGCCAACGGCTTCGGCAGAGGCTTCGGAGGAGGCGAATCGAACGGCTTTGGAGGCGCCGGCGGTGATGCTGGTGGAGGAGGCGATGGCCTCTGCCGTGTGTATGTGCTCCGCTCCTCTCTTTTGATCTGCGCAACCACTGACATTAGCATAGCTGCCAGCAGCCTGGACACATGGCTCGCGAATGCCCGGACAAGCCTCCCATGACTGGAGAATGTTTCAACTGCGGCGAAATAGGCCACAACAAAGCCTACTGCCCAAATCCTAAGGTCGACCGCCCCTTCACGGGCACTTGCCGTCACTGTGGCGAGGAGGGCCACGGCATCCGAGACTGTCCTACGAAGCCGCCGTCGCTGTGTAAGAACTGCGCCCAGCCAGGACACAACGCTGCTGAGTGCACTGAGCGTCGTGCTCGTGACTGGAAGGGGATCCCAGAGATCGACGCCACGGAGGCCTGGAAGATGATCGTCGATGCCGCCGTCGTTCGAGACCTCGACGATTTCCGTTTCGCATTGAAAGCATATGCGCGTGCGAGTGGCGAAGACTTCAGCTTCGTCCAAGTTGAGCAGGCCCTACGTGAAGACAACTCCAACGTATGGCTCGTGGCGCGCGAGCAGGAGGTCGAGAAACACTTGACCATCGTCGACTTCCAAGGCAATCTCGACAAGAAGTATGTTGTTGGCTTTCAGTTCTCTCTTAAGCCTCGCCGTGCCAAGATGAAGGAAGGATACCCTGCGACGGAAGAAGAGAACCAGCAGCGTCTTGCCGACGCAGGCTTCATCGAGGATCGTGGTATTCCGATCTGCTCGCGATGCAATGGTAAGCAGAAACTGTACAACCAACTTTGACGACGTTTGCTGACCAGCGTTAGAACTCGGCCATATTCAGAAGAATTGCGAGCAAGAGCCCGAGGAGCGCGAGGTGCTCGCCGTTACCTGCTACATCTGCGGAGAAAAAGGCCATCGTGCTCGAGACTGCACCCAGGAGCGTGTTGACCGATTCGCCTGCCGCAATTGCAAGAAGTCTGGTCATAACGCCAACGAATGCCCGGAGCCTCGCTCTGCTGAGGGCGTCGAATGCCGTCGCTGTCATGAAACAGGCCACTTCTCCAAAGACTGTCCGAACTTTGAGGCAGCCCCTCGCGGATGCCGCAAGTATGTATCTCGTCCGTCTCTTTCTTTGCTCTTGTACTAACCTTCTCTTAGTTGCGGCGAGGAAGGCCACATGTCCAAGGAGTGCGACAAGCCGCGCAACCCGGACAACGTGACGTGCCGCAACTGCGAGAAGATGGGTCACTTTTCGCGTGACTGCCCTGAGCCCAAGGATTGGTCAAAGGTCAAGTGTGGCAACTGCGGAGAGAGTAAGTCGTTATTTGATGATTCCAGTTCCACAACCGTACTGACTTTATCATAGTGGGACACACGGTCAAGCGCTGCAAGCAGCCCGTTGCTGAGGAGGGCGCTGATGGCGGATTCGGTGACGGCGGCTTCGGCGGTGCTGGCGCTGATACTGGCTTCGGTGACACTGGTGCCGCTGATGCCGGTGGTTGGGGCGGTGATAGTGCGACCCCTGCAGCCGGTGGTGATAGCTGGGGCGGTGGAGGAGATGCTGTGGCTACCAATGGCTGGTAGGCGACTACTGTAGGCCCCTCTTTGCTTCAACTGAAGTAACCTGGTCTTTCTTCGGTGTAGCACATGTTGCATCATCTTCCCTTCTTTTGTCTTTCTTCCCTGGTTGGCATGAAGCTGACAGGATTGCATCGGTATTGGGCGGGCTTGTTCTGCTGTACAGTATCGGCACGGTCTCAATGGGGTTTCAAGTTGGTGTGTTTCTTGATGGCGAGTGGTAGATGCACTACGGGTCCTTCTTGCTTCCGGCCTTGGAGGACGAGTGGAAAACTCGAAAAGCTGTTGTGCTGTAGCTGAGTATAGCCAATGCAAGATTCCCAAAAGCCTACCGGCATACAACTTGGTAGTGGTGACAACATGGTAGTTGCTGCGACTTCAGGAGAGCTAGTCACTTTGTCAGGGTGCGAGCTGACAGGCAAGTGGTAGTATTTCCACGAATGGGTGAACATATCTTGGCCAGAAACACTGACAGTCTCTAGGAAGCAAGCTCAAGCATTGTAGCGCAGATTACACGCCTCGTTCAACCATATTTGGTAAAGGAGAGCTGTTTAGTGTCGGGATGGCCGGTTTAGGAAACCCGGAGCCTCTTGGAGCTGGATATTCACGTCTCGCGGACTATGCGGCATCACAAGAGTCAGGATCCCTGAGAAGAATGCTTGGACAGAAGAGGCAATAGGGTGAAGTACGTGTCTCGGGCGCGAGCCAAACAAAGGGAGGCGCTGAAGAAGTGGTAAGTTGACTCGATGGGGGTCAATCATGCAGGAACATACATTCACCAGTGCAGTTGCCAGCACTAATTGCTACGCAGATATAGGTGCTTAGGACGACGACATGCGATGGAACTACAGCAATTCGAGCAACTACTAAACTTCAGTCTGGCTAGGTACAGGAAGGGAGACAGGCACAAAGTATATTCCTCGATCCCTCTCGATCCCTCTCGACCCCTCTCGATCTGCAGCTGAGGAGAGCATGACAGCGAAGCTACGGTACTAATGGTATAGGGCGTTACGCGAGCCGTTCCCTGGACCCGGGGGAAGGTCAACCCGAATGTAGAATGCCGAGTGGGAATCTGGGGTTATGCGGGCAGCGGGGTTTGTCTGGAGAAGCCGTGGGATGGCACGAGGGAGGAGACGTTGCGGAGGCCATCTGGTCCACTCGGTCGGAACGTGGAGGCTGAATACCGGGGAGCACGGGAGCAAGGGTCGCTGCAAGGCATGGCAGTTCCATGCGTGTTCGGCAGCATTCGCCGTTGGGGGCACAGGGGGCAAAGGTTTACAATGCCAGAGTCTTGGCGCATTTTGAAGTACAATGCCAGGAAGGCACTGCAGGCGCCACAAGCCTTGGAGCGATGCCAAATTACAGTGTAGACCACTGCAAATTGGTATTGCACCCTGGCCCTCAGCGTCCACAAGTCGTTTTCCAGCATTGCACAACTCACACAGCCTGCGCGGAGCTGCTCAGCCATCACGTGATGGCCGAAAGCACTCACCAACAACACACAACTTGGGATTTCCACCTTGCAGCAGCTAGTTTCCCCGGTCGCATGTCCTCTGTGGGTGCCTGTGAGGTGTGTAGGAGGAAGAAGAAATGCGAGGGGTGATGCGAGAAGATAGGGGGGATGTGTGCACGTGCTTAGCACGTGCTGAGTTGGTCGAGCAACCCCCCCCCCAAACATAACACTCGGCCACTCCCCATCCTTTCTTCTTCCTCCTACACACCTCACAGGCACCCACAGAGGACATGCGACCGGGGAAACTAGCTGCTGCAAGGTGGAAATCCCAAGTTGTGTGTTGTTGGTGAGTGCTTTCGGCCATCACGTGATGGCTGAGCAGCTCCGCGCAGGCTGTGTGAGTTGTGCAATGCTGGAAAACGACTTGTGGACGCTGAGGGCCAGGGTGCAATACCAATTTGCAGTGGTCTACACTGTAATTTGGCATCGCTCCAAGGCTTGTGGCGCCTGCAGTGCCTTCCTGGCATTGTACTTCAAAATGCGCCAAGACTCTGGCATTGTAAACCTTTGCCCGGCACAGGGGCGCATCGCTTCCATCGAGGCTCTTCGATGGCGGGATGCCGAAAGGGGCAATCCGGCGCAGCCCGCGCACGATGCCTTTGACATCATGCTGCAATTCCCTGCAGCTTCTCCGCTGCGGCGTTACTCGATCGTCGCGCCGCTCTCCACACTTGATCGCAGGTGCCCCAGTGCGGGTAGACAACACGGGGAAGGGCCAATTGCACCGCGAATCATGCTGAAATACCGCGCGATGTGCAGTCGCGCGACCTCGGCGCTACAGGCATGGTGCTTGTAAGAGTCACTTTTTCTAATCCTACGTTCATCATCTGCGCAGGCTCTTTTACAGCTCCTACCAGCACCGTACGTCCGAGTGCAGCTTGGCTGGTATTACATATAAAGACCAGACCGCCATTCTTGTACACCGCTTCACCGCTTGAACATCCTCCTGCCTTGTGCTTCTCCATCGTCCTTCCTCTATCGTCCACTGAGAATTTTTTACACCGTTGAATACGGATATCCTAGCATCTCAAGTGTGCCTCAGAGGCTACAACACACTTCAACATGTTTGGCAAACGGTACTTCGGCTTCAAGGGCACTCAATTGAATGTCGCCGTTGGTATACTCGCCGGGCTTGATTTCTTGCTCTTTGGATATGATCAAGGCGTCATGGGAGGTATTTTGGGCCTGGGCTCGTTCCTCAAGCAGTTTCCAGAAATCGATGTGAACGCTGCATCTCCGGAGCGGAAGAGTCATGTCTCAATCATTCAAGGCATCTCTGTTGCTTCGTATAACGTGGGTGCGTGTTCAGTCCTGTTTCCTAATTCTGAGCTCGGCTAATCTGCACCAGGTTGTTTCTTGGGTGCTATCATGACCATCTGGCTTGGTGATATACTCGGACGACGCAAGACGATATTCTTAGGTTCTTCTATCATGATCGTTGGAGCTACGCTTCAATGTTCGGCTTTCAGTTTGGGTCACTTTATCGCGGGACGAGTAATTACTGGTGAGCACCTTTGTGCCCTCCTAACACTTACTTGATCACTGACCACACTCAAAGGAGTTGGAAACGGTCTCAATACTTCAACGGTACCCACATGGCAGTCAGAAACCTCCAAAAGCCATCGACGAGGCCAATTGGTCATGATCGAAGGTGCTTTAATTACTGGAGGTATTTGCCTCAGCTAGTATGTACATCTCTATGCAAAGCTCTGAGAAATGTAGCTAACCACGGTTCCCAGCTGGATCGACTTCGGCTTCTCCTTCCTCGAACCCAGCTCTGTCTCCTGGCGCTTCCCAATCGGCTTCCAAATGATCTTCGCCATCATCATCGTCGCCTTCATTCTTGAGATGCCCGAATCCCCCCGCTGGCTCATCCTGAAGGGCAAAGACGCCGAAGCCATGTCCGTCCTCTCCGCCCTCAACGACCTGCCCTCTGAAGACCCATACATCCAAGCGGAATATGACGCGATTAAGGACACTGTCCTTGAGATGCAAAAGGGCAGCTTTAAGGACCTGTTCACTATGGATGAAAATCGACATCTACATCGCACCATCCTCGCCTACGTCAACCAGATGTTCCAACAAATAAGTGGGATTAATTTAATTACATACTACGCCGCTCAAATCTACGAGAACTACATCGGTCTCTCGCCCTTCATCAGCCGTATCCTCGCAGCCTGCAACGGCACCGAATACTTCCTGGCCTCCTGGATAGCCGTGTTCACAATCGAAAAGTTCGGCCGACGCTCTCTTATGATCTTTGGCGCTACAGGTATGGCGACTTCGATGGCCGTATTAGCCGGTACGACGAGCGTCAACGGCGCCGGCGCCGGCATCGTCGCCGCCGCCTTCCTCTTCATCTTCAACACCTTCTTCGCCATCGGGTGGCTGGGCATGACATGGCTGTACCCAGCCGAGATCGTGCCCCTGCGCATCCGCGCGCCCGCCAACGCGCTGGCGACGAGCGCGAACTGGGCCTTCAACTTCATGGTCGTCATGATCACGCCCGTGGCGTTTACGAACATTGGATACCAGACGTATATCATTTTCGCTGTCATGTAGGCCTTCCCCAATCCCAATCCACAGCCCCAACCCCCCTTTCCCCCAAATCTCGAGCTAAGCTAATGTTGAACGTAGTAACGCTTTCATCGTGCCCGTGACTTACTTCTTTTACCCGGAGACGGCCTACCGCTCGCTCGAGGAGATGGACTCCATCTTCCACAAAACGACATCGGTGTTCGACGTCGTGCGCATCGCGCGCGAGACGCCGCGGCGCTATGGCAAGAATGGCGAGCTGCTGATTGCGTACGATGATACCGAGGAGCATGCGGCGGCGGCACGGCGGCGGAGTAGTGCGAAGCCTACGCATGATGAGAATGAGAAAATGTGAGTGTGTGCGGTGATGTAAGTAAGGTGTGTGTGTGGGGGTGTGTGTGTGTGTGGGAGGGTAGTCTTAGTTTTACGCATTTAGGGTACCGGAGTACGAGGTGTGGACGCGACTTTATAACATATGTTGCGAATTACGAGCATGGTGCATGCATCACATATCTGTAAGACGTGTTTGTTTAGTGGAGAAGGCTGTGAGGTGCCACGTGCGTGGGGTGTGGATTGAAAGATGCGAACACTGCATGCCAGGAGACCGCAACTACTAGCCTATCAAGGCACATATCTACTAATTCTATCCCGAAAATAGCACTAGCGTTCTTTCAAGGGAGTATGACTGGAAAAGCTGATTCTCGAATTCGAGCATGCTTCCCCAGATACCAGGGGCACATTCCACCCTGCTGTGCCACCTCATTCCTGCCAGGTATTGGATTCCGGGGTGCTGGGAAGCGAGATAAGCAAGCAAGTTTTAAAGCTGCCTAAAGCGCCCTTGAGATGGTCTCGATGGAGACGAAATTGTTTTCGCGATGCTTCCTCAACCGCTGAAAGTACTGTGGATGGCGGTAAGTCTTCCCATTCGGGGATGGCCAAGTCGGAACCCGCGTGATGTTAGGATTGGATTGATGGATGTACCGATGGCGAGCGCTGGTAGGTCGTGTTCTATAGACTGCGAGGACTTCATTGACTGATGTTGTGTCTTAGCTCCGAGTGTTGCGCTTGCGATGAGTCTGGACGGGACATGTGGTGGCGAAAGTGGGTTCTCATGCGAAGGTTCTAAGTTCGGGGATTGTTGCAGGTATGGCCAGCTGCTATAGCTCATGACATGCTAAAACCACGTGCTAACATCCAGCATATAGCCACCACGGCTTCTGCGGCTTCGACGAGTCGCACTGCGCAGCACCGACCTGCCAGTCTGCCTTCGGATCCTGCCAGACCCCTAGCGTCTCTCAGTGGACTGCAGTGTGTATGGCAAAGCTAAACGATCCAGAGGTCTGTAGCACACTGCCTGTGGTTCCCGAAACTGCGGTCTGCGCGCGAGCGGTGAAGTGTACTAAGCTCGTTGTTGAATGCATGAACAGAACTTTATGGATGCCCGGATGGTTGGTGGTATTAGGACCTGTCAGGGATAATATGCTGAGCAAGTTGGATATATGCCGGGAGTTTAATCATCAGTGTCAGACTGTGCAACGCGATTGCAAAGAGACGGCGTATTCAGGTGGAGAGACTATGCATTCATTGGGTCCGGAAGGAGGAGCTTCGGGGGTCCCTGAGTTGTGAATGGGTTTGTTGGAAGTAATCGCAGCGCAACAAGGGCTTCAGTTGTTTTTGGATTGCTTTTCTAGGTCTCGTAGCCGTTCGACTAGTTTTTCACGGAGGAACGTGGAGAGTCCAAGTCTGTTTAAAATCAACCAGAGTCATCATTTCGATAATGGATGAAACTTACATTCCCTCCCGTGTCACAACGCGATAAGTGCCGCTAGCTTGGTAGCTTCCTCCATCTGCAAACTTGCCGTCCCCATCGACCTCCGCACTCCCGAAGATATCTTCCGGCCACGCTATCCTGCCCCAATCAGGCGGGTTCCTGGTATCACTGACATGTATCCATCCCCCCCGATTCGCACCGCCCATACCGCCTTGCTGGCTAGCTCCTCCAGCGCCTTCGCCGCTATTTCCACCCAGATTGAAACCTCCTGGGGAGGCGAATGCTGCGGCCTGGTATTGGACCTCTGGGTCCTGGGTGGCATATGAGTGGAATACAGATTGTAAGATTCCGAGAAACTGGTGATTCTCGGTGAAGGATGCTGGTGTTGGTGGAATTGAGGTTGTGGTGCCGATTGCAAGGGATTGCGTAGGGGGGTCCGTTGGGAGAAGAGAGAGAATAGATGACTTGGGGTCGCCTGGAGAGGGGAACACGTACTGTATTACGTTAGTAAAGGAGGCTCCGGCTAATTGAAAGGGCAGCTTACGATATGAGGATTGTTTGGGAGTGTAGATAGAGCTCGACCACGGAGAGATAAGTTTCTTGGAGCTCTGGCCAGAGGCCGTAGAGAAGTAATTGTGCGTGAAAACATCTTCAGCTACTCCACTCAGATATATTCACAAGGCCAAACTACTCTGAAAATGTAGGAGATGCAATTGCTTTGGTGTAGTGACTTCGTGAAGGTTTAAAAGTGAATTACCTGATGACGAAAGGCATTCGTCGGCTTTGCGTGTACACGCTAGTCCCAAACCTGATTCCTTACTCTGATCGCAACTCCAACCACACGACAAGAGACGAAGGAGAAGAAGCAAGAGGCAAATGCTGCAGATGACGGATGGTCAATGCCGTTAGCAGACCTCGGGCACCCCTCGCAGCAGCTTGGCCGGCATTCAGCACATTTTTGACCCCATGGACGGCTGCAGCATGGCTCTGCTAATTCCCCACCGCTACGTAAAAATTGTACCCGTGGCTACTCAACGAATAATCCCCGGCATAGGGAACCTCTACGTCGGAGTAATAACCTCTGGTTTTAGGGCTCGTGCACCACAACACTCAACAACCTAAACCACCTCTAGTTCTTGACCAATCTTTTTCAAAAAGGACCAAGGTATAGCCTTGATTTGCGCTTCAATATTATCCAACTTGGATAAAATATAGTGCCCTAAAAAGTACATAAAATACCCTAAAAGTTAATAAAATTTGGGGAGGGATAAACGCACACCCCCTAATCACTCTACGCACACCCCCTTTTCACTCCACGCACACCCTCCCTCTCGTCCAATCTTTTGATTGGCTGGAGCGGCTCGGAGCTTCGTCCGGAGCTCTATTCTCACGTGCATCCGCACGTGTAGCCTTTCTCATTCACTTAGGCGTACGTGAGCTCGTAAGTGAGGCTATACAAATCGGCATAGCTATATAGCCTCTCCGTTTTACAGTGCATCCTTTCCAATTTGTGTAGCCTTAGGTACGAGCTCACGTACGTGCTCACGTACAAGCTCACGTACGGCTCACGTATGGCTGTATATACGGCTGCACGAATCGGAAAGGATGCACTGTAAAACGGAGAGGCTATATAGCTATGCCGATTTGTATAGCCTCACTTACGAGCTCACGTACGCCTAAGTGAATGAGAAAGGCTACACGTGCGGATGCACGTGAGAATAGAGCTCCGGACGAAGCTCCGAGCCGCTCCAGCCAATCAAAAGATTGGACGAGAGGGAGGGTGTGCGTGGAGTGAAAAGGGGGTGTGCGTTTATCCCTCCCCTTACTTTATATTGTAAAAAATTACTACTATAGCTTTTTCTAGATCTTGTTACGACACTACGCTAGGCTGCCCGCAGGCCAGCCTAAAAGAACAGAACAACTGCGCTTAATTGGAAGCGCAGGCGAATTGTAGGCTCTAGTTATAGCCTTCCGGTGCGCACGCCGTAGGCGTGGCCGGCCCCGAGGCGCACGTGATCAGGGGTCACCCGATCTGTAGCACGTGATCGTGCTCGTGCTCGTGCTCATGCTTTATGCTCGTGCTAGGGGAACGTAACACTATCCTCCCTCTTTGAGGACTGCGTCCTCGCAGTCGGCCTAAATTGGATCAACTTGATCTGCTCCGCGTCCGGCAGCTAGACAAAAAGATAAACCGAGCGCATAGTGATGCGGCGGCTTGTGCCCCCTCAGGGTGCTTCGGCCATACCTAATGGCGAAACCCTATATGGGGGCGCGGTGGACACATGCTACAATGCCATCCACCGCTTGGACATGTGCTACGACGTCGTCCAACTTTAGATATCTTCTAGACCAATCCAGGCACTATAAGTGTAGTGCAGCGCAGCGTTGTTAAGATTTGCTTGTGATGACACCACCTGGGTTTAAACCCAACCCAGTTGTGCGTGCTCAAGCACCAGTTGAGCGCAGTCGCTTGTTACGATACCACGCCAGGCTGCCCTTAGGCCAGCCCAAAAGAACAGAACGACTGCGCTTTAATTGGAAGCGCAGGCGAATTATAGGCTTCTATAGCCTTCCGGTGCGCATGTCGCCGGAGCCTCGGGCCACGTGGCACCGAGGGCGCACGTGATTAAGGGTCACCTGATCTATAACACGTGGTCGTGCTCGTGCTAGGGGGACGTAACAATTAGCGGTATTATATACTATTTCTTAATAAATTCTAAACCTAATACTATTTATATAGTCTAAAAATTACTTTAAAGTAAGCTATTAAGCCTTATCTAATCTCTAGTTTATAGGGCTATATATTAACCTAGTTATATTGCCTTAATAGGTCCTCTAAAGCTTGCCATAGGTGATATTCTAAAGCTTGCTATAGGTGACATTTTAGGTGGCTGCAATATCCGTAAGATTGTACTTTCTACTAAGCGCACAGAGTTCCTTTACAATTCTACTAATTTCCTTATAATTTGGCTTAGGCATTTTGTAGTTGTAGTACGCTGCTGTTCGTGGGTGTAGGTGAAAGTAGTAGATGGAGGGGTAAATTTTCGTTAAGCCTGTTTTTCGTTTGAGTACTACGTACGGGCTGATTTTCGATCATTGTGAAACAACCCGAGGGGGCCCGAGTAACGTTACTGTGCAAGCTGCCTTAAAAACGGAGGTTATTACTCCGACGTAGAGGGAACCTTAAAGCCTCCGCCGACCTCGCTCTCATCACTCCCTAAGCCGCCAGTAGCCTCGGACCTTGTTCAGAATATATATTCCGCCCTCTTCCCTCTAAAGTCATATTATTGTATCCTTGTCTATCGATTTTGCTTGCAATCTGATCAGCATGGCCACTGAGCCAATTGGGAAGAGTGGCTACTATGAAGAGCCCAGTATAGCAGTTGGAGAAAGACCGAAAACTGCCAGTTTTCGGCATGACCCCGAACTGGGTGCTGATGTTGTGGATATCGCGAGGATCGAGGCCGTGTATAAGTAAGACATCAAGAACCTGGTCTTGACTACTTGCTGATGGAAGCAGAAAACTGGACCGGCGAATTATTCCAGGTATACATGCCCGATCAACTAAATTAATCATAAGACTCATTCATGATTAGCATTTTGGGTGCTTTACTTCCTCTGCTCTGCTATCCGGTCCAATGTTGGCCTCGCTCAGACCATGAACACCAAACAGGGCCACGACCTAGCTTCAGAGCTCAATCTCACCCCGAAGCAGGTTTCTACTGGTCTAGCTTTATTCTACGTTTGCTATGTCTTATTCGACTTACCGTCTAATCTGGTCATGTCGAAGCTCAGCCCTCATGTATGGATGAGCCGTATCGTCGTCGGTGTCGGTATTATAGGGACGTGTTTGACGGCCATGAAAGCAGCATGGAGCTTTTAGTATGTCATTCTAATAACATGCCCATCCGAGCATTCTCTCATACTTTATAATAGTCTTCTCAGACTCCTGCTCGGTATTGTAATCGCTGGCATGTGGCCCGGGATGTCTTACTATCTCACTCTCTTCTACCCGCCGTCGCGGACTGGCAAGCGTATCGGACACTACTTCACTGCCGCTCAAGTTTCCGCCGCCGTCGTCGGCTTAGTGTCAGCTGGGTTTCAAGAGATGGATGGTCTTCAAGGCCTGACTGGTTTTCAGTGGATGTTCCTTCTCTACGGGCTCGTTGGGATCGTCGTCGGCGTCTCTTTGCTATGGTGGCTTCCAGATCGCCCCTTGCCTCCTGGCGAAGTACGAAATCAGAACGGCTGGAGAAAGTGGATCCCTCAGAGCAAACCCGCTTTGACCGGGGAGGACGCAAGAATCCATTACGAAGATCTGACCCGCGTGTACCACCGCAGCGCCTGGAACATGAAAGACCTTTGGCACGTGGTAATAGATTGGCGTCTATGGCCCCTAGTCATCATGTACTTCGGCGTCGTAGGCGTTGGAATCGGCACCCAGAGCTACGGCACCGTCATAATTCGAGGCATCAACCCCGACCTTACCAGCATCCAGCTAAGTCTGCTCTTCGCCCCTATCTGGATTGTGAGCCCGCCACCCTATCACTTTTCCCTTCTCTCAAACGCATGTTATACTAACGCCAACCCCCAGATGGACCTCATCGCAATCCTCCTCGTTACCCCCCTCTCGGACCGCTTCCACCACCACCGCGCCCTCTTCTTCAGCATCGCCGTCCTCTTCCAAATCGCCGGCCTCCTCATCACTACCTTTGCCAGCGACGGCTGGGCCCGCTACGGCGGCCTCCTCATCGTCGGCTTCGGCCTCGGCCCTACGGTCCCTATCACTATGACCTGGACGAACGAGATCTTCCAGCCGCGCCATGGCGAGGTAGGTGTTGCGGCTGCTAGCGCCCTTGTCTCCGGACTCGGGAATCTAGGGAGTATACTGACGACGTACGCGCTGTATACGGGATGGCCCGAGGATGCAAAGGGGAAACATAAGTATCGGAAGAGCAATTTGGTCATGATTGGGATTCTTTGTGGGAGCATCTTGGCCGCCGGCACGATGGTGGTGTTGTTGAGGTTCTTTGGGACTCCGAGCGCTAAGAAGTTTAGTAGTTCGACTTCTACTAGCGAGGGTGAGGGTGTTGTCATTGATGGGGCGGCGAGGAGGGAGGTGCAGCAGAGGGGGCTGGGGAGGTTGTGGGTTAGGAGGTGAGAGTGGGAAGAATAGAACCAGCGTGCTTGCATGCTACAGAGATTGCTCTTACACTGAGATGGTAGCTTCAAAAATACATTCTCATTTACGCCGAATCCCTATTTTCATACGTCACATGACCCGTTACCTATTCGAGTAAGTCTTGGCAAAACCTCAAGCGTTGAGTCCAGATCCCATTGAAGTGGATCCTGCACCGCATCGTTCGCTTTCGTTCCAAGCCTTTGGCCAGAGGCTGCGATTCAGGTACGTGCCAAAAGACACGCAATCTGGACTCGGAATCAGACCTCATCTCTAATGTGTTTGACCTATCTTTTTTCACACTCTCGAAGCACTCCCACTACACAAAACCCTTGTCACTATCCCTAAATGTGTCGCCCAATTTAGAGCGTCACGGACTCGACATATTAAAACAGAGTGAACTTTACGCAGACTTGCTCCCCTTCCATGATACGAGAGTTGACACAGAATGCCACTTTTCGTATGAACATCGTGTTGAGGGTTTAAGTTGGAGGGAAAGAGGGTATCTTGGTTTATTCATACTCATTCATTCGTGTTTCTATCGAGATATATCTCCCAAGGCTAAACTTGCTCAAACGACTCATCCCCAGTGGCCGCAGACTGCTCAAACCGCTTGCATCACCAGGATGACGTTGAGCGGCACGGCCTTATCTCAAAAAACCCGTCCGCAAAATAATTAGGATACAGAGAACGAAAGTGATATTCCACGGCCCCCGATGCACTTAACCACGCAAAACAGACGCTGGTTAATAGAAATCTGAAGCGAAAGCGGGTATCCTATATTGTCGACACGCCCTTTGTCATCTCCCGCTTCATGCGCCGCCTATACTGCTCCCGGAACTGTATCCGGCCGATCGTGCCTAAACCCACGGCCAAGAATAGCCCGGCGGTCCATACGCACGTGACGACGAGGCCGACGGGGAAGAAGGCGAGCTTGGTGCCGGGGAGGACGTAGTTGGCGCCCTGAGTGGCAGCCGCACCGATTGCAGAAGCAGAAGCGGAGGCGGAGGGGGAAACGGGAGTGGCTGCTTTGGCGAACACGCCGTTGACGAAGGACGCTTCGGTTGAAGAGAGCGTGGTGGAAATTTGTTTCCCGGTTTTGGGACTGTTGGCTGTGAGGACAATCTGTGGGACAAGAAGGGATTGGAGGTTGGCTCTGTTCCGTGTTAGATGGGAGGGGAATATAAGGAGTTGGAGGGCGCGTACTGTGACATGGCTGAGCCCATCAGGTTGCTGTTGATTTTGCCGACGTAGGTGAGAACTTTGAGCTCGCCTGGGGGTGCGGCGCCGGAGCCGGAGCTTTGGCGGTAGACGAGCTCGCTGCCTAGATCTATGTCTCTCCGGACAGGTGGCCAGGATAGTGTCGAGTCGCGCTTCATGAAGGTGCCGTTGGTGGCTTGGACGGTGGCGCCAAGGTACTTCAAAGTCATGCTTACATCGGCGCTGGTGATGCCCACCCAGGGATCGATGGGCATCGAGACGTTGTACATGCGAAGTTCAGCCTCGAAGACGCCAGTGGTGTTGTCGAGGAAGGGGAGGTTGTAGCATACGGCCATGCCGGATGGATTTGAAGCCTGTCCGTTGAGAGCAGATAGGGCATTTGAGCATGCCTGCTGTGTCTGTGTCTCCCACTTGTTCAGGTCGACCTTGGTTGCATCCCCCGACTGTGGTGTCGTCGAGATGGTGGGTGCTGATGCGGTGGCAGATGGACTCTGTCGTCGAACAAGCTTCGCTACAACATCTTCTGCGTGCCGCCGTATCTGGTGCTCGAAGTTTTCGCCGCGTGGGAGCAGATGTGATGCGTCAAGGATACCTCTCGGATGGCCGGCTGAGGCTTGGAGAACCTGAGCGGCAACAAAGAGGCTGCCAGCCAGGGCAGATTGGAAGATCATCGTGACAAAATGAGACAAGAGGTAGGATCAATCTAAGGGTATCTGTATTAAAGAGGGTAGACAGCGAGAATGTAGATGGCGAACTGCACAGCAGCGGCTCAAAGAAGGCGCAAGAAGAGAAACTGAAGTCAGAAGGAAAAAAAGTGCAGAGAGAATTCAGGCGGAGACACTGGGCCGGCCGAGGGGTCATAATAGCTGGAGCTGGGGAGGGGTAGCTGGCAGCATTGAGACAGACGCCATCACAGCGGACTTGGAGACGAGTCTGGAGGCATCACAGCATCAGGAGGCCGTCTGAGGGGGTTTGGCAATGGCGTGAAGGAGGCCGGTGCCTGACAGGGTGAGTAGCATGAATGACTGAATATCTTGGTTGAGACTGCTGCTGAGACGCGGGTGGAGGTGAAAGTTATGCGCCCGGGCTGGCGGAGCTCCATCGGGGCTAGCAAGGAGGGCTGGGCGGATGTCTTGAGCTAAACAGTGCTTAAAGCGAGCAAGCTCAGCGTTCTCGCGGCGATGATTGCTTGACCGGGGCTGCGCGGCGGTCAGTGGTGGTGCGGCGGCAGTGCTTGGTGAGGCTCCTTGACACAGATGAAGTCAGAGTGCTGGAGTGCCCTGCGCAGGGGGCCAGAAGACGGTGGCGCCGTTCGGCTGTGCGCCAATCAGCCCTATCTACTAGCGGGGGGAGCCAGCGGCATGGGTTTCGGATTCGAACGTTGAGCCTCTCTTGAAGGCGGCGGTGTCGCACCTCGAAATGTGTCGACGCAGATTGGCTCGCATTCCTGGTCAGGCGAGTGCCACTGACGGTTGTCGGGCGCCCTGCTGCAGCACCGAGAGCAGCGCCACGCGTCCTGAGCCCGGATGCCACCTACAAAAGCCTGGAGGTGCTCCTGGAGCCGCTCAACCCGCGTCGCGCTGGGCAAAGGTGCCCGTCTGTCGCGCCCTGGTGGAGATTCACGTGTCGTGGAGCCCTTGCGGAGGCAGATGGCAGAAGCAGACTCCACCGCGGCGCCAGCCCGACAGCGCATGCTCAGTGCTCTGCCCGAGGCTGCCAAGCGCGTGGTGGAGCGGTGAAGCGTCCCAGGACGTCGCCAGCTTCATTCGCTCCCTCGCAGCCCAATCGAGCTATCCGCCACCCAATCCACCGTTCCCAGGCCCAATCGCTGGCCGCGACACGCAGCGGCGCCGCCCACGATGTCGAGCGTCGGTTAATGTAGGTACAGTTCGTGGCTCGTCGGGCGCACCCTCACCACCACCACGTCCCTCTCCGCGCGCACCACACCCTTTCCGCCCTGCAGGCTGCGCGCCTTCGCTGGGCAGATCCACCGGCTGCTCTGGCACCACCCGCAGGCCGGTCGGGTCGCGCGCCCTGCGAACGCTGCACCGGGCACTGGAGTTCGGCAGAGACGAATCATCATCATACACATAACCTGCAGCGTGCTAACCCTCCGCGGTGCTCTCGTGCCCGCCAGACACTCGCCCAACGCCCGCAACATGACGGCGCAACTGCTCTCCAGCCCACTAATGCGGCCCTCCTTGCAGAGCTCCCTCTGCCAGCACACACGCCCCAGATGCACACCTGTCCAGAAGGGATGGCCTCGTTGCCCACCGCCAGCCTGCCCGCCCGGGCTCTTTTCATTCCCATTACCCCTGTGCATTGAGTACTTCTATCTTGCACTGATACCTGCCTGCAGTCTGCGCTGCTCTCCCACTGCCCCCTCCATCTCCTCGCCCTCTGGAAATGTCATCTTTGCTTTTCGCGTCTTCTGTTTGGGCCTCCTGCGCCTGTGTCAGCCAATAGCCGTGCAGCCTCTTTCGTATCTTTCCCATGACTGTCTGGCGTCATTCTCTTCTTTGTCTGTTGCATCTGTCCCTGTTCATCTGATAGACTGCTCCCTACTTCTGCAGCGATGCAGCACTCCTCTAACTCACCCTGGCGCTTGCCGCTGCCACAAAACTCGGCTCCCCAGAAGCACGCTTTCTCCCTTCAGCATACCGTATCCATGGTGAACTTACATGAAGAGCCCGACTGGCAGTTCCCGCGCTCGCCGCCGTCGCCATCTGCATCTACGACGTCTTCGACGACCAGTCGTAGTTCCACGCCCACCAACTCCAACAATCCGTACACCAACATGGCGAACTCGTCCACCTTGTCGTTGAGCAACAGAACTTCGCCAAACGGAAGCCCTCAATCCAGAACGCCGCAGTATACTAGTCGATCAGCTACTCCCGTTGCCCCACAGCCAGTCCGGCCTATTGTGGTGAGCACGAGCCTCACCCCCACGAGTCCTGCTACCTCTTCTGCTGGCGAGTCGTTGAGAGGAAACGACTTTCCTCTATCACCGGCGCCAAAATACCCCCAGTCACCTACTCCTAATCCCTACCGGACCAACGGTGCTGTAGCTCCACCTCCTCTACCTACTGCGTTTGTGACTCCAACCCTCCTAACCCAATACGGACGGATGTATCCCGATCTTCTGCGCCGACAAGGCTGGGAGCGCTCTACAGCACAAAGAACCTACACCTGGGCTCTGTCAAACCCTCGGACTGCACTCTTGTTCTTTCTTTGTGACGATGTAGATTCATGGCGTAAAGCTGTAATCTACTGTCTGGAAGACGAGAAGATGCCCTTCTCCGAGGACGACCTTCAAGGGATTGCGGCGAATCCAAAGAAGGCCGTGGAAATCCAGTGGCGAGTTACTGCGAAGGAACTGCCCCAAAATGGGGGGCATGTGGAATTCCAAGCACGCGAAACGGTACCACTCCAGCAACTGAATTTGCTCCGCTCAACAGCCGAGAAGAATGTCGACAAAGTGGCATGGCTTGGCGATTCTGACGACCGCATTCTCGTCCGCAAGCGCTTCATCTATACCCGACCCAGCCAAAAATCGTCGCTCCTAACTCAGATCGCCGACTTCAAACGACTCGACCACAGGAACATCGCCCATGTAGTATGCTCATATGCCCAAGGCAACGTCATCGGTATCGTGACCAACTCGGCGCAGTACAGTCTGGACGACTATCTACAGTTTCCTCTGGACGCCCATCGCGCGAAGCAACTGCTGGACTGGACCAACGACCTCTGCCAGGCGGTCGACTACCTGCATGGACAGCAGATCTCACACAGGACCATCCGCCCAAGGAAGATACTGATCGACGGCTCGCGCATTTACCTCGCAGCTTTCGGCATATCCAGCACATCGTCTCACCACGACGAGGGCAGTCCGCACGCCCGTGACCCCTTATCCACATCCCCACCATCACACAGCAAGCGCGCTGACCCGTCATACTTCACAGACCAGTCTTACATCTATGCCGCTCCGGAAAGCATCACGCCGCGTGCGAAGAAACCCGGTCGTCCCGCCGACGTCTTCGCACTAGGCTGCATCTTCCTCGCCATCATGACTGTGCTGAAAAGTCAGTCACTGACGTCGTTCTCTGCATACCGTGCTGGCGGCACCCACGACGCTTCCTTCCACGCGAATGCTGACCGTGTCGCCAACTGGCGCATGCGGCTGCAGACGATGGGAGGAGGCGGGTGGGCTGGTGCGCAGAGAGAGCGGCGCGAGCAGGCGCTGAAGCTGGAGCTGAGCGTGCTGGGGTGTATAGAGGCTATGGTGAGAGAAGACCCGGGGAAGCGGGTGAAGATGCGGAAGTTGGCGCCGTACATGGCGCGCCTGTGTGAAGTCAAGGGTGCTGGTGGCAGGAGAAGGAGCTTTGACGGGCTGGGGATCAACGGACCTAACGGGATCCAGGGCCTGAATGGGATTTTGAACGGGGCAGGCCCAGATGGGTATTATTCGCAGCGGAGGTACGAGGACTGGGGCAGGTAAAAGCTTTTACCTGACACTGAAGAGGTGGGAGAGAACCTTGATTGTCTACAGACTTATCACCAGGAAAGGAAGAATGAACGATGACGACCAATGAGGGATGACTACACGACGCGAATGACTGAAGATTGCAAAGGAAGCATGGACGGATGGACGGGCGGCTTGGCGAAACCGGTAGTATCTTCTTCCCGTATGTTTTTCGATTAATCCGGCGTGCTTGGAGAATCTAGCGAAGGCGTTTCATTATAAGGTGTTTTTCAGGTCGGCCCATCTGATACCCTTAAATCTCAGTTTTGAGCCTCCTTTCCTTTCTTTCTCACCGTCCCGCTCATTTCTATGCAGCGTTAAAGCATCTATCATGACGCCCACGACCCGCATCCGAGATCTCTCGCATTGAACTAGCGTTCCGCACACTATTCTGAAGCGTTCTGCATCTCTGCGTTGTATTCATCTGACAGCGTTCCGAGCAACACCCATTTCAGCGTGCATAATTCTTTCCTATTCTTCTTTCTCGTAGTCTTGTTTGGATCGGCGAACGGAAGATATAGGCTGGCGCAGGTATATGAACATGGGTTTTGGAATTTTTTATCATCCTCCGATATAGCCACCTCTATCACGAACAATATTACGATACATTATATATACGTTGATAGACCATTCTATGAATGACTGAATCAGTAGTTTGAGCTGAAATGCTTGATAGGCTAGAAACATTGTCGAAGGGCCCTGTGGCCCCTCGATGTTTCGGCAAGCACAATGTAATCGAAAGCCTCGAGCGTGATTTGCAGTCTTCGCCTCGTATGATGGAAAGATGACGTTTAAATCGAAGTCTAATCAGCACGATCGCCGGCAAAGAACGAAACCTGGCCCTGAAGCAGCCCTGAAAGGTCGACTGCGCTAATGACTTTACGCTTCTTACTCCCAGCGAAGAATCACTGTATCAGGACTAGCTGTATGATGAATGGGTAGGGTCTGGAGGATGGATAAAGTGTTTTCGTTTTATACAGATACGTCTACAGCCAAATGCACAGAAACACCATCCCAGAGCCCGTGTCGCTCGATGCAGACAGACGCAAGCGGAATCCGCTTCTCGTTCTTCTTCTTTGCTCCTTCTATGATACAAAATGGCCCCCGCCACCAGCCACCAGCGGATATGCCTTGCTCCGTCCCTTCTTTTCTATCATACCCAAATGACTGCCAAAATGTAGATGGGTGTTTGGTAATACACACGAGAGAAAAAAGCGGCCCTCGTTGCGGGCCACAGACCAAACGTGTGACGCATTCACACAATTACCTCCCCAATATCCACGAGGTTCGGTTTCCACTTCGTCGGCTCCATGCCCTCTGCGTCTGACGGGAGCGTTACGTCCAGCGGCTTGTACAGGTACCAGCTCTTGAGTGCCATGACCGCGGCCCGGACCCGCGCTTCGTCTAAGCTACCGCCCGCCCCTTCGCCGAGCTTATCTCTCCCACTGTACACGCCCACTACGAACACTGGATGCCTGCTCGCTCGCCCCGTTTCAGATATCAGCCGCGCTACCGGCGGCTCGAATCCCTCCCGCGCACATAACTTGCTCAGATCGACCGTCGGCGTGCGGAATTCGAACATCTTCGACAGGTCCAGCGTCCGGCTGAGCCAGTGGCTCGCGAAGAAACGTTTTGTGGTAGCCCGGCCACAGTGCAGGTACGTCGCGCCCATGAGCGCACGCACGAAACTCTCGGCCGCGATATCGAGCGGCACAGGCTGCGAGGGCTCCGGCGTCGTCATGCGCATGTCGCCGAATTGGTCGTCGTAGACGATCTTAGAGGTGATGCCGCGCCGCCAGCCCTTCTGCTCGTTGGGCCGCCCCGTGCCGCGTGGCGCAAACTCGCCCCAGGCCGCGCCGGCAGCCAGTCTGCGGTATTGTAGTAGACCCGGGTCGACTTCTCCGCCGGGCTCGGCGACAGATTCAATGCCCCATTCTTTTGCCATCAGGGCGAGGGCCTTGGTGCCGACGTAGGCAGACTGCGCGGCGAAGAGGACGGAGATGGGGAGGCGGGGGTAGTTGCAGAGGAGATATTCGCTAGTGTAGAGGCCGAGGAGGTTTGAGCCCAGAATCGCGAGGGAGGTATTGTTGAAGTTGGGATCTGGATCCGCTGACTCGTGCACGAGCGCTCGAGCGAGGGTTTGGATGGGGAGGCGCGGAGGGAGGGAGAGACGGGCGTGGAGGGCGGCGAGTTTAGCTGACTTTAGAGCGGCGGAGGGGGGCGGCGATGGGAGTGCTTCCGGGGGTATTGAGACATCGTCATCGCGCTGTGATAGTTCTGTTGACTCGTCGGCATCGAGAGGAGGAAATGTGTCGCCGGCTGAGGTCGATTGAGAACGGCAGCTATGAGGTTGTTGGTATGGGGAGAGGTGATGCTGCAGCGGTCGAAGGGGACATTGAGGGCGGAATTGCGTCCGAGGGGCTAGGAATTGCGATCCCCATCGTTGTATGCGTATTCGCTTCATCAAAGGCCGCGCTGAGCAAGCGAAAGGAGCGTGGTGGAGGGAGGAGCGGCGGGAGTTGGGATGGCTATGTCGTGTGTCTCCTTGACCACCCATAATCAAAATTTCTGGCTGGCGTCGAGCTTCGCGCCAAGCTTCAGCCCGTTCCGTATCATTCCGCGTCAACTTCAACCGCAGACAACGACGACACGGACAGCTCTCCCACCCGCTCTCTCACTCACAATGGCCGGAGGAAAGATCCCGTACGTGTGGAAGCTGCTCTGCCCTCTCCAATTGCATCCTGCTAACTTGTCAGATACCCAAAGCACGTCTGGTCGCCGGCCGGAGGCTGGTACTCGCAGCCCGCAAACTGGAAAGCCAACACGGCCATCATGAGCGGCGTCGTCCTCGGAATCACAGCAATCGCCTGGTCCATAAGCGCAGAGCGGGAGTTCCGGAACAAGATGCCAGAGAAGGGCAGATTCTTCCCCAGCCGATAGTGAGTGGTGACCCATGTACCCGAGCGCGGAGACTGACGTCTCGAAGCTGGAGCAAGCAGATCAGGGAACACGAAGCAGCAGAGGCAGCGAAAGAAAGTGGATCGTAGCGGGGGCGTTTGAGGGGCGTCAATTGGGAATCCTTGTGTTTGCTGGGGCACTTAGGGCTGTACATATTTATCCAGCCTCTTCCTGAAATCTGCAAGCCGTTGCTCGACACGCTCGCCGTTCCACGTCTCTCCGTCTGATGTTCTGATGAGGGTTGGCATACCGATCTGCTCGATTGCGAAGCTGGCTGCAATTGAGCCCCATACTGCTGCATCCTCAACGTTTCCACATCTGACAAACCCTACTGCAAAGCCCCCTAGAAACCCGTTTCCTCCGCCAGTGGGATCGACTACTTTCTCTGCTGATTCATGAACAGCTGGAATCCATTTGCTGACCCCTTGGTCTCTAATATAGCAGCCATCCTTACCAGATCTCACTACGACAGCTCCATCTCCGTCTGGTCCGATTCCCCACTGAATCCACTGCTTCGCCAGGTCCTCAATGGCCCCGTAATCAACATGGCCTTCGCGATCTACAGTCTTTGCATGGAAAGCACCAAGCTCGGAATGATTGGGACTAACGACATCCACATGCTTGAGCGCCACCTTGCAATTCTCGAGCTCCTCGCGCGTGCACAGGTCTGGAACTGGCTCCCAAATGAACAGCGGCCTCGGCTTTTTGCCTGGTTCTGGCCACTGGCCTCTCATGATCAGAATATTCTTGACTAGGTCTACACACCGGATGGGCGAGCAGATCAGATGAAACGACTTGGACCAGAGAAGCTTGCCTTCGAGACAGGTGTGGTCAAGTCGGAGCTTGGGTGTTGTGTAGCGGAAAGCTGCATGAGATCAGACGCGCTACTGTGAGCTGAGATATGACATGCTATGCTATACCTCTGAAATCGTTCTCGCCGTAACCGTTCCAGCCTCTGGTGGTCAGCCTATGCGGTGTTTCGCGCATCAGACATGCCGTGTCCCACTGCACAATGGTCTCTCGCAGCTCGGACGGGAAGTCAGACCCGCAGTCCACGACCCAGCCCACAGATTGAGACTGTGGCGGCGGCGAAAACATGCGAGCTCCTACGGCAGAGTACGTCCCAGCGCCGCCAAGTATATCTTTTGCGGCTGGTTTGGGCGGCGGGAACTCAATCTCGTCTGCATAGATTAGAGGTTACGCTTTGATATAAAACGGGATACCGTAGAGCAATTCACCAATGATAAACATGCCCATGGTGAAGAAGTCCACGCCGTCCGTGTCACCTTCCGCCATGGTCACTGCGGGCGTGTTGGATACAGATAGATGGGGAATAGGATGGGCCGTGGTCCATGAGTGGATGGGATGCTCGGCGTCTCACTCTTGGCCGCGGACTAGCGCTCCGTGATGCTGGCGCGCAGGAGACGACAACTTTCACTACTTCAGCTTAGTTATTGCTATTCGCCCCTAGCACCACCACATTCTTGCACGAGCCCTGTTCTGCCTCGTCGCCGGCTCTTCTTGTCTCTATTTCTGCTCTCTGCCTTCAACGCCCGCGACACGCGCTGCACTGGCCCGCGAGCCTACCTCGTTGCACAGGCAACTCCCCTTGGGTTTCCAGCTATCCCCGCAATAATGGCAGCAAACAACATGAACAATCTGACTACTCTGATAAAAAGGTTTGTTGGCCCCTCCTGGCCTCCCAAACACAAAGAAGACTCGACCATGAGCGAACACGACAACGCCCTAGCCCGCCGCGTCTCCGGACCCGTGCATTTGCAACCAGATGCGCTGACTACTATGATACATAGGCTCGAGGCTGCCACCTCTCGCCTGGAAGACATTGCCTCGACGTCTGTCGGCCCTGAAACTACCACCGCCAATGGCTCTGTCTCGTCCGCCGTGCCTCCTGCGCCTCCGATGCCACCCAGCGGCAGCACAGCTTCCGCCCCAGCCGAGCCAGTGGCTGTCCTACCTCCTTCAGTCGAGGCATTTGATGTTCTCCTCAATACAGAGCTCAAGGCATGGTTGGATCTGAGTGCCAAGCTGGGAGGCGTCATTGACGGACAGGTACGCGACCGTACATGACGATTTTTGTGAAGCTTGCATGCTTATCAACAACCGGTACAGGCGAAAGCAGTCAAGCAAGCGTTCGATGCGCAGCGCGTCTTCCTCCTCGTAGCGACCAAGGCCAAGAAACCAGATATGGGGTCTCCGAAATACATGGACCTCCTGAAGGATATTACACAGGCCATGACAAAGGTGTCTGATGTGCGACAGTCCAACAGGGAACCAGCCCTCAAAGATCCATTATCAATGGTTGCGGATGGCGTTGACACACTCAGCTGGATAACCATAGAGTCGAAGCCCGCGGATCATGTCACAGAGCTCTTTGGCGGAGCCCAGATGTATGGCAACAAGGTTCTGAAGGAGTATAAGGAAAAGTAAGGCATATGTATGGTGGATCCTTCGGAATATTACTGACATATAGGCGCAGACCAGACCGGACGAATGTAGAGTGGGTTCAAGCATACTATAAGTTGTACAAATCGCTCGCCGCCTACGTAAAACAATTCCACCTGACTGGCGTTGCCTGGAACAAAAATGGCATCGACGCCAGCGAAGCTCTGAAGCAAGTCAAATCATCTCCAGCTGGAGCTGCCACAAATGGAGCCCCAGCTTCTCCCGCCCCGGCAGGTGCTATTCCACCACCACCCGGCCCTCCCCCTCCACCAATGCCCCCAGCACCGAAAGCAAAAGCTGCGGACATGGGTGCTGTTTTCAGCGCTCTCAACCAGGGAGAAAACGTGACAAAAGGCTTGAAGAAGGTCGACCAGAGCCAGATGACGCACAAGAACCCATCATTGCGGGCTACTGCACCAGTGCCGGAACGCAGTTCCAGCATCGATTCAATTGGACGGAGCAAGAGCCCTGCACCTCCTGGGAAGAAGCCGAAGCCACAAAGCATGCGCACAAAGAAGCCCTCAAGAAAAGAGCTAGACGGGAACAAATGGATAATCGTAAGTACTTTGCTATTATCTTGATTGTTTTGATATCCGTGAAGCTAACCGATAGCGCATAGGAGCACTTCGATGCACCGGGTGACATCGTCGAAATCGATGCCGAAATCAATCACTCCATTCTCATCTCCGGATGCAAGAGCACTACTATTCGTATTAATGGCAAAGCAAATGCCATTTCTCTCGACAACTCCTCCCGTACTTCGCTGATCATCGATTCCCTCGTCTCTTCTGTCGATGTGATCAAGGCCCCCAACTTTGCCCTCCAGGTTCTCGGCGCACTGCCAACAGTTCTTCTCGACCAGGTGGACGGTGCACAGATTTACTTGTCGAAGGATAGCCTGGCCACGGAGGTTTTCACCAGCAAATGCACGAGCATCAATATTAACCTGCCTCCAGAAGAGGATGGAGGTGATTATACCGAGGCGCCAATTCCAGAGCAGTTCAGGAGTTACATCAAGAATGGTCAACTGCTGAGCGAGATCGTGGAGCATTCCGGATAAACCAGCAAGCCTTTCCCATTTGTTCGGACTAGCAATCCTGGAGACAACTTTCGGACAGTTAGCATTGGATGGAGTTGACTGTTGAGCCATGCGGAATTCGCCGGGGTTCTTGGAGCAGGGTGGTATTTCCCCGTGTATCACAAGTTTGTATAGAGCCTTCCGCCCTCCCTTCGTCTTCTCTTCTTTTCATGAGACAGATTAGTATTAGTAAATTCAAATCCTTTTTACCTGCTACTCGTGCTTCCTTTCCCAGTTCACAAGTGTGATAATCACCCCAGTTCCAAAATCACTGTCCCAATCCACGCACTTGTTTCTATCTTAGCCACACCTGGACCCACCTCCCTCCACGCCCCACCCGTTAGGGAGTGATGGAAGGCCTATTAGCCGAGCGCGCGTGCGACGCGAGCTGCGCCAACGTGCCTCCATCCGTCGCGCCCCTAGTGCACCACGATATCAGTCATTCTAACCCAACTAGCACATGCATGCGGGGAAAGTGCTGTGCCTGCAGCTGACTGCATATCGATTGTTAATGGAGCCTTCCGGCGTGATAGGAACAAGAAGAGTCTTGACTTTGCCGGATTCCGAAAGTACCTCTCCACAGCTTAAGTATGAAGACAGTTTATGGTAGATCTGAGAATAGGTATAAAATATTAAAGAAGCAATCCTCAGAGTACCAGCAAATCTTAAATCCTCGCAAGTTCAACCGTCAGTGTATCTGTATAGACTGGAGCAACATCGTTCAAGCAATGCCCGTTCTGGGAGCGAGATTCAAGGTTCCACAGATTAGCGTGGAGGCCTATTGATCACTGTCTGCCGAAGAGGCTAGGATCTAAACGAGGGGAAGGCCTAATTGGAAGAGAGAAACCTTGAATTAAAAAGATACTTTCTGCAATACGAACGTGTGCTTATAGGACCCAAAAGTGGAAGTTTGATGCACTTTCCGTTACGCATTCACAGTCAAATTTGCATGATCGCTAAAGTGCTTCAGGCTACATTTTCCACATCCAATAGCCTACTATCAGCTTCGTCTTTCGTGCTCTGGACGTGTTAGGTCTCTTGAAGAAATACAATCAATGAGACGTGGCCTTAGCCTTATCCGCCAGAACCTTCTGCACTGCGGGTCTAGCCACGATTCTGTCATTCCAGGCTGCAAAGTACGGCACTTCAGTCTTGAAGTCCCATCCACTTACAAGCTGTGGTATGAGCTGGTCCCACATGACAAAAGCCAAATCGGCGTATGTGCACTTATTGCCGACAAGATACTGCGCCCCAGTGTCCTTCAGATGACGGTCTATGACCCCAACAAGGCGCTTGATTTCGTTGGTGTAGCGATCAATCGCAGAAGTCAAATCCTTTTCCGGGTGTGACCATTGGAACCAGGCAGCTTGACCAAAGTAGGGGCCCTGGCCGCTCATCTGGACATGCAGCCAGGAGACGGTGAGGTATTTCTCGGGGATATTGGTGTATGCGAGCTTGTTTGTCTTGTCGTATGTGTCGATAAGATATTGGATTATAGCACCAGACTGGTGGTGACTTCAGTCTCTACGTGAAGTTGAACGTCGTCTGCTTGAAACTCACCTCGAAGAGCGTGACGCCAGTGTTTGGGTCCTCGATGGCTGGGACTCGTCCATTGGGGTTCTTCAACACGAACGGCTCTTTTTTGACATCCTCCTTGGCCACCCACGACGTCTCGTAGAGAATAGCGAGCTCCTCAAGGATGATAGCAACCTTCCAAGGGTTTGGCCCAGAGGGATGGCTGTATAGGATGATGGACTTCGTCATTTCGACAGAGAGACTTGAGTATGCGGTCGCTTTGTTGTTGATATTGTGAATAAGGGGATGTACAATTCTGAGTTTGAGTTGAAGCTGACTGAGAGCGAGAGCTACTTATTCATACTTTCCAGATATACGGCCTCCAAATACAATGCCTCGCATACCCTTGTAAGCCCCCGCCGAACCATTTGTAATCTTTATATAGAGGGTAGATGAACAAACTCTCACGTCCTTGTAATCTCACGAGGTCCGAATCAGGCTTTATATTACAGACGGACTTCTAAACTTATTAAGTACTGAGAGGCTATGAACCGGAGGATAGTAGGCTATAGAGCTTTCACGGCTACTCAAGTTGCGCGTGATACGTTCGGGAGGCTGGAATATGGGGCCCTGACGATACTGTACTACGATAGTTCCAATTACAAAGTAGGGTGGAAGTGGTGTTTTCGTAGATTTCAAGGCGCGTGGTTTGACGGCTGCCGAGCCGGAGCGCTGACAAAACAAAAGCTTGGAAATAGTTTAGGTTGACTGGCGGTACTCCATGTGACGTTCCACGGCTGCCTTGGCCATCACCAACAAACTTGCTGATCCCGGATTACGGCCACGATTCGGAGGAAACTGAGAACAGTCACGAAGCAGACCAATATTCTGATAGGGGTACGTGCTTTGATCTCGGGCACGACTAAGCCTTTGTTCAGCAACCGCCCGTCACCAACCTGCCACCTTCAAGCCCAGGGCACGTGTTCGTGCAAGAGAACCTATTAGGCCATCTTCCCGATTTGGCTGTAGCCTCAATGGAGAGGCCAGGGATGCGTCAGTCTGGCTTTTGCCAATTTCTTTCCCTCGCGGATGAAATTATCCTTGCCGTCATCGAACGAGTCGACCAATCCAAGGACCTCTGCAGGCTAGCTAGAACGTGTGGCCGCTTTCAAGCTCTTGTTGAACCATATATCTACCGATCAGTTCTCATCCGCACCGGGGCCGAAGCCGAATGCCTCGCCACCTCCTTGGACCGTAGGCCTTCGCGTACTCTAGACATTCAGCACTTCGAGGTCCGGTACATCCATAAGGTTGTTGTCGACGACACCGGCATTCTTCAATCAGACAACGAGAGCGGCATCGAGAATGTCGACCGGATACTGCCACATCTCCGAAACTTGCGTCATTTAACAATCGAGTCACCTTGCATCAATAACAATCCTTGGCGCGGTGATGAGATGATTCCTTGGAGGAGCGGCTGCCGAGTAAGATACACTCCTCTGTTTCGGGCAGCCAGCCAGGCAACCAGCCTAGACGTACCTTCAAATGGGCCTCTCCTATTTAACAAGCTTCAAACTGGTAAGAAACCCGTCTTACACGTACGCATTAGGCTGTTAGTTGACCTATGGTAGTTGTCTTGCATACCCATGGCAACACTCAGAAGTTCGAGCTAGGGGACGATGCTGTCATTTTTCTTCACCCTACGCTCCAAAACCTAACAATTTCCTGCTCCGATATCACAAATCGCATGTCACTTCCTCCACCTGTTGAAAATATTGAAAAGACTACTGCTCTCAGGAGTCTTACTTTCATTGAGTGTAACATCAACGCTATTGCCCTAGGCACAATCTTGCGGTATCCTCGAGCCTTGAAGGAGATTAATCTTGGGGAAAGAATACATCACTTCCACGATTCGCCCACTAAACCCTTGGTACACTATCACAGAGAGTTCATGCACGCTCTCTACCAGCAGCATGAGTCTCTCGAGTACATCAGAAATGTCGGCCGTCGACGTTGGAGACCCGATCCATCGCAGCTGGGGCGTATAACTCTTCGCGACTTCGAGAATCTTCGGTGCTTGGCCTTAGATCCCAAATCTATTCTCATAAGCCATCTAACTACGAACGGAGCCCCAAAGTCGCTACAAACGCTTAGGCTATTCAGTGACTATGTTCACTGTTTCAATCCCCCCGCAAGGTCACTGCCGCACAGAGGGAGAGCCGAGTGGAAAGAGCTCTTGAAAATAACCGATAGAATGCGACATGTTCGTCAAGTGGACATCGTCCTCGCTCAAACCTTCGCTGATGGAATATTGCAATCACGTGGATACAAGATGGAGGATTTGTACCGCATTTGGCAAGCCAAAGAGCGACGGCAAGACGTCTACAGGTTCGCCTTTGCGTTGAAAGACCAGGGCAGAGCTTTCAAGCTGTACGCGGAACATTTTCAGGGGGGCGAGATATTTATACCCCCTTTCCTATACGGCGAGGACACACCCATTGAACACGTGATCTATGACTCGGAAGAGCCGTACGTTTTCAACACTCCAAGCCGTCAGAAACACCAAAGAGAGGCCGACCAAAATGATAGAGGGCTTGATGAGAATGAAGTGGAGGACGAAGTGATTGTGTTAGGTCTCACAGGGTAGGCTCGTCGCCTACTGCTTGGGAAGGTTTGAGGTCCTTTTCTATTCATATGAGGAGCATTCTAGGCGTCTGGCAGGACGACATTGAAGGGTGCGCTTTAATCCCAGTGCGCTCAATCCTCTCAAGGTTTTACTAGGCTCGGTGACCCATCAGCTTCCATCCATTGCTGTGGTGATGGCAACTGATTTTCTGGCCTGTTAGATGTCCATAGCAGGTCTCCTGCCCTGATGCCCGTCTTGACTATTCTACGTTAGTGCAATGGGCGATGATAATCGAAGTGCTTGTAACATTGGAGATATAAAAAGAAAAGTCTTTCCAAGGTTGCTGAGGCTGAACTTTCAAAACTCGAAGTGTTTGAAAGGAAAATATGTGCTATCTTCAACTGGAATGGTCATCCTAATCCGTTACCTGTCCGTGAATACGATATCGCGGGCCGCGTGGGATCTAAATTTGGAAACAAGGCTAGACCGTACCCGTCTCGCCCCTCACCAACCTCCTTGCGAGGGTTGTCGGCATCCACCTCTTCTCTCTCCTCGCCTTACAATTCAAACTCTTCCTTCAATTCATAATGCGTTCCTTCTTGTCACTCGCTTCTTTCTTCGCTGCCGGAGCGCTGGCATCCCACCTCGGGTCTACGTCCGAGGACTGGAGAGATTATACATGGAGTTACTACCCCGAGAACACCGCCGACGAGTTGAAGGAACTCGGACTCCCTTTGCCAGAGATTGCGGCGCCCATCACGACGGTTCATGAGCACGAGAACTATGTCGTGAAACTCGAGTGTTTGGGTTGCCCGTTCCGGGTGCGAGAGTATGGTCAGGTCGTCGAGCATTGGCAGGAGAATCCGCAGGACAACTCTTTAGTAAGACACTACCCTTTCGAACAGCTTGCGGAAGCGTCTTTGGACTATGCTAACTTTACTCAGCTATTCAACTTCTCCATAGCAGAGGACAAACGCTCTCTCCTCGTGAACGGCAAACAGATCTACCCCCTCGTCCTACCAGCCAACATCTACTCCTACCAAGTTCCCGCCAACCTTTCGGCCGATATCATGCGCAAAATGGTCGACATGAGGATGATGGATAAATCATGGAATGTCGGCACCCAATACGGCAGCTTCGAGATCTCGTTCGAGCAGACGACTATGATGACAAATGAGCGTCTGGTTCAGCTTCTCCAATTCGATATCACGCATGCTGAAATCCGATGGATTCAAAACCCCGGTGTCGCCTTGCTGAACCAGCCCAAGCAGAAATTAATCCAGCTGAAGCTGAGCCAAGAGAACATGCGAGAGGGCCTCAAGATCAAGAGCATTGAGCTCGTAGAGCAGGGCGAAAAGATAACACATGCTAAAATGCCCTGTGGGAAAGAGGCGCCTAGGTTCACTCAAGTCTTCAGGGCGACGGAATGGGACTACTATGGCCACATAGGTACCCTTGCGTGGACCTGGAAGAAGGCTACTGGGGAGGCCACGGACTGGTTATTCGATCACACATATCTCCTTTTTGCTTTGGTCTTCGTGCTCGTGTTCTTGAGACGCCGCATTCAGCAGAGGCGCGAGGCGAAGAGGGCTATTGAGGACCCCGAAGCCGGTTTGTTGATCATCGAAGATGATGAGGAGGCAGCCCCGGAGCATGTGCAGGATGAACAGCAAGTGGAGCCTGAGCTTGAGAAGCTTGTAGCCGAGGAAAAGATATCCGACGAAGCCGCACCGGTAAATGGAGATGTTGACGTAGTCGAGGAAAAGAAGGAAGAAGAAGCAGAACTGACCGTGTCGGACGAGTCCAAACCCTCTCTCCTCGACTAGTCGTATAACGCTACTTCTACAGCTTCTGTACTGTTGGTACTACTTTGTAAACTGGCGAACGCACATATAATATCGTAATTGCTGTTTGTATCTGCTCTGACGACGGCTCTAATTCTATATTTTTAGGCCCCGGAATATAAAGTTCTGCAGAATATCCATGCCATCGATGATAGTGACAGATTGAAGCGTCCACTAGCCAATAGGTTAGGAATACTTCCTACAAACAAATCACAGCATGACCTCTACTTATAGAGCCTTGCCTTGAAGCTCATAATTTTTGCTCATTGTCGAATGCTAATACCGAGACTGCGTCCGGGGGTTTCGCGAAGACAAACCCGTGGATTACATGTGAATGCGTGATAGCTCCTGCTGAAGTAGCGCAACCCCCACACTACGCGATCCTTCAGCCCGACGCGTCAGGATATCAGACCGGTGCACTCCCTCATTGACAGTCGCTCACCCCCATCTTCCTAGCAGTTTCTCCGACGAAGATATTGAGAATTTAGAATGACCAACTGGGTGGTGCCTTTGGCGCCACTGAGAAGCGGTCGATTCTCATACGGCAGCGACGGCCTTATGTCGAAAGGCCGCCGGCGTGTCGACGCACCCAAGCTACGAGAACTTCTTTTTCCTAACGAGGTCAAGATTAAAGGAGGTAAACTAGCCCAAAAGTACGCAGAACAAGAAGCGAACGAACAAGCGAAGAGAATCGTTAAGAAGAAATGGATAATCGCGCAACTGACCCATTACGGTGTTGCCTCCCTTCCCAGAGCCAGAGCCCGGAGTGACGAGAACAAGGAGCTCCTATGCCGCAGTGTGAAGGAAGGAAAGGTCAGTTCGCGTGGTTCAGAAAATAATTCAGTTGAGTTTTGATACTGACTTCAGATAGTGCGATACCGTCCCCAACATATCCGCGACATTGAGGCTGCACTTACACTTCAATACGAAGAGAAAAACACTCCCCATATGGTCCTCGAAGAACAGCGTGTATCTAAGCTTATCGAGGAGCAGAAGGGATTGAAAACAGAAGGATTCGAAAAGCTCTCGACACCTGGCTTGGAGGCTGCTTACGTTATGGCAATGTTCATGCGCAAGTACTTCCTCAATGACGGCGGAACACCAGATCAGTCCAAGGCTCCTGGACCCTTAGTACTCACAGGGTTTGGCGATAGATCCGGCATGCACAACAGGGCTCAACAAGTGCCTGGATTGGAGACATATAGTGGCGGAGAAGGAAATGCACGTACGATAGTCGTTGGATGGGATAGGAGCGCTGTCTGGGGAGCAGCAGGCAATATCGACAGTGCACAGCGGGCTGAGCATGAGAAGGAAAAGGAATTCGAGTGGGCCGAAGTGATGAAGAAGCACGGTTCCTTCATCAAGAGTCTCCCGAAATCTGCCAGCAGGCAAGCCTTCTCAATTGAGCAAGCAAGAGGCTCTTATGCCATTCAATGTGACAAGATCACGTCGGAGTGGCCCCAAGGTTCCCCCTTGAAACTGAGAATCGTACTAGGGCTACAGGGCGTGGTTGGCATGTTCCACTTCGGGGTCATTGAAGGCATCATGTGGTTCGAAGTGAACGAAGAGGGGCTGTTAGGGATGGAACATGATGAGGATGAGTCTCAAGACGAGGACAACTTTGAGGATGAAGATGAAGACGAAGACGAAGACAAGTTAGTTACCAACCCTCTTCCACCTAGTAACAAACGCAAGGCCAGTTCGACGGCGGCTCGCCCCACCGTGAAACGAGGCAAGTCCACCTCGACTCGGCAGAGTCGTCGCCTCTTCCTTAAGTGGCGCGGCCGCGAGACAGGCGAAGGCGAAATTCAACTCGACCACGGCAACAGCAACATGGCCATATCGACTTCCTTCATGCTACGTGCACTAGGTTCGACGGATATCTTTCTGCAAACCTCCTAGGCAAAAATGTGCCATTTCAAGGCTACCAAACTGGCTCTGGATTTGGGCCGATAACCAAACAGTGGAGTGATTACTCTGAGAGGGCATATGAGCATGTGAGGGTGACTCGTTGGCCTTGAGGCACCCCCAAACGGGCTTTTGTGACGTTGAGTTGATTTTGGCCTGAGCATTAGTTGAATTTATATCAATTTGGATAGTCTTGCTTCTAGTGCTGAATAGTATGCTGATTGCCTGATCCTATAGCATGTGTAGATGAATTGAGATCTTTGTAAATACTGCACATTCTATTGTGTTGCCTATCTGAGCAATTTCACCCATAATTTGAAATACACTACCGTTCTTCCCATTATTGGCTTGGGTAGAATAACCCTGTCTACACTGAGCGACAGTCAGAGGGAAGCGGAACAAGACAAGGTGTGTAGCCAAAAGCTGTATTGATGATGTCAGGCAGCTAGCTATTGAGTGGAAGGAGGAAAGATATAGTTAACTAGTTACAGGGAGCTGCTGAGTAAGCTGCTAGAGAGGAAGGGGCCGACAACACCTAGCGGCGTGCACTTCAGAAATAGCGGAGCCTAAGAAAGACGCCGACCTAATCGTCGTCCTCCCAACTCAGCCACATACATCTGCACGCTCGTTATCCAACGCTTAACGAACGCTTCCGCAATCAAACATTCCCGACACCTTGACCTCACCACCAACATCATGGCTACTCGCATGGCCAATCGCGAGCAGCTCATGCAAAGAGATCAGGTCCTTGTTCCCAGCCTACCGACACTGGCAATCAAGGGCCACCTTTGTTTCCGCTGCTGCAAGTCAGCTGAAAAGCTTTCGAAATGCGGTGCCTGTAAGCGCGCTGTGTATTGCTCGAAGGGATGTCAAGTAAGCGATTGGAAAATTGCTCACAAAAACCATTGTAAACTGCTGAAGGAAATCAATGTCATTGAGGAGAAAGAGACGGCGCCGAACAGGTCCTGGGATCTATATCGAGACTCCTTGTATTCTAAACTTCAGTGGCTCAAATCTACACAAGACGTCCCACCAGCTGTCCAGGACATGATACAGTAAGTCACGTACCTCCGAAGTCGCATCTCCTCTTTTTTCTGGTCCAAGATGTGGCTCATCATTAGTGAAGGGCACAAGTGTACTGTGTGGTCTGTCATCGGAGCGAAGCAAATACTGGTTGGTCCAAATTTGCGTCGTGTCCATCTTGCCTTCGGGTATCTACGTGTCAGACCTGTCCAGCGAAGAACTCCCACTCCGAGAAAGTATGTAAAGACAATCAACTTTTTAATCAACTCGAACGCTTCCTCATCGACTGCTTCGAGCACACCGGGGAGGCAACGCCAGCACAGCCTACTTTGAAACCAAGAAGCACTTATGAACCTCTCTCCATTCACGATAGCTGGGAGAAATACTACAAAGACCTATCTGATGGAGCCATTATCGACGAAATCACCACCACGCCTGGCTTCAGCTTACTGAAGCCACTAGCTCCGGACTTCGAGGATTCAGTACCAGAACGGATACGCCTCCACCACATCCTCGGCACTGATGTGATGACGATGCCCATTACGATTCTCGCAGCACTCGAAGACACCATACCGGACCTTGCAAAAAAGACAAGCCTGTTTTTGCATTTCGTTGGGCCGACATCTCGAGAATGGCGCAACATAGCTCTCTTCGAAGAACTACTACACCTCCTTCCCGCCCTCAAATCGCTACGCATACTCTGCGCGGGTCCGAGCTCGTATGGTCTAATTGGAGAGGATATCTTATCGCAAGAAATGGATCTCAAGTGCTGCCCAGACTGTCAGAAAGCTGGCCGCAAGCGGTCTATGCAGTCTTTTCGTGGAATGTACCACGACTTCGTTCAGCGGGCGGAATTTTCGAAGCCAGACATGGCGGTGCTATTTCACAGTGGTCGGACTCAAGCTGAGCAATCGAGCTGGGCGCCAACTACAAAAGCGCTGCTTGATTTAGGGACATTGACGCTTTGCACGACTTTCAACGAGCGAGAAGCGAAAGAAGAGGTCGCGGAATTGGACGGCTTTGGGGCGAATGTCATTGCAAGGCTGGAAGTGAATACATGGAGGGGACTCATGCCTACACCGGACTTCTTGGAGGGGCCTGAGCACGGGTTCTTTTACATGAATTACTTCCGGTATATCTTCCAGGGACGGAAGTAGGATCGCGGGGCGAACAGCACGGTGGGACATTGACCCGCATCCTCATAGACGATAGACAAATCGATATTATGCGAAGTATGATAGTATCAGGTACTAGAGTGCTACCCGACTATGAGTCGCGGAGAGAATCAGGAACCGCCGCGCCAAATACAAACCCATTCTACGAGACCTATTGCCCAATGAGTCCACCGCTCATGTGCACCAGAAAACTTGATCACGAATCAGGTGCTGTGGCCAAGCTTCCCTGCATCTCAGTCCACATCACAGAAATAGCCTCCTCCCAATCCTCCACACTCAATCCTGGGTTCTCGGTCCCTTTGGTATCGATTGCCTGCTGAAGCTGTCCCTGGGCATGAGTCATGACACGCCTGATCATATCGTTGATAGCTCCACGTGAACGAGTCACCTTACAGGTCTCTTTGTCGATCCTGATCTCAAACGCCCAGTCTCCGGCGTCCATAGGGTCGAGAGATTCTAACGGAGTGGACATGGAGTTATCTTCGTTCTCGTTCTTGGACTCGCCATCCTTCTCTAGCTTGCCTGACGTGAAGAAGAGGTCCATGCTGCGTAGACGACTCGCCGCCGGTGCTAGTGGCCCTCTGAGGATGGAGAGCTGTCGGTCTAGCTGGCCCTCGATAGTCTCCTGAGGTACCTTGTTATCATTGAGAGACATCTTGAAGACTGTTTCGCAGAGACAAGTCCACAGCACATCCTCCCATATGATTTTGGAGATATGTAGTAGCGGATAGAGTTCCTCTAATTTCGTTGGCCGGCCGCTGTAGACGACTCCGATATACGGCAGTTGGCATAGGGGTAGCTTTCGGGGGTGACCTGCGTAGACATGCCGGTAAACTGGTGTTCTGAGTTCAGGTGGGAGAGAGAGGAGTGTTTTGATGGTGGTTGCGTTCTTGGGTTTGTTCGGAGGCCATTTTTGTGATCGAAATCAGTGAGTGTGAGGTCCTAACTTGGCTGTAAAGGGATGTTTTATATCAAGAACAACATTGCGCAGTGAGCTGGATGCAACTAGAACTCATTTTCTGTCTCGCGAAAGAGCACCTCTTGGTTTTATCGACATTGTCTCGATGGTGCGACATATCAAAGGAGCGAAGTTCTCAAAAGTTTCAGAGACTGTTTTCATTGCCTAATATGCTTGTCGTACAACAGACAGAAATAAAGATATGGTCTTTTACCGTTGATAAGACAAGATGAACTCTTTCAACTCAGTAGTGTCTCTACAATGGCAAACTTCGGGACTTTCGACTATTCTCCAAAGTTCTGCAACAGAGTGCTTCTTCGAAAGGACGTCTTTCACGGCTTCAATATCAGCGCCACGATTTTCTAGCAGCGAGAGCTGTACGTGGACTCCAGAGAGACCTGCTGCAATCATCATGCAGACAAATTTTGCCAGAACATTACCCCCGAAAGCCTGACAGCCCCATGCCACCGCCTTCACAATGCATGGAACTGAAGAGGGCTGTTCGGCTTGTGATTGCATCACCATTGAGCCCTCAAACGACGCGAACAGTTTCCGGATCTCCCGTACCATACGACCCTCTTGTAGGTCTTTCAAGCCACCACCTTCTACATCATCCGCCTCGTCTAGTGGAAGAGCATCTGCAAGTACATAGTGACGCGTTGGGCGCGACAGAGGGGGGATTAGGCATTCGAGCCGGGCGGTACGGTTATGACCTTTCCATGCAGCGTGGAGCGGGAAGGCCGAGGTGATTACAGCGGCGTCGGGAGGTATGACAGGCGAGACCAAGGCCGATATGCTCAACGCAGGTGATGCGGACTGGAGGCGTTCCTCGTGCGTCGCAGTCGGTCCAGGGCCAGGCTGTGAATGGGCCGCGACAAGAACAAAAGGAGATTCTGTATCGGAGTCTGAACTAGATGGCTCGGACTCCTCCGACACTACAACAAGTTGCAGATCTGGGATGGCGTCGCACTGTGAGGGTTCGGGCATGGGGTCAGCTTTCTGCATCATGAAAGAGAAATTGGCCGACTTGTCATATCCCCCATGCTCGAAATGGCCCAGGATTGTTGCCAAATATCCGTCAACAGCGTTCTCATGTGCAACACCTCCAGAAAACCAGGACGTGAAGCAAGGAAGTCCCCATGTATTGCCTGTTGGTTGAGATAACGTTCCCAGGAACTGGTGTGCGAGCAGGGCATTGATTTGGAGACCAGTAAAACGCACTACTGGTGAACTTGAAGGAGAGTTTGGTATCGTGGTGGATACATTAGGGCCACTCAATCTATCTAGCGAATTTGTGTCGAACAGTTCGGGAACAAGTAGAGCTGATTCTAACAGGTTTTGTAGAGCAACAACGTATTGGTCTGTCCAATTAGTGCGAAGAAATTGGCGTAAGTGAGATGTATCTAGTCTTCCATTTCCATGTATAGAGTAAGCGATGTCCTCGATCAAGGTAGTGAGCGAGGAGATTCCTGGGGCTATGCGCGCTTCGTGAACGAGTTGGGTAAGTACGTCGGCTTGGATTGGATCCTCTACATCGCAGATTCCGAGAGGGTCATTACAGGATAGAGAGGGATGTGTCGGCAGCAGATAGGTCATATCGGGAGCTAGATAAGCTGCAGTGGTGTTGAAGGGTGGAGGTCGAGGCGTCTTTAGGATTAACTGGTTTCTCCGGGCGCCGGTGCACGGATTAGAATACCATTTACTAAGAGCGACTTTCATCCCTCACGCCAAACAACCAGAAGACAACTATGATCTACTTTCGTTTTCATGTTCTGAACACATCGTACGAAACCATCGCTTTTGCTCATGGTTTAACAGTTCAATTGGCCCGTTCTCCGTCCACACCTCTGCCAAGCCGGTGATTTGCTGTTCGCTTCGCTTACAGCTTGCCATCATATAGACTGCATAGTTTGCCATCCCTCCAAACTCCTCTCAAGTTTAGCGTGTCATCAATCTTCTCCAGCGGGTTCCCCTCTACTAATAGCAAATCTGCCTTCAAACCCGCAACCAGTCTTCCTCGATCGTTGAATCTGAACCTTTTCGCTGTCACTGCTGTAGCAGAGCGCAGCGCTTCTTCAGGCGACATCCCCACCTCGTTGACTAACAAGTAGAGTTCATGGTGCATTGACAAGCCCCAGGCAGTTCCCAGCGCTGGGCCAGCTGCATCGCTTCCACTACAAGTCGTTCGTTAGCATCTACTCAGCCTCCACCATCCCACAGAGGTATGCGACAACCTACCATACAATATCGATCCCTGCCTTCCTCAGCATTCTAACGCTCTCATACGCATACTCCACCTTCGCACTTGGGATCGTCATGGCCATGCACTCGCACATATTTCCAACTTCCTTCTCGCCAATCAAGCCCCTGACTCTGTCGTCATGCGCGAATTTCTCCTGCAATTCTTTGCCCTCAGTTGTGAGACTTCCAATAGCTGCCAGTGTTGGATTAAGCCACGCGTTGTCCTTCTTGTACGCATCAACCAGCTCCTGGGTCGGTGGCTGATCACAGATGGTGTGCGCAAGGCCATCCACACCGGCCTTGAGCACATCCAGCGTATCCGACACGCAGGTCGCGTGCGCAATGGTCAGATAGCCTAGCTTATGTGCCTCTTCAACGATGATGCGCTGCAGTTCTTTCGTTGGATGAGAGAAGTCGTGCCCCATACTCCTTCCCGATTCATTCATCAGCTTCACGTAATCATTGTTTGAATTGCGCTTGTTCGTCTCCAGGTACTCAATTACGTTCTCCCTGGTACTCAGCTTCGGCCACGTCGCAATCTCTGCGGCCGTTTCTGGACTCTTGTCGTGTGCCGTGATCACAGGAATAGGCCAGCCATTGTCGATCGTGGCCGCTTGACCGCTAGTCTTGAGCTCCGCCGTGTCCGGCTCTAGCATCTGCTTTTGCAGCTTTTCGGTGTTGTCGTACTCGTTGTGCATATCACAAACTGTAGTACAGCCGAAACGGAGCGATTGGGGTAGAGCCACCGGATTAGCCATTGAAGCGTGGATGTGAGCATCGATGAGACCGGGGAGAAGTGTGTGTCCGGGTTTTGTGAAGGTTGGGACATCGATTGCGCTTGACAACGATGATGTTTCTCCAACGGACACGATTTTGCCGTCCTGAACGTGGACGTAGCCATGCTCTACAACGGATTCGCCAGTAAACACGCGAACATCTCTGATGATGAAGCCGGACATGGTTGAGGTGCTTGATCGAAAGCCGATTGCGATGTAGAGAAATATTATCAAGTTGATCACAAGGGAGAACAGTTAGTGTTAACTATGCGGCGTTCAGCTGCAGGAATTGTGTATTGTCGGGTGACACCTTGGAGAGCCGGTCCCGAGACGTCTTGCCGCCTTAGGAGCCCGGGAGACGCATTTTCAAGAGCATGATTGGATATGTGTCGATAAGTGTGAATTTTGTTTTAGCCTTGCGCCGCTGCTGTCCATCCCTTCCGCCATCGACCTAGCTTCCGGAACCATCCAAACTGTCCCCAGTCTCCCCCCTGTACGGCTCGTACACGTATGTGCGCAACAGGGGTTTTATAGATGCATACAGTACACTGTGATCACCTTTGTAGTGTACAGAGGTGTACGAGCCGTACATCCAGATCCACATCTGCCGTGCTGCCCGCCAGGCATGGTATATACTACATAGGAAATGGAACACTCCAAATTTGGTGTGGGTGTACCACTTTTCATGGCTTTCTACACCACAACGTAGGATGCACGAGCTGGAATGTTTATCGGAGAACATACTGGCTTGCATTTCACAGGCGGCCGGCGGACGTGGACCAATTCAAACCCAGCCCCGGAATCGCCTCTCCTACCCGTTTTCCACCCTACTTCCCTCCCGTAGCCCCCTTCCTCCTCTCCTTTTCCATCTCCATCCACACTCCTATAACTCCTGCCACAGCCACAAGCCCCGTCCCCACGGCCTGGACGGCCGGAAGCATTCTATACCCCAGACTTAGCCAATCATTTGCTTCTTCTACGGGAACGAGGGCGAGGTCGGGTTGGGTGGGGTTAGGCTCTTCATTCTGGGGTAGATAGGGTGGCGGAGGTAGTCCCCGGTCAGGGAGAGGTGGAGAAGTGAGGGTCGGGGTGGGATTTGGTGGTGGTGGAGGAGGTACGGATGCGGCGGGGACTGGGACGGCAACGGGTGTGCGGGTGAGAATAACACGTCCATTGCGCAGGTCCAGCTCCAGGCGGGTTTCTTTGGTGGGTTTGGGGGGCTGTCGGGGGTTAGATTCGAAAGATGAGGATGGTGGGAGAGAAGGCGAACCTTTTGCGGTTTATCCTTAGCTTTGCGTTTGAGGAGGGGCATGGTGGAGTAAGAATTTCGAGGCTGACTTTGATTTTAGGTTGAAGCTGTATACACGCATCGAACCCTCAAACTCCTCCCAGTCGAGTTTCGGGCCTACATCAAGTGTAGGTTGATGCTGGAGTCATACATATTTGGGAGCGGTGGGGAAGAGGGCAACCAAATGTTTCAGCCTCACGCCACGACAACGCATGGCACGCGGCGATTGGGTGAGGCTTGCATAACGCTGATTCGACCCAGCCTCGTAAGAAACAATTCTCTTCAACATCTGCTCTCTACACCGCTGTGAGTGCTTGGTATGCAGGAAAAGAAGATCGCATAGTAAGCGGTGTTATGTAGCTAGCTAGTCCGTGAGGAGGAAAGATAGACACGGAAGCCGCTGAGTAATCGGATATAGGGGCAACCGCAGTACAGGCTCGTATCTCTTTTCTTCCTTCTACCTTGCATTCTCTCATTTGCTACCTAGAAAAGGGAAATCTTTGAGCTGGTGAGAACTCGGGGATTCAATTCGATTCTCGCGCTGCCCAGTTATTCCAAGCGTCGAAACATCATTGGTGTCTTCAATCAGATAGACATATTTGACCGCGCTGGCGTTCCCATCCTTCAGTTTCTTTAATCCTGTCAAGATTCCATTCAATCCACCTGGAATCACTTCATACGGATGTGCTTTCAATCTTCCGTCTTCTAAGAGTCGTCCCAGATAGCGCGACCAGAGATAGCCAAAGTCCTTGTGTGTTGAATGAACCCGAGGAACAGCGCTGTTGATAGCGATCACACCACTTGGGTATTTAAAGTTTTCTTTATCCTTCGCAAACAGCCTGGGAGGCAGCACGGTGCTAACAGTGCCTCCGTTTGGATCAAGAAATCGAAGGGTTGCTTCGAGCGACCCGTTCTCGCTAATGGCATCAAAGACATTGGGAACTTTACTTCCTAGGCCTTCCTTCGCGAGGATCTCTTCAACATCTGCAACAAGTGCGTCTTCGCCTTTCCGGTAGTCAACGACGTAATCGACTAAGGTCTTGGCAAACCCGCTGCCTTGGCCAGCAACGCCGATGATAGGACTGAGCTTGGAGAGACGTGCGAATTTCGCAGCAAATGCACCTACTGCTGATGAGGCCCCATAGATCAAAATTGGTACTCTCTTTTCGCCTTCTGGAGACTGTTTTAGATTGTATGGTACCGGAAGTTTCATGTCGACATAGAGGGCAATTGCTGCAGTAAGCGCCGCAAGAGGAACGGTGGCAGCCTCTTCGAAGGAAACATTGTGCGGTACATGGAAGGTCGTCCAATCTGGGGCAACGGCATACTCTGCAAAGCTGCCGTTTGCGGTTCCGGCCTCGTGAAAAGCTGCTACACGGTCACCTGGCCTGAATTCATAGACGTTTTTGCCGACGGAATGGACAGTGCCGGCGATGTCATCACCGCTGTTGTGAGGCAGGTTTTTCCTGCGTAGATTTTAGCTTCACACACTTTCAAGACATGCGAAACCAATATTGGGAAAGATATACCATAGTGGATACTTCCAGTCCTTTGGGTTTGCACCGGAAACGACGACTTTGATGACGACCTCCTTGTCCTCAGGAGTGGGGATAGGGGTTTCAATAATCTCGACTGCCTCAATAGAAGGTTGAACAATCGCTTGCTTCGGCATGGTGATGGATTTGAGAGCTCAGAAGATCTGTATTCTAGTACTATACTGTCTTGCTCATAAATGCCGTTTTGAAGCCATATATCCCCGTATGGGGACCCTACTTCCTATTTGTCAGCGATGTATGGATCCGTCAGAAAATCCCTGGTCGGAAAAGAAGAAGAGAGGAGATGCAGCAGGCCAGCGACCGTAAGGTCGATAGACGGTCGATTGTACAACATCGGATTGCACCAACGATCACTCCGCTCGTGCTGTAATTCCGCTTTAGGACGTGGTCTGAGCCGAGGTACCCCTGCAAGTCTTCCCCGCAGACATCTGGCTTCAAGTGTGCAATCACAGTCCAGAATGCAGAAATAATTTCATGCAATCATGTCGACGACGCTGTTGATTTCTGTAATCGGCGAGTGTTGCAGTTTTGAGATTGGTGATGGGGACGAATGATTTGCTCCGGTGTTAAGCTAGATGTACGACTAAATCCGCGGTACATTACGAAGTACCAGCGAGCATCCGCCTGGCTGCGATGTGGACCATGGGATGACCGGGTCTTGTAGCACGTATGTCTCCTAGATCTGCTAAGTTTCGTAGAACTTCTTGGGCTACTATTATCTGTCTTGAACAACCTCTCTAATCTCACCTCTCACTCCTCTAATACTTTCCATGATTATCCTCGACGAAAGGTGCTTAGTTTTCACTGTACGCATTCAACGGAGGGAGCCGCACTACTCTTTACCATGCAGAATCGGCGAGGGATTCAGCCACAGTGGCACGGAATCTAATTATTATGTCTCGTGGAACTCGAGCAAGTCATGTCTGGACCCGACTCGGTGGAACTGGGTCAATGACAATCAGCCCATTATACGTAGGACCAAGGAGTCTATCTTACTTCTAGTGTCTACGCCTCTGCGGGACCGCTCGACCGGCTGGGTGGCTTTTCTTCATACTTCTATAACTCACATGGCTTACTTGACACTCCCAATTCGATTCAAGTAAATACGACACCGCTGTACTTTTCGAACATGGAGACCTATTACCAGCTATGTTTGGAACTGAGATCTTCAGATCGAAGCCAGTCAAACCGGAGCTACAGGTCGCTTTCAGATCCACCACTGCTATGTCTTTTGGTGTTTCACTAGTCACCCGAGGAGGTGGTATCTATCATGTAAAACTACCAACCAAATGAGCTGCGAATCAGGGTGTATGGGTCGATCGCAGGCTTTGATCCACGATCCGAGCGTCTCTCGAGCATACGCCTCATAGTGGCTGCTGGTCCAGATCAGACGCCATTGCCATCCTCCTTACATCGAATTTCATGAACCCGATGGCTTGCTCGGTGAGTCCGACGTCACATTGCTTTTCCTTTTTCGACATCGAGCTCTCTCTCTCGCGCATATATAGAGTCCTCCACGATCTCTTCTCAAGATCGCATTAGAGCCTTCCATTGCCGGCAAGAACCTATCTACTGACTTCTGAACCTATTCTACGCTCAACGATCAAAATGGTGAAGGTATTTAACGAGCATAAGAGCACTGTTGCCTACCACTCAGTGGCACTCACACCTCGCAGCTCGTTTCTCCCATCTTCACGATTGCCCTCTTCATGTCGACTCTCACTCAAGGCAGAGTGATGCCGAAAACGGGCTCACTCCAAAAACGCGACCCTTTGCCTGATGGTACTCTCAGCCTTAAAGCTAGGGCCGATGAGCCCTTTGAAGTCGTAAGCAAGCCCTATCAAGCCTTCGACACTCTCACACCCAAAACTCCGCTGAAAACAATTCTTCCAGGCTATATTCCAAGCCCCCCTCTGCGCTGGAGCTGACGCCCAACTCGCCAATCAATTCGACGCTACCCCGGGGGAATGCGTGGACTCCACTTTCACCGACTCTCTCACTGGAGATGGCTTCGCCGGGCCCTTCGAGAGCTACATCCTGTCGGGCGGATTGGCCGGGCAGAATTGCCCGGTTCAGACCTGGTCGCAGCCTGACTGCAAGGGCACGCTGGTTACCAACAGCGCTCTGGAGAAAACTTGTGTTGAGGCGGCCAAGCTTACGCCTGTGACGCTTTATGCCCAGTCGTTCAAGGTTTGCTGTCAGGGGACGGCTGGGTGCTGATTGCGATGTTACAGTATACTGTCACTTCCGCGGACGGATGGCAGATGGAGCTGGTATTGGATCAGAGGGTTTCAGGTCAGAGTTGAAGAGCAGCTTGCGGTTCTTCGGACACACGTTCACTTTATAAGCTACTGCGTTTTGGTCGAATTTGGTCAAATAACCACTCGTTTATCTTTAAGCCTGAATCGTTCCTGAGCTCATCCTGAATACCTAGGTATGCTTGACCAGCCTGAAATGCACCCCCATAGTCGACCCTTCTAAGATCTGCCTCTCGCTTCCAACTTTAACAACTGAGATCCCGAACCTGGGACAGACGCTTGCGAATCGGGCTTGGAGAATTGCATACAGAGAATCCCGTCCAGGCGGCTCGCTGCAACACGAACCCGATCTCACCACGTTGGCGTGCGCGTGCAACACACCACAAACCCGGGAACCACCCTCAGCGCCTTGAGTGCTCGCAGTTCTAAAACTAGTTCTTAATCCCGGGAGCGGTGGCTTGCTCGTGAACGTCCAAGAAAGATGGTGATTCAAGGACGACGCACTAGTCTCCAAGGAATTGAGCTCTACCGGAGCCATTGTTACTCTTCTCGTATTCTACAGACCGGACTCTATTAGAAAGAGTAAGAGAAACTAAGGTACAGGCCACGTCTACTTTCCCCATTGCTAGTATTATGAAGCACGCAATGAACCCAATTCTATCTCGTTACTCCAACTCCACCGAACCCACCCACTCCCAAACGCTCAGTTTCACAGAATAGCCCTGCAAGCCATCCCTTTACCCCCATCCCCTTATCCCCATCCTTCCCTTCCCTCCCCTCAAACCATCCCCGCAACCGCCGCTCCCACCAGCGCAACGACCCCAAACACGACCCCCGCATTCCCGTCCCTCAAGCTCGCCGCCGTGCCCGTAGACGTAGGCGACGCCGCCGCCGCCGCCGCGGTCCCGCTCGACGCAACGGGCGACGAGGTCCCAGACGCAGCGGACGAGGGCTTCGACGACGCACCAGCAGCCGAAGCAGACGAACTACTAGCAGCCGCCGACGAGCTGCTGGCCGAAGCCTCGCCCTCCGGCTTCGTCACGCCGCCCGCGATGGCCTTGGGCGTGGTGCTGTCGCTTGTCTTGGCGGCGGCCGAGGCGTAGGAGGCCAGGGTGTCGCCGGAGGTACTGGGGGAGGGAGAGGTTAGTAGTGCGTGCGTAATTCCCATGCCCGTTTCCCTCTTCCGCATTGCGAAACATTAGTCGCCCCAGATATAGGAAGCAGCACGGGCAAAAAAAAGGGGGGGAAGAGTGGAGATGGCGGCTTACGGCACGTTGACGCCCCCAACCATTCCGGCCTGGCAATGCTCGGGCACGGAGCAGTAGAAGTAGATGGGCTGCGTGTCGTTCACGGTTACGACGAAGACGTCGTTGCCGGCGGGCGCGAGCGAGCCGCTGCCGCTGTAGAAGCCGCCGGTCTTGTAGTCACATGGCTTCCCGAACTCGCTCTCGGTGATGTCGTGCTGGGAGGGGTTGAAGTGGAAGGTGAGGGTGTCGCCGGCGGCGGCGGTCGTGGTGTTGGGCGTGAAGACTAGGGCTGGGCCGACGGTGATGTCGTGGTTTGCGGCGAGAGTGGTGGAGAGGAGGGAGAGGAGGGAGAGGGAGACGGGTTGAGAAAGATGCATGATGGAGAGGAGAATTGGGCAGAAGGTTGAGATAGAGTTGAAGGAGGATTGTTGACTAGATTGAGGAATGTAGAGTATGGTTGGAGTTGGAGTTGAAACAAACATTCCACAGGGCGACAATATATATAAGCGTTGGGAGGACCCCAGCTACCTACCTCCCAGGTACCCGAGTGCCGTGGCTTACATGCTTGTCTACTCATGACGAGTAACCTCTGAAGCCGTCAGCCTCGTAGGACGGAATGGCGCAGCGCCATGGGCTTGATTGGCCACAGAATTTCACCGCATCTCGCTCGGATTTCTCGGTGATGCTTCAATTGATAATCTGCATCGTGCTGGCGATGTTGAGTTTGCGGACTAAAGATACTTAATGAAAGCCCAATTGGAGACAGTGTGTTCGTGTGCCCTTGATTATCGTGTCCGCCATTAATCGTCCGTCTACGCTAATGACACCAAAACGCCGCACAGTCCGAGATTTCCTCCCTATCATACACGGTAACCGAACAGGAACATCGTCTAGTTGAGTTTACATCCCAATAATAAATTTCAACGAGACGATTCGAGCTAACAACTTCATCTTGACCCATCCTGGCAAACTGCACACGTAACCTCTGTCCGCCTCATCGGTCCTTTCATCGAGCTTCAGGGAACTTTATACTTGGAACGGTTTGATCGAAGGCATTGTAATCCAGCAGCTCGTATCCAGCATTCGAGAGATATTCTCCGGGGTTGACATCCTGATACATATTCGTGGCCTGCAGAGGTCCTTGGCCGGACGTCTGAAAGTTGAAGTTGTTCAGTGCCGAATTATCGAGCACGAACGCCAAATCGCTGAACTCGCCCCCAAGATTTTCATAATAGGAGTGTGCCATATAAGGATGTTCAGTGGCCGCAGCGAGCGATCCAGATCCAGACATAGTCGCATTCGTCGGGTTGGTCGTGAAAGTCTGGGAGAACTGAAACCGCTGCTTGCCCTCCTTGTAAGCTCGCGCCTTGGCCATCAGTACGGAAAGAATCTCGCCGTTCTTTGAGATTTTGATGTCCCCGGACCACCTCGTGAAACCGGCCTCGGCAACCTTCCATGCTCGTTCCATAATCTCGGAGTTTGGGAGCTGGCATGATTCCGTGAGGATGAAAGCCAAGGGAAGATAGTGAATGTAGGCATCAATAAGCCATGACCACTGTCTGGCCTGGGCATCTTCCTTTAGCAGTTTTGGAATGTCGACAATGTCGCTGGCCATCTGCACGAGCCGAATGTGAGTGGCCTCGGTTTGCGGTGAAGGCTTCAGGGACCCGTAGAGCTTGAACCAAAGCTCAGCGACCAAGACACGAGCAACATGTCGGGCAAGCCAATGGATGGGATCTGAACCAACGCAGTATCGTATATATGTCGATTGTATGGTTCTGTGGCATGCCTTTATCGTGGCTTCCTTAGTAGGGAGTAACGACGGCTCGTTGTCATGTAGCCCATGATAATGCGGAAATAGTCCTCCAATTTGTTCACTTGCTTTTGCTATTTCGAAGCGCATAAGACAAAAGCTCATTTCGGTCCATTCAATTCGAGGTACGGGTAGTAAGTCTGTATCGGCGACTAGATCATGGTCGTTGATGTTGAGAGGAAGGCTCGGAGAGAAGTCTATCTCCATAGAAGGCGTCAGTCCGTGGTCTTCCGCGGCCCTTTGGTCGAGATACCAAAGCTGCCACCAGAGTCGCTTCTCCATTTCGGAGTCGAATGCCGAGTAGCTTCCAAGCTGAAGAGAAGAGCTGATACATTTCGCTAGAGCACATATCGCCCAAGTCAGTTTCGCTGAATCCATGAATCGATTGAATGACAGGTATAGAACGAAAGCTTGAAGCATTGCCAACTCCTCTATAGTCGACGGGTCGGATTCCAAGAGGGCTTGCTCAACGGCGCAGCGACGTGTTATCAAAGCGGCATTTTTTGGCATTTTGAAGCAGCCTTCGACTTCGCTGTCTGACATGGTTATGGCAGCTGTGAAGCAGATAGTAAGGAGCAACGCGTCTTCTCCTTTGGTGAGAGCTCCCTCGTCGTACGTTCGCCGGAGTATGATCGCTTCTAGTGAAGGCTTGTGGACGACTTTCACGAGCGGATCCACCTTTTCCAGGAATGCGTGGAAGCATAGTTGAGCCTGGGATGGCGTCGGACGGACAGCGGCTAGATCCATGAACGGGTTGCTGAGGGACTGCTGAGGAAAGGTAGATTGGACGGTCGAGCTCGTTGAATAGGTGCTGGTATTGTTGGATGCGGGCGTCCTCATCCCATTATCAATGCTCTCATACTTGTCCGTGTTCACGGATAGATTTCGCGAAGACCCACGCGACGTCTGCATGCCAGAGCCGGTACTTGAATGGTTGGATAACGGTGTCTTCACACCACTGTCGTAGCCATCACCGGCATTAGGACTCTGGCTCTGAGCTGGATTTGCCTGAGCCGCCAGCAGCGCCTGGAAGCCCCGGCGCTCGCTTTCAATCAGCTTCGTCAGATCTTGGACCACCGTCTCCAGCTTCCTCATCCTCGCGTTGAGCGACTCCGGGGATTCAGTCACGTGGTCGTCTGGTTCCGACTTCGTCTGCGCAGAGCCCCGAGGTCTGCGGCGGCACTTGCGTACCGGCGACGGGTAGGTGCATTCGATTTTCCATTCCTTGCAGTTCTTGCATGGGGATTCTTTGTTGCATTTAACCTTGCGCGTCTTGCAGCCTATGCACGCTTTCCGGCGGAGAGGAGCTTCTGGCGAGGGCTGACCTGACGAGAAGTCATCGGTCGGGGACAATAGCTGCATGGACATGGTGAGGACAGGCTGGCTCAGGTGTTGCGTCGCGCCGCCAGCGTCACGTTGTCGAGCGTGAAGCGACAAGCGGAGAGAAAAGTGCGGAGGAGCCGATGGGCGAGCGTGGTCCGGCGGATTCCCGAGCAGCGTAACAGTCGGCCGTCGACGATCCTTTGTGTCGGGTTGCTCGGCACGATTGACTGGAGGAGTTGTTGTTTGGCAACGGATGGGAACACGTGCCACACCTCAACCGTGGAAACAACAGCTGCTTCGGGCCGCGGTCGTGTTGGAGACGAGATATTCGGGTTCAACTCGCACGGGCTTGTCGGGAACGGGTCGAGTTATCAGGCTCTGACGTTGGAGACTCTTGATATGTAATCTACGTTTTAGCGAGTTATAGTCTTCCGACGTGGAGGCTGTGTCAAAGTCACGTGCAACGTGGCTGTGTAGGTGAAGGCTCTTTGATCGAAACAACTTTCGGGCACTTCGACTAAATGGGCCATCCGCTCCGAACCTCGCAAATCTCGGTAATCAAACACCATACTTTGCGTCGTCAGCTGATAGCAGGGTAGAGGTCAACGGTGCCAATCGCCATTTCGAGAAGGCCGTACTCCTCACTACATGCATGGCGGCAAGCAATGTATCCAAGCGAAGCAGGTCACTATTCCTAATCTATCTGTCTACTGGTACCTTGAGCGGGAAAGGCCATGTTGATAAGCCTCCGTAATGGAATGCTGTGGTATCAGGATCGTATTGATACTACAGGGATGCACTCATACCTCACACTACTTTACCCTATCAGGTACGCCAAGTCCTCTCTGCGAGTATATTGAGCCAAAAGTCGACATGAGGCTTGCTTACCTACCTATTTTTGTTATCGGTACGCATGTGCTTGGTAATTCCTTGCTCATCATGACTGACCGTGTCAGCAGGCATCTGTTGTATACGCGTGGTACGCAAGCTGCTATCTCCCCGACGATGCAAAAGCCTGCTGCAGCTTGACTTCTGCCCAGTCTGGTAACGATGTAGTCGTCCAGCTACATGTGCCAGCCACGGTTGAAGCCGCGTGTCCCCTCGGAGAGCTTGATTGGGTACTATTATAGCATACAGATGCTTATTCCGCCCTTTCACCACGGATCGTCTTGCATTCTGCCTCGTAGCTTGTTCCATCAGATTGTAAGGGTCTTGAATTCCAACAACCACTTATCAATGCGTCGGGATGGACACCGGAAACTGCAAAGACACTATGACGGAGTCGTCTGCCACTGCCCTGTTCATATCCGCTTACAAGAAAGGAGATGTCTTGCTCACTGCAGATACGGCTATGGAGATTGGGCTTCATCAAGACGATGTTGGTCATTTTACATTCAGCTTTGGCGTGACGGATGATGACGGTCGTCGGCTACGTGCACCATCAAAAGTATCATGGTCTTCTGAAAGCAAACGGTCTGCTTCCACGCGCATATTTAGTACGCAAGGGCGCTCATTGCGCTAGGAATCACCAACGGTAGTATGATTGGGGAGGTGGTGTAAGGTAAGTAGTCATTGCTGGCTCGCCTTCTTGATCTACAGTATGATCGATCTGGTGGTGCGCTTTAGATGCAACGGGACCACTAAGGCGGATCAGTAGTGACGGCAAAATCGAGAGGATGGTCTTTGGTGGTCTAAAGACACTGCTAAATGGCACTTTGCCATAGAGCTAATGGACCTGATATATCGCATATCGGACGGTACAAGGTTGACGTTGCTGAATATGTACGCGCACAGGCTCAAGGCCTTCCCATTGATCACACCTCACATGACCATACATTCGGTGGGAGCTGTCCTACCACCCTTCTCGGTAGTAGTCTTGGCTGCGGTCCTGGCAACATCCTCCAAGACTTGTGGACACAGTTCCCCAGTGAGAGCGCTGCACTCCGCATAGCGATCACACATCATCTCTTGGGCAACATTCAGTGCCTCCTGGGGCATGACGCTGACGCCGAGCTTGCCGGCTTTTTTCTCCTCTTCTTTCCATTCCACTCGCAGGTCTCGCTTCAGACCGAGGACCATGACTGGTAATAGCTCGTCGTAGTTATAATGGGCCTCGACGAAATTCTTCCAACGCGTTTTCAGCGAGTGCAAAGTGGAGCGATTCGATATGTCGAAGCAAAGAATGATAAAAGACGGCTTGAGGAGGGTGTAGTTGTTCGGCGACGCAGTATCGTAGAAGCAGAAGCGGTATGGCCGGTTGTACATGGTTATGTTGAAGGTGAATGGCTGGTCGCCGTCTCGCAAGACGGGTAGCTCATACGGGGGTAGCGACTCATGCTGAGGATGGATGCCGAGAGTCAGTCGTCTGATTACAATTAGCCCTTGGATTGTATCAGAATTGCTTCTCTGAAGAGATGAATGAAGCCTTGGGAACAGACGGAAACGTACGAGAGGAAGGTCGACTTACCAACTTCTGCATCGCCCAGAAGAAGGATAGTGACCTCGGGAGAGTCGGCGTCCATAGCTATGCGGTTAATGGAGTGGGACAGAGCTCGTAAAAGCGTATCTTGACTTCATTCTGGCGACGCTTTTCTTGGTGGTGGCCCTGGGCACCGGCAAGAGTTGCTTGGTGGGGCGCTTGGCATCAAAACGCGGGATCCCCGGACCCTGGAACCCGGGCAGTGGATGAATGCATCTACATGCACTTCGCCAAGGACTGAGACCAGATGTGGCCTACTAACATGGCATGACTGGGAACGTGATCTCAATAATGTATGCAGACGATGATCTGGTAGACGATAGCACTCGATCCGGGCCCATGAATCGCGATGGATCTGGCCCCTCTGCTCCGGCCTCGTTCGCTCGCGGCAGATTGGGCTCATTTGACAGTGGCACCACGGCCAGACGGCGTGGGATTTGATGTGCTCAAGTCTGGTACAGCGCGATTAGATCTTGCAGGTGTGCAGGTGCACCTGGGCACTCGGAGGACCACGGTAACGGAGCACGGCGGGACAGAGGCCAGGAGGCACGTCGACTCGGAGCGTGGCTCCAGCCCTATGCGGCATGCGCGCAGGGAGATCGGGGCCAGTTCGGGCGGCCGTGGCGGGGCGCTCATTGGTGTGGCGGGCACACGGGTGGAATGCGGCTTGATTCGAGGGGTCTTCTAGCCCGTGTCCCTGCTTCTGGGCACAACCCACATGACGGCCGAGCAAACGCCCTTTGCCTCGAAGCGCCCGTCCCAGCTCGAACGCTGCACCCTCCACTCCTTTCTCCACCTCTGTCCGGTGCTGCTGCACATCCTCTTGCATCGTCGCGGCTGCCCCTTCAGCCTCCAGCCGACCGTGTTGCTCTGCTGCCAAGCTGAGACCAGTGCAGGGGACCGACGGCTTCCCCGAGTGCCTGCACCACCTCCACGACTCCAGCCAACCCGTGTCACAACTCCTCGCCGAGTCGGGACATGTCTCTGTTGAGACTGTTTGCTACCGTACAATCACCACCATGAGCCCCTTCATCACCGCCGACCAGTCTATGCCCGGCCCGTATCCCGCGACCAGACCCACCACTCCTCCCCACGACCCAACCTCCCGCCTCGACGCCACTCCCGCCCTCACCACAGTCAACGAGAAGACCATGCCCGCCTCATCCATCTCCGATCTACCAGTCCTGCAGGCCGGCTTGAATGCCACCCTCGAGGGCAGAGCTTCGCGGGCCCTCCCACAGCCCCAAACGCCCACAGCGCCGGCTCCGAAAGTGGCACGTATTGTGAGAGAAGAGCCAGAGGACCTACCGGAACTTCACCAACCACGCCCTTCTACTCCCAGGGAGCAGACGGATCCCATGCCAGATGCTCTCCTCCACGCTACACTCCACCCTCGCCCGCGAAACCGCTCTCCCTACTCTCGCAGCCACCTCCGCTCGCAGTCCAGCTCCAGCTTGCTCAGTGCACCGCCAATGACCCGAGCTCATTCACTCCCGAGCGTCATCAACACGGTCGGCAGTCTCTCCTTCTCACCCGCTCGACCCTCTAGTCCCCTACGGTCCCCAGCTCGCTCTCGCAGCCCCTTCAAAGCTTCCGACGAGACATACAGCCACTCTGGCGCGCCCAGCGTGTGCGACATCTCGGAAGACGCCGAGCTCCAGCTCACTCCGCGCGGTTCAGCAGCCGACAAGATGCCGCCGCTCATCTCCTTCCATAGCACCACGTTGCCTCGCAATCGTCGCCGACCCGCTTCGCCGCTCTACCAGGTCTCCAATGTGCCCTTCGGCAGTGCTCCCACCAGCACTCCGACATCCACCCACTCATCCCCGCTTCTCTCGGCTACAAAGTTCAACGAGCCATTCCCCTCAACCTCCCAATACAGCAGCTCCTATTCCTCCTCAGTTCCGTCCACGCCAACTTCCATGCGTTCCCGCAGCCCCAGCATCTCCTCGCTCGAGACCATACCTGATTCACCGGACGCGGAGGAAGAAGCGATAGAGGCCGACCGCATTGCGAAGCTCAAGGCTGCAGCCGACGCCGAAAGCGCAGCAGCAGATCCACTGCGTCGGGGCAGCCTGGACGTCCCCGGCGAGACGAGGACTCTCCGATTCGGCAAGCGCGACGCGCGAAAGAGATGGAGCGTATGCGGTGCCGAGCGGCGGGGCGACCTGGACCTGGAGACGATTTGGGAGTCAGCAGATTGAGCACCCAACAGGGTCTCAGGATCGTGGAACCTGTCTCTACTTCCAATCCCGGATCATGCGCGAGAACGTCACCTCCTCTTGTTCCCTATCACAAAACACCACCGAGCACCTTCAATCATCAGAGCTCACGCTCACGCTCACATCATTGCATTCACCTGGCGTTATCAACTCCTCCGTGTCCAGATTCCCAAGACTCTATTCCCTGTTTTCTCTTTCATCCTGTCACGGTCCCTTTTCTTTTCAAATCACTTGCATACATCTCGGCGTCCTGCGTTGGAAACACTTTGACCAGCAAAAACTATGTTTCCAGTCTTTGCTTTTGCAGTTTTTGCATCTTTTGCGTGCTCCGTACAGTACCATACCATGATACCCCCCGTTCGCTGTGGTGGAATGCGAGAATCAAGGGGATGTTGGAGCTTGGGTTGGAGTTTGTTCTTTCCGCGAGAGAGAGAGAGAGAATCAACGGGCGTCACTGGTGCTCTGGATGCATACGACTCTGTTTGTTGGGTAGGCTACAGACTACAAACTACGTCCGCTGAATATGTATGTAGTCGTTGCAGATGGCAATCGATTCGTGTGGAACATCACAGATACATATATACAATACGAAACCGCCACTGCAATACGTGGCTCTTACGATATTCCTGGTCCCTGTGCGATGAAGTGAACGAGTGTGTGAGTCTTCACTGAAATTGTATTGAGTTCCTGATGCATACATAGCTCTCACGAGCGCTTCTGATGCTTGCTGAATGAAGTGAACGAGTGTATGAGTCCTTCAATGAGTCTCCATTGAGCTTGCTGGCTGAACAGCATGAACTAATTCTACAATTCTAGATACCGCAATATGCAAAACCAGCAACCCCACCCTCCAACCCCCTCCCAAAAAAACCCCCAAAAAAAAAAGCGCCGCCGGGCCATACCGATCCGTTTATGCAACCAACCCGTTCTGTATCCCGAAATCTACGATGCGAATGCAGGCGTGTAAATAGCGTGCCGTGATTCTGACGAACTATCCAACCCATGCGGAAAATCCAGTCAGCCCAAGAGCAAGTGCCTGAGCCAAGCCGGTCCCAAAAATCCCGTGACGCCGCTCACGTGCCCAAGACGGAGAAGGGTGACGTCTCCTCCCAACGAACTTCTTTTACAGTGAAATATACCTAGGACACGCTCTTGTGTCTGTTCTAGTCGTCTATGTCGCTTGAGTCGCTTCCGGCCTCTAGCTTCTTCCGCCTTTCTTCGTCCATCTCTTTGTATGTTGCATGGCTGAGCAATCCAAACGCGCCGATGATAAGAAGACCGCCCACGATGGCGGCCGGGGTGAGAGGGGTGTTGAGGGGCTCTGGGAGGAGCTGGTCGACGATGGCGACGATGAAGATGGTGAGCAGGGCGGCGACGGAGGAGAGGACGGGGGAGGTGAGGGAGATGAGGACGAGGAAGGAGCCGGAGAAAGCTGCGCACATGTGTTAATCAGGGGGCTAAGGGGAGTGGTAGGAGGGTAAGTAAGACTCACTTGCGTTGGCGAGGACGCTGATAGCCATCATCCAGGCCGCTTCACCGCGAGGCAGCGCAAATTCCTCCAGTCCGGTGTAGTTCATAATAGGCAGCGGGATCCATAGGATGCAGAGCGTAAAGCATCCGATCAGCGAGCCGAAGAAGTTGGCGAATATCATGCCCCGGCCTGGACTGCAGCCATCAGGGGGACATGCGAGCTTCTTGTAGAGCACCTCGTAGAAGCCGTATAGCACACTGCCGACTCCAATGATCAGGTTCCCGAGGGCGCGATTTTCTGCCTCGTGGGAGGGCGGTGACTTGTCTCCACCAGCTCCACCGCCAGATTTGCTTCCGTGCTTTGCGGGAGAAGTGTCGCCGTATGCAACGACAAAGACACCAATAATAGCAATGGCCACGGCAACAACTTTAGAAAGGCGGAGTTGTTCGTGTAGTAGTGGGATGCTGAAAGCGTAGGCGAAGAAAGCGGAACAGTTGTATATAGCGGTGAGGTCGCTTGCGGTGGTCAGGTTGACGGCAACGTACCAGCTTCCCCCGGCCACGGTGAGGGCACAGGTCACGAAAGTGGTCATTTTGAGCATATAAGGGACAGGAGAGGACTGAGACGCGCGGACGGACGGGTGGAGAGTGCCGTGCTCGACCATAAGGGCAGTCTGGCGGAGTATCTGAAGGTGCCGCCGCCAGAAGGTGTTCCACGGCATGTTCCATTTTTGGAGTCGGAGAATTAGGAGTTGAAAAGGCCAGAGGAGAACCCAAGAGCCGTGGGTGAGATATCTGAGTTTAGAATGTATATATTAGCATTGAAGAGGGGATTATGCGAGTGGTTGCAGCCGCATCTGAGGTCGTTTGAGGCCACTCACAGCATGCAATACGGCTTGTTCCATTTAAGCTGGTGCTGGATGTACACGGCCGTCTCAGTCTGCACCGTGAAGCTGACCAGACTCAACGACAAAAATATAGCGGCATATATGTATTTCCTCCGCGTCTCAAATGAGGCCTGCGACTCTGGGTCTCGCTCGTGAAAGGTGGACCGCCTAGAGAGGCCGCCTGGCCGTGCGAGAGAGTCGAAGTCCGGGGCATCGTCCTTGGAGGCTAGGAGCGGTTGACGATGTGACCGGCTGTGGTCAGCGCGGTCGTACGAGGGGCGCAGGTCGGAGGGCATGTCTGGGTCGTCGACGTCTTGGTCATTCCAGTCCTCGAAATCGAGGTCACTGTCAGATTCGTTGTCCCCTTGAAGGACACCTGGTTCTTTGGCTTGGCTCGCGGAAGGCCACTCCTGCGGGTGCGGGAGGTCTGAAAAGGGCGACGAGGTCTCTGAGAGCTGCCGTGACGAAGGCTGGGAGACTATCACCGGGGAGCTGAAGCGATCGGACGAGGCTGCGTCGTCGGGGTGTGGATGGCGCTCCGGAGGGTGGAGAGACGAGCGAGGATGCGACTTTGTCTTCTGGAGCGGGATGTCGTCGGCAGGCATGCAAGCGAGTCACAGAGCACTTGGCAATGGCAGGCGGCTATAAAGAGTGTGGGTGCGGATTCAGATCAGGAGTGGTGTTGAAGGCCATGAGGACGCGGCACCCGCCTGTTCACCCTTGACGTCTATGTAGGCTTAGTCTGTGCATAGTTCTAGTGTGGAGAACCTGGTGATTGCCACGCCCAGCCCCAGCGTCTCAACGACGTCCACGGCACGGGGCTCAGGGTTCTCTATGACATTGTATTCAAGGAAGCAATGTATCTCCATCTCGCTGCGATGCTCCCGGGGTGGTCTGGCGTGCAGCCATGCCATTTCTGTGCCCCCACGGTGACTCTAGCTGAGATCCGTAAGCAGGCAAAACCTATCGCCGCGGACTTTCGACGCTGTGAGGGCGTGAGAGCGTTGGGACCCGTTCACTGATTATCTCCGGCTGTTGCTGTACTCTGCCGGCTTAGAAATGTAGACACCACGCTGTGCAGCTCAAGACGCCTTTGTCGTCGGGTATAAGTGTCGCTCTTCCTTAATAGCAATGCAATCATCGCAATTTCATCAAATCTCTGCCTCAGGTTCATCAGTCCGGCATCATGTCTCAGATCTCAAAACCACGAGTTATCCTCGGTCTGATGACCATGGGTACGTGTCCCCGTATTGCACCACAGACCATACCCACGAACTCACTTCTGTAGGCCCTGATGAGTCTGCCGGTGCCCGTATCACAGACCTCGCCGAGTTCAAAAAGGCCTTGGACTACTTTCAGGCTCAAGGCTACAACGAAATTGACACCGCCCGCATCTATGTCGGCGGTAAGCAGGAAGCGTTCACGAAAGAGGCGGGCTGGAAAGAGCGTGGTCTTAAGATTGCAACCAAATGGTTTCCCCTGCAACCCGGAGACCATAAGGGAGCGACGGTCAAGGAACAGTTGAACAAGAGCTTGGCAGAACTGGGCACAGATTCAGTGGACATCTTCTATCTACATGCTGCTGATAGGGCGGTTCCGGTATGCCATCGCCAATTTGTAGATACCTTCTTTAGTACTGATGTCCAGTAGTTCGAGGAAACTCTCAGAGCCGTAAATGATTTATACAAAGAAAGCAAATTCAAGCAACTCGGTCTCAGCAACTACACAGCCTACGAGGTCGCCGAGATTGTGATGACTTGCAAAGAGCATGGGTGGGTCCGCCCAACCATATACCAAGCCATCTACAATGCCATAAGTAAGCACCCCCCTTTCAATCGACTCTGATTTCCCCTATCTTGACACGCGGGGCATGGAAAAGGTGGCACACTAATTATAGAACAAGCTGTCTCGTGTGTACACTGGTCTGCCACTGCTTGGGTTGCTTCAATATATTTTCAGGAATTTAAAGAAGATAGCTGCACTTCACCTTGGGCTATGTGGAAACTTGTTGTAGCACTTCCTGCAGTGGTAAACAGGTGTACACACGGGCAGAGTACTTGATGAGTATGCCACTTTTCTCGTGCCTAGCATGCCTGAGTCCATCCTTCAATGTCCAAGTGTCTACGTTTGCTCTATCCAAACAATTTCCTGATATTTACAGCCCGCACCATCGAACTCGAACTCGTCCCCTGCCTTCGCCGCTACTCCATCTCCCTCGTAATCTACAACCCCATCGCCGGCGGTCTCTTCTCCGGCAAGATCAAATCCGCCTCCACCACCCCCATCGACGGCCGCTTCGGCAACACTGCCAGCACCATGGGCGGTATGTATCGCTGGCGTTACTTCAAAGACCAGACCTTCGCAGCCCTCGCACTACTAGAACCCATCGTCGCCAAGCATAATCTTAGCATGCTGGAGGTCGCGTTCCGGTGGCTGGTGCATCACTCTGTGTTGCGGATGGGGACGGTGGAGAAGGAGGGTGATGGGATCATCATGGGGATCAGTAGCTTCAAGCAGCTGGAGATGAATCTGGAGTTTTGTGAGAGGGGGCCGCTGCCGGAGGAGGTGGTGGAGGCATTAGAGCAAGCATGGCAGCTGACGAGTGCGACGGCGCCGACGTATTGGCACAAGGAGTTGACATATGAGTACGATGTGCAGAAGGAGCTCTTCGGGGAGGGTTGAGCGTGTCTTACATGGTGCCCAATTCTTGGTCATAGGCGAAGGTGACAGCTGTGAAGGCGTCGAACGGTCAGTAAAATGAAAACAACGCATAAAAGTATTCCTCTCCCGTGATATCGAGTCGACGCGTCGCGGAGGATTCCGCGAGAAGCCACGTGCTCTGCCACAATTTTTCATCTGTGGCTTAACAGTGCGCACGAGTGAGTCCATATATTTGGGTTAATTCTACCAATCCCCAACTAATTTGAGCAGCAGGTTGGTCGGCGCAGTTGGTTCCGCACAAAGTAAGTACAACAACCTGCAAAGGCTGTGAGTTCGAATCCAGCCCTTGTCAGGAGTCGACATTATGGTTATTTCCTATAGATTCGACTGAAAAGTCGCGCGGAAATGTAAGTCCTCGCGGAAGTAAAACCGTCCGGGGTTTTCTACACCCTCCATCGGGAGGGTGATCTTTTTGCTTTTTGAATATCTTTTAAACGTGTCGCACGGAAGGAAAGCTAGCGCGGTGTAAAGCGTCGACGGGGAGTTCTCCGCGATAGCCCAACACTGTTTACCTGTTCACGTGCCCCTGGGCTCGAACTGCGCTCGGAGCAAAATATTAGCCCTTTGCAAGAAAAATCAATGATCTGGAGAGACCCCATTTCAGTAGTGGCTACATCCTCCCCGGAGGAACGTAGCGCTTTGCTCCTTTAATATGCTTTTAGGCCGGCATTGCTAGTAATATTCAAGAATCAAAACTATGTCAAACAGCGGTCAGCCGCTCAATTGGGTTGTAGATGGCTGAGTGCGACAGTGTCAATAAGTCAATCCCCTTCGCTACGGAAGGTTGTTTTGAAATCGATGGGCTAGATTATCAATTCACAACCTCTTAGTCGCGTTGGCCCTAAAGTATTAACGTGTTGAGTACGTACCTATGCTGGCCAACTACACGCACAGCTCATCATGACACTCGTTTGTCTGCGTACCCAATGTGCTGTCAACATCTTCACTGTTGAACTTCAGGTACCTATATCTTCTGCTTCTGAGAAACTTATTCTCTCTTTTACAAGCTACATAAAATTACGCTCCAATATATCATATATCACTAGCATCCATCTATTTCAAACACCACACACTTTAGAATCCAAACATTCAACACTACCTTGGGAGCCTCCACTACTCCAACATGCCTCCCACAAGGTCTCCCACCATGTCGCCCTCTAGGACCGCATCTCTCCGATCACCTTCCCCCGTCTCCACCACCTCAATATCAACCACCATCAAGACCAGCCAGGCCATAACGCGCCTAGCAATCCTCCGCACCACCACTCCAACAATCCACTCCATCACCACCGCCCTCTACGACTTCGACACCGCCCTCTCCACCTTCTCCGCCCAGCGAACCCTCCTCAGCACCCTTCGCTCAGAATACCAAGCCCAGCCCGAAGGCGCGATCGACCCCGACTCCCTTACCCTCACCACTCTCCTAGCTACGATACGCCTCCAGCCACAAGAACTCCCCGAGCCAGAAGTCCGCCTCATTCGGACACTCGCCCGTGGCCACGCTATCACGCTCGTCGCTGCCCTGTGCCGCGTGGAATATTATATCCAGTACATCATCGACTGCCTCGGTACCCACTCCGCCTTGCGTACAAACGACACGCGCGACGGGCTCTTCACGGACGGCGGCAACGACCTCAGCGTTCTGGGGAAGGACGTAAACCGCGTCAGACTCAGGAACATCTTGCGCATCTTGTCCAGCTCAACAGATGAGCTCCTCGCGCGGATCGTAAAGGCGGTGGAGGAAGACGAGGAGGTGGATGTCAAGGCAGAGTGGGTGGCAGAGTTCAAGACTGAGTCAGAGCAGGCCGGAAGGGTTGTGCAGCGGCTGAAGGAGGCGGTGGCGGTGTTTGAGACTATTGAGGTGGAGTGGGAGGGCGGCGAAGATCTGGATGTCGAGAGCCCGAGTAGTAGCGTTATTGGGGTGTCTGACGCTGGTAGCGACTATGGGTCGCGTGCTGGAAGGTCCCCGGACGCTCGGACGGCCAGCTGGCATGGGTCCGGTGAACAGAGTCCTGCGAGGTCTGCAGCAAGTGGGAAGTGTTATCTGTGCGGGAGGAGTCCTATGATGTCTCCGGTAGGCAGTGTGCACAGCTCGTACATACCCAGTAGTCCCTCTAGGTCACTGACGGGCAGTACATGCGCTTGTGGAGAAGATCATGTGGGAGTGATTTAAGCCTTGCTGAAGCTTAGGAAGGCAGTGGTGTTGACAACAGTATTGAGAGTAGGAGTGCTCCGAGTGACGGTCAAGTGGCTGGCAGGTATCCAGCGACTGATCAAGTTCGGGTTTGCGAGGGTAATTTCGGAAAAATAGACTTTCTTTTACTCAGCGGCCAATTCAGGGGATATAGACTGTTATTTGTTTCATTGGAATATTCTTATGTAGCTCTAGGGAATATGCTGGCTAGATTCTGTTCGACTATGCTGATTTTCCTCCATCATAGCATAAAAGAATATAAGGGTATATGTGGATACAAACATGAAAGCTTTGCTTTTTGACGAGGGTAGCGAAAGATAGAAAATATAAGCGTAGACGAGTTCGAGAGTGAGAGTACTAGTACCGACTCCATGAAAAGCACTGTGGGACGAGACCTACCATTCTACCTCCCTACCTAGAATGTCCCAACCAACGAGCCTCCAAACCTCCTTCTTGAACCATTCAGTCATGTCCTTCTCCTCTATCCTTGGAAGGGATGGCAAAGCTGCCAAGCGAGGAGGCATCCTGAGGCAATCCAAGAAGTCGTCTTTGTCGTCTCCTCCAAACATGCAATTGATTAGTGTCTGCTGAAGGCGCTCTTTTGCGCGCCGATTTAAGGTAACCTTCGCACCAATGGTCGGACGCCTGGGGCCCAACGTAGATTTACCGGTTTGCGATCCGCCCTTTGTAGACTTCGAACCCGCTTCTGAGTGAGCGTGCATATGGTGCGGGGCGTGAGACATCGCCTTCTCTAGCATGGCAATGAGATTCGGAATTTCCAGCCGAAGAGCCTTTTGCTCCAACTCCTTCCTGGGTCCAGCGGACGCAGAACCAAGGTTCTCTGGTGGGCTAATATCTCCTTCGATAGTTGCACTTCGCTCGCGGTCGAATGTGCAGACGTAAAGACGCTTTCCGATGCGTTCAAGAAGAACAAACATGAAGCCTTCAAACAGCTGCTTGTGCAATTGATCGCCGACATCAAGGTAAGAAATAGCGGCATTAAGAAACTGAACGATGCCTCGGGAGGTGGTATCCTGTACAGTTTTCATAGCCTTTGCGCGACTCTTTCCAGTAGCCGTGGAAGAGCTGGCGGCTCCCGCCGTCGGCAAGTTGAGCTTTGCTGTTGCCAAAGCAGATTCTGTGATGCCGTCAAGAATATTCCGAAACATCTTCACACATTCATAGACCACTATGCCTGCAAGTTGGTTTTGGCGATGCTCTGAGAGTCTAGTCAGGCCGACTAGCAACGAAGTGAAGGCTCGGGCTGACACCCTGATAGTCGATCCGAGATCAATTTGATCTTTCGCGAGAAGAACGGCCTCTACTGTCTGCTTCTGTTTACCTCCGGTGACAGAAGAAGTAGTAGTAGCTGAATCTTGTCGTTTACACGACGAAAATATGACGGATCCCAAGGCACGAGCAGTCTGAACCAGATTGAAACAGAGTGCTTGAGAGTCCGCACTTGACTGCCATGATTGCCTGAACAGTTTGTGAACACTATATAAGCTGTTGGCGAGAGTGGTGCCGGCTGTATCTAATCAGAATGGTAAAAGGGACGTTGGTATGGGAAGTGTGACTTGCCTTCTCCCACGTGACTAAGAGTTTCATAATCTTCCGAGAACGGGTCGTGGGTAATCTCGTCTTGCGCAGGGGTATCGTTTGATACCTTAGACCGTTTCACAGACTTGGAGGACGAGCAAGCTTTTGCAGTCTCCCGTTTACGCTTCGAGGAAGTGGCCGCCGACTCTGACGACCTGGCCTCTGCTAGGAGGCGCTTTAGATCGTCTTTCCCTCGTTCCAAGTGAGATATCTTGGCTTGGAGCTCAAGTCTGACCCTTTCTGCTCGTTCGAATTGGTCCCGCCAGTAGCCGGCGCCATCGAGATGTTGATGCTGGACGGCTTTCAGCTCAGGTCGCTTCCCACGTCTCAGATGCTCGCGCAGACGGAGTATGAAATCTGAGAACAGTGTATCAGCACTTCTTGACTCAGGCCTATAATCCAGGAGATGAAATACCCTTAATTGAGACATTATCTGGCTTCGACTTGACGACAGCAACGGCGAGAGCGATTTGCAATGACGAAGGTACGACCGGAAAGGGAAGTGAGGATGCAATTGAAGGTGCTATTGAGGGCACCCTTGATACTGCTCTCGGAACACGAGGGCTGTTTGCTGGAGCCATAGAATCACAGTAAGAAAGATGGATGATTGATTGAGGTTGCAGATGTCCTCCTTTTTAGGTTTCAGCACGGGCCTCGGCACACCGAAAGAACCACTCTTGTCTGCAATCTCTCATGGCGGAAGACCACATAGACCTCGACTCCATTACCAATACAGTCTGAACGGATGAAACTGACTCCTTCCGAGTTTTGCGTCCAGTCTGCCTCCTTTCAGCCCCCTAATCCCAGCACTTAGCTGAGTACACCCACCCAGCGTTCGAGTTATGACACCCAGACGTTTCGCCCTGTCGATTTCCCCCGCAGTTCTTGTCGGTGTAAAGATATCACCACATGGCAGAGTTGTCAATCGAGAAAGACACTGCCTCTTCGTTGAAGTTGAAGCGGTTCCCATTGCTCCAGTTGTTACCCTCGTCCCATCCGTATGAGGTGCAAGACTGTCCACAATAACAGGCTCGTGTCTGGAGTTCCATTGCGGAGCTCATGGGAAGAGCAACGGAGAAGAAGAGCGCGGCGATAGCTGAAAGACGCATCGTTGGTGTTTTAGATGAGATGTGAGTGGAGAAGGAAGAGAGCGCATAGAATTTTATTGGCGAATGTGGAATGCCTTGTCATAAATTTGTGTAGATCTCTTTGTCACTGTCAAGGGCAATTCAAGCCATTGCCAAATGCGTGATAACCTGGAAAGCTCATTGAGCTTGCAGACTGGCTGGACTACTTCAGACTGCATTATGTTTACTGAAATGAGATAAGGCTTGCGAAGGTTTAAGAGCATACTGGAGTGCCAGAAGTATTGTCAAAGGAGCGTACACAGACCTATAACGGGGCATTCAATTCGGCGAGATGTGAAAACGGACGTACCCTTGAATGTGATCAGCGGGAAGATACAAATGGAGTGTACTTTCTGTCTTCTTGCTTTTCTGAAGAGCAGTTTACAGAAGGGCCGATTCATTTTATACCTCCAAGGTACCATTTCAGCGAATATAGAATACTAGATTCGGAGCTGATAGTATAATGTGGAGATGTTAATTCAAATTTTGCTGAGCAATAATTGCTTATGAGCATACCCCTGGCTGTCTCATTCGTAGTCATCGTGTTTGTGGGGTCGGTGTGCGATGGCCAGGCCCCCCTAAGCCGCGATCAATAACCGACCACTGCGCCACTAAGATTAGTCTATGATCAGCTGCACGAACTCAGCAATGGCCTCAACGAGGTGATCTCCGCATGGATGAATGGCATAATATGCTTACTTTGGGGCCAAAGCGAGTCGAACACCAGCACTCGGAGTACCATGTAGTAAGAAATGCGGGGTTTGCTGCAACTTGGCATCGCCATTCTAGATACCAATTGGCTGAGAGAGGATGGACGGATATGCATGTGAGACGTAGGTAGAAGAAAGCGGCAATGCGACGTCCTATCCATGTAGCTATGGCCCAATATAAAGTGCCTTTATTCCCAGTTCAGCGGAACATGTGAGTTGATCAGAACTCTTTGTGACATTTACCACAGACAATGGCTTTGGCTTTTGATTTCATCATTATTGGCGGTTCGTTTAGCCCTAGACTGCTTTGCTGCCATTCCCAATTAGGCCTATGTTAAGTGCATCTACAGCTGGTACTTCGGGATGTCTTCTTGCCAACCGTCTTGTCAACGCCCGGACACGCCCATCAGTCCTGCTGATTGAGGCCGGTGGTCGGCCGGAGGGCGACACCCTGCGTGCTCCATTCCATCGCTGGACACCTGCGTTCACGCGTCCAGATCTGGACCATGGCTACTCAACCGTACCGCAAAAAGAACTGAATGACCGTTGCATCCCGTATGCGAGGGGCAAGGGGCTCGGCGGAAGCAGTATCCTGAACTTTGCGGTCTATCTTTATGGGTCCAAAGAGGACTACAATAGGTGGGCTGAGCTGGTTGGCGATGATAGTTGGAGGTGGGAAGAGACGAAGGAGCGTTTCAAGCGGGTGTGCTAGATTTATCACCTTTCATAGGATTTCCTGACGGATGGCTCTGCAGATTGAAAACTACGATACGTCGACTGCGCACAAGTACTCGAAGTACGCAGACCCGCGGGCTGAAGACCATGGCCAGGAGGGGTATGCTCTCGTCGATCGCGAATGAAAGATTGATCGCGCTAAACAAGTACAGAACTGTAGACATATCCATTCCGGTCGACCTTGAGAAAGGGTCTGAGGCGTATTTAGACGCCTTGTTGAATCTTGGGGTCGGTATTTTTGACTGCTATGTCTTCATGGCTAACATTAATAGCATCCTCTGAACTTGGACCTGAACTCTGGAAATCCAATCGGCGTGGGTGTATTTCCGTCTTCGTACTCTCGACAAGGCAGAACGACTAGTGCGACTGCACATCTTGAAAGTCCACCGAGCAATCTCACCATCTGGACCGAGAACAAAGTAGCACGACTATTGAAGAATGGGAAGAAGATTGTCGGCGTGGAAGTTGATGACGGACGAAAAGGCAAGATCAAAAAGTGAGGCGAGTTTTGTCTGATAAAGCACTAATGATTCACCAGCTTCTTCATTCAAGGACGTCATTGTGAGTGCTGGAGCCCTTGATACGCCGAAGTTGCTCCTGCTGAATGGCATTGGTCCTGCCGCGGAGCTTAAAGCTCATGGTATTGAGGTTGTTCACGACCTTTCTGGTGTTGGAAAAAATCTTCGCGACCACATCCTTGCTTTCATATGCGCGGAGGTCGATACGGATCTGACGGAGAGGTATGCTTTTGAAAGTAACGCAGATAGCGTCCGTGATGCACAACAGCTTTGGAACGAAAGCCGATCAGGTCCCATGGCTCATCACAATGGCACGCTGGCTGGGGGATTTTTCAAAGATCCGCATCTGGAAGAATATCCGGAGTTCCAGGCCCTGCCGAAGGATATTCAGCAATATCTTTCGAAGCCGACGGTTCCGGCTTCAGAGATAACTGGTTGCGCAGCCTTGTTTCCACCGGGATCCCAGCTGTCTCCAAACTCCGGATACCTGTCCATAGTGACGTTCTTGATGAACCCTCAGTCTGAAGGAGAGGTTACTTTGCGTTCTGCTAACCCCCAAGATACCCCAGTCATCGACTTCAAGTACATGGAGCATCCGTACGATAGAAAGGTGATGACAGAGGCTGTTCGGAATACAGTGGATTTCTTCCAGGACTCCGACCTCAAGAAGCATATCAAACGCTTTGTTTTCGCTCCGGAAAGCAGGTCTCACGAGGACGTCCAGGTAAGCAAGAAACGCGTTCAATCTGGTCCATTATTTAATGAGAGACTTTGTAGAAATTCCTGAAGGACGCTGTCGGGACTGTGTGGCATGCGCACGGGACAGCGAAGATGGGTAGACCCGACGATCCAATGGCTTGTGTCGATACAGCATTTCGAGTCTTTGGAGTGGAAGGCCTCCGGGTAGTTGACCTAAGCGTCGCTCCAGTCACAACTAAGTAAGCTAGAATGGTTTCCTTATTTCAACAAGAATATGCGCTTTACACAGAGCTTGGACTGACACGAAGAAGCAATCACACTCAACCTACGGCGTATCTGATCGGTCAAAAAGCGGCGGAGGTGATGATCAAAGAGTATGGCCTTTGATGAACCGCAACCGAAGACGTATGCATATCGTTGGTTTGTTTCGGGGTGTTGCAAATGTTGCCGTTCGATGAACTTTTCCTGTGAAGATTGTAATTCAATGAAATAGATATAGTATTACCAGATGCATTTGGCAAATCATTAAGAGACCTCCAGTACTCACACAGCTCGTGCGCTGATGTACCGGGCATATATAATACACATCCTACAGAACCTACTAATTTTGTACAGCCTTTTTTTTCTACCGGTACCTAGCACCATCCTTCTTCTTATATGGAAGAGGCTCAACGCGTTTCCTCTTGAACTCCATGTTCACCTGGTCTCCCAAGCCCGCTCTCTGCATGACACTAGCCATATTATCGTCCCACTTCGTCCTGAACACGGTGACGCCCACTGGCGTCAACCTTTGCTTGTCTATAAAGCTTCGGAGGATGAATCCGTCTCTCTTTGTGCTACGCCCGACCTTAGCAGTGTCGATGACGTTGCCATCTGCTTGTCGTAGGAGGAAGACTGCTAGTCGATGGTAAGGGGCGCCCTTGTGAACTGTGGGTGGGAGCCAGGGCAGAGCAATGTGCTTAGCAGTGGTATCTTTGACTTTCAGATCGAGCTGGTTTAGAGCAATGGAAGTTGAGGTTGGAGAGATCGGGATGTTTGAGGCAATAAAATGACACCGGTATTCGAAACCATCCTTCTGCACGATAGGAACATCCGGGTCCACCACTACAACCGTAACAAGCCTCTCTCCCTTGTCAAAGACCTGTACCTTCAGCCTAGGCGCACGCTCACTGATCAGAGAGTCTACAAAATCGCCGTGCGGTATCTTGCGTCGACCGAAAGCGAGATCGACTTCTGCGACGGGATCCAGATGTGGGAGGATATCGGGAACAAGATTTAGCTGAGATATGCGCTGCTCTAGGATCTTCCGTCGGTATTGGCGCCACTGCTTGTCTGCAAGGTATCGGTAGATAGGCTTGTTCATATCCTCTGAGATGAGTTAGAAACTAGGGCATTGCCAATGATGAGCAACAAGAGTCTACCTTCACCATCTTCGTGCTTCTTCTTGACCACGGGGTCGTTGATATCTGCTAGGATCTTCAACTCTTCCAGGCGGTTGTACATGCTTCGGAGTCGGTTCTCTTTGGCTTGTTTTCCACCACTGATAGCTTCATCTTGGGCTTGCAGATTCGCGATCCTTAGCCTTGCAACTTCAATCTGCTTGATCTTCTCTTGGCGATCCTCTTGGAGCACCTTTCGTGCGTCTTGGAAGCATTGGTACGGAAGTTGTTCGAAGGGTATGTTCTGAGAATTTTGGAGAGCGGCCCGGCGTCTTCGAGAACCAATGGGCATAACGCCCCGGAATCGAATCAAGCGTCTCTCATCGCGTTTACCAACGACAGTTGCTGGATCGAGTTCAGGAAACTTGTCGACCCTCTCGACTTTCTCGGTTTTGTTCACTTGGACGTCTTCGGGGGTCCGCGCAGTCGAGGAGAGAAATCGCGCGGAGTTGGCAACGAGGGAGGCGTTGCCATTGCCGGTTTGTCGAACGCATCGTAAGCACGAATTCAAAGGGCGCACAGCGTGGTTTCCAGGCGCCATGATGTCAAATGGGCCGGGCGCGTGGTCGGGGGAAGTGATGGGGGAGGATTGGGGCGAAGTTCTCGACCTCTCCCAAGCGAACTTTTCTTGAGCCGCATCGACGACCTCCAACCTATCGAGCATCACCGACTGCGTCCACTCCTTACCAGACCGTCGAACATGGCAGCACGACACGTCGCGAACCCGCTACGGGGAGTAATATGTCAATTGAGCAGGACAAGCGTTGCACAGGATGGCCTTGCCGTACGATGCCCGTCCTACCCTTCCGTCTTGATCTGTCTCTAATGATATCCTCAGAAGACCCCCCGTCTCACCCGCTCAATCACTACCGAAACGACCGTCTCCTCTCCTGATGCCGCGCAGCTGTATGCCTCAGCAAATCTCACAAGTTCACCCAAGAGCACCACTACCTCTACGAGCCCCTCGCCCGCGCCCATTGGCCCACAGGCCGTCACAACTATCATCTACTCGTTCCCAGCTCTCGAACCTCTTCGCTTCGAATACTACCCAGTAAACCACCTCTATCTACCTACCCGTCGAGATATCCTGCACCGCGCCATCGTCTACGAGGGTGATATGACACGCTTGGGCACGGCCTCGACTAAATGGCGCGAAGAGGTCCACGGTTCGACGAGGAAAGTTCGACCACAGAAGGGTAGTGGTAAAGCACGTCTTGGTGACAAGAAGTCCCCCATGCTACGGGGTGGTGGTGTGGCATTCGGGCCCAAGCCCCGCGACTTCAGCACCAAGCTACCACGGAAGGTGTACGATCTGGCGTGGCGGACGGCGTTGAGCTATCGGTACCGGAAGGGGGAGTTGATCATCGTAGATGAGAGCTTGGAAATGGAGGATTACAGTACCGGATACGCCAGGGAGGTGTTTGAGGCGCATCAATGGGGCCGACCGCATGGTCGGAGTTTACTAGTGACCGAGGGGCCAAGGCACGAGCGGACGAACCTGTTCAGGGCTCTTGATGGTATGGGGGAGGAGGGAAGGGCCTTGACGTGGGAAGAGGTGGATGTTAAGGATTTGCTGGAAATGGGGAGAATAGTGGTGGAGAAGGGAGCACTGGCCAGGATTCTGGAGGCCCATCAAACCGATTTGACGAAGACCAAGAGGCTAGTGAACAAGCTGCAGTAGAGGAAAGCTATCTTGGGAAACTTGTAAAAATGCCAAGAGATTTGCTTTCTGGGGTTGTATGGTATGAACAGGAAGGCAAAGAGCATCTAAGAGGGCGCAGAGGTGTATAAGTACATTGTATTTTACGTCTATGTAAACGGTATATCACATCTACAGAGACCTTTCACATACTTGGTTCCTCGAAACTGTGTGGACATGGACTCTTCCTCCGCACTGACACCTCGAGGGATATTGTGAACCTTCTCACAATTCGTTAGGCCGTAGTCTGCCTCCTTCTGAGTATGGTTTCCGAGTCTTGAAAAGACCCTTACTCCTTATTCTGGTCTGCCTTCTTTTCCGCTGGAGCCCCTTCAAAATACAACGTCATCACTCCCCCTAAATTGCCGTCCGCCTTTTTAGTCTCAGAAGACCCTTTGCACTCTCTCATCGCGTCCCTAACTTTGTCCAAAACTGCCGCTGCCTCCTCCCGCGTAGCCTTCCTCTTCGCTTTTGCCTTCGTCCCTAGCATGACCTCCACTTTCCTCCCTTGCATCAGAAACTCCTTCAGTCTGTTCAGTCTATGCTTCAAATCATTTGCATCGATCGCCCAATTAACTTCCAATTGCTTCCCGGATGCCAAAACCGACTTCTGCTTGCTGGCTTGCTTTAATTTTGTCTTCCGTCGCGCTTGCAGCTCCCGTTTGGCAATGATCTTGCAGGTCGGCAGCGATCCAGGATCGTTGGGTGAGGGTTGATCTCCATTAGGCTTTGAAACTAACACGATGTGAAATTGTTCGCGGTCCAGGCCGCTCAGCGTGTTGCGCAGTCGGCAGGCGGGGTGGAAACCCTTTTCGTCAACGAGGTTGATGTAGGTGCTGCGGATGTTCTCGTCGACTGTGAATGTGTCTTGTATCGGGGTAGCCCAGCTTTTGTGGCGTCGAGTAGGCGGAGCGATTATGGGTTTGACGATGAGAGGCGTAGGCTGCCGGAGAGTTCGCAAAGGTGACGCGTGGGCTTGCTGCAGGGAGGGTTGGATGAAGACGCGGTAGAGGGCGCGGGTGGTGCCAGCCAAGTGAGTAGGAGGCATCGCGAGAATAGGTAGCTCCAAGGAGAGACAACACAAGAAAGGAACGAAAGCGCAGTTGAAGAAAGGACGTGAAAGAGTGTCGATGTCGATTCTCTGAGCATCTACACAAATTTCATGGAGTCGGGGACTTTCGAAGAAGCTCGGGCCAACCCTCACTCCCGATGACCTCCGCCCCGCTGCCTGACATTCACACTCGCGATTGCTGCGACCTTATTCATAAAACCCCAACATGCCTTCCGAACACCACGCTCTGCTTGACGGAACAACACCCACATCCATACTACCGCCATGAGCTCCTGGCTTGAACAGTACAGCTCTGCGCTGGACGCGCGTGATGCGCGAGAGCAAAAGCACAGCGCCTACGTAGATGCCTGTAAGTGAACTTGGAATACCGCATCTAGATCATGCAGTCTTTGGAAGACACCTGCCATCTTCTTCAAGCTCTCTCTATTTCTAATATTTAACAAACATGTACTATCTCACCTCATTTCACTGACCCAGCATAGACACCAAGCTCGCAGACCGCACTGCAACACTAAGATCCGAATCAGCAACCACTCCTCCAGAGACCCTCCCTGCAACCCCTCTACCGAAATCCGCGTGGCCAAGCACACCGAAGGGCAAATCCTCACCTACTCCGCATGAGCCAGTCACGGCAGAGAACCTAACTCGCATGCGCGCCGAGCTTACAGCCGCCCAGAGTGGTCGCGCCGCTCTCGAAGCCCGCGTGAAGAGTTTATCCTCCGAGCTCAGCACCATCCGCACCCAGTCCTCCGCCCAAGCTGGGCATATCAGCCAGTTGGAGCAAACGAAACATCAGCTGGAGCGAAGGGTCAATGATAGAGCGGAGGAGCTCAAGGGCAAGGGACGGCTGGTGGTGAATGTCCAGGATGAGATGGTGGCACTCGAGCTGCAGCTCAACATTACAGAGCAGAAAGTAGGGAGGCTCGAGAAAGAGAATGCAGAGCTGACTAGGCGGTGGCTAGCGAAGATGGAGCAAGAGGCGAGCGATATGAACAAGAGCCCGTTTAGCCGGTGAGAGTCGTGGTAAAGAGGGGTGTACACCAAGGCATATGGAGCTCGAATATGGCATATAAAACAGTACATAAAGTGCTTTTGGCCGAGAAGAAGATGCATGAAGGACCCGTGGGGTATTTGGGTATCTTTGGGTCTGATCATCTTTGATACCACTACCACAGCTTCGAAAAATTGCCCCACATCACTAGCACATGAGTCTATACTGCTTCCCACCACGGAAGGTCCAATATAACTTCTCCTGAATTTAAGACTAGTATGCCAATGTCAATATCACTCTCAAAGTCCTTGTGTAGTCGCAGATATCGCCTGCAAAGGTGGTCACCGAGTTTCCTGATTATGCAAGCTCCTAAAATGATATCGTGTACAGAGATTTGAAATATACTGAGGAACTAGTGACACTGGATAATATATGAAATAAATGTAAACAAATGGTGAATAGACGTGGGGCTGGTGCCTGGATCCAATAACCCCGCGCTAGCTCATTTATCTGTCGAGCTCAACCTCGAAGCTCTCCACAAACATCATTGCCTCACCACACTCGCCCACCATGACTCCCGCAATGAAGACGTGGGGTATGTCTTCCCTAGTCATTCTCCAATAAATTCATAGCTAACAATCACCTAGAGCTCGAAAACTCCGTCAAGCTTGTCGACCCCCACCGTGACGCTCTCTATGCCTACGACCCCTCCGCCCAAAAAACAATCAACGAAGCCCGGCCATGGAAAAAGGACCTGCACCACTTCACCTCCGTGCGGATTTCAGCCGTCGCCCTCCTCAAAATGGTCATGCACGCGCGCTCCGGGGGCTCGATCGAAGTCATGGGCCTGATGCAAGGCAAGATCGAAGGCAGCACCTTCATCGTGACCGACGCCTTCCGGCTGCCTGTCGAAGGCACCGAAACCCGCGTGAACGCACAAGACGACGCGAATGAATACATGGTTGAGTTCCTGACGCGGGCACGCGAGCTCGGGCAGCTGGAAAACGCCGTCGGCTGGTACCACTCGCACCCAGGCTACGGCTGCTGGCTGTCGGGCATCGACGTTAACACGCAGAAGACGCAACAGCTGTACCAGGATCCCTTCCTCGCGGTGGTTATTGACCCGGATCGCACGGTGTCGGCGGGCAAGGTCGAAATTGGAGCGTTTAGGACGCTTCCGGAGGATTACGTCAAGCAGCAGGAGGCGAGGACTACGCAGGGAGCTGGCGAGTCCCAGTCGATTCCACTGGCGAAGATTGAGGACTTTGGAGCGCATGCGAATCACTACTATTCGCTTGAGGTGTCGCATTTCAAGAGTACGCTGGATGCGAAGACGTTGGAGGCGCTGTGGAACAAGTACTGGGTGCAGACGCTCTCGGCTAGTCCGCTCTTCTCAAATCGCGAGTATGGCACGAAACAAATCCAGGATCTAGCACACAAGATCACCCAGGAGGATAAGCAGTTGAAATCGATGCGTGGTGCCGTCTATGCACAGGGCGACAAGAAAGTGAACCTGGCCAAGATTGTTGGACCGAGCAAGAAGATTCAGAGGGAAGAGGAGATGGGGCTGTTGGCTGCAGCTGTGAAGGGCAAGGTGTTTGGGGTGGCTGATGATGTTAAAGAGGTGAAGGATGAGGAGATGAAGACTTAAGGAGACAATGGCTTCACGACGAACGATATGATTGCATGGCTAGGCGTTTGGATCTGGCATTACGTGCCCGTGGAGTCTTAGAGAGTAACGTTTAACCTTAGGCTGAAATCATATGGGCCTTTGAATGCGCATTCAATATTTCCACGTCTGAAGGCAGAGTTATGAGATCACTGACTAGAGAGGCCACGATTCAGACATACTCGTTTGAACCTGTTTAGTACTGCTAGTTTGACTCCAATTAGTGGTGCATTCCTCTATATCTACCAACATATCTGTACAGTATTACTACAGGTGAGGATTCCACAGTAATCCTACATCAGGTTTTAGAAGAGGCCTGTTCCCCAAAAGCTTCAGCTCCCAACCTTCGAAATGTTTCCTCCCGTCCTAGGATTGTCATGATTTCGTGAACACCAGGACCATGCTTTCCATTAGCCACTAACCCACGTAAGAGTTGGTACCCTTCCTTCTCCGATCTGCCTTCCGTGGTGCACCAATTGGACATTCCCGCCTTGATAGCATGTTTGATGGGTTCAGAGTCCCAAGGTTGGTCTTGAGGGAGCGTCTTGATTGCCTGTATGAACGGGAGACTCAAAGCTACGTCCTGGTGAGCAGATGGAGGCTCTGGTAGAGTGAAAAAGTAGTCGCATTGCTCAACGAAAGCTTTTGGAGTCGACCATTCTTTTTTAGCAGCAGAGCGTACGATGCTAGCAACATATTCCCGGAGGTTCCTCTTGCCCAAAATGACTTCACTGTAAGGAGATCCGTTAGCAGGAATTGAGCAAACATTGTCAAAGTTAGGGAACGTACTATTTTGCGGAGTCCAAGTCTTTCTCAACGATGGCCACAACATCGTCGACCATTTTGTCGAAAGGCGGGCCTCCTGCGTCAATGCGACGGATCGCATGTTTTTGCTGCAAGAACCACAGTTTTCCCAATGTTACGGTGCTGTTACCCTTTGTGAATTTCATGACGAACTGTCTTGTTATTAGTTTGATCGACATATATTACGGAGTCGCGTTCTTACGTTATCGACTAGTTCGTTCATGGTCATGACATCTGTTTTGTTCTTATGTGACCACCCAAGAAGAGCAACGAAGTTCGAAAGAGCTTCAGGAAAGACGCCTGACTTATCTCTAAACGAGGCGATGTCGGTGTCAAAGTTCCGTTTGCTCAACTTGTTTCCTTTATCATCCACGAGGAGTCCCACGTGAGCAAACTCTGGTGGTGTCCATCCGAATGCCTGGTACATAACAAGATGTTTCGGTGTTGCGGGTAGCCATTCTGTTCCTCGAATAACGTGAGTGATCTTCATGTGGTGGTCGTCTACCACATTGGCGAGGTGATAGGTGGGCAGACCATCCGATTTGAGCAGAACAGGATCCTCATAGCCATCATTGGCACCAATTCGTTTCGTGTTCCCCACCTTCTTGTAGACCAGGTCGTTGAACTCTGGGTAGACATCTGGGACTTTTAGACGCACAACGTGTGCCTCCCCTTTCGCAGCCCTCTCCTTTGACTCGTCCTTGGAGATACCAGCACAAGTACGATCGTAATCGGGAGAAAGATTCTGTTCCGTTCGGAGTTTCGCGAGTTCAGCGAGTCGCTGAGAGGTACAGAAACATCGATATGCGTGTCCAGAGCTCAGTAGCTTTTCCGCATGCTCTTGATACAGCGTCGTCCGCTCCGACTGCTTGTAAGGCCCATAGGGACCCCCCACCTCAGGGCCTTCGTCCCATTCCAGGCCAGCCCATCGCAAGTCCTCCAAAAGCCTCTTTTCCGCGTTTGGAATTGTCCTTTTCTTGTGCAATTAGCACCGTACAGGATTTAGTGCTCCATCAACACTCAACACCCACCTGGTCTGTATCCTCAATACGCAGTAGAAATTGGCCACCAGTACGCTTGGCGAGAAGATAGTTGTATAGAGCCGTTCGGAGGGATCCTAGATGAAGGTAGCCTGTGGGAGAAGGTGCAAAACGCGTCCTAGCGGGACTAGAAGGGAGCTCTAGCTTTCTGGGGGACTTTGGTATACGCAGGTGTGATTCAGAGCCAGAAGTTGAATTAGTCCGCTTCCAAGCTCTGGAGAGCTGCGCTAGACATGATATGCACGTAAAGGCACCTGGGCGGGATTGCCGTGCGAGATAATTTAGCATTATCATGCAGAACAATGACGGTCGAGCAATGATGCAGGTCAAAATTTTTGCCAAGCCCTCGGACGAAGTGAGGACGCTAGGCAGCAAAAAAGTGGCACACTCAAGCAGTTCAACACCGTAGGCTTTCCAAAACCGGTACTGCATGAGTAACAACAGCATCCTGAAGACCTCAAGCGGTGCTAAATAAGCGTACACAACCACAGAAACAGCTGGAGTGTGTATACACCTCATGGATTTGTGGACTGCCACTTTCTGTTCACACTCATCAACCGCGCTGTCTCATAGGCGCACCTGTCTACTACCTTACTGCTTGGAGTGCTTCAACAAGTTTTACATAGCCCAGAGAAAAGAGCTTCTACCTCGTTTGTATTTCTGAAAATGCATTGAAGCACGCAAATAGAACAAGCTGCCTTTGTCTCGTATGTGCAACTGTCTGCCACTGCTTGGGTTGCTTCAATGTATTTTCAGAAATCTTAAGAAGATAGAAGCTCTTCGCCTTGGGCTATATGGAAACTTGCTTCATGCAGTGGTAAGCGGGAGTACTTGATGAGTGTGCCACCATTTTCATCCATGTAGAATAGAATGCCACCTTTGTCATGCCCCGCGTGGTGAAACTGGAACATTTTGGTGGTCGAGCTTTCATCCAAACCTTTCCCCTCCATCGCCCTTCCTAAGTTTGGACCAGTACATACAAATTTTGTATTCTCTTGTAGATATTGCAGCTTCTTCCTACTGTGTTTTTTGAGCTCATCCTCTGAAGGCATCTCATAAGTAAAGACCCTAGCCTGACTATTACAGCACTTCACTAACAGCTTCCACAGTGAACGACGTGGACGAAGTAGACCTCTATGGTATGTCTCACCTCCAAAATATAAAAAGCATACGTTGTTCTAACATGATAAGAGGTCCTCGGAGTCACCAGTGGCGCAAGTAAAACCGAGATCAAGAAGGCGTATCACAAAGTTAGTCGCATCATCATATCATTCAATCAAACAATGAGATACTAATCAGCATCTACGTAGGCCGCACTATCCCATCACCCTGACAAAGTTGCCGAACACGAACGAACCGAAGCCGAAATCCGCTTCAAGTCCGCCAAACAGGCGTACGAGATCCTTTACGATGACGACAAACGGACTCTGTACGATACCCACGGCATGGCTGCCTTCGATCCCAACCGAGGTAGTCCGGGTGGTCCGGAGGTTGATCTTGACGACATCCTAGCACAGATGTTTGGCGGTGGTATGGGAGGGATGGGAGGCATGCCCGGCATGGGTGGAATGGGAAGTATGCCGGGGGGAATGGGAAGGCAACCACGGAAGGGCCGAGACGTAGAGCAAGAATATGAGGTCACGCTCGAGGAGCTTTACAAGGGAAAGACGACACGATTCTCGAATACCAAGAATGTCGTGTGTCAGACATGCAAAGGGACGGGCGGGAAAGAGAAGGCAAAGCCACACCAGTGTGCTGTGTGTGGCGGCAACGGTATGTTTGATGTCAAAATCTCGTTCAAATTCCCGTCTTTTACGTCTAGTGCCTCGCTGACTATCTATTCCCGTACAGGCGCTACTACTCGTCTTCGCCCCGTCGGCCCTGGGCTGGTCACGCAGGAAACCGTCCCTTGCTCTACCTGTTCCGGCACTGGTTCTCTGTTCAAGGACAAAGACCGTTGCAAGAAATGCAAGGGTAAGAAAGTCACGGAGTCCAAGAAGGTCCTGGAGCTTTACATACCACGCGGAGCACGAGAGGGCGAGCGAATCGTTCTGGCTGGCGAAGCAGACCAACTGCCAGACCAGGAACCCGGAGATATCGTTTTCGAACTTGTCGAGAGCCCTCATGACGTCTTCCAGAGAGCGGGAAGTGATCTGAAGGTCGACTTGAAGATAACACTAGCGGAGGCACTTACAGGATTCAACCGCGTGGTTGTCACACATCTCGATGGGAGGGGTATCAAAGTTCACGTGCAGCAGCCAAAAGGCAAAGTCTTGACCCCAGACCAAGTCATCAAGGTTCCAGGAGAGGGAATGCCAGTGAAGAAGAGCGATGCTAAGGGCGATCTATTTCTGGTCGTGAAGATTGAGTTCCCGGCAGATGGATGGATAAAAGACGAGGAAACGATCCAGAAGATCAAGGAGGCTCTACCTGGTCCCACCAAATCCGAGGACGCTACACCAGAGACCACCGACGAGGTCGAGATTGACTACGATGCCACCCTTGAAGACTTTGGATCCGGAAGCGATGATCCTCGTGCAGGGGGCGAGTGGGAGGATGATGAAGAGGAGGGTGGGCCACAGTGTGCCACCCAATGATTAAACGATTAAACAACTTCAACGATATGCATAGATCGGCGTTCGGACGGGAGTATTGGGTGAGTCTGGTCCACTGCCTCCCTCTTGGAGGTCATTTCCTGGTCACGCGTAGATGATAATAGCTCTATCACCGTTTTGAGATAAGCGGTGCCTTTCCTCAATCAAGGTCAAACTTCGTCGCAACAATGCTTGCAGATGTGGGAGACTGTGGCTTTGACTACGGGAGTGAGTGACTTCGTAAGGAGCCGGACGCTTATTCTCTCACAGTTTCACCTGCGTCGCTCGCGTGTGAGAATGCTTCATTTGGTCCTAACAGTCTTTTAACCCACTTTCAAAAAATATTTTAGCTCGGTAAGGGTTGGCCCACAGCATCTACCCGTATATCTAACATATCCCAATGCAACAAAGGACGCCGAGTTCGCAATACAAGGCCTAGTGATGCGGGAAAGCGGCTTTCACGCTAAACGCAGATAGATGAGGGCAAAGGGCGAGGAACAAAAACTTCTGCATCACGCAAACGATCTTAGTATTTATGACGACTCATTTCTAGTCAATTTGTACATCTCATTACTCTTTTCGGGATCCCTTTAAGAAAGCCCATACAATCAAAATTGCGCGGTCACTTGACAGCCGAGTCAATGAGTATCTTGTCAAGGCAATCTGCCGTTTAGTTGGGCCATATAGGGCTATCTTTAGGTCGCTGAGAGGCAGTAATACCTGAGTGACACGATAGCTCGTATCTCGGGGACTGAAACTCGCTTTCCACTTTCTGAGAGCCATTTCTATTCGCTAATTTTTTTCTTCTCGAGAGCCGTTCTCTTCATCCTACGGCTGGAAGCATAAGGCTGAAGCCTTTATCTCGCATCCGTGAGAACTCATGGTCGTGCTGGTCTACACAAAAACTTCGAACTGCTTTCGATTTGCAACTATCTACTTGCCACCGGTTTAGCATGGACGTCGCCACCATGTTTCTGTAAGGTTGATGTCGTTCGCTCGGATAACAGTCACAAGTGAACTGTTCCCTTCGGTGAGCTCCGCATAGTCCATTCGCTAGCTCTATATTAACCAAGGATGATCGATGATTGGTGACGGACCACCGGTAAGATGCTGTCAGTGGTGGAATGGGAGGCTCAGCGAATGGACAAGGATCTCCTCTCAGCCTGTAACAACAACCCAATGCTTGGGTTCTTGGCCCTTGGATGTTCGGCGTCTTGCGTGTTTAGAAGTTTGAATTCTTGGTCTCTCGGAACTTTTTCTTGGAAGTTTTGCTTGCAAGCATGGAAGTGATCCACACTATACCAACACAGGTCTAGTGACTGCTAAGTAAGTGAATGTGCCCCCCGGCGGTAAGGGAAGATGATGTGCACGTCCCCTCTCGTTACGACCTGCAATCCTGACTTGTCTTATATGCCCCCCGATAGCTGGTATCGCCATACTTGAAAGAGCGCACGGTACTATATCTCCGATCCGTATGGCACCCTTATGGTTTCAGAATTAGGTGCTCCGTTACATCTCATTGTCCTGCTTGGCAGCTCCTGCGTAATACGAGCTGGAGTGCCTTAGTCACCAGATACGAGCCTTGGCAAAGCACGAAACGAGGACGAAGACGGACCTATAGATGCGAAACAACCCGTTTCAGAGTCACGTACCCCCGCCCTAGGTGTAAGTGATAATGGGATTGGTGATCGTCAGGACACGAAGCACCACAAAAGGTGTCACCCGGCGTGAGCGATATATGCTACTTCGTATTGCCGCTGGAGATCAAACATTACTGTCTAATATTGTCGATGGGTTTGTTTCGTTTCGTTTCGTTTCTCTGGCCAACATCAGCTATTAGTTCGCGAGGAATCTTCAACTCACTTTGACATACTATCAAATAGTATAAGGTTGCGTTGAACGCCTTTTTATAGAAGTCATAGCAGCAAGACTACTAGGACTTCCATTTCTCTATCCGTCATACGTACATGCACGCTTTTACACTCGCTTCTACCTCACAATGCTCCGAACCACTATCCTCGCCGCTCTAGCCAGCGCAGCTCTCGCCCGCGACATCCCCTCCAACGTCCAAGCCTTCTACGATGCACACCTCGTACGTCCATCCCTTAAGCCGGCCAATTTTCCACAGCCTCGCTAAAACACCTTAGAACACAGAATGCTCAAACGCCGTCTCCGATAGCTTCTCATCCGTCGTCTACTGCCAGGACAATACAAGCAGCGCACTCTTCCTAAAAGGACCATCTGGCTCTTACGATAACATGGACATCGACTGCGATGGCGCCAATGCCTCCGAGGGGCTCTGCGACAATGACCCAACGGGGCAATCGATGACAGCGTTCATGGATCAAGTCGCCGAATTCGGCATCAGCGATTTAGACGCCCATATCCACCCGTACGTCGTGCTCGGAAATGACGGCGCAACGCCCAGCTTTGACCCGCAGAGCGTGGGGATCGAGCCGCTGAGTGTGGTTGCGGTGGTGTGTAACGGCAAGATGGTAAGTCCTCTCGCTCTCCTGGCATCTTGAGTATCCGAGCTAATGTGTTTGGTGGTTAGTTTTACGGCATCTGGGGCGACACCAACGGCGGGACTTCGACGGGCGAGGCAGCTTTGTCTATGGGCCAGCTCTGCTTCGGCGACGACGCGGTGAATGGAGACCAAGGCCACGACGAGGCAGACGTGCTCTACATTGCCTTCCCTGGCAGCGCCGCAGTCCCAGGAAAGGCTGCGGCGTGGAAAGCGAAGATGAAGGAAGAGTTTGAGGAGTGTCTGGCTACAATCGGAGACAAGCTCGTTGCTGGTCTATAGATATAAAACTGGATAAAGTCTAGTAGGTATACTGCCCCCGCTGCTCTAACGAGGACGGCGGTGACGGGTCGCTCTTCCACATTCTCGACGGTTGTGGTTAAGCTGCCAAGGAGCCGTCTGAGACTTTAGAACCTAAAGTTCCAGATTACAGCCACCAGGGCGACTGTTCCAAGGGCCTGGTCTTTGAGCCAGGAAAAGTGTGTGGGTACTTTTTAAACCATATGCTGCCACTCTTGTATAACTTAGCGATGTTGTCTGGGTCGCATTAGGGAGTTGTAAAATACTGAGCATCCGGAGTTTTCATAGGTACGAGTCACGTTTTGTGCAAGGCTACAAGTACGGTTCCAAGATTCCTAGAAGAGATAAACTAGCATCTGAAATTGAGCGAAATTGGAAAGAACATTGAAGCACTCGAGAGCCGTAAGGACCTGCCTTACAGCCAGACCGATCCCCTACATATCATATCACCAATAGCTCCTGAACATCAAGCCCAGCTTTCCTCAGCCCATCAGCATCCATTCCCACCCCCTCGTTTCCCACCACCCTCTTGATTATTTCGCCATCCATGATCCCCGGTACATAGGCTTCGCCCGCAAGCATGTATACCTTCTTCATACCTTTCCCTTCGACCGTCATCTCTCCCAATGACCTCAGCAAATGCGGTGTTCGAGACCCCAGCAAGATAAATAGCTCATGGCTTGGAGTAGCACCAGTTCCCAGACCCAGATAGCCCGTGTCCGTTTGGAAAAAGCTGCGTGACAGTACTGCAGACCGAACAGCATTATCGGCTGCCATCACACGAGCGTGCTCTTCTGCTGACGGGAAGTCTTTGAGAGCAGGAGGCTGCCGCATCCCGTGGCCCGCCTGTCCTGCTATCCACTTCCGCCAGGCCTGGATGCTAGATAAATCGTCTTCCGTGGCACGACGGAACATGTTTTTATTGTCGAGGCCTGTTCTCGAATTTTCTTCTCCGCCATCGGTGGACGTGAAGAAAGTGTCACCGCACAAGGCACGCCAGGTGGCGTCGTAATGCGTTCCGCCTGCGACGTAGGGTTTGGTTGACAAGGGGCTGTTGGCCGGATTGATCGGCAAGGGCAACTTATCAGCCTTGAGGGCTGACATGTTTGTGACTAGAAGCGGAAAGGCGGTCTCCGCGACCTTACCAACGCGAATCGCAAAAACCGTAAGAACACCTGTGCGGGTGAGGACTGGCGACTCGGCGTATAGTCTATCGGGGGGCGGAGCTGGACAGGAAGCGCTTGCATTGAAATGGAAAACGCGGTTGACGCGTTCAAGGGTTTGTCTTTCGAAGCCTGTTTGAGCAGGTAGATGTTAAAGAGAGAGAAGAAGGCCGATGGAAATGCCTTCAGCCACAAATAAAGCCACAGAAAAAGTCACGTGTAGAGAGGTTATGGTCAGCTTGAGCTTGGCGGCCCTTGGCTGGGCAAACTAGCCTTATTCAGTTAGAGTGCGCCCGAGCTCGTTGGACGACCTTCCATCGTCTTTCATGCAACCTTTGCATGTCGTCCTCGCCCCCCGAAAACGTCCGCCGCTCCATCTGAGACCTCCATCCCTTTGTCGCCGCGAAGATCTACCATGCCTCCAATCAATCGCTCAGTAGGGCGGAATGTCCATATATACGGCTCAAATGACCCTAATACCGTGCTTGGCGGTCTAATTCTCACACACGGTGTTACAAATGCCAACTTCTACTTAATGGTGGAGATTCTTTTCTTATTTACAAGCACCTTCTTTCTGCGAGATGAGGATGAAACAAAGATTGGGAAGGATGACCATCAGCTTCAACCTGGAAAGTATTACATTGTTACTGCCGGTTAGTTCATAATAAACCCTTAATGCGTAGCTATACAGCTAAAGTATAAGCAGGTTCTTTCCAGGTCAATAATGAGCCATGGCTCGTCCGAACAATTAGTCGTGCTACCGGAACCCGTGTCGCCGCCTTCCGCGAGGCTGTTCGTTTGCGAGATCGTCGATGCGTCATATCTGGGGATATTGTACCTACACTTGCTGGAGTTGACTACTGGGATGGTTTCGAAGCCGTGCATATTTTCCCACTTGCCTACGAAGGTCACTGGGTTGATCAGGGCTACGGCCGATGGATTACAGTTCAACCGGCTGAAGGGGGATCTATCAACTCAGTACAGAATGGATTGTTGCTTGACTCCGCTATACATCAACTATTCGATGCTTATGCCATCTCGATTAATCCGGATGTATGTATGTCTTATATCTATATTAAAGACCGAGGCTAATATTATTATAGGACAACTACAAGGTTATGGCCTTTAGGCCTACGTCGAAAAACATTGCTGGCAAGCATCTCGATCTGGAGTATTTTACTCGCCCTGATGCGCCTATTGATTCGCTTCTACGATGGCACTTTAGACAGGCTGTCTTGGCTAATATGAGGGGTGCTGGAGAGCCGGTCTTCGAACATGACTTCCCGCCTGGTTCTGATATAGTTGATGATATACTTCAGGGTCCGAAGGCAGTTGAAAGGATGGAGTTTGAGTTATTCAGCCGCCTCGGTGCTCAAATGCAGTTGTTCCCGTTGGCAGGTGAACATTAGAGTTTGTATTGAGATGAAAAGAGTATAATTTATTGAGCAGGAGGGCAGATCACCAATGCATAACGTTTACCTTCCTACGCTATACCATCCCTATAAGTAACGCTGGCAGTAGCGAAATTCATGCAGTTTCAAAAACAAGGGTGGTTAGTCGTATTAGGACGAAGAACAGGCAAGGTCTGACATACTAAGTGCGCAGAATCAAACACCTCACAAAACTGAGGTCCCAACCTCAAGTTTCTGCGGTGTTTGATTCGGGATCGATCAGGATAAGTGCAAATGGCGTCGACCCAGTACGGGGTATCCGTGTCAAGCGTGCGAAGGCTTTGAAGAGCCTTTTTTAGATTGCGAGTAATATCAAAGCGCTGGTCGTTGAGCGTGATGGGTACTGTGTCGTTGGGGTTCCCCCATGTATAAGAGAGAGCTTTGTATTTTGGGTTCTCATCGAGAGAGGTTACGATAAGCTCGCAACCAATGTCGTAGTTAGGATCGGAGGATGACGAGAGTTTGATCAAGCGAATTTCATTGTGGTCTTTCGCTAAGGAATCATACTTTCTCGTGTACGGGTCCTTGAATAGCCGTCAGTAAGTCCGCATTGATACCAATCAAGATTAGGCATGAAAAATGCTTGGGATAGCTTGCCTTGCACTGGATCTTGCGACTGAAGCAGGATCTTTGAAGACCCGCCAGCGCCATGCAAAGCAGGTGAGGTTCTCATCGCCAGGGCTTGTGCATTAAACTTGACAGTTCCAGACTGCCGTACAGCGCTACCCGCAATGCTTTGCTTGGACTGGAGTCTCTCCATGCCTCTTTTCTTCGCTTCTATTATCTTTTCCAACGTTCGAGGCGGTAAGTTTATCATATAAGCTATTGACTGTGGAGCAAACCCTAGTAAATCTAGAGTTTCTTCTGTTGTCGGAGCCGGTGGCTCCACAACCGGCGTGACAGTAACAGCCTTTACAGGTTGGGCGCTGGGGGTGTTCTTTGCAGCCGCAGTGGCAGGCTCACCCTTAAAGCCATCCTTCCCGGCCCTCACATCTGTCAGGATCGTCTTGGTGGTCTGATCGATTTGTCGGATAGCCTTCGCCAGGTCTTCCAGAGTCGGCTGGCTCTCGATCTTCTCAAGAAGACCTATCACACTACCACACAGTTCCTTGACGACGTCGTATGGGACTTGTTTTCCGGCGCCGCCTTCTTCGGCACTTGCGTTCTGATCATGGCCCAGAAGCGAGTTGATTTCCTTCTTGAGCTGACCTGCGTGAACTGATAAACTCAAGTCGGCTGAGCTGCCTATGGAAGGCCACTTATCCATCGTGACACGAAATTTGATGCAGAAGAAAGAACGAGTAAGTTGAGAATAAAAAGACTTGAGGAGAAGAAAATCTCTAGGTGTTCATAGACTCTCATTTATCTTCAAGGGACGCTTTCAGCTAAGGGGCAGAACATGGAGAGGCGGTTGGTATGGAACTCAGCTGAAAGAGAATACGAGCGGTTACACCAATAGGAAATTTGGAAGGCTCGACTTGTTGATTGTGGCTCCCTCGCAGTGTTATTTTAGAGACCTCATTTGTCAAGCGGCCTTGAGATGTGGAAAGATGATGGGATTGATGCCGCCGAGGAGATAGTGCCAAGAGCGCCAGGGCGCTAGAGATATGACAGTTTGGAATCCGTGTCAACATCACGTGAGTCCTTAGGACACTCCCATTGTTCGACTCTACGGCATCACTGATGAAATAGAGCACTTTGTATTACGATTTCTTACTTATCTAGTTTCATATGAATTGGGAGAATGATCGTAGGAATTCATGTGCACTACTGGTAACATAGATCTTGCCCTTGTAGCGCGTCATTTCAGTAATCACGTGCTTTTGGATGATGGTCGTGAGAGTGGCCTTGTCGGAGACAGATGTAACCCATGAGGGCAGCTGGGAGCGCCACACTAGATAAGATTTCAGACGAGGTTTATAAATAGTTATGATTACGTTCACTGCCTACCTAAAATGTGCCCTCGAACGATCTTGCTGTTATCCTGAGCCCATTGGACCAGATAGTACAGTCGGCTTTTGTCCACCAGAAAGAGTTCCTAGAAGCTGCGAGGGTCAGCGAACATCATTTTAAATGGTCTCACATGCGTATGCTCAATCGTATCATATTTCATGTTGTTCTCCGGAGTGACTTAGCTGAAGTTTGACTAGATGCCAGTGGCATTCTTGCCCTTGGTCAATAATTCTTGATCAGTACAGGTGCTAAAGTACTTTTTCCCCTTGGCTTTTATCAAGGTATCGATGCAGCAGAAGAGAGAGTGGAGACCTTTACTCAAGGAAGGCTTGGCCACGAGGCTGTTGACGGGGCATGGTTTAGGCTGATCTATATTTCGACCTGAGATCTTGGAGTGCTGCTATAGAGGGGCTTCGCTTCCAGAAGATCGATATATTTGAAGACGTTTCTAACTTAGGGGATAGGCTAAATTGGGCTCGGCAACTGAATATGCCGACGTTCGATATGGCATTCAGTTGCAGACTCGGAAACGACAGTCTATATGGAAAAGAGGAGGTTAAACTGTCGCGTATCTTACTTTTCCTCTCAGATTAGCATCCCGCTTGCTTGGCTCGATTTCTAGTGATATGAGTTTAGTCAGACGATGAGGACCCTACAATGATTGGGCAGGACAAAAACATAAAGCTATTTCTGGTGTCGTTGAATAATTGACTAATATCTAAACTCGATCCAAAATCGCAATAAACCTGCAACATTGAATAGACATGAATGAAGAGATGCTGCCGCCTGCTCCATGAGATTTTCTGGTCTCTTATTTTGTTACAGAAAATCCGAAAATGCCAAAAACACTCATCTTCCTAAAAGAGCACTCCCAAGGGCCCGCTAAGATGGTATTTTTGAGATTGCGAGCATGTAGCCTTATGGCAGCGCCTGTCTCTTATGGTATATACATCGCTATAGTGGATATTTTTCGCATTACCGTGCGTCCAGCAAATGCTTGAACTTTTCAATCTGTGGAACTATGTCAGCAAAAGTAGTTCTCACAATGTAACAACGCCTTACCTTGGTTGATAAATACTTCTCTACTTCCTCGCTCTTGATACCCATCTTTCCATTGGTCTTCCAAGCCAAAGGTACCATGGCCACCCGTTCCTTCACCACCACTTCACGATTTGGCCCTTCAACAGCAAGAATCTTGTCAGGATTGTTGGTAAGCAGTCGGATCCCTTTCTCGCCACCCAGGCCCAAATCCATAAGTATTGCCGTTGCAAGACCATAGCTTCTAGCGTCCGCTGGATGTCTGAGCAACAAGTTGGCTTCATAGGTGTCATTTCCTAGATCTTGCAGGTTGTACGCCTTCAGCTTCTCGCTAAGCCCAATTCCACGGCCTTCTTGTCGCAGGTATATGATCGCGCCGCCTGAAGGGGAGACCGAATCGAGAGACATGAGTCGAGCAGCTTCCTCGAGCTGTTCGCCACAGTCACAGCGCGCAGACCAAACGGTCTCACCGGTATAGCATTCCGAGTGGATCCGGATGAGCGGTGGGACATCTGCGGGATTCACGGGCTGTTTTGCACTCTCTGCCGGTATTCTCTTCGAAGCAATTTCATTCGGAAGAGAAGGCGAGTCAACCATCCGCGGTGCCACGCCCTCTCCCTGTCGTATCTGGTCAACTCGACTGGTTGTGCGTCCTGGGTATAACCGTCCGACATAGGCCCCTCTAGTCATCCGAGCATATTCTGTCTCTCCGGGCCTCTCGGCATCCAAGCTCTTGCTCCGAATGTGGTTTCCGAACACGATCGCCAAATGATCTTTCTTGTCCACGTTGTTACTATAGACATGCAAAAACATCTCCTGTCCGGCTATGGTCGGTATGCGCGCACGAACTACGCACTCAACGATCGGGAGTGTGTTCAGAAGGTTGGGGGGCGGGGCATCGGATGTGAGGGACGTATCGACGGCTACCGAGCGAGGAATGGGATTCGGGGTTGAGGCACCAGGAGTTGCGGGCGGAGTGAAGGCCGGTGATATGAGGGATGGCGGAGGCTCATGAGCATTTGCATTTGCATGGTCGTGGCTGGTAGGCCCATCGTGAGCGAGGTTGAAGTCGAAGGACTGGCGACTCGGTGATTTCGCCTGCGGGGAGTAGATGGGATTGAAAGCGGGGGACGCATGCGCCGGTAGTTCAGGCATGGCGACTATGGGGAGTATGAGTGCACAGTGTGTTCGAAGTTGGGAGGTTATCTTTAGAGGGTTTGGTGAGATGCAGGCATGGATATTATTAACAGGCAAGACGTCGTCTACCTAGGTACAGCGACCTCGGCGTGTTCGATTTAGAGGGGCTCGTTCCGCCCTTCGCGGATTCCATCCCGAACCGTCATCGGATCCCACAAGCCTACAACTACATTTTGAACCCGTAAAGCCTTCTAGACGATACATTGGGATATTACTGCCGATTCTACCGACACTGGCATAAAGAGTCCCTCCTTCTCACCAAAGTCATCCTTCGGCGCGGCAATTCACTCGGGGAATCTAGAATAGTCAGCATGCCGACATTTTGCCGACGCTTTGAAATGCGGTGGCATAGTAGTCAGCAATACAAATCACTTCAAGAAGCATCACTTTCTTATGTGATGCGGCGAATTGGAAACACTGAGGTTCTGCAAATTACTTTGCTATAGTATTGGTACAACAACAACGCCGGACTCCTCCCCTTCCACGAAAACCAATTATCCTTTTACTAGAAAGCCCTCGAGAGCTAGTCATCCCGTCTCTCCCTACCCCAGACCTCATCAAGGGTCTTTTTGCCTTTTGTTTCGGGGACATACCATGCAGTGAATAGCCAGAAGAAAGCTGCCAGACCCGCGAAGATGAAATAGACTTTGCCGTGGAGTTTCTCACTCGCTAGAGGGAAGAATTGCGCGACTACAAAGGTTGCGATCCAGTTGGCGGCCAAAGCGAGACTTTGCGTTGCGCCCACTGCTTCTGGGCCCACCAATTCACTAGATAGAATAAATGGGACTGGACCTAGTCCGAGGCCGAAACTGGACACGAAGAATAAGACTGCGACGGCAGAAAGTATGGGCACTGAGTTAATGATGCCGATAGCCAGGAGGAGAGAGCTGATGCCCATGCCAGCAATCGAGCCCAAGAGGCAAACTTTGCGACCGAGTTTGTCAACCAGGGGAGCGCACGCAGCAGTTACGACGATGTTGATGGCTGAGACTGCGAGGTTCAATAGCGCCGAGTTCGACTTGAGCAGGTCAGATAGCAGTGAGACACCATACATGATAATGCTGTTGATACCTGCAGGTTATATTAGTATGTGACATTGAGTCAGGGTCATGGGGAGAACATACCGCACAGCTGTTGAGCGAGCATGACCATCATCACTGCTATTGCGGCCTTGTGATACTGAGGATGCCGAACCACTTGCAGTAAGCCAAGGACTTCTTTGTTCGCTAAGTCTCGTTTGGAGATTGATGCGTCGCTGTGATGAGACATATGATCCTCATTGTGCAGGAGCGTCTCCTCCTCGTCTAGTACGGAATCAGCCTCTGGCCTTCGTTATATCATAAAGCGGATCACGTACCTTCCATGTCGCTGGAGCTTTCCACCCCCCATCCGCTTACTTCCTCCTCCAGATCGAACTTATCTCCCCGAATCTTCCGAAGAATCTTCTTTGCCTTGGACGGATTACCCTGACCTGCTAGCCATTTAGGACTCTCCACTCCTCCAAGCAACAGCCCGAGTGTCTGAAGGGCACCGATCACACCTCCAGCAGCAAGAATGATCCTCCAGTATTGGCCTCGGCTGAGGAAGTATCCCAATACTTGAGCAACGAGAATTCCGACGTTCACCATAACCTGGGTGAAGGAACCAAAGAAGCCTTTCTCAGCTGGTGGTGCGACTTCCGAAACATATATTGGGACCACGACAACCGATGCACCAGCACCAATGCCAGATATGAACCTTCCAACAGCCATGACGCCAATGTTCGGGGCAGCTGCTTCAAATATTGGACCGATGGCGAAGAAAATAGTCGTGAACTGCATGCCTCTAAGCCGGCCGTATCGCGAAGAGAAGGGGCCGGCGCAAAGAGCACCAAGCAGGCCACCCAATGTGAATATTGATCCAATCAGCCCCCATTGCGTTGGGTCCATCGGTATGCATTGCGGTAATTCGGCGCCGGCAGCGACAATCGAGGTCTTCTTGCAGCGGATGATATCTTCGGGAGCGTTCAGTTCGGCCTGACGGATATAAGCTTGTGTTTTTGAATGATGTGACAGAACATACCAGATGAAATCCAAACAGAAGGGGGCCAATAGTAGATATAAAGAGTAGGTAAAGGAAATACGGCGTGAGATCGGACAGCCAGGTTCGGGGATCCATCGTGTGAGGAGTGCGGAAGCTTGGTCGCTTCGGCTCTGTGGAGTCAGCGACAGTGAGAGTATTGTACTGCATGGGGCTGTTAGAGACCACGTTGGTCAATCACAAAGACGAAGATGCGCAATATGGGCGTGATATTCGTTCTGATTACTTCTGGAGTTGGGTCTATGGAAGAAGTGATATATACCTGACTGCTCTGCCGCTATCCGAGCGACACCTATCGCTGGTATAGAATGCTTTTCACCTCGTCGTCATTGAGCAGCAAAGGCGGCGCCTTGCGGAGAGAACTGGGCGTGGGCTGCTGAAGCAGGTGGTGAAGAAGGCGAAACCGTCGGAGTTGGCCGCGAGATGGGATGAGGACGCGCTCGTGACTTTCGCGTTGCCGCTAGGATTACGTCGACGTCGAGTTCTTCGTATTTACTGGCTGTTCTTAGGAAGCTAGAGAAATAAAAGCAATCATATGCTATTGATGGCCGTTAGCATGTCGTCAGCCGTGGCCCTGTAACAACGGAGGTTCAGACCCCCTCGACACGGTTTAGGCCCGCCTACTTTGCTTGTAGAAAATCACATACTATACCCTTTATAGACCTAGAGACGTGTTTGGGCCGTTAGACAGTGACGTCCTATTACCGAACGGCATATACAAAGGACGATTCATTTGCTGCAATGCACTATATAGACGCGTCTTTGTCTCTCTAGACAGATTGTAGTACTGTTTTTGGGCGTGTAAGTGGAATGGTGGAGGAGGTTGACCATGACTCTAGTTAGGCGCAACATAGCGAGGGCGGGAGTCTAGGCGTGAGGCTCTCCCATGGTCCAGCCGTTGAGGCTCTGATGACCTCCGTATCAGCTCTCCTCCTGTCCTGCAGCATTCCATCCCTCTGCATATTGTTCCCCTTTGCTGGTTCCACCACCACCGAGCCAGGCGGCCACCAAGCGCACCTCCTCTGCTCACCGCCGCTCCGCCACGCTTGGATCCTGACGCGGGCGCTGGACGATCCGCCGCGCCCGGAGGCTTTGACCCTGTGGTGGAGCTCCAGCGGAACAGGTGTCCCCGCCGGGATTTTGTACATAAACGAGACAGGAACTAGACGAGCTCCACGATGAATCAGCCCTCGACAAACACTCCAATCCTCTCTGCGGGGAGCGTGCCGTCAGCCGCTGCTTCCGCCCGAGCCACCCAAGCCCAGGCGCTGAAAAACAGTGTCCAGGCTGCGTTCAATGGTCGGTATTGCCGCGGCCTTACGCCTTCTCCCTTCTCCATAAATTTCCCGTCTTGTACCGTTACTGCCGCCCATCTTCCTTTGCTGTTCTGGTGATTCATACAAAGGTCCGCTTGGATAGATTGCCGTTCCCGGGGGAGACACTCGGCCTCCGCGCCTGTTCAGGAGCCCCGTCATCGATCTGCATAACCGAAGGAAGGTCCTTCAGTCAGTCTTTCGTACCGGAGCCTGATCGACGGCGCGCGTAGTCGCTTTTCTGCGTTACGGCTATTCTTTTTGCAGACTTCATTTTGTATGAATTTTCCATATTTCCGATGTTCGATGCTAGATTCTTCATCTTCATCGTCTTTCGTGTCTGCTTCTCTGAACTCTGCATCCACGTCTGTCGCGTCTTATAGCTAACTCATATTCTCTTCGATGTAGACCCCTCAGATTCCTCACAAGCTATGTTCGCGGGCTACTCCAGCAAAAAATGCGTTAACGAACGGTATCGAATCATAGGATTCATTAGCAGTGGCACTTATGGCAGAGTGTACAAGGCTCAGGGCAGACATGGCCAGATTGGAGAGTTCGCCATTAAAAAGTAATTTGCCCGAAATAAAGCCTTTTCAAGAGCCTAACGCTATCCAGGTTCAAACCGGACAAGGAGGGTGAAATTCAGTACACAGGAATATCCCAGTCAGCAGTCCGGGAGATGGCACTATGTACCGAACTCGCGCATCCCAACGTTGTCCATACCGTTGAAATAATCCTAGAAGACAAGTGCATATATATCGTATTCGAGTATGCAGAACACGACTTGCTTCAGATCATACATCACCACAATCAGCCCACTCGCAGAGCTATTCCCGCACGGACCATACGATCGATCTTGTATCAGCTTGTGCAAGGCCTTCTTTACCTGCACAAGAATTGGGTCATGCATCGAGATCTCAAACCAGCAAACATCATGGTCACTCGTGCTGGTAAGGTCAAAATTGGGGATCTCGGCCTCGCAAGATTATTCTACAAGCCACTCCATTCTCTCTTCACTGGCGACAAGGTCGTTGTGACTATTTGGTACCGAGCACCTGAGCTACTCCTCGGAAGTAGGCACTATACGCCTGCCGTTGATCTATGGGCAGTCGGATGCATCTTTGCGGAACTGCTTTCCCTGCGGCCGATATTCAAGGGCGAAGAAGCCAAGATGGACAGCAAGAAAACCCCGCCTTTCCAACGAAACCAAATGCAAAAGATAGTCGAGATCATTGGTTTGCCAACGAAAGAACGTTGGCCTTTGCTGACCTCGATGCCCGAGTACTCTCACCTTAATGGCCTTGCCGCAGGTAATCCCCGCGTCAGCCGTCCCGTAGGCCTGGAGAACTGGTACAAGCAATGCCTCAAGAACAACCAATACCCTGACGGCCAATCACCTGAATCTCCAGGTGCTGATGGCTTGTCGCTACTGCAAGGCCTGCTCGAATACGACCCCCACAAGCGGTTGACTGCTGAGGCTGCTCTCAGCCACCCCTATTTCACCGGGCCCATGGAAAAGCCGTCAGAGAACTGCTTTGAAGGGTCCAAGATCGATTATCCGAACCGCAGAGTAAGCCAGGAAGACAACGACATCCGGACTTCGAGCTTGCCAGGCACAAAGAGGGGTGGATTGCCAGACGACTCGTTAATAGGCAGGCCAGCGAAAAGATTAAAGGAGGGCTAAGATGCTGCTAGGTCGCAGGAAGGTTCTGATCTAGCCCATCTATACTGCCCAAATATTGAATAGGTTGATGCTGAACTTGGCTTCACTTGGCTGCACAAAGGTTCGTTAAGATATCGTCTGACCTCGCCGTATCACGATCCAACAGAGGAGCATTCATACGACACATATTGCTAAGACGACCAGTAGCAAACTTCGCTGATTGGCTAGAAAGACGTGAGCAATCGAGAGCCCTCTCAATGCTCGTAGTCACAGCTTGTTCGCTCCTATAAAGACAGTAAAGTGTCGAGGCGAGTCCATCGAGCCAAGTATGCAATCCCACATCACTTTTGGTTGCTTCACACGGAATTACTGCTAGCCCTGGGAACGGCTGAAAAAGAGGACCCGCTGTATGAGTGAACGGGAGATAGAGCTGAGTAGTCACCCTTGTCTAGATTCATATATCACTGTCAAAATCTCCTTACTATTCATGATTGCATACCGTCAACCCACTTAGCATCTTTGAAATGGTCTCTGATTCCTATCTGAGTGATCCCGCAATGGCGTCCTGTCCGAAACAGCCTAAATGGTGGACGAGAGACCCAAAGCATCAAAGCAGGCTCGATATCTAATGCACTGGCTGTTCCTTCCTTTCGGACTGGGCACTGTGATCCGTTGGGCGCGGTCATCCGGAGGTTCTCCACGTGGACAGTCGGGGTGCCTCATCATCGTTGTTGATCAAGTCAAGCCATCATTACAGGTAGATTCGGAGCCGTTGTCAGGCATAAGCAGTATGGCCCTACACGCAAACAAGCACAGCGAATGTTGCTTGATGCAATCAATTGCTCCTCTTCCCTTTGTACGAGCAATGTATATAGAAGCTGTACACCAGCTTCTCTACTTTCCTCATACGCAGGCTATCGTCTCTCATCTCTCGTCTCGTAGCGTCTCTCGTCATCGCGTCTCTCGTCAACGCGTCTCTTGTCTCCTCGCATCCCTCGTCTCCTCTTGTTGTTCGCTCTGCATGCAATCTCGCTCACCCACTCTTAATTACGGGGTGTAACAGGTTGCATAGGGTCATAAGGGGGCGGAGGGGGCGGTGGGGGCGGTGGAAGCATCAAATTCTGTTCGGCGTTTACGGCAGAACGGGGACTCAAATACCCCCTGGTTTGCTTAACTTCCAACCACACTCTATAACACCCCGCACCACGCTCACTTCTTTAAGTCTTCTTCCCACCGCTCGAAGCCATGGCGGACGTCAATCCCCCTCAGCAAGCCGCCGCCAAGTTGGCAAATTTTGCCAATCTTCCTCCACCTGCTCAGGGCGCTGCAATCACGCAACAGATGCAGCAAAACCAGCAACAGATGCAGCAGATGCAGTAACAGATGCAGCAACTCCCACCGATATCACCACAGGACATCAGGCAAGGTGAGTGAATAGTATTTAGATGTCCTGCTTATCTGCTAACTAACTATAACTATACAGCGAGTACAATTCTATTGCCCGCCTTGAAAACTCTAATATCAGAAAAACCGACGACTTTATGACCGCACTCCGTGACCATACAACAAACGCCAATATTACAGATTTTCCTGCCACACCCGCTCAGCTTTCGGATATATCAGGTCTTGTGCTAGATCAGGTCTAAACAGCACTAGGCCTGCCTACCAACGGCACGACCGCGGATAAGAAGCAACGGCTGAGGTTCTACATTGGATTGGTGGATATACACTAGTGATGAGGTAGGTGCTGGTATACTGGAATGGATGGTCGGAATAGAATGAATATTGCTTCAATTGCAGCTTGCAAAGGTTCTTTAGCTACAGAAGTGAATGATAGACGCAGACCTTGCAGCAATTGCGAAGGTCGAGTCTTGATTGCCATAGTCAAGTCTCTGCCCGTGCTGCTGGTCCCCGCCCCTGAAGCCTCCGCATCGCAGCTGTTGAGCCCCGCGGGGTGAGGGGACTCAAACTGCCTCACCGCTGCAAAGCCGGACAACGCTCCTCGCCCGTGAGCTTCTGTTGAGAGCCGTTGAGAGCCGTGGGCCGGCTTGGCAGACTACACTTGGACTATATAATCTCCCTCGTACTACGACCTTCTTCTAGCCTCTCACCACCCACTCACTCTTTTCCACACCACAATCTCTTCGACACAACCTCTTTTTCGTGTCTCCACTCCAACTGGGCTGCCCTTTCTTCGAGCCGCTCCGCTTGGACTACGGCCACATCTTTCCTTCCATTCACTCCTTTGAAACCCCGCGGGGCTGCAATCTTTTCCTCACCGCTTTACGACCTTCGCCATGAAGCTTGTCTCGCTCATCTCTGCCGCTGCCCTGGCCTTGGGTGTTGTTGCCCTCCCGGCTCCGTCTGACGAGCAGACGCAATGGGCCAACCCGCCTGACATCAACAACGCGCGCTTCCAGGACCAGGTCCTCCGAGCCCACAACTGGATGCGTGGCCCGCACTGCGCTCAGCGTCTCTACTGGGACGACGACCTAGCCCAGAAGGCTCTGGCCGGAGTCCAGAGCTGTACCCCTGTGATGCAGCACGTAAGTTAGCCGCTCTTAAAGCTGAGAACTAAAGCTGGGAACTAAAGCTGACTTCAACCAAGTATGACATCGGCACCAACCTAGCTGGTTATGGTCCTGCCGGGGACGATCCCGAGCAATACTACTACGACACCTGGAACATCATCGCCTACTCCTGGGGTACTGACGAAGAGGCCAAGTACGACTACAATCACCCAGGCTTCTCTGACGCCACGGGCCATTTCACTCAGGTTGTCTGGCGTGACTCTTCCCGAGTTGGATGTGCTTGGAACGTCTGCCCCGCCGATGTTGCCTACCAGGTTCGCTTCTATTGTGGTAAGTTTGGCTCGGGTCCTCCCTACCGGTGTGCATCTTTGGGCTAATCACATCTTCTTTTAGGGTATAGGAACCCCGGCAACGTCGCCCCCTTCTACCCGGACAACGTCTGGCCGCGCGTGTGCCCACCATTCCCGGAGTTCACTCGCCGTGCCATTGATACTAGCCCAGCTCCTACCGCCGGCAGCAGTAAGTTTCCACGATCATTCAGCCTTTTACCGAGACGGCATACTGACACAACACTTCAGACGATGGTCACTACAAAGCCTAGGCTTGGCCTCCGGTCCGCTAGTCTATCCTGAGAGTACCCCACGTTCTTTCACGCCTTTCAAATCCTATCGTGCTTGGGATTGGGGACGTGCTGGGTGCTGGACATAGCGATTGACGACTGCATGATACCCTCGTGGTTACGAGAGCATGGTTTGTGAAGTCTTCACAAAAATTTGAGGCAATGATTTCCTTTTCCAATTGTGTATTTCCTTCTTTATATACCCTTTCGGCTCGCTTGCGACTACATAGGTAGCCTTGCGGCTTTTCAACACGGAGGTTAGACGGGGGGAATACATAGCGAATGCAATGGGTGTCCACAAATAAGTTCTAATTATGCATTGAGTATTCCTTGGTGATTCTCCGCTCCAGCCCCGCATATACTGCGATTTGATATGTCTTCCGGATTCATGGAGGATGGACCATTGAGCTCCAGATGATGCCCCACAATCCAGACTTCGAACTTTGAAATTCACCTTGCACTACAAACATGTACGTGCGATACTCTTCTGAAACTCCGCTCCACGATATTTCATGATACTCTATGCCGACCGACCATCTACACCATCATATGCCCACAAGCCATGCCACATACTCTATTGCCCAAATCCAACGCTCATCGCTATGCAGACCTACGACCACGAAATCCTACACACACTCAAGTCAGCGAAAACCCCTCCAAACTCCACAAAACGAACCAGACAAACTTACGCAAGCATGATCCCCGCGCCCGTAAACATGGCCAAAAACTGCGTCAGCGTCTTCCGCAGCTCCTCCCCCTTATTCGGCCCCGTCTCCAGCAGCTCCGGAATCACCGCCACGGTCCCCACATACAGGAACGTGCCCGCCGTGAACGGCAGCAGCAGGTCCCCCCACTGCAGACTCGTGCCGTACAACCCCGCCTGCACCTCGCCCCCTACAGCCCCTGACCCGCTCGACGATCCCCCGAATTCCTGCACCGCGATCCCGACGCATGTCCCGAGGAAGGCGCCGATGGCGGTGACGAACTGCGCGCCCATGGCCGCGCGCTTGGAGAAGCCGGATTGGATCAGCAGGGCGAAGTCGCCGACTTCGTGGGGGATTTCGTGGAAGAAGACGGCGACGGTGGTGGTGGCGCCGATGGTGGGGCTGGCGTAGAAGGAGGAGGAGAGGGCGAGGCCATCCGTGATGTTGTGCGTGAAGTCGGCGATGAGGTTGAGGTAGCCGCCGAGTTTGGCGGAGGGATTCACTTCTTTGGCGGGAGGGGTAGGGAGCGGGGTGTCTTTGGTGGGTTTGCGGGAGCGGAGGGTGGAGGACTCTAGATAGGAGAGGGGTTAGGATTGGGGTTTTTGAAGGGCGGGGGTAGAGTGGAGGGAGAGTATACTGGCTGTGTCAGCGCCGCTGGCGGCGGCTTTCTCGCCGCCTTCGACTTTCCCGTGGGCGTGGCTGTGGTCGTGGGGGTCTTCGCCGCCGGTAGCAATTCGTAGGCCTTTGTCCATAGCTACGAAGGTCAGGAAGCCGACCATGATGGCTACGCCGAGGAGGAGATTCTTGTTCGGCTCCACCATGACGAATCGGACGTGCTCTTCGGCATCTTCGCCGAGGAATATCTCAGGTAGAAGGTGGAATAGGGTATCTCCAAGCAATCCGCCCACGGCGAAAGCGACCATAACACTCAGTGACGAGGGGTCGATGTTTGGCGGGCATAGTGCTAGGAGGAAGTTGGGTGGGCCGGAGATGTAGAGGGTTGCGAGCAGGGCGTTCACTGCTGGGCTACCGGGGAAGAGGACAGCGAATATACGAGATGTTACGCTTGGGGTTGGTGGGTGGGTAGCGACTTTGTGCTGGTTGAGAGCTTGCACGAGGGGGCATTCCTGTTGTGATGTGAGCTTAGGTATGGGGTGATGAGGGTTTTAGAAGTTGCACAGTGTGCAGAGGTATTGTATATAGCTAACATATAGCTTCTTGAAGAGTTGTAATGTCACAATTGAAATTCATACCTGAAGCTTATCCTCGATCTCCGCGACGCTCAACGATGCCACAGATGCATCTTTACTTTCAAAAATGTGAGCATACGTTTGACACACAAGAATGGAGGCAATGACTGCACATAACAGCAGAGATATGCGGGAAGGCATTGTTGCGGATATATGAGCTGCAGGAGAGCGAGCAATGCCTTCAGGGGTGCTGCAGAGGGGTCTGACGCCTGTGAAGTCGACCGTGGGGCTGAGCCAAGATTTCGCGGGCCTCGATTTCTTCAACCCAACCCCAGATTTTTGATTCTCTCCGCCACAACCCTATCCAACCGCAATCATGGGCCGCGAACTCCAGAAGAAGAAGAACAAGTCCTCAATCTCCAAAGTAAAGAAGAAGCCAAAGTCAAAAAAGAAGGTCCTCCACAACCCCATTATCGCCGCAAACTGGTTCGTCCACCCCAAAACCCCAATCAATCAAGCACACACCCCTAACAGCCCAAAGGAACTCCAGAGAAACCCTCACCCAGAACTACCGCCGACTAGGCCTCACAGCCCGCCTCAACCACGCGGCCGGCGGCTCTGAGAAAATACATGCATCCACTTCTTCCGAATTGACCTCGACTTCCGCAAAAGCTCCCGCGCCCACCCCCGACTCCCTGCGCATGCCAGCGCCTTTGGCCAAGACCCTCACGCCCCAAGATGCGCGTGTAGAGCGGGATCCCAAGACAGGCGCGATCCTGCGCGTGCTCGACGACCCCACCGCCCCGCACAGGCCGAACCCGCTCAACGACCCGCTGAACGAGCTTGAAGACTCGGACGAGGAGGAATGGAGCGGCTTCGCGCATGTGACATCTTCGGTGCCGGCGACTACGAGTGTCGTGCAGCAGCTGGAGGAAGTGGCGGCGAATGGCGTACGAAAAGCGCCACGGAAACAGAGCACAAGGGAGGAGGAGTGGGTGGAGCGGTTAGTGCAGCGGCATGGGGACAATTACGCAGCTATGTTTAGGGATAGGAAGTTGAACCCCATGCAGCAGAGCGAGGGCGATATCAGAAAGAGGGTGAAGAAGTGGAGTGAAAAGCATGCATGAGGGAGTGAGGAAGAAATTGTGCTGCAATCGGATATCCGTCTTTGAAGCCATGTGAGAGAGGGCCGGTTGTGAGGATGGGCGTTAGGCGTAATAATGGGCAAAGATTCCGTAGCAGATTGCTACCTGAAAATTTCCTGCTCGTGAGAAGGCGCGCAAGCAAGGAGAAAGTCTTTCCACGGTCGAAGAAGTAGACATCCTGTCCATACTGCACATGCGGAGGGTGTCTCTACAATACTGCGACAGAATCTTGCTTACACATTTGTACCATTGTATTGGAGGCAACCAAGAGCGACTGATCACGCGTCCAGTTCGCATACACTTGTTTATCACTGCCTGAGGAAACCCAGCAAGGTAGTAGCTCTACCAAGAGTACAGGGTTCTATCTCGGTCAAATCGCTAGAAATGTCTCAAATCACTCCAAGCGGCATTGAAGCAGTGTAAGCAATCGATTGCTTACTAATTTAGCAGACAACTAGACAAGCAGTGTGAAAGTAACGAGTCAAAACAATATGTATATTAATTAAATACGAAACTCGTCATTCTTATGATACATTACCCTAATTCCAACAGATAGTTATGAAGGAGTGGTCTGGTAAACATCGCAGCCAATGATCAAAAGCCGAAGCTGATCACTTAGCCGCCATGTCTATTCCCCCTTTAGTGCAACGGCGCACTCTCAAGCTCCTTGTCGCTCGCATCGTGGTGCGAACCGTTCGAGGGGCTCACATGTGCATCCGGCGGCGCCGCCACCTTAACTTTTCTCTCCGGATTCGTCGCCTCAATATCCCGTCTCGTTTTCTCATCCATCAGCTCCAGAGGCGGTACTTCCCACTTGCTGCTCTGCCATGGCTTGACGCCCATAAGATACATCGTATCTATCTCCTCGAGAGTTCTTCCTTGGCCTTCAATGACGAAGAAGTAGATTCCAATGCCAGCGACGATGTTGCAAGCTGCAAACACGTATCCGTAGCGGAAGTCGATGTCGCCAGTAATGAACGGCGTGAAGAACGCGAGCATGAAATTCCAGAACCAGTTCGAGGCTGTTGAGAGTGCCATACCCTTCGCGCGGTAGCGGCTTGGGTAGAGCTCGCCACAAATGGTCCAGATCATTGGGCCCCACGTAGTTGCGAAGCCGAAGATGAAGAAACAAGCAAAGATGATCATAGCTTTGGACGACTTGGGGGTGTTGGTCGGGGTGGCGCGGTCCAGGCTGAAGTGGCCGACGGAGGCGAAAATCATGAAGCAAATGAACATCCAAGCGGACCCAGCCATTAATGACTTGCGACGGCCGTAGTGTTCAACAATGTATAGACCGTAAAAGGTGACACCGAAGTTGATGCCGTTGAGGATCATTTGCGTGACAAACGAGTTGTTGATTCCGGTGCCCTTGAAGACAGTTACCCCGTAGTAGAAGAAGTAATTGGCTGGTACAAATTAGCGCTTGGCATATCACGTCAGAATTTGCTGAGCTTACCGCCAGTGAGTTGCTGGAACATTTGTAGGAGCATTCCAAGCGCAATTCTGTAAAACATCTTTGGTGCCTTGAACATGCTGTACCATTCGTGGAACGAGGAACCCTTCTCACTCTCGGCTTCGAGTTTAATGCGGATCTCTTCAAGCTCGTGATGCACACTCCAATGATTTTCCGGAACACCGTAGACGTGGGACATAGTCTGCTTCGCCTTTTCGGTCTTACCAAGACGGTAGTTGTATCGAGGGGTATCCGGGAAGAATATGATACCGAAACCAAGGATTGCGGCGACGACGAAGGAGAGGCCCATGGTAATCATCCAAGAAGCCTTCTTGCCCGCTTGATGACGCTCTGCGGCGTAGTTGAAGACAGCTGCAAGAAAGATACCGAATGTTATCATCAATTGGTAAGCGCTTCGTGAATATTAGTATTCTGCAGCTAGAAGAGTATATGCAGAAAAGCTGACCTAATTAATGCTCCACGAATATGAGGAGGAGCAGTCTCGGCTTGATACATTGGAACAAGTAAGGACAGTGCTCCAACGCCGAGACCAGCAACCCATCGGCCCATCATAATTTGAACCCTATTCCTTGGTTAGTCGCCATGTGTTTCTAATGATCAGCACTGAACCTACCAGCTGTGTGTAGATGATATCTGAATTACCATACCAATCGAGAAGACGAAACACCAGATTTGGATGGAAATTTTGCGGCCAATCTTGTCTGCAATTGGAGCCGCTATCAAGGCGCCGAAAAGGGTACCGATGGAGAGCTTGCAAAGTCAGTAAAGATTCATGTCAAGGCTGAATGCGTCCGAACTTACCAAACCGACAATGAGACCTGCGCGGACGTTGCTGAAGTATGCAGTACCATCGGCATGGCGTTGACCGAAACGATCAAGAAAGTCCACCATTCCTAGAAAACCACTGATCTGACCAGTGTCGTAGCCAAAGATGAAGCCGCCCATTGACACCAGGATGCCCATATTGAACGATGCCCATGTTAGGCGTGGTAGTGGACTATCGTCGTAGCCTTCGTGTTTTTCGATATGTTGTGTCGTACCATTGTGGTCGGTGGCAGTATTGTGACGAGCCTTCCAGCTCGTCAAAGGGTTTGAGACCTTCATGTGTGTTTATCAAATAATGTGATGTGATGAGGAAACAAGGTAAGTCCAGAGGCTGCGACGCATTTTATATATAATGCGGCTGATCTGGCCGAGGCCTGGCCATGACACGAGAGGAATGCTACCCCGCGAAGAACTCACCCGCCACGAGATCTCAAAACGCGGCGTACTACCCGGATTGGAAGGATCTAGCAAGTCACGGTGCGTGAGCGGAAGATGCGGGTCGAAGCAGCTGTGAATAAGCTGTCCTGGTGATCACGCGGTAGCGGGTCCATCACCGAAAGGCCTTAGGCCCCAACGCAGGCGCCGAGGATCCGCAGAATAATCATAAAAATCAAGTCTTTCCAACAAAGGCGTTTCCCTATTCCTACGTAGGTAGGGTAGTAGAGCAGTAGGACGCATTGCCGAAAACCACCTCTTCGAAGCTTCGTACTGCGACGGACACTATTCGGAGTATACTCCTTCTAGGATAGGCCGTTTCTGGCGATCTCGAGGCAAGGAGATCTACAGTGGTAAATCCAGTGAGGTGATACGCTAAGTTTTCTACACTAGGAGCCCAGGGGCCTGGGGCGTGAGTTCCTTGGATCACGCGCAAACAACGACTCCACAGGTAAGTTACATCGCCCCATCGTCAGCGTCGCGTTCGAAGCCGGATATGCGGAGCGTGAGAGAAATCAGTAGATAATGAAAGTTGAAAATTGTGAAGCATAAGGACAAAAGATTTAGACAGCTATACCGCAAAACAGTTTCTTCGCTTTGCATTACCACATCAAGTTTCCCCAGTTCTTTGATAAAATCATCAAGAACAGCCGTGTGGCCGATAGATTGATGTGGTGGGGTATGTAAGAAAACTACGTCATTGGCGATCGTTGATAGGGTGGCGTTCCTGAGGGCGTGAGGTGATGTTCCAGTGGAGCTTTGTTCTACCTCCTACAGTAGTATTCCGAGACATCCGCGACATACGATCAAAGACCCTTCAGGAAGGTCCAGCAAAGTAATCCGGAGACGGTTGATCAACGAATGGCAGAAGGCAACAGAAGAAACGGCCTGCCTTCCACAGCCGCAAATATAGCATGTCTTGCCGACTCTCGCATCAAATTCTTGCAAGATTCAGGGATTCCTCAGACTAGGATCGACAAAGCCCGGAAAACGGTGCTGACTCGGCAACTCTATTTATCCGAGACAGTGTGACGGGTCCTCATATATAGTTTCTTTAAACTTAGTTAATGGTGGATTCTTGCCCAAAGAGAAACGCAGAGGGTGTGTAATGAAGACACTGAATAGATATTGACAGCGTTGTTGGGAGTCAATCGGAGTGGAAAAACATGAGATCCGCGCTAATCCCATGTGATGTCTCACGTGTTTTCGGAGTATATTCCTCGGGATCGCTTTCGATGATTCGCGAGAGAATGAAATAATACAACTGGCATTTCCACGCTGATTCGTTTGACGAGACTGGTGGTCTTCAAGCACCCATCGTAATGTAAGCATCAATGCAATGCATTGGACTGTTGAGCTCACATCACCTTCACCTCCAAGCAGTACATACATACAATGGTCAGGTATTGTAAGCTCCAATGCACTCAAGACTATCATTTGGCAGAGTCCATACTCAGGGGAGATTGTTGAATGCATTTCTCAACGACCGTTCTTTTTCTTGCCGCGCTCAAACGCATCACGAGTCTAGATCATTCTCGCTAACTCACTGAATATGACTGAAGGGATAGAAAGCTAAATTTTCTAGGATAAAACAAAAGATGGCTCTACTCATTTGCCATTATTATCTTAGTGAGGTACCTAGAAGACACAAATACGCCATTCTGAGCTCTTTCTAGCCACCAGATTCCACAATCAGACCAACTCACCATAGTCGTTGGTCGCAGTAGCAGACAGTTTCATACAATGAGATCATCCCTATAATGAATAGAATGCGCATTGTGAGACAGAATTCACAATGCTAGCCACTTATCCATAAATGCCTCCTAGCTGACTCCAGAAAAACTCATCTCACTCACTCACTCACTCACTCAACTCCCTCTCCTACTCCAACTCACAGGCAACATACTCCCGATCACACAGAGTCGTCCAACCGTGATAAAAATTCCGAAGATGGCTCCCCACAGATTCCCAAGCTCTTCTCATAGCCTGCAATGCGGGCATACCATCAACACAAGGGCCGCTAATGTCCCATGCGGCACCGATTGTGTGTGTCCAGGATCGGAAGCAGCTACAAATCCACCGTTCCTATGCACAGCTTGTCTAGAGACCCATTACCTTACCGGATACTTTGCAATAAAAGCCAGGTTTCGCGCTGAGTACCCAAGCTCTGCGTGGACAATAATTGACGAGTTCAAGGTTGGAGCGATCTTGCGCCTGTGCGCGCAACTAGAAAAAGAAATCATGAAGCGCATTCCGGGGCTACAGGAGGGCATCGGAAACATCGGCGCGCTCTTGGCCCAGGCACCGACGGAGGAACAGGATGTCGACAATCCTAGGCCGGGTAAACCCGAGGATGAGAATGGTGCTTCTGTTGAGCCCGAGTATGAACGCTACGAGTGCTGGGTGACGGAGTACCTCGAGTGGATCCAGAAGGTTGTCTATGATCTGAAAATCGACCCTGAAATCGATGAACTAGTTCGAGAGCTTACACGTGAGGTCAAAATGGCGAAATCTCGAATTCAGTTCCCATAGACGCCACAAAGGGGCTTCGTTAGGGTCACAATCTAAGAAATAGTTGAAACAATCAAATCCGGCGATCGATCATGATGCATGAACTCGTGTATGAGATCGCTGATAAAATTCTCCCCCAAAAGCATGTTCCTATTGACGTGTTATGCATGTAAGAAAGTTGATATTGAGATGAGTATCTAAGCCCTGCTTCTGATTGAGTACTAGTAGCCCTGCTAAAAAAGCTACCTAGAATTTAACAAATAGCGTTATAAATAGTATATTCAGGTGTCTAAAAACACCAGTAGTAAATGAAAAACGCTTGTGGGTATTCTAAGTCTATGCAAACGCCCCAAAGGAAAATACGTGAGTCGATCTGAAATCTTACTCCCTCAAACATTGTGAAGATATGGGCAAGAATATACTGTTCCGAAATCGATGCGAATTATTCCTCCTCATCAGCCTTCTTGTCTGTCTGTGTTTGTACATCTAGTCCTCTGAGTCTTCGAGCTAACAGTCCTGCACCGGACGTAGCGGTGCTGTCTGAACCAGTCACACCACGAAAGGCATTACCACCATACCCAACGTCACCTCGCCTTAGCTTGTCGTAAGTCTCGAAAGCAGCTCCGATCGGGCTCCCAAGTCCGGACATAGGAGACTGAGGACTCCCAGCAACGTTTGAAGTTGTTGCAGTACTGGCATGGGAGCGCAATGGACTATCGTCCAAATCCATCCGATCCCGACTGACGGGTCTAGAGTCGACGGCAGCGAGGCGAGCGATTTTGAGTGGCTGTGGACCTATGGAAGATGTAGGAGTACAGTAGCCTCCTGATGTTATGTTACTGGCGCCTGTAAACTGACAAGCCGGCGCAGGCAACGGCGGGTGCAGGCCGATTCCATCTAATTGATCGTATCCATGCTGCGACAGTGATAGTCCAGCGCTTCGCCGCCGAAAAGCCTTATCTGCGGTCAGTTGAATCGCAGCAGATGATGGTGTATAGAGTGGAATGCTGTCACGACTCGGTTTGTAAGTGCTATACCGTGGTTCAGGAAGCTGGATCTCGTTCCGTAGTTTTTCTTTTCCATCAGGAACTCTGTTGGCAAACACAACCCTGATTGCTTTATACAAGAAATAGCGTCCCTTAGAAGGACAAGAAATATGCAGATGGATAAGATATCGAAGAATTGGGCGGTCGTTCGGGTCATCAGAATTACTCAGCGCTGCTTCCGGACACTCTGTTCCCAGGTTTTTTCGAGATGAAAGTGGCATGTCAATAATCGGGCCAGCGGAGTAGCTACGCTGACGGATGAAGGTCTTCTGACCGGGCTCCATATCTGAGAGATCATATGGGACAAGGAAGAGCTTTACTGCTGTCTTATTGGGATTCTTGATCACAATTTGAAGCTGGCCTTGCTGTGGGATACGATAGCTGCCACCAGGAGGTGATTTAGGGGATGCTGATCTCCTTTTCATCTTCTCTAATTTTCGGATGCTGGGTTTAGTATGTGATGCGACCGTCTCATCGCACGGGCTAGCAGGAATATCCAACTCATCATGGTTCGGATTGGGGACAGTGTGCCTGCGTCTCCTGCGGACTCCATCACCACTATCATCCGGTGTTGGGAGTGAGTGCTCTAAGTCAATGAGCCCTACGTATGGACTTGGCGAGTCGTCGGCTATCCTACCATTTCCACTATTGTAGCTGTAAAACACAGCCGGAAACGGGACAGTGACATGAGCGGGACAGCGGAGATTTGGTTTGCAGTTCCCCTTTCCCAACACACCTATTTTTGCGACAAAATCCAGAGGTCGAGAGGGGGTCGTTGACATCCTTCCTCTAAGAATGGATTCCTCGTATGAGCCGACCATGGGTGCATGCTGCAGAGGCGAAGCATCTGATGAGATAGACGGCCGTCGGGCGTGCATGAGTGGAGTCTGTGGAGTGGAGTAAGAATGAATCTGGCTCATCGAAGTCATAGACCGGCGTGGCTGGTGAGCTTGGTAGGGGAAAGTTGCTTCTTTCCGGTAAGTTGAGAAGTGTCGCCCTGCGGGTGTTCCAGAGGTTGATCGTTCCATAGAAGACGATTTGAAAGTCTGGAAAGATTGCGGAGAAAATGTGTGTCTTCTGTTGTTCCTTTCCGGGCTTCTAGAGCCCTGTCGTGAAAGTGGTCTTGATGAGTCCAGGTCTGTATTATTGGATTGCTGCACCAATGGGCTTGTTGGCGGCATAAGAATGAATGGGGATGGATGGGTTGTGTGAGACGCAGCTCTCGATCTCACACCTGGCCGACTCTCATGCTTTGAAAAGCCTCTTGGGGGAAACTGCGGGTCGGTCCGTGTAGATGGATATGCGGACGACGGGAAGGAATGATGCCACGGGGCAACTGGAGACGTAGCCAAAGGTGTGTTTGTGGAGCTTTTGTAGGACGTTGTTTCATCATCTTGCCTGAAATCTCCAGAATGTAGGGCCGATTTGGGACGTTCGATCTCAATCCCAGCAGAGGCATGATCGAACAGTGGATCGGGGGTGCCCCTGCGAGACTCCTTCAACTCTGCTGCCGGCAGCAAAGGGGTTGTTGACCTCTCTCGTGGTCGGGGTAGTGCTTCCAAACTCTGCTCGGGGGATGGACGTCTTCCGTTCTACGTCACCATTGTCAGGTGTTGTTCTCAAAAGGGCTGTTTTGCAATTGCCAGTCCAAAGATGAAGAATGACAAACTCACGATATGGTGGCTCGGCCACGACGGGCTATTCCCTCTCTTTATCCTCTCAATCAGCTCCACTCTCTGCAGCATTGACGGCATAGCGTCATTGGCACCAGGACTGAGTACATCTGGGTGAGATGAGGAACTCGTAGCATCCTCCGGGAGTGTTTTGTCGAAGAAACCCGCTCTTGAAGCTATCGCCGGGTCATTTGCCCCCTGAATGCCAGTTCTAGGGGAAGAGGTGGGCCGGGAGCTTGGAGCATTGGAGGGAGAGTCGTCAAGATCATGGAATATCGGCATGATCAGACCCGAGGCTCTTCTTAGGCCGCATGAATATGGCTTCCGAGGGTGTGGACAAGCTCCAGGAGGGCAGAAAGCGTCTGGGTGGTGTCGTGGCGAGAGTGTTGGCGGGAACGTCGTTGACGTGAGGTTGACTCCTCTCGTCTCATGTCAGGTGCATGGCGGTCTGTGCTGGCGGCCAGCTCCACCTTCAAAGAACGACGCTTCACCAAACCACGACTTTGTCCACACCGGCCCCGCATACCGCCCACAATGGCCGCAAAGCGTCCACGGGACGACGACGATGCGAGAGCGTCGAAGAAGCACAAAAAGGCCTTCTCTGTTGGGCCTGCCAACCTCCCAGACGGAGTGCACAAGCGCAAAGGTAATTATTGCCCACCTAGCGTCCACGGCCTTTCGTCCGCCAAAGCAGCCTCGCTTATACTGTTTGCTCCTCAGTCCAAAAGATCAAGCGAGAGATTATCCACAAGTCTAAGATCAAGAAAGACTATGCGAAGCTGAAAGCACGGGAGCAAGCTGCCGACCCGCAACGCTCTGTCTACGAAAAGTACGACAACGATGAACAGGTCGACGTCGCAGAACCGACTGCAGAACCGACCCTTGAGCCTCACCCAGACCGTCAAGTTCTGCTCGACAAAACCTCACCAGAACCCGCGCAGCGGCCGGAGCGACCGCAATCACGCACGCCAAGGAAACGAGCACGTCCACAACCTTTCAGTCGAGAGGCTGATCAAGCGGAGAAGCGCAGAGCAGAGGCGGAGGCACGGACGAAAGCGCGAGAGGAGGCAGAGAAACAACGCGAACAGAAGCTGGCCGAGCGGGAGCGTTATCGAAAGGCGATGGACAAGGCGCGCACAGGAGGGCGTAATGGGCAAAGGAAGCTTGGCCGCGAAAGCAAAGTACTTCTGGAGAAGGTCAAACGGCTTGTATCGAGCTGATGGTGATTTATTTTCCTGTGTATTGGGGAACTTGCATTTGCTACATGAGTCGGCACGATTGGAATGATACCCGGACCGAAATGGCGAGGATTGGGGCTTGAGACATCACACCGACTATCTGCATCGTGGGCATACCCACAGGCGTGCCTTCTTCGAAACGCGTGGTTGAACGGCTAACAGCGGCGATGGTTGTGAGCACTGACTACTGATTCCGCATGTTCGCAATGGCGACAGAATGGCGACAACGGTGCTGAAACGAAGTGGGACGCGACTTCATGTTACGGTGTGAGCGATTACGAAATCCCTCATCTCAATCCGTAAGTTTAGCTCTATCAACTCATGAAATCAGCGCACAAGAGACAGGATCACTCTGAAGAATGCTTCGGCACCAATGCAAGGGAGAAGCCTAAGACGCACAGCATCAGCCCATTTTGATGTTTGATGAAGTTCGTAGAGCGAAGACGGCCTTCTGGGCGGCTGTGAACGAAGGCCTGAAGGCGCCGGAGATACTCGCCATGCACGTATCACATGCACGAATAGAAAACTTCACCGTCACGTGCGCGCGATCACGCCGCCGAGCCGGGCAAGACTGAGTCAGGCTCTGCGAATGAAAGGCGCCGCTGAGAGCCTTCGGTACCCGAACCCGGGACACAAGCCGTGGATTTCGGGTCACGCCAAGCAGAATTTTCAGGCCGATGCCCCTGTCGGACGGCGGCCACATGGTGCAACTGGACGGCTGCACGACTATTGGTGATCTAATTAAAACTAGATTTTCAGCCTCGTGTAGCGCAGCTTTGCCAGAGTGACGTCTAGTGCTAAGGTGGACACTCCAGCGGCAAGACGGGAGCAGCACACGCAGGCTTCTGGACGCCGCAACCCGATTAAAAATCTCTTTCCCGCGCTGCGATTGGCTGCACGCCATCCATGTGCCTCAGTAATTTTTAGGTGAGCGTCGAAAGGGCGCAGATGATGCCAGCAGCGTACGGAATGGTCAAATTTTATGACACACGATGGAACACTATGACAAACTTCACGAAGATTCTAATGCGAGAATGACTGCTATGACTGCTATGACTACCACGAAAACTTCTTCACGAGAGGTATAAGAGGCCACCAGCTTTCCGTCAAACACTCATCATCACAACATCAAGCATCACATCCTCAAGCCAACAGCCTCTTTCAATCATCACCTGAACCAACCAACCAGCAGCTCGATCAACTTCACATCAAGCTCGTCTTCCACTCTTCAAACCACTCAAGCCGTCTTCTCGATACCACTTCCGAACCTCACAACCGACTTCAAAATGGTTGCCACCAACAACACCTCATTCGAGACTGTCCGCACCTCCAGCGTCCCCAGCAACAAGGCCGGCAACAACTCCGCGAAGAAGGCCTTCAGCTCTGTCGCCAAGCACCTGAAGGAGCACCACCAGAGCGTCAACAACGCCTTCGCTTCCTACTACGGCCTCCAAGGACAGATGCACCCCCAGAACTAAGCAGTTCTTCGAGCAGCGGAGGGACTTGTTCCCTAGGAGCGGCAGCTGGACTGTTATCTTCAGAGCATCATGGTCGTTACGATACCACGGGGCATTGAGACCTTCGGGTAACAAACTCGATGCACCAATTTGCATTGCGGGCGGGGCGGAAAAGTCATTTTTGGGAGCATTTCGGGGAGTTGCATTTCTTGTCTTGGGAAGACATCTAATACCTTAATATAATCACTTTAATCAAGATCATCAAGATCACCAAAATTTCGAAACCTTCAAACATCTTGTCTTCATCGTGCCTTCAGTGACTCGTTTCATCCTACTATCAACAAGCAACAACAGTAAAAAGTTCTGCCTTCAGCTCACACTGAAAGCTTTCGAAGTCTCGTTAGTGCAACGAATCTATACAGTAGTCACATTTTTAGATGCTCCAACGGCACCAATCAGTGCATGAATAGACGCCAGCGATACACATCTCGATTTCTTCGTTGTATGTACTTAGTCTTCCAAAACAACGGTCTGAAATAACACGGTAAAACATATCCTCTCGATTTGCAATCGATAAAGGAACAGGTATATATAGCTGCTTACTACTTCTTGTTACAAACCAGCTTAAAGCCCCCCCCCCCCGGATCTCGTCCAGCGGTCCAGATCAGATTCAGCGCTTCAGCGCTGTTTTGACTCCGAGTATCCACCTGGGCAACCTAAGATATTCTGGCCCTATCGGCAACCTGATTTTCCTTCAAGGCTGCCGCTTTTTGATACGCAAATTCAACAAGTCCTGAAACGCGCTGGAGGGGATTCGGAGCGATGAAGAGCCCGATTCCGTCACCGGTCGCGCGACAATACAGTCATCTCGAACTGCGGCCACCGCTAACGAAGAGGCTCGTTGACACTATAGTGTGTCAGGTTGGAATTGAAACATGGGTAGAGGTTGGTTAGGCCTCCAGCTTTTGTCTGAAAGAGGTATAGTCGACAAAATTGAGCCCCGACGCCCTACTGATCAATGAATAAATAAGCATGCTAAGCCCTGTCGCCCTACACAATTAAGCATATCCGGATTCCGCCCCCAACTTCACCGCTGACATAAGGAGACGATTGCTCAAGAGAGCATACAATACGGTTCCAGGCGAGCCGCTCCAACCAATCGTATATACTATCGCCTAGCCCTTGCTGCGCCCTCTACCGAATTCTCCGACATTACATGGCTTTTCTTAGGTTCAGCCTCGCGATTTCAAGCCATGCTGTTTTAGGATAAGCACTAGGAATATATACTGCAAGTGTAGTAGTTCGTGACGCGGCCGAAGCTGCACATCTCCAGCAACTCCTGGTCTGGAAATTGCAATACTTCGACATCGGCGACCACTTCCAATTTTCAACCAATCCTCTACGCCAGCAAACACAGCCATAGAGTACCCTTGTGCTTGGTTATGCATACAATGTAACTCCTTCGCGCAACAGTATTCGTCCGAACCCATCCGAGGCAGTCTCCAATACTCGATAACAAACCACTACCGTCCAACTTAAGGGGTATCCTAGTCAATCTTTATCTCTGCTTCAAGGCCGTTCAATCACCTGCGCCTCTAAGCGGCCTTCCTAAGTTGGTTTGAAACGCCCTGAACATCTTCTATTATGACTCGCGCGAATCAGGATTGCATCCTTCCTGTATCCTACAGTGTGGCTGTACCGATATACTGCGACAAACCAGATGCAGAAGCAAGTAACTACCCTGGCTTTTATGTTGCTAAATCAATGACTAGCAATCCCCCTCGCATTCTGTAGATCGCCGATACGTAAGACAGAAAGAGGCTATGGCCTCTATGGACAACGCCGATGCCGAGTATGAAAAAGCAGCAGCCTTCTCTACTCCATGGGCTCACAGAGTTGCCTGCTGGTATTCACTATTTTCTTTACGGTAGTCGAAATGGCTGGAAGTTCAAGACGACCTCATACAAAGTCGAGGAACGGATGTAGTGAATGTAAAAAGAGGAGAAAAAAGGTGCGTACTTGCATGTTTCATCGACCCACGTACTCCTCTAATCTTGCGGTGAAGTGCAACGAACAGCTGCCTCGTTGTAGTAATTGCGAGAAGTGGAACGTCGAATGCGACCTCTTTATGTGCGCCCGACAGAAATCCGCAAACACGAATACGCAAATACGCTCGGAGGGGAGCCCGTCTTGGTGAGTAGAAACTCGGTTTTCGACTATCACCACTGCTCCGACGGTCAATCCATATTCACGTCATCCTAGGCCGAGCACTTGTTCCGACAGTAGTGCCGCTTTAAGCGCTCCGATACCACCTCCAAACGCTCTCAATCTCAATATGCGAGACTTGGAGCTGATGAACCACTACAGCAGCCACACCAGTGTCACGCTCTGCCAACGGGAGAACTGGCCAATCTGGCAAACGCAAATTCCCCGAGAAGCTCAATTGTACCCATTCTTGATGCACGACATCCTCGCTCTAGGTGCTTTGCACATCTCCTATCTCGACGTTTCTCGCCGGGAAGTCTACCATCTCATCGCCCGCAGCCACCATGATCGAGCACTGGAATCCTTTCGCTCGGAGATCACCGAAGTCACTCCTCAGAATGCAGGTGCCATCGCCGCTTTCTCCATAGTCGTCGTTATGTTCGTTTCCGGGTCTGCCAAGGTCACCGGGTTCAATGAAGTGACGGATCCAATTCTCTCGTACATTGACATACTCGCTGCAATGAGAAATACTGGCTCCATGATACATTCATGCAGCTCTGTTTCAGGCGGTCCGATAGGACTTCTGCTTCAGTTAATCCAGGCCATCGAGAACTGTGGAAGTGATCCAATCCCGGTAGACATGGATTCTGTCTTAACTTGCCTTAACGATGTGAACTTATCCTCGTCTGATGCTTGGGAAGACAAAGGGGTCTACCAGACAGCGATAGCGGATCTACGCCGCTACGTTCCAACACAAGCCCACGACGCTCCACCATGGCGGCATATCCTCTTTTGGCCGACACAAGTTAGCGCGGAGTTCTTTGCTTTGCTTAGAGAGAAGAAAGCTATGGCGCTAATCATCCTGGTTCACTGGCTTGTGCCAGTGCAAACGCTTCAATGGATGTGGTGTATGGATGGCTGGGGCAAAAGCATATTGAGCAGTTTGAACGAGTTGCTAGGTCCGGAATGGAGACCGGCGATTGAATGGCCTTTGAATGAAATGAGGAGTGCTAGTAGAAGGCATGAAGCATTCGACCCCAGCCTACAATGAAGCCGGTGCATGCGAATGGTTGCTCGCTATAAGTAACTTTTTACCGTAGAAGAGACGTTATCTTTCCTCAGATATCTTCTTACTGTCTATACCTGCGTTCGGTTTGCTGATCATGGAACTAGAGTGCGCCGTCATGAAGCTTACCTTTCCGTCATCTCCTGTTTCTTCCTTGGTGACCGATGCGCTGATGTAGCGTCACTAAGCCATTCCAGACCTTCGACGAGTCCATCTCTCGGGAGCGCCCTAGTTCCTTGGACGTGCTATCATTTTGTCAGACCCAAATTTCGGAAGATCCATCAAATCTATCTTACCCATAGCCTCCCCTTGATCTCATGCAACCTCAGCTCCCTCTTTATATCACCAACCGACATCGAATTCTGAATAAGTTAGCACCGCATGGCATGAAACACAGCAAATGGCACCCGATTACCGGCAAATCCTGCTTATTCGCGACCACCAAGATTGGCGCCGTACCCGGCAGCCACTCATTCAAGAACGACCACAGCTCCTCTTTGACCTCCGGAATACGTTCGCGATCATTTGAGTCAACCACCCAGATGACGCCACAGCAGTCATCAAAGATCTTGTATCCGAACTTCAGCATGCGAAGCATACGAGTGGATCCGCTGCCTCCGACATCGAAGGATGTGAATGTTGTTTCGTTGTGCGAGACGGTCTCTAGGATCAGGCCTACAACAAGTTTATTTAGAAAAGTCCGATGTGACGGAGAGGGAAGACTACCTATCGTGGGTATTGTGGTTACGATGCGGTTGGATTCGAAGCATTGATAAAGGAGAGTGGTTTTGCCCGCAGCGTCGAGTCCGCTTACGATGATTCGTCCTCGATGATCATCAAAAGGCTTTCTATCTTGTGTTTTGTTGAGCGAGGCGAAGCTGATGAGCTGACTCCACCATCGAGGTAGTGCTAGGGTTGGAGGGTTTCTGTTGCTGAGCGCCATTGTTTGCCTAGGCCGGGGTAAGGTTGAAGAGAAATTAGAGGAAGATACTATTGCTATCGGAGTAGTGTCATGGAGGCTATGGTATATATGCAATGTCTGCTAATGGACAGATATCTTGCAGTGAAGGCAGCAGCTTTTGATACTCTTTAAGGTAGTATGTGGCGCTTTATACTAAAAATAGGAACAAAGTGGCTGAGTTTCGACCGTCTTCAACCGGATTTATCTCGACAATACTAGCTCGGGACCGACTTGATTTTCTACCCACTTTACTATGAATGAGATTACTATGAATGAGATGGATGCATGTTATTTTTCGGACGGAGTAGTGGAAGTTGAGCAGCGCAAATCTGTAACAAGGCTAATCTACCTCGTCTCCCGATCCCTTTTTACCTGATAGAGAGTAGTGTCTACAAGTAGGCTGATGAGCAGAGTTATTTGTATGCATGATCCATCTAAAATCAGCGAGGCACAACCAGCAGAACTTGTAACCGCAATTAGAACCTGATATTCGCGATACCAGTCAGCGAAGGGCTTATCCGCAAAACAATAGACCTTCAACGATTTCAAAGTCACCTGGTAACTTACAGGTCATATGATCACAGCTTCTGTCATCGGCCTTCTCGATGCGCTTTTGGCAGCCAGGACACGGCTTGGACTCCTGTAGAATCAGCTTCAGGGATTTCTCTTCCTCGGCTTTGTGGATACGGCGCTTCTCATAGTCCTCACAAGTCTCGCCGACATACAACGGGACATCTGTGGCGTGTCTACCGACGCAAGTTCGGAAGCCGCAGTCGCTGCAGGTGAAGATATTCCCGCCTCCTGTCGTTATCTGGCCTGATCGGCACTTTGGATTTAGGCACCAGTGGAAATCGGGATCGGTTTCGAGAACAGCTTTAGTGGCTAGGACGTCATACCTAGTTACTTGATCAGCTGCCACCGATCGCACCTCTAGGACGATGTACGAAACGGACTTACCGTGCAAAATCCTCCGGCAAAACATAGGTTCGAATATCTTGACCACAATTAGTTCCAGGACACTTAATCTGATTCCAAGAAGTTCCATCTTCCAGCCGGACGTGGATCCATTTTCGGATACAACGTAGACATATCTGTGAAGGATAGCGGCAATTTTGAGTGACGGCATCGGGGAATCTGCGACGCCATGGTGAATGCCCACAGATTAGGCATGTTCTGTGGACGTAGGACATCATCTCAACCACTTTCAGTAAAGATCTCTCTATGTATAAAAGCTGAGGAGCTGTCGAGCACTGCGGGAGATTTCAAAAGAGGAACTTGCAGTCCAACGCATTGGCGATGCGTTTGAACGCCAGCAGAAGCACAACGAGGCCGCAAACGGAACAAGAATCACGGTTAATGTGGTGTTTGGAGGCTAAGAATACAGTAATGCAACAAAATTGGATTTCGTGGCAATACCTATATTGAGCGTTTCATGACCAAGTACTATCCAGATACACGGACCTGGAGGATGAGAGCATGGGGTGGTCTAAGAGTTGACAATAGCCAGCAAATGCTGACTGGTGGGCTCAGAGTACATCCCGAATGTACATAGCGTTTGATGATAGGCATGTAGCCTTGTATAATTTGTTTCACTATCATTTTCATTTTAGTATTCGGGTATTAAAAGAGCTGGACTTACAGTGATAAAGTCTCAAAGACAACGGTGAGTATTATTTTACGTACTTCGAAGGATTGTCAAGTTGTGAAGAAGCAGTTCTGTGTTGATTTGAAGAGGCATAAGGCCCGTATATATAGCCCCTGAAAAGGGTGGGGGGGGAACTCCCCTGTTCCCCCTTGTTACGGATATGGAAGGATGTAACGCCACTGACACGCTAGTAGTGGCAACCTGAGTAGGATGTCTTGTTTAATACAAGTCAAATGCGTCAATGTACCCATACCGTCGATAATCATACGCATCTAAGGACCGGAAATTAAAACCGCCATTGGGACTTGATCCATTTGTCGCCTTGAAAATACAAAGATTTAGCAGCGTGCTGTCCCAAGCGCTCTTCGTTGATGCTCTTTCCAGTCGTAACAAAATACCGTACATCGGTGGATAGGGCAAGTAGTTGCGAATGATAACTCTCGGGAGGCCTCGTAGCTCTCCGTGAACTAGGGAGCTGGATGATCCCTCATGTACTCCAGCACCATATCGAGTCCCTCGCTGGAATCGGGCCAATCGAGGTGCCAGAAATACGGGTGCTTGGCCACCTTGATACACAACGCTCGGAAGCTGCGATCTCCTTGATTTGGGTCGGGAGCATCGCGCAGCAGAGTCGGATATTCTGGAAAGGCCTGAGTCTCTGTGATGTCCGGTGCGATTTCGCCTTCTGGAATCCATTCCTGGAAAATTTCCGGGGTTGTTTGTGCCTCTAGGACTGGTGACTGATCCTGGGATTCAGAGAGATCGATGGTAGGTACCAGGCTAGATCCTGTGCTATTCTGTGCCGGCCCATACTGCTCCTCGTTGATAGGCAGTGGGCTCATCTTTGCGTTGGTCTTTGGAGCATTACGACGAGGCTTCAGTGCCTCACACCTAAGACGGATGGCTTCGTCCCTGAAACGCTGCATCCGAGGCATCCATCGCCGAATGCATGCGGCATCCGTATGTTCGCGTGTCACTACCACCCGTCCGACTTGGCGAATCACCGCTTCTACGTCAGTAGGGAAGAAGTAGCGGCCAGGGTATTGTTGAGCGAACTCAACAGCTCGAGTAAGGTCAGCCGCGTCTGCCCCTTGTGGGAGCTGCAGGACGTCGTTCGCTAAGGATTCCAATGGGATTGATTTTGGCGGCCGGTATGTCTTGCTGTGGGTTTCTGCACGCGTCCGAACTCCTGAGAGGGACACATTTTTGGGATCGAAGTTGTTGTTAGACACCAACATAGAATGCCTCGAGTGTGTCCAATTGGCCATTGGATTTTTAGGATCTGGTCCGGCCCGCATAGCGTGCTGGTAGCCATGTAGTATCGAGTTGACCGAATAGAGTTTGTCATCCTCAGCTGCGATCTCGTCGATGGATGCGGATCCGTCCAGGACGCTGCCTGCTCGATGGCGGCGAGCGATGTATTTATGTAGCTTGTAGGTCATCCCGTTCTGGACTAAACGGTTCGCGATGGGCCAACTCAAGATAGAGTGGGGAATTAGGACAATTAGCTCTACCGCCGTCACAGAGATATTTAGGTTCAACGAATGGTCTTTGTGCGGAGCGCTCTTCATATAATCGTAGATGCGTGAACGGCCACAATTCCCGACGTCTTTTGCTCCTGTAGCCTTTGGCTTTGCAGACTGTTGAGATTTCTGTGGAAGTGCTTTTATCCCGTAGAGCTCCGTGTTTGGCTCTTCCCGCTTCTGGCGTTTAGGGGCGGGCTTAGATGAGTTGCGGGGACCAACGAAGCCAGTATCAGTCTCGTTGTCGTCTGCTGAGGTTCGACGCTTGGACCCTGCTATTGGTGTCGGGACTGGTTGTACCTCTGGATCCGCACCGGCAAAAAGGCTCTCAATGCTTTCTTTGATTAGCAGAGGGTTTGACGGCTGCAAGGCTAGGAGCTGGGGGTCGATGTACTCCAAAGGGAAGGGCGCCATTGACGTTGGTCAAACAAGTGGTGGTAGGATTCAACAAAGTGGGCGTGTGAATCACGACGGTGGTGGGTGACTTGGTGAAGGAAGGGGTTGAAGCTACTATGTGGAAACCTTTATACACTACGTTGGTAGGCCTGTACATTCACGCCGAGACTCGTGAACTGCTTTCACCTCGAGGGCAAAAAAAGGTTCCCCTGGTGTAAATGCATCAAACTCCGGTGTCACTTTTGCGGAGTGTAAACGTGGGAAAAATTACTTACCCAGAAGTTACTAAAAAATCATGCCGATAATCTCCGCTCATAGACCGCTCAATCTTGACGACACGTAATAGGACATTCTTTTCTCTAATTGAAACAAAAGACAGGGGACTTACAAAGATTGGGGTAGAATTTTCTATATTTCAATTACTCCCAGTGAGACTAAGTCAACAGAAACCGGATGGTTTCTAATGGATGGCGGCCATTGTTAAACATGTGAATCTAGATAATAAGCAAACGTTAAAGGGGCTCAATCAATCTAATGCCCCAAAAGACAAGAATCAAGAATATTTTAGCCTGACTCCTCCGCGAATTTTGTTGCGTCCGGCGACTGGTCAAACAATTTAGGGACCAGATCTAATCGTTCAGTATTTCCGTGGTAGCTGCGCTTGCACGCACTTGTCGGTTAGTCAATTCAGCACACCCGAACCTAACCGTACATCTTGCTGATCATCTCCATTTGCTATAATCGCCAAAGACAAGTACCTTAATGTTGCATGGTGTCGTTGAAGACCGCATCGAGGGGTGTGTTGTTGATATCCTGCGGCAATTGAGCCGTGTTCAGCTCCATGAACTGGACTATTGTATCCAATGTCTCGGGAGTGCCTTCCCACTCGATGTCGCTGAAAGACGGATGTTTAGCGAACCGGATGCAGCGGGATAGAACGCTATTGTTGTCGGCAGGCGGATACGGAAGATCGCGCAGTAGACCGAGTTGTGCGTGCAGATTCTCCGCGTCTGGTCCCAAATTGAGATGGTCCATTACCCTAGCTGAGAGAGTCCTATGATAGATTAGAATATCGTTCGAAAGCACGGGGCTTGAATCTTGGTAGTTGTTTACCATGGTATGATTGCCGGACTCTTCTTTTTGCCCATTACTATCGAATTCTATTCCTGCCATAGGAGATAAAGTCCGATGGCCAATAGAAGCGTCGTCCTGAAAGTAAAGACTCGGCGTATGGCCTCCATAAGGATCTGCAAGATCTTCTCCTGGGCCACTTCCGTTGGCATGTCCTAAAGTGTAGCCATTAGGCGGTTCTTCTACGTGGGTGTCAACCGCACTTGGTTCACTCGTGATGGGATGTTGATTGTGCTGGTCAATATTGTCCAGAGAACCAAGATCGCCTTTCGCCTCACGCTTCAAGCGGTTGCTCTCAGCCCGGAGTTTTCCTAGTCGTGGGCTCCAACGGGCAATACAAGCACCGTCGATGTGATTTGCTGATATTCGTACAGGACCACCAGCATCGCTGATAGCCAGTCCGACATCAGTTGGATACTTGTATGTTCCTGGATGGTCTCTAGCAAACAACACTGCTCGCGTTAGGTCGGCTGCATCGTCACCTTGTGGAATCTGATCGACATCGTCCAACAAAGATTCTAGCGCAACTGGTTTGGGTGGGAAGAATGTTTGGTTTGGCGGGCAATGGGTTAGCCCACGCGGCTGGATGCCAGTGAGAGAGATGTTCCGAGGATCCCAATTCTCGTTAGAGATCTTTTGCGAATGGGTCCTAAATGTCCAGCCAGGAACAGGGTTGTTGGCATCCTTGCCTGCGCGGAAGGCGTGCTGGTAGCTGTGAAGTATGGCATTTCGCGAGTATAACTGATCGTCTTCATCTAAGACAGCATCTGCCGGCGCAGTAGTACGATCGAGAGCACCCTTAGTACGGTGGCTACGAACGATGAACTGGTGGAGAGCGTAGCTCAGACCATTGGTAATAAGTCGATTGGCAACGTCATAATTCAAATGTGCGTGGCCTAACAGAACGAGGATCTCGACTAGTGTGCAGTTGATGTTTGGTAGTGTGTGGTTTTGATGTGGGGCCTTCTTCATGAAGTCATAGCCACGGCCTGGCTCATCATCTCCTGCAGATTTGCGCTTTCGGGGCTTTCGAGCTTTTGATGCTTTCGTGCCGGTTCCGGACTTTGCTGTGAAATCGTTTGACACCACCGACTTAGTGGGTGCCGATCCTGGCCGGGGAAGAGCGATCTGTTGTGGGTGGTGGTCGCCTAGAGATGGCGCATCCAAAGTCTCAGGGCCTTGAAACTGAGCCTGATACGCAGTGTGATAGACTCCGTTAGAAGGTGTGCGGTTGAACATCCTTGGATACTGGGTGCTAGCTCGTTCTGGAATCTGGGGCCCACTAATAGGTAGCTTGATGTGCTGCTGAGGGTAAGGGGCCATGCTGAATGCATCTGATCTCGTGACTCCTTGTTCGTGCATCTGGCTACGCTGAGCCTGCTGAGGCTCATCTGGTAGGAGAACGAGGTGCTCGAGAGTAGCAGTGTAGTTACCCCGATAGGTAGTGGTGTAAAGCTGATAGATGTCTCGAATCATCCGCGATGGAAACATTTGCTTCAGCATCGCTACTACCTCGCTCTGCCAGGCATCCGGTATATCTTCAACTTTCATGTCGGCCATCTCGAGCTTCTGGCGTTTTGCCTTCGGCTCAGACAGCTGGGCGACATCATCAGAGATAAATTCGCTATGACCTAGCTCCTCTGCCCATCCACGTTTCGCCCCGATCATTTGTTCTGGATTGCTATCGGAGCCCGCAGTGTTGGGCTGGAACATCGTCTCGAAGAGTTGAGGATCGATGGGCGAAGTTCCAGGGTTAGGCGGGCTTGTAGAAGCCATCCGAGAATGATAAGGCCGCGTCTTGGGTTCTCGAGTTGAGTGGGGGGTTCTAGTGATGGTGGGTTGGGGTTCGAAAAGTGGGAGTGTACAGGAAGACGGTGGTGGGATCTTGAAGGTGATGGGAAGAAAAGAGTTGAGCCTGTTGAGGGAAATGATATATACACTTCTCTAAGCGCAAGATTCCTGCACATTCACGAGCGAAGTGCCTTCACATCCCGAAGTTACCTTGACGTGAACATGAGACACTAGGCAACGACCGTCTACAATGCCCGAAAATCTCGAGAACATTGTGCAGAATGAAGGTCTCACGTTTGTCTACATCATTGTTGATGAGCAATGAGATTTAATCGTGATACATTGTATGGGGGTCAAGGCTAAGAATGAAGTGGACAAAGTTCAGTGAGAATATCATAGAGAATTGACCAACTCTGAATTGTCTGTGACAACCTCACGAAGTGTGGAAAAGAAAAGAGATCAATTTATGATCCTGGAGGAATGGACAGTGTGCAGAATTCTGTAAGAGATGTATATGAAAGCGGTATCTTAGACATAGGGGAACAAGAGCGAGCAAACCTAGAAGAATCCAGAGCATTCTTGTGCGCAAGCATGATAGTGGTTTGGGCTGGTAATCCGAAACCTCACCGCCGCCGGTCGTCGTCTGTGCCTATCCCAGCTTGATTGAAGTCCGATTTATACGACTCAGCGCCCTTAGAAAGCAGTCATTTGCTATCACTTCAGATGGCGAAACATCGCGAGGTTGATATTTATCCGAATCCGAGGACAAGCCCAAGGATAATTGCTTCATACCTCATGGGAGAGTGTTTGAACGGTATCAATCGGTTTCACACCTGGTTGTTGGATCGAGAGGTGAAGAAAACGCCATTTTGTCAGTCTAAAAACTACAAAGGTAGGGGGACAGTTATCCATCCCAACCCAGTCGGAGCGGGATTGGATGGATGGGCCATTACGTCAGTCTTTACGGAGGCCGGCCTCCGCTTCGATGAACACAGCCCACCACCGACCAAACTTCAAGTAATTAGCCCTTTGCGATGTAGAGAATGAAGATAGGGCTTTGGATTGTCCCTTACACTGCCTTGTCAAAAGTCTGGGCACATTTACTCACCAGGTACCGTTGGGGATGCTTCGGCGCATTCTAAAAGCTTTCAAAAGGTGTGACGTCCGTGAGAGCTTCAATCACAGAAATTTCACACGCCGACAATCCGCCTATTTGCCGCTGGTTGTGGTGCTTCAGCACCTCATCGGAATTTTGGGAAGAGATTAAAAGCACGACGTACCCAAACTTGTGTCCCTGTACTGTATTTCCCAACCTTGACACCCCAACTTTCCCTGGATATTTGGATCTGCCAGCGAGGGGGGAAACTTGAAGGAATTGAAGCAAGTGAAATGACATGCAAGCTATCTAATCCAGCCTTGAGAAGTGAGCGGCGCTTCTGGATTGGATCTCTATACTCACAATAGTGGTGTGGTGGCAACCGGCGGTTGCTACGCGTAGACGCGTTGATAAACAGGTCGCATCTATCCATTCACTTCGCCTATCAATCTTCCCTCGTACAGACTAGCTCTAACGAGAAGACAACCCATCTCCTTCAACGCTTACTCAGAGCTCTCACTATCCGTTGACTGAAGTGCAGGTGAACGAACCCAATGGCTACCAAGCCAGACGCGCCCAAGGCCAGCAACGAGCGAAATACAGCCGTAGACTTCGCCGTTGCCTGTCTCGCCACTCCGAATGCGCCCGGCGAGGGAACACAGCCCTCTCAATTTACTCCGAGCGAACTTTACGAGCTCGACGTCCTGGGATACCACACTCGTATGCGATCACTCAATCACCACCGAAGAATACAATACGGTCTGCCCATACCGATTTCACCGACGCTGCCACGGATAGTCGTCGCGGAGTTCGTCAAGCAAGAGAAAATGGCGAGAGAGAAGCGAATGGTGCCGACAGACCATAGCGCCATCGTGAATAATGAAGCGGAGGAGCTGAACAAGTCCACGGTGGAGGAGCTAATAGAGAATGCGGCGGATGATAGAACAGAAGGACGAGGAGTCGCAGATGGTGGCATATTGGTGAAAGTCAACAAGGACTGGCATGATGAGACCACACGGGTCAACATGGCAGGTATCCAGAAGACTCTGCGGAGACCAGAATACAAACCGCCTGTGGGAGCGAAGTGGCTGAGTTATATGAAGATGGGGAAGACGGCATCTAGGCATACTGATACTTTGAAGGAGTTCTTGGTGGGATCTGTCCGCGAGGACTACATTCTTCCTCCTGGAGTTCCTATGTCTGGCGTAGAGATCCTGGTAAGTCAAATTTGTGCTTGGGTAGAAATCGCGCATCACTGACCTCTACAACATAGGCATTCTACCCTCACCACCTTCGCTGGCCAGCAGTAGCCATGCGACTCATCAACAACTCCCACACAGGAGCTTCCCTTTCCGGCATCATCGTAAGCATTTCATTCTAATCTTAAGGCCCTGAACCTAACACTGATTCCTGTAGTCGTGGCTCCACGGCCAGAAAGAAACCACAACAAGCCGACAAATCGTCAAAGACACCGTCCGCAACGCTGGCCGCCAGTCCACGGGAAACATGGCATGGACAGAGACCCGCCATAAGCCTACCCCTAGTACTAATATTTCTCCTGATGTCCTCGTTCCGCTCCCCCGAATCGCCGCGCGCGGCCTGCAGGTCCCAACCTACGCGCAACTGGTGGCAAGCGTAACACATCTCCCACATGGCCTCCACGCGCGCGCCCTGACAACATGCATCGAGTTTTGGCTTCAACACAAGGACTTGGACTTGAATGTGTTGCACACGGCGGAGCTATATCGGGCATTGCAGCCACACCTGAGGAGTGCAGGACCAATGAACCTGGATGCGGTGGCGCTGTCACAGTGGGACAGTAGCGAGAATGTTGATGGCCCTGGGAAGCGGTTGACCGAGAACCCGCTCGAGGAGTACGAGAGAGGCAGGGGATTGGTAGGAGAGAGACAAGATGCTAGCCTGACCTTCCATGTCTCGGAAGTCTTGCTGGCTCCGCTGTTTGCGTGGCAGAGGGTGCGAGTGGCTGGATTGAGCGAGATCGTGAAGCAAAAGGAGAGCATCGAACAGCCTGCGAAGGCAACAAATGGCGTACATGCGCCGTCAGGCCTAAAAGGTGGGAAGAAATTGCCGGGTCCTAGGGCGAAGACTGTTAAGAGGAAGGTTACCGAGGTCGACGAAGAGAACGACACGGAGCTAGCGACAAGGCAGCGGAAGAAAGCCAAGAAATGATGTTGGGTCAATCGGCGATAGGCTCTAGCCGCAGCGATTTGTCCAGACACAGGATGAGAAAGTATTGACGGTTATAATGAGCTTCGACAAGTCTTTAGTATCGGTATAGATAGGCTGTTTTAGGATAGACCCTTTCAATAATGCCACGAATAGGCTAGACCTTTTGATGATGCTGCTGATGAAAAGTGCGCTATGAATATCAATCGGAGATATGGTTAGCTTCATACGAGCGTAGCCGGACTAATTGCTTTTAATGTCGCAGGTATTGTATTCTCGAACATCTGGATTCGCCGCGACCATTAAAAAAGTGGCACTCTTAAGTTGAAGAAGCCGCAGAGAGTGTGTACGCGTGTATGCCACTGCTTGGGGCACTTTAATACATTCTCAGAAACTTAAACGCGAAGAAAGCTCTTCACCTTCTGCTTATACACTCGCTGTAGCACTCTAAGCAGTAGTAGACAGGTGTCCAAATGAGGCAGTGTGCTTGATAATTGGGCCACCTTTTTTAGGCTCAGCGTGCCTTGTTCCTCACTGGAGACATTCCTAATCCCCGGCGGTGTCGTGTGGGCAGAGTAGATAAACCATCACAAATAGCATCGAAAGGACAAACGTAAAGCTTGTACGCCGAGCAGGTGTGAACACACGGCGATGCAGCTTGGTATTCAGAGGGAAGTGTAGCATGTGGCAAAAACTGAAAGGATGTGCTTAGTCAGCTCTCATTTCACCGGTCGCCTGAACCTCAGCCATGGTTCAGCTCGCTCACCAACTGCATCCGAACTTACAACATGCCTCTTCACAAGCCAAAGTCACAAAGAAGCCGTCTGTTTAGGCCCCCCAAGCGGTCAGCCTCCGGCACTCCCAAAAATGCAACGGAAAGATCGCTGTCTCCCCTCGAAAGCCTGCCGGTGGAGCTTCTCCAAAAGGTCTTTCTGTTCGCCGAGAACGTAGCTCTTGCAAGGAGCAGCCCATATATCGCAGCTGCAGTCTCGTCGGAGCACATCATCCAACAGTTCACCATGCGTGTGCTGTTTTCGCAGGAAGAAGCCGTTCCTGCTGACCAGCAGGCTAGCGGGACCGATACTGACGCCGTCGCAGACTCGCCGGCGACGGTTCATGCAAGCAGGCAATCTGAGAGACGTTCAGCTGGCTTTATCCGCAACACGGGACGGCTCTGGCGACGGTACACTGATTCCTTTTTCAAGGAATCGACTGACATACTTGCTTGTCGCTTCATGACTTGGGAGCGGTTCAAGATTTGCATGCAACTGGGCCTGCCGACCTTCAACGCTTCTTATTTCGATCATCCATATCAATTACCATTCATGTGTCAAGGCTTGAAGCAGCTTGAGAAAGAACAGATCCCCAGAAAGCTTCTATGTGGCCCATGGACCCCTGATAAATCGGCTTTTCTTTATTTCCTTACCTTCGTTGGGCTGCGCGCTCCCAGATCATGTGAGAGCATTGCCAACGAGGGCCTCCGCGAAGCTGTGTCGCAGCAGTCCCCTCTTGCCGTTGCAGCGCTTGTGTCACCTTGTGTTATGGCTCGACCAACCACGAAGCTCCTGCGCAGCGCCGTAATCGATCACGACTGCCACCTTGCAATTGTTCGCCTTCTTCTCACGCCTTGGGAAGACGGCACTGGAACTCCTCCGTTCCTTGATTTCCAGGATGCCGAGCTCCTACGGTGGATTGAGACACAGAAGTCCCGTGAGAACCACAAGGGATCGTGGCTGGGGGCAGCGCTAAAGGAAGCGCGTTTTGGGATCCTTCGACACAAATACAGACGGCCCGGAGGTAGGAATGGTTCCCTGGACGTGTCGCCAGACGAGGACGCAATCATACCTATAGCTCAACGTCGTCCAGATCCAGCCTAATTCAGATGCGTGTGGATGGACATGTATTTTTGGTGCTGCAGCGAAATAGAGCCATTGGAACAAACCCACTCGTCTCGATGCATTGCTGGTGCTGTGAATGCCCCACATTTCCCCAATCCCCAGCTGTAGATCGCGATACAATGCGAGAATAAGCATACCCGCGCCGTGCCAGATCTGCGGGACTAGATGAAGCAGGGATGTGGATTTATGACGCTATGGCGTCCGCTACCTTGATGTTGCAGCGGGAGAGGCACCACACTCCCGCCAGCACTCTTGCTTTTCTTGCGTCCTCTTCCCTTCTTTATCCTGTGGTTATATCCTCATGCCCCTATGTGGCCCTTTAATGCATTAATAACTATTCCACACCACGGCCTGCAATCAAGTGCTACTCGCGAAGAGCATCCCTAGTGAACCCCTGCCTGCCCTCAGATGACTGCCCCTTCAACGCCGCGCCAGTCATGGCAAGGACCGCAAGATGTGTTGAACTTGTCTGCAGATAGTTACACAGCTCAGAGACTTGTAAGGCTGTTCTAGAGCTCCGGAATGCAGTTGCTGACAGTTTGGCCCAGGAGCATGCCACACCCAACCATATCCACCTTACGTCCAGACGCACCTTCATCGGACCAATTCCGGTGTGTCCACCTCGATTGCATATAATGATAGACTACTTGGCTTACACGGGAATGACAGGAAGGATGGCTGAAGAGTCACCGGAAGAGCTGGTACCAGCACCACCTCCACATCAACTACTCCTCCCGCGCCGCGACATTCTCCGAAGACCCCGCACAAGCTCGCCAGCGACGTCTGTCTGGTCTGGAAGGACCCAGTGCCTCGGTCCTGTATGGTCACAGCTTTCCACAGCCGGACAATCTATCGCTGGAGGAAGAACCAGAAGAGGGTGACAATGTCCAAGAAGAGGGTAGTGGACCTACTGTAGCCACGTCGAGTTCGCCTCCTGCCTTGGAAATCCCTAGAACCTCCAGAAGACCAAGTGAGGCCGTTACGGAGGATGGGGCAGACTTTGTGGACGCGCCGTCGGAGCCAGAAGATGAAGCTACACCAGACCCCATGGACCCATCTCCTCGTCGACTAAAGACGCGCCGGGCAAGCTCGAAATCATTCGTGACCGCCTCCAGCATCCCATCCAGGGAACCAAGTCCGGAGCGGAGCTCAGAGAACCAAGACTCCAATCGCCATACTGGGTCGAGGGTCACACCGCAGCGGGGCGAGTCCCCAGGCAAAGCGGAGGGTAGTATCAACCGAGTGGCAAGTTCATTGACTCCTGAGCCTGCGGGAGAAGAGACTTCCACTTCTTCTTTACTGCGTAGGACTGACAGGAAGAAGGCCCAAGAGGAACCCGAGCCTCGGGCATCAAGGGGCATGATTTCCAGGGTAATGACCAGACGATCACAGAACGGGTCTGCCGAGAGAACTCCACAACATGATGGCACAGAAGAAGACGTTAGCGCCATCTCTCGATCCAAAAGCCATCTCCGTAACCTGGTTCATTTCGACGTACCAGAAGACTCGAAGCGGGCAGAGCTACAGCTAAAGGCAAAAGCTGCGCAGATGACCATACAGCACGCTTCCACCAAAGTTCGAAGGAGAAAGGTAAAGGACGGTCTAGTGGTTAAAATGGAGCGTATGTTGATTCGCGTGGACGCGACTGCAAATGAAGTCCCAGAGGACTACGACGAGAACGGCAATCAGAAAATTGAATCAAGAGTTTCAGAGAAATGGCGAGAATACATGGTCGTGTGCCGGCAAAATATCTCAGAAGATGCAGACTTTGTGCTTCAGATGTATAAGTCTCGGGTAGGATTTTTCTAGACACAACGGCGCTTGAAAGATTATGTTCTAATTACCTCGTGACAGGTTATTCCGGCGATTGAAGCAGCTAAAACGAACAAACGTGCCAAGTTCGAAATTCCGCTTGGCCGCAAGATCACCAAAGTCAATCTTTACTCCTCGCTAGACAAGTCTGTGGTGGTATGGATGCCCTCGTCTCGAGGTACCAAGATATTCATCATGCAGGCTCGCACTGCGTCTAATGCAGTTGAATGGTACACCTTTTTAAGAAATATTCTCGGCTGGCGACGAGCATCCGAGCTTCAGATCAGCATCCCCGATCTCAGCATTAGTTTGAACATTCAAAATCCATTCGAAAAGCTGGAAGCGTCACAGAACATCGCCCAGGCCGCAGACGAAGGCGATGAAGCCGCCATTCTGAAGACCATGCAGGAAGAACAGGCCGTGGCCAGAAACCTAATTAAACGATGCATGTCAATGCTGGGAGAAACGACAGAATGGAGTGACATCCTGGAGGCTTGGGCTAAAGAAAGGCGTATGGGACTAGCCTGGAAGCGATACGATCGACTGGAATGGATTCACGGAGCCAACGAAAGGAAGATGTACGGAACGATAGCAATGTCAAAATCGCACGACCTAGAATTGAGACCGAAATCGCATTATCCTACCACAGCCATCACTCGTAAGAAAAAGAAAACGTTGACAGAGCCTGCTCCAGTGGAAGGATTTCTGATACGATTGACTTCACAGCGGGGTGTCAACAGGAAATTAGGAAGGCTGTTCTTCAAGCGACTATATTTCTCTACCCACGATCAGTACCTTGTGTTTTCGCTGCCAGCGAAAGCTGCTCCACCTCCTCCGCCAAAGCTTCCGGCATCTGCAAATTCCAGAGTTCCAACTGCTCACGATATTGCAGAAAACATCCCATTGATTTATGCTGTCGACCCATTTCCTGTCCAAGACGGAGAAATAGAGTGGTTGGCCTCTGGGCATACTGGAACACCTGCGAAAGTCAAGCTCCATGATCGAGATGCGCAGGATGAGGCAGATCGAAAAGCCCAGATATTGCTGAATTGTGACGGATACATCAATCTTTGCAATGTCATGAAGGTCCGAAAGGTGCACAAAGGGGAGACCCTAGCGGACGAAGACATCGAATCAGGATCTGATGTTGACTTCGACGCCGACGTGGGGGATACCAGCCGTGACGACGGCACAACACAAGACTTTAACAATGATCGGACCTTCGAGTTGGTGATGCGCAATGGTTTGATCGTCCGGCTACAGGTAAGAAATCACCATTTTCTCTTCAATCAGACCATACTAACAAGTCGAAGTCCTACAACAAGACCACCAAAAAGGAATGGATCAAGCGCTTGCGCCAACTCACCAAATACTGGAAACTCCGCTGCGCGTCCGACATCGCCCTCTACAAATCCGTCCGCCACCAGAACCTCTCCAAGCTCAACATCGACGAAGAAACCGAAGCCTACATTGGCCAGTTCGCCCGCAAGTGGGAAGTAACCCAGTCCCACGCCTCACCCGAGCTCTATAACCTCTGCGGCATTTCCTGCTGCCGCACCATTCACGTCTCCGGCGTTTTATATCGTAAACCCCGCATCCACGCCGCCTTCCTGCGCTGCAGCGTCATCCTCGCCGAGGGTCACCTCCTCATCTTCCAAGATGTCCTCCGCACCAGGTCTGGCAAGGAGCTCGCGCATATCCACCACGAGCGCGTTGCGGGCCTCGACCTCAAGGACTGCTATATCTACTCGGGCCTACTGACGGAGAACGACCTGCTCTACCAGAACCAGACGTTCGATAACAATAAACCTGGCCATCACGCGCTGCCGCGGATCTATCTCGAAGACGGGTGGACGAGCACGGATGAGGATGTGATGACGACGTTTGTCGTCTGGTATGGAAAGTCTAAAGGATGGTTCCGGTCTGAGGAGGGCGGCGGCGGTGGCGAGAAGGCTGCGAATGAGGGGAAGAGGAGCCGGATTAAACGTGTGACGAAGCTGGGGACTACGGGGAGGAGCGTAGTGTTCCGGGCCAGGAGTCGAGCGGAGAGAGATCACTGGGTTTTGGGGATTCAGAATGAGATTGAGAGGTTGCAGGGGGGTGCGGGGGAGGACTTCAGGATTACGGAGGAGGAGAGTGGGTGAGGTTGTACGTGTTCTTGTACGCTGGCTGCTCGGTTTTGGGTATTTGCAGTGGCGTTTAGCGTGAGCGATAGGCGTTGATGCGTGGGTGTATACACATACAGCTGGCGTCGCTGTGGTATTATTTCTATCTTCCTTCCAAAAGCCACAGTAATGCTAGGTCTAATCTGAATGTTCCAGTCCTTTACATCGTAATGTCGCTCGGAGTCGATGGGCCTATGGTGCCTTAACATGGTGCATACCCTTACAAAACCACCCTAAAGCCAGGCCCAATCTAAAGGTTCTAATTCTTTGCATCGCTCAGTTGTTGCAAGTAATCTGGCTATGGGTGCCCCAATATAGTGCGTACACCTCTCAAAATACAGCCGTACCGGGCTTCATTTACAGGCTTTAGATCTATACATTAGAAGCTTAGGAAGAGTAAATAGGGCAGAGGTGGCTCAGCATGGTGCGTGTACCCCCAAAATCACACTTTACACGCCTTGAATCACGCTTTCACATTTTAGTAGCACGTAGATCTGATTCAAGAGGTCCGGAACTTTACATCGGAAGTCTGTTGAGGTTGGTTAGCCCTGGCGTGCCTGAAGATCGTGCGTACCACCCTAAAACCATTCTCCAGAAGCCCAAATTCACGCCCTCACGTTATAAGTATCTACATTAATTACAGGAACTTACATTAGTTCTAAGTAGTTATATTAGTCACAAGTAATTACATTAGCAGCATTAGTTATATTAGTTATAAGCACATATATTAGTCCTACCCAGGCTATGCCTTGTCCTATTCATCCCTTCTATCGAACTACTCCTAATACTACTAATGCCACCAAAAAAGCACCTACCCTAAGTGTTCAACTAAAGGCCCCTGAAGCCTTCCCCCATATGACATCATGTTAGAAGTAGTCACATTAGTAACATTACTCACGAGTAGTCCTCTTCACAACATCTCGAGCTCTTCGTCGATTTCCGGTAAAACCTCGTCAGGAATAGGCAAGATTCGCGGAATCGGTGGTGGAACAAGCTATCCATTAAGAAGCATTTCTGACCCACCCAACGTGCCATTGTGTGCAATCAGATCATCAAAATGTCTTCATGATTTCCGGTAATGACTCGTCCGGAATAGGCGACATTCGTGGAGTCTGTAGTAGAGCAAGCTGTCTGTCAAGAAGCGTGTCTGCCCGACCTGACGTGCCATTGCACGCATTCAGATCATCAAAAATATCCCAAAGATGGTCACGAATGCGGGGAAGGCTCAACTTGCTCCGAAAGCTCGCCAATGCCGGGGGATTGAGTGACCGCTAGTGGATTCTCCAGGCTAGGGCGAAGTGTTGGGCCTAGTTCTGGAATGGCAGAAACCCGCATTGAGGGGGCCATCGTGGGAAGTGGAGGGAACAAAAGCGTATGGATGCTGGGAAGTCGTGTGACTTGTCGTGGATTTGCCGACACTTCGCCCGGCTCTGGCATGGCAAGAACCGGCGTCCAGGGATGTTCGAACGTGGGAAGTGGAGGAATTGTTAACATCTGTAACTGAATATCTGTCTGGTTCTGTGGACCTGCCGGGATTGGGACTTGTTGAGATTGGGCCTGAGCATGAGCCTGAGCCTGAGCCCGAGCCCGAGCCTGAGTCTGAGCCCGAATAGTTTGAAGTTCTGATTGAATCCGAGCTAGGGTTTGCTGCAGCTCACGATTGCGCCGGTTCGCAGCCTCTATCTCTTCCGCTACACGCTCTCGTTCATTTCGTTGCTGAGTCATGCCCGACTGGATGGCAAGCGCCCGGCGTTGCCCTCGCCGCCCCACCGAGTCCCTCACCATCTTTTGGTAATTGGGTTCCAGGTCGAGATACTTATGGTCCAGCCATCTGCGGAAAGCGTTCGCGTTCGCAGGTTCACAACCACGGCAATGGCGGTGTTGCGACCACTGGCTAGTCCAGCCGAAACCGGGGCCAAAATAGTTGTGTGGGGACTCGCCGTCATGTTCAGCGATGATATTGCTACCGGGGTACTGGACTTCCGTGTCAGATTCGTCTTGGCGGAGCTCGTGGAGGATATCGTTAATAAAGTCAGTCTCAGAGCCATCTTCATCCCAGCCAGAGACTATCCCGGGGTCGATTTCCTCATCGCTCAAGGACCCAGCGGAACTGGGGGAAGCTCGGTCCGGGCGGTATTGAGGAACTAGTCCAATACCGTAAGCAGAGGTCAGATTAGGAAGGGAGGTGAACAAACGGGGGCGTTCATTCGAGCGCGGCATTCTGGTGGCGTGGTGTTGGTTAAGGAAGCATTCCAACGGTGATCACTGTGTTGTCGAAAGATGCTGAAAGGCAAAGTACGGAGAGGCAAGCAATATATTTTTAAGTACGAGGTTCGAATTTTTTATACTTCCTTTCGTGGGTCTGAATCACCTACCCGATGATCAAGCAGGCACAGAATCATAACAGTCTGCGCACCAAACATGCTTACAATGATACTCTACCACGGTAAATGACTCGTGGTAACCTGGTAACTTGATACAAGTTCAATGACAAGATTGAAAACGCAAGGAACTGGACTACAAACTCGGAATCAAGGCGGTGAAAAGGAGTTTCAAATTACTACCTGCAAGGCTCCTGAAATATTGAGTTTCTTGTTTCGCACAGTTCGCCATGTGAAGTGGACATGACTATTGCTCAATTGCATCCATAAAAAGGGCGTAATGTGAGGTTCGGTTTTATGATTGTAGTACCAGCGGATCGTCCTAGGTCGTACCATGTCACGGGGATCTGGGACGAGATGCTTAATAAGGTTCCAAGAGGGTCCACTTTCGCTACGCACCTCAATATTTTTGATAGTAATGGTATAACAACCGCAATTCAGGGCCATCAGAGAAGAGAACTGGTGCGATAAGGCAGGGTCAATCTTCTAAAGCACGTACCAAATCGTAAGGTGAAACTATCCTGGAATGGATAGAGTCTCCAGAAACCACATAGGCCGGCCAGAATTATCATCTAGGCGGCAGTACCATTCATGTAGCCTTCTCTTCAGACACAGCCCCTTTCTTAGTTTTCGTCCTGTGTGGTGCCATATCACCAGCCGTTTCTTTAGCGGCGTCACCCTTCTTAGTTCTTGGCTTGACCGCGGCCTTCTTTTCAGTCTTATTCTCAGAAGCGGTAGCATTCTTAGCTCTTCTTTTGGGGACCTTCTCGGGAACAGCACTCCTTTTAGCCCTCGTTTTAACTGGCGCCTTCATTCGTATCGTTTTTTCAGGGGTAATGCCCTTCTTGGTTCTTGCTTTGACCGAAGCCTTCTCGTCAACTATTTTCTTAGGACGTCCAACCTTTTTAGTGGCGGGTTTAGCTTTAATCTCTTCGACAGGAGCCTTTTTAGGGGATCGCTTCGTTCTTGAGGTGGTCGCCTCGGAGTCCTTCTTTGGCCCAGGTTTTTGGCGCTTCTTCTCCCCTTCATCTTTCATCTTGACTAGCTTCTCTTCAGCATCAGGCTCCTCATCCGCACTGCTAATCTCCTCTCCAAGCTGGACAGTCTTCTCATCCAAAGAATCGCGATCGGCGAAAATCGGCTTCCCCAACCAAGTCAGCTGGATATCTTTCCTTATAGCAACCTTCTCCTTCCTGACCTTCCTCCTCTTTCTCTTCGCTGGGTCCTCGTCCTTAATAACCTTCGAGACCTCCCTTTTCTCTTCCTGAACCTCGCCCTCGACCTCCCCTCCCGTCACCCCCTCATTCCCATATCTCACAGTGACACCCACCCCTTCCAGCCCCCTCTCCACCGCGCTCCGATTCCACACAAACTGCTCCACCACACCCTTCTTCGTGATCTTCAAGAACCCCATCGGCCACCGGTTCATCCCCATCATCTCCAGCACCCCGCGAGTCGCCTTCTGCGTCGTCGCTAACAAGCCTAGCACATCCCGCCGCCGCCATTCTACCGGCACGCCCGCGAACGCGCCCTCGAGCTCACGAACATAGTTCGGCCCAACAGACTTCTGCGCTTTGCATTGTATTAAAACAGGCAGAGGCTCGGGTAATGTAGGGATCGCCCAATAGCCGAGGAGGTCAATCCCATTGTCCGCGCGGCGACCGGTGCGGATGAGGGAGAAGCCGAGGCGGAGGAGGGTGGTTGCAACGGTGTATTCGTAGTGGGTGCCGACGTAGACGGTGGACTTGGCGGAGAGATTGACGCGTTCCGCATACGTCAAAAAGGTCGGTAGGTCGTTGTGATGGGTAGAACCAGGCGTGATTATTAGTTTAGGGGTCGTTGATGGAGATGTGACTGCTGTCGTCGTGATGCAGCGAAAAGGGTGGTGAAAAGAGGGTGGTTTGAGCCATTGGCGGCGAAGGAAACGTATCATATCGTAGGGACAGGATCTAGTATACAGGGCATGCTTGCAAATGAAAACGTACACTCGCGATGCTACCGCGCCATGATGGTGAAATTGGTGAAATGACTGGGAAACGTGCAAGCCGAGTCGCGTCGAGATGACAGCTCCGCGCTAAGGCCAGCCCGCATATCTAATGTTGATCCATCTCAGCCCTACGAAGCTCCCTTGTTCACCACCACATCCCCACATCGACTCTTCCAACAACGCTCTCCTCGCCATCCTACCCAGAAATGGCCGACCGCCTCACCCAGCTCCAGCTCTGCCTCGACCAGCTGGCCACCCAAATGTACGCCACGCTGCACTACACCTCGGACCGTGCCGCCCCCACCCGCATCCCCGACCTCCCCTACCAAGTCGACCCCGCGCGCTCCTCCTTCCTCGAAACCAGCCAACAACAGTCGCAATCACAATCTACACAGACTACAGCGCAGGGAAGCAACCCACCCCAAGCTCAGACCCAAAGCCAGGATCCCGAAGCGCAGTTCACAGCGGACCTGCACGAGCTCTCCCGCGACCTGATTCTGAAGGAGCAGCAGATCGAGGTGCTGATCGACACGCTGCCGGGGATCGGGACGTCGGAGCGTGAGCAGCGGCAAAGGATGCGCGAGCTGGAGCGGCAGTTGCGGGAGATTGAGGTGCAGCGGAAGAAGGCGGTGGCGGAAAAGGAGGAGTTGCTTGAGCAGGTTGCCGCGGCGATTGTGGGGGTGAAGGGGGTTTGAGATGAAGCTACTTGGGATTTCGGACATCAAATAAGATTTTGTGGGGGTGAGAGATGAGGGTTGGGAGTTAGGGAAACTCACGCCGTGGGAAAGACGAGGGCCGATGTTGGGGACAATGAGGGTTACGTCGAGGGCCACGTCGGGGCTAAAAGTTTGTGCATTTTGGATACCCCGTGGAAAGCGTCGTATGGTGTTGGAAGTTTGGACACGAAAGTGCGGGAGAATTAATGCTTGAAGCTATTGCTTCATCAACACGCTTCGTAGGCAATCTGTGAAGTGCGTTCTGGGGTGCGTCCCGGGTGTCTAGACCCTCTTAGTAGTGCTCCAACTTATGAGCTCTAGCTTCTTCATCTACGGAGTGTAAATATATCATGTTGAACAAGAAGTTACGACAAATTACGCTGTGAGGGTCTTCGTATGTCATGCTAATGAACAGGTAATCATTTCGATTGAAGGATCTTTTACATATAACTATTTGAGAAAAACGCCGCGGTCCAACTAGTGAGATGCCCTTGTGCCTATCCAGTCCGGTACACCTAAGTCCTCGTCCAACGATATACAGCTCCAAAAACTCCTAGCTTCATTACCCCACGGCACAAACGATTATATATGGTAGTGGGTAGCAGGAAGGCCCTGGTTGCTAGCCTGGGCATACTCACTCCCATCATCGCTGCCGACATCCGTCCAGCTGTTCGGGGTGCGTGCACCTATCCGATCGCCATCGCCGAGTTCACTGAAGCCGCCCTCGCTGAAGGCCTCTGACCTCGCATCGTGGTCCTCGTCGTTGGTCATTGAGAGCACTGCGACGTCATCAGCTTGGCTTCCAACCATGGATGCGGCAGTCGAGAATCCATCCTCAGTAGGGGTGAGAGTTCCAGTTGACATGACCTCGGGCTCTTCTTCCATGCTGTTGGAGAATACGTGCGGGTTGGATTGCTCCATGTCGTCGGATACGGACATGACGGAAGCAGACGCGAAAGAATGGAACGACTGGGATCCGTCTTGTGCCTGAGCTTGGGTAGAAGATGACAGCGAAGGGATGGACTCTGTCTGTACTTCCTGTGGTAGGCTGAGTGGTGGGTCTTCGGCGTTCATGTCAATAAGTGGTTCTCCTTCGATAGTTGCAGTGCTTTCCCGAGATGCTTGTGGTGCAGCCGATGTCTCTTTAGTAGCGTGTTCCTGATCAAAAAGTACTTGTGCTCTGCTGTCAGCGGAGAAGATTTGTCCACGACGTCTCAGTCCTTCAGCAGTAGCGTTTTCCGTAGCAGTGGCAGTTCTAGCAGTATTGTCCTCATCCACGAGATTGATGAGAGGGTGGTTGTCTCGAAGCATTCCATCACTACCAACAAGGTCATCGAAGCTGCTGCCCCGGTCTCGGTTCTTGCTCCGGCGATCATACTCCATCATCTCGACCTCGACCCCCTCTCTCCCTATCCTAGCGAGCTCATCCAAATCAACGGCAATGCCTTCTTCTTGAGCTTGGCGGATCAGTTCGTTCTGGTTCCGTCGAACAATCTCCTCCATTCGCTTTCTGCGGATCTGTTCAGCGGTCTCGGCATTGTTGGATGACTGCGAGGAGCTGCGGCGGGGGGGCTGGATTTCGTCTCCGAGGGAGTGTAAGGCAACGGCGATTTTGCGTCGGGAATGCTCGATGAACTGTCGAACTTGTGGGCTTTCATATATAGCGATGCCAGCGGCTACGAGGACGGAGGCGGCGATGATGAGGCCTGTTCCCATGGGATTGTTAGGCCTTCCATAACGAGGATCTCGACGAGGATTTGGGTTTGCGGAAGCCATATGCGGTCCTGTGAGGACTGGTTGGCAGAAGCAGGCAGGAAGGGTGGCAAAGCGATGGAAAGAGAAGAAATGTAGTGGAGAGAGCTTAGGTACCTTTAGCTAGTGGCGCAGGCATAGTGGCGGCGGTCTATTCTGGCTCGTGATGTGTGGTGATGCGGAGTGCTCACCCGCAGGTGTTTCGCGGTAGGAATATTTAGGATGCTGCAGCCTGGAGGTGTTGGAAGAGGGGGCAGGCTGGATGGTGGTTACGTGGACAGGTACGGCGCGGACAGGTGATGGCCTAGAGGCGCCAGTTTCCGCCACAATCGCGGGGCACTGCTTTCTAGCATTTGGGGGGGGCTCGGCTCCACGGAGTATTGTGCCTGATTAATGCCCCAGTACTATCACCCTTCACAGCCCCCTTGTCAAATCATGCCTTTTCCCTCACACGCAGTCCAATCGATGCATTCACAAACGCTGCTACCACTTCACACAGTGAAGACCCACTTAGGCCCGACAGAGGCTTGGATGGGGTCGTCTGCGTCACACAAGACATAAGAAGAACCCAGAGAAACTGTCTCAAAGATTTACAGGAAGGCGGCATCCAATGCCAAGTCTAAATGTATCAAATCCCTATCCGATTGAGAAGTCCCCTCCAACCATGTAAAAGTCAAATTATGCCTCCCGGTGGTCATCCTGAATGTCCTTGCTCTTGACCGAATGCTCGTGCTTGATACACCATAAGCACACTAGAATACCCAGAAAGCTTGAAACGAGAGTGACCCAATAGGCGCCACGGTAGCACGCGAGGCCTTCAGCACAAGTTCTGTCGCCATCCCGTCCAACATCTGAATGAGCATCGTAAATAGCACCGTACCAGATGTTGAAGATGTTGCCGCTCACAACAGGTGCCAGGGTCATAAATCCCCAATTGACAGAAAAGCCTCCAACGCCAAAAGCATCGACAACTAGGGCAGGAAATACGCCGAAGAGCGCCCCATACGCTAGTCCAGTGAGGCCAGAAACCGCCCAAAGATGATTTGGATTTTCGATGCGAGTACCGCAGAACTGGGCGAGCGTGAATATGGCCGCTGATGCCAAAACGCACCAGAACCGACTCATGTGGAGTCGTTTTACCAGCACGTCTGAGCCAACCCCAGATGCGAGCCGCCCCAGAAAGCTTAAGAACGATATGATCGAGACATGCATGAGTTGACGCTTAGCGATGAATTCTTTCGATGCGGTGTCGTCGTAATGTGCCCAGAGTGCTTGTGCCTATAAATATTGTTAGTTAGTCGCTCAATGGGTAAGCCAGAAAGGCCTCACGTCATTGCCAATATTACTACATGAACTATTAGCGCTTTGATCTTGTAAATCCGATCTTCGACACTTACTTAATAGTCATTAGACCGACACCAGTTAGAAGAGCACACAGCATCCAGAGGTTCCAGAAGTCTATTCTTGGTAGTAAGGCCAGCCCGGTTATATCTGCCTTATGTGAGTGGTGTGTCATATGGCTTAAAGCGTCATCGTCTGCAGCAATATCCCCAGGTATAGACATGAGTGACGAAGTTTCGTCCGGATCTGCAGGAGACTCGTCTAGTGGACTGCCGTCTACTAAATAATATTGGTAGCTGACTTGAGGTAAAGACTGAGGTATATGAAAGTAATTGAGACATACTGGTTTCTTGTCGTGGTAGGATAGAGGCGCTGTGTTTACTCCCCCCTGACTTGGTACGATGAAGTTGATTCGAGTCTCGCCGTGAAGGGTGGGAGAAGTCTTCGGTGGTTGGTAGTACCACATAGCGGGTAGTGTGATCCACAACAGAAAGGAAGGGAACGGAGACAAGGACAAGGCAAGACGTCCCTATGGATAAAAACAAAAGGAGGCTCGAGGTATTGCCTGCAAATGCGAAGCGGGAAACTATGGTATAGAAGAATGCACTGAGGCCGAATGCTGCCAAAGGAAAGGCAGTCGCCGTCCCGCGGTGATGGGGCCAGTTGAGGGCCGCTATACGGGTCAGGCATGCACTGTGAGTCGGATCGATATCACTTACAAACTTTCAATGAGGCCTGGAACGCAGCGCAGCTACCGACTCCAGTGAGAAACGAACAGAAAGTAATGAGAGCTACGCTCATAGCTCCCCTATCATACGCTACGCCGATTTAGCCTCTGGTTCTTGACCGAACGTTGGGGACATTCACCTAGTCGTATCGGAAAGTAGCCAGCCGCAAGTGCAACAGTTCCGATCAGAGCAGAAGGTCGCGGGCCTCTTTTGTCCGTCACAATTCCCATTGGTATACCCGAAGCGTACATGCCGAGATTCGCTGCTGTTCCCTAAGACGTTCTCAGTGATGAGTTGTGAGGACGAACCGGAGATCGTACGATTATGTTGCTTTGAACTGCAGAAAGCTGCAGGCGGTCTGCGAATTGAGGTGCCCACGCCGAGTATGCATACTACTAACAGTCAGTGTCGTGATACGTTGCCCGAAGTAGAGGTATCACTTACATTTGTTCCGCATGCCAACGATATGGTAGTAGCAGCGACTACGGAGATTATCCGGGTCGTCCTATGCGTCTTTTCAGACATTTTGTCGAAGTGCTGTGTTTGTTGCCCGCTCTCTGAGAGTGAGGGGGTTGGAAATAGATTTAACGAATCATCGGGCCCTCGATTGTCGTGATTGAGTGCTATCGGATATGGGTGCCGAGGGGAGAGTTGAGACAAAAGTGCCCAGCGTCGGTGGTTATGCGGACCTGGCGGAGGAGAGAAAGTCCAGGGAAGGGCACGAGCTGGCCGAGAGGAATTGGGAGGTATTTCAGGTAATTCGAGACAAGAGGGTGGATACTTGGGATGAATGGGCGTCCATCGGCATTGATGCGGCGATAAGCCACTTGCCCTTGCCAAGCAGGGCCTCAACACCAAAGCCGCCGCATCGTCACCGCAGGCTGCTCACCTGTCCGCCCGTCACTGCACCTTCGTCCACCACCACAACCTCATCACGACACCATGGGCGCACTACTCTCTATTCCTTTGCTCGCTGTACCTAGCATAGGCACCGTAAGTGCACATCCGCAGCCATCGAGAAGCGGCTCGTCACTGACTGGCGCCTAGATCGGCACCTTTGCCCTCTCGTGCTGTGGAGCGGCGACCTGCAATGCCGTCTTCAACTCGTGCGGGAAATGCGGTAACAGGTGCGCACATAATCGTCCTTGACTGTAGACCAACAGCTGATGGATGCGACAGCATGGCGACCCGCATCGCGTATGCCCTCATCCTCCTCATAAACTCCGTCATGTCATGGCTCATGCTCACGGACTGGGCCATGAAGAAGCTTCAACACATTACTCTTGACTACGTGGATATCAAGTGCCAGGGGGAAGAGTGCTATGGCTATGTCGCAGTGCAACGAATCAACTTCGCCTTGGGCGTCTTCCACGCCATCCTCGCCCTCATTCTCCTCGGGGTGAGGTCTTCCAAAGACGGGCGGGCGCCTATCCAGAACGGCTTCTGGGGCCCCAAGATTCTTGCCTGGATGGGCCTCGTTGTCGTCACCTTCTTCATCCCGAACTCATTCTTCATTGTCTGGGGCAACTATTTCGCTCTGATTGGAGCCTGTCTCTTCCTCCTTATTGGCCTTATTCTCCTGGTCGACCTTGCGCACAACTGGGCCGAATACTGCCAGGAGAAGATTGAAACTACCGAGTCGAGATTATGGACTGGTTTACTGATCGGTTCGGCCTTGTCGATGTACCTGGCTTCTGTCGCAATGACAATTATCATGTATATTTTCTTCGCGAAGAGCGGATGCTCGATGAACCAGGCTGCCATTACTGTAAGCTCCTAGTCAACAAGTAATCTCCGATTATCATGCTAACTCAAGCTAGGTCAACCTCCTACTCCTTCTCATTGCCTCTATTGTCTCGATTCACCCCGCGATCCAAGCCGTGAACCCACGCGCTGGTCTCGCGCAATCTGCAATGGTTGCTGTATATTGCACATACTTGACCATGTCAGCCGTCGGCATGGAGCCGGATGATTTGCAATGCAACCCTCTTGTTCGAGCTCGTGGCACCCGCCGAGCTACCGTTATCATCGGTGCTATCGTTACTTTCGTCACCGTGGCTTATACCACCACCCGTGCAGCTACCTATGGTCTAGCTTTAGGCTCTCAGGGCAACGGCTACTCTCAAGTCAGTACGGATGATTACGAGCATGGCCTGGTCACCCAACAGCCTGAGTCGCGCCGCGAAATGCGTGCTGCCGCTCTCCGCGCAGCAGTCGAGAGCGGCTCGCTCCCAGCCTCCGCTCTCGACGACCCCGATGACAGCGATGACGAGGATGATGAAGGTGGTAGCAAGAACCCTCGTGACGACGAGCGCAACGCCACCCAGTACAACTACTCCCTCTTCCACGTCATCTTCTTCCTCAGCACCACATGGGTAGCAACATTGCTCACCATGAACTTCAACGCGGACACCGTAGAGGACAGCTTCGTGCCCGTGGGACGCACATACTGGGCCAGCTGGGCCAAAATTGTCAGCGCCTGGATATGCTACGGCATCTACATTTGGAGTTTGGTCGCACCACTCGTTCTACCTGATCGATTTGATTACTAGGGGGAAGGGGGGTGGTGGGGGGGGGGGGTCCCTCATTAGCATTCGCTTGGCTTCAGTGGTTCCGTAAATGACAAAATGTATCAGTAGTTTTCGTTTTTTTTTTTTTTTTTTATTCCAAGCTGTACATGATATCAGTCCTGATCCTCTTCACAATTCCACCCTTTCCCACCTACCTAGGTCTCCTCACCAGCTCAACTAGTAACACCCCGTACACCCACCGCCCGAAGCACCGCCACCCCGCCGAAGCCACTACCGCCCCTTCACCAACCCCCCCCGCGCTAGCTCAGCCGCTACGCAGCAAGCTCCCGCCATAAACAACTCATGGACCGCGGGCCCAGACGCCGCCGCCGCCGCCGCCGCCGCTGCTGGGCGGAAGCTCTCTACGCGGCAAAACCTCCACAACTCCCAGCCCGCCAATCGAGCGCGCCGGAGCGCGCACCCCACCCACTGTGTAGATCTGGCGGCTACGTCAGGCGCGGGCTCTAAGCAACGCAAGTCGAAAGGAGCCTAAAACCCCGCAGGGGGTGGGTGGATGAGCCAATGGGCGGCGCCGGGTTGGTGTGTGGTTAGCGGAGTTCTTTGGAGGCCGAGGACGCGATCTAGATCTTTTGAAGGCTGGCTGGTCTTGGGTTGGGGGGGGGGGTGGTTGTCTCTGCGGGTGGGTGGATTTGGTTTCTAAAGAAAAAAGATAGTGGAAGGCCGAGGAACGGAGAGGTTGGGATGGTGGGATGGCACAGTCACGAGATTGAGGTGGATGCAGACGGCAAATGTAGAGAGCAACGAGTACTTTCCTGAAGTAATCAATCCTAAGTGGATGTAATCAGCGCTTTTCCTGAGCCGTAAACCCCCCCCCCCCGCCTTTGCGATTCCTTTTCCAACCTATCCGCCGTCAAATTCCGTTCGTAACCCCCTAGTCTCTCTAATCCTCCTGACCGCAGTCCTCGAAATTCGCCAGCTGAACGACAACCAACCAATGTAAGTACTGCCGGCTATACTTTCCCCATCCGAGGAATCATAGACCGAGCATCGACATCAACAAAGCGACATCCAAAACAGATGTCACTAAATAACAAAACTCGTGAACCCTCCTACCCTCCCTAGCGATCAACTTGTGAACGCAGATAAGACAAAAAGCTTCAAAAGATTTCCTCTCCAAAAAAATGATTCGTTCCCCAAGACCGTAGAATTATTTCCCACCTAAACTCGCAGGAAATGCAGCTGGCAAAAAGTAGGAATCGTGAGGCAAGGCAAGCAGGATGAATTATTGCAAAAGATTCGAGCACATTACAAGTGTGATTGAGAACATGGAAAGACGGGAGAAAGATAAGAAGGGCGGTGTTGGAAGTCGAGGTCCAACGTCGTGGGAAATTTTTAATGAGTAGCCACGAAAAGCGACATTCCTGGGAGAGGTCGCGCGAGAATGGGTTTTGTTTTCTGGCATCCGATGAAGGATTCAGGTTCGGAGTATTTACGAGATCCGTGGCCAGTGTCGTGTCCTTGGGAGCTGGAACGAATGAAGTCATGCTGGACGAAGAAGGGTTGATTACAAGAATATACAGGAAGTTTGAAGGTCGTTTTTTTAGTGTGATATTGGAATTCTCGTAGTAGGACTAGACTGTAACCACGAGCTTGTGTTGGGTAGCAGGACGCTCTCAAGTTCTTGTTTCGTAACCGTTCTCTGCGACTGGTATCTTAGTACTCATGAGCAGGGAACGCCTGCCTAAGAGCAGACTTAAGATATTCTTTGTAGCATCGTAGCCGACGTGACACGTTGATATCGTAAGTTGTGAACGGCGTTAGTATTGTACAATCAGTATTTACTTTATGAGAGTTGAAGCTTCTGCGCGTCTGTTGACATGAGCTGCATGAGCTTCGAGCGCGCGAGCCATTACATGCGTGACTGTAATAGAATTAGCGGATGTCAAGTCGGATAGTAGAGTAATAGAGGAAGCTCACCAGGCCACACAGCAGCCTTTTCCAGCATGTAGGCTGTCACCATCAGAAGCTTCGAGCCATAACCGCAAGGGCCGAGGCTGGCAAGCCCACTCATGATCGGCATTGCAGCAGAAGACCCCATGTTCGTGATATCGAACGTCAACTTCAGATCGGCGTGGTTCAAAATATCCTGGATCTTCTGCAGCAATTTAACATCTTCCTCTTCTAGAAGCATGATTGCTGGGACGGCAGAATAATCAATGTCATCCTTGCCAAGTACCCCGAGGTACCGCCCAACTCGATCCTGGACCGTCGCCACCCATTCTGCAAGGATCTGTGCGCAGTCCATAGTGCACATCGCAGACGAGTTGGGCAACTCCCTGGCGGTAAATTCCGCGTAGGTTGCACCAAGTTTGTCAGCCATGGACAAGGAGTCTGCGGCGTAGAAAGCGGCTCGACGAAGGTGTCGCTCGCGTTTGGAAGACTGATTAGGCTGCAGGTTGTTGGCTGTCTGCCCCGGACTCGCCTCTCCAATGGCATCCATGTCTCCGGGAGAGGCAGTATTTCTAGGTGAGCTAATCGAGGTGTTCGAGGTCCTAGTCGAATCAGTAGGGTCCGACGAGCCGTCTACTGAGCTATCGGCATGGGCGACGATTTCGACCCCCTTAGCAAGCTCTCCAGCCATTCCATCGAAGTCGCGTAGCCATAATAACTCCTTTGTGCGGGTAAGATTGACGAATAGGCGGACGTATGCAAGATCTAGCAGAGGAATGCTGTCGGCACCCAATGGGCCGAATGGGCTGGGTCGTTCGATACTGTGGTTGGGATTGGCTCTCCAGGCGGCCTGCCAGGCCTTCAAAGCTGGCTCGACCTGGGCGTGCATTGCTTCCGTCTCTTGTGTCTTCCATATGCGACCTGTGTGCCGTTGCCTCGTCTCCCATATGTATACGTGAAGTGCGTTGATTAGCACGTAGCAACCAAAAGTACTGGGTTTGATTTCGCTCTCTGTAGGCTCCGTGGTAGACATGTTGGATCCGAAAGGTTGCGCGTACGCATGATTTTCCCGTTGATTGGCTTGTTTTCGCACGCTGGCTTCCAGGAGATATGTCATGGCATTGTTGAAGGAAAGACCTCTGGCCTGAGCAGCTGCCGGCCCTCCCATAGTCACCCACACCTGAGCGTTATCTGCTGCCCAAAGGTCCTCCTCACAAGGCAGGTTCAATCGTATTTCTGAATTTAGTATTCTGGGCGCGTGGGCATAGGCGGAGACGAGGAGACTCGACATCGAGAAGACTGCAAAATAGGTTCGCTTTCGCTCTTCCACCATTTTCCATTTCATCCACTGCGCATGCTCATCAAGGTGATCAACTTGAGCATGTTTCGAGAAGAGATCCGGGGAGATGCCATCGTCGCCCATGTCGATATCTCCATCAAGAGAATTTGGCGTAGGCTGACGGAAAATGTCTGTACTTGGAACCTCCACCTCTGGCTTATCTAGTCCACATGCTTTAGCGAGACTCACAAGAGCAGCACAATGCGTGCTAGCCACTTCAGCAGCTTGTTTATCGCCACAGTTATGGCCATATATTAGGTTGAGCATCATAGCTTGTATCAGCCACAACGGAGGTTTGTTGATGTGATCTTGAGGTGCGTTCCGTCCATTCACAGCGGCTAAGCCTCTTTGGCGGCGTTCGTCCAGGTAGTACAAAATCATCTTCTTCGCCGCTTCAAAGAGTTCTTTAGCGACCTTGTGTTCGAACTCGTAAAGCGCACCAATGGCTGCCATTGCCAGGATCAAACACCCACCACCTCCGATTATGCCCTCTTGGCTAAAGCTACCTGGCGTACGCATTTGGTAGGTGTATGCCGGCGTATCGAAAGAGAGTGTAGGAATGTGCAGGAATGGAAGGTGAGGGTGGAAGTACTGGATGTAGGCATTCACATAGCGTTGAAGATCCATGGTGCTTGGTAGTGAGGCGAATTGGCTTTGGGGCTTTCCGGAATTCGTTGACGATAATGGAGAACTAATATGAGGCTGCGAGTACTTCCGTTGATTTGGACTGCTTCCCATTGCGTGGGATAGGTTCATGATCAATGCTTGCCTGGTGGCGTCCGTAATAGACTCTGTCGACACGGAGGTGACTGAGCTATGCCGTGCACTACTGTTGATGGATGGCGATGAAATACTGTTGCCATCCGAGTTCAGAGCGAGAGGATGAAAATACTGATTGGAGATTCCGGCCGTTCCAGTGGAAGGGCTCATTCCAGACATTGGCTGTGGAGACGGCATGTAAAAGTCAGTGGAGGCGTTCTGCTCTTGCAGATCCTTAGGAGACATCGTGTTCATCATGAGTTCCGGGAAGATTGGGCCCATCGTGTCCAGCGTGGTGAAAGCGTTGTGGGATAGGTTCGCGTGGGTCACAAGTGGATTGTGCCACATAGATGCTGACGAGCTTTGAGGGTTTCCAGAGCCATCGATCATGACTTCACTAAAGCCACTCTGGCTGGCAGTACTGATGGCAGACGGAGACGATCCGTCCAAAGCATTCTCATTTCCAGTGTTGAACATCATGGAGGCGTCCAGGCCCGCGCTCCAACTGAAGCCATCATCCTCCTCCAGTCCTGTCGTTCCAGGGAAAGGGTTGTTATAATTGAAAAAGGGTGACGACGGATCGCCAAACGAGTTCAAGTGGAGTTGATTCGGGTTGATAGTAGAGCCGGTGTTCGCGAAAAATTTGTCAATGTCAAAATCATCAGGCACGCCGGGAATGGGCGCAGTCCTGAGCCCGCCGCCAAGTCCTAGTCCAAGGTGGGTGTCTATCTTAGGTAGCCCGTTTGCTTGTCCATGGTTCCCCATGGAAGTAGACAACCCCCTATAATCGAACGCGCCAGCACCAGTGAGACCAGTCAAGCTTGCGTGGTGGCTGTGCCCTGATACAGCCCCTCCACCTCTGCCAGTGGAGACGTTAGTAGAGGCTAGGAGATTGTTGAGCGCAGCGCCGTCGATGTGGCTGATAGTGTTAGCGCGCGGTCTCATTCCCCCAGGTCCTCCAGCGACAGAGGAATTGATGCTGCTTGCAACAGAGTTCTTGCGCACTCTGGCACCGGTGACCATGCCAGTTGTACTTTCTCGCCGCCCGTTCCTGGGTCTGGTCGACGCGGCGCCTTGTTGGTGCAGCTTCTGCTGGTGTCGCAACAACAGATCCCGCCGCGCAAAGCACCGGGTGCATTGCGGACACTCGAACGGCTTTTCCTTTGTGTGCGATCTTTCGTGCCGCTTCAGATGCTCTAACCTCGCAAAAGAACGCGTGCAGGTGGCGCATACATGAGGCCTAGGCTTGTCGGTTTTGGGAGGCGGGAAGGGTGGGGTTGTGTTCTGGGGACCGCCAGTTTTTGTTGGTTGCGCGGACCCTGCGAAAAGAGACAATTAGAGAGATGTTATGAAGCACAGCAATTAGCTAGATTGCGGCATACCATTGACGTCGCCTGTGTTTAGTGTGCCATTCGCGGCGGTGGAAGCGTTGGACTGAGTCCTGCCTCTTGAAGCCTGCGGGGCATCGACCTCAGCAACCATGGTCGCTTTCCACCACTGTCCGACCCACGACACGGCGAGTACGGGATCCCGGCGGACGCGAAGGGCTTATAAGCTGCCGACTCGGGTTCAGCCTTCGACGGCGCGTGGCAGGCTGGAGCAGTATGATTGAATGGTCGTCGATGGCAGGTCAAACCCAATTGAAGCCAGTCCAGTCTGGCGGGGAGCTCCAAGAGGTAAACAAAGAAGAGCGAGGACAAGGAGCAGCCAGATCCCACAGCATACGTCAGAGAGGCTGCTGGATGTCTATCTGGAGAGCAGCCGCAGTGCCTGGTCGTCGACTCCAGCGCCCTTGGGAGGTACCGTCGTAGCCGCAGCGGCAGGCCGCGATGCAGGTGGCTCCGAAGACCGGCGGGCAACCACGTCGCTGAGTCGGGAGGCTGCAGCTGTTCACGTCGTGGGCGAATTGAAGGGCCTGTCAATCGGCAGCGAGGGAGACTGACGTCTGGAGGTGCGAGAGAGAGTGGTTGGGAATGCAGTGAGAGACGGGTGGAAGCCGGTGGTCAGCGCAGCGGACGTAGATAGTCGAGAACACGATCCAGGTCAGCTGGCAGGCTACAAGACTAGCAGTGGACTCGCCCTGGGGCAGGCCGAACGTCTCGCAGCTAAGGGCGTCACGGCGGTGGGTCCGAAGGGCAGTCGGTACGGGAGTAGTGCTAACGCAGCCCTGGAAGTCAAATCCAGCGCCTACACGCGTGGAGGCTGCCGGGATCGAGCGAGGTGGCGGTGGAACAGCGGCCGAGCACGACGTCCTGCGATCAGCAGCGAGAGACAATGCCTTGGGGGGAGGCGCGTGCAATGGGCTGGAGATGCGTGGACGACGAGGCCGTGGAGGGCACAGCGCTAGAAGCAGTGAATGGCAAGCTCCCGCGGCCTGTGCGGATTGGCTGCGCACTGACAGGCCGAGGAGGACAAGCTGGAGAAGCCACGGCCGGATCGACGGTGCAAGCTCAACGGCGGACGAACGAGGCAAAAAGCAAGCAGCACGGGAATGACGAACCGGCACCATGTGTACGGCGGCGCCCTCGCCCTCTTCAGCACGCGGCCTCCACTCCAGCACATTGGCGGACAGCAGATCCGCAGGCGCCGTCGTAATGCTGCCCCAGGGCCGCTGTCTGTTGCATGACAAACAGACACAATGGCCTCGACGGCAGCATGGACAAGGGCAGCTTCTTGCGGCATGCAGGATCGCGAGCGGCGGGATTGGCTGCGTGCTCGGCGTACAAAACACCATTCGCACGCTCCGGCGTTCGCTGGCCCAGCAGTTCCCTGGCGAACATCCTGAGCTCGAGCCCGAGACCCCTTCTGCACCTCCCTCCGTGCTGCTGCACCCGCCCGCCGTCGCCCTCTGCTCGCGCGGCTGGCCGACACGACTCGCGCCCGGAGCCTCAAACCTGGGGCACTGGGGCACTGGGCGCTGGGGGAACGAGGCTGGCGCGAGCTACGACGCAGCAGCCCGCCGACGGCTGCGAGAACCACGGCCCAGCCAGCCAGATGTGCGTGTACACAGGAGGTAGCTCTGCCGAAAGACAGCTCCACAGCGAGTGCCATGTTGCTGATCGTCATCCTTGCGAGCCTTCTTCTCCGTGGCGTGCCTCGCCTGGAAGCCGGCAGCGGTGGGCCGTATGGGCCGCCGAAAGAGTCAAGGCCACAGCGGGAGGCCTGCGCAGAGGCCCCGGCGCTTCACTCCTACGAGCCACTGCGCGAATCGGCTGACCGAGTACCGTTGGGAGTGCAACGAGTCACTGACTGCTCTTGTGAGCGCCAGCCCTGTGGCGTCTCTACCATCAAACAGGCGCGAGCGCTGCGTCACACATCATAGTGCTCTGGATGCCATCGGCTCTGATGCTGCTGGATGCCATTTCGCCCATTGATGCAATTGTGCACTGGCGAGCATCGTCCCTGACCGCCGACGAGGGAGGGGCTCTCATCTGGAGCCCACGATGCTCGATGGGACGGGTCGGAGGCCGTCTGGGCTTCCCGAGATGGAGTCTCATTGCCACCCCTTGGCCCTGGTCGCGGAATTAGAGGATGGAGATGCCCAGGTGCTTCCTGGTGGCGCCCACAGAGCCGTCCAGCCACGCCGCAACAGCCGCAGCCGCGAGGCTACGCTGGAAGAGCAGCAGAGGGTGTTTCTCCAGGCCGCGGGGACCACGTTGGGCGGCAGCTTGAAATCTGGGGTAGACGGCGGCGGGCATGGACAATCGACACGAGCGGCGTCGGAACAGCTGGCAGAGGCGGGCCAAGTGGGCTGTAAGCGACACGAATCAGCGGTGCGCGCGAAAACGTCGTTGACGAATTGGACGGGCGATGCTGCGCTGCACGGGGCCCCCTGGCTTTGTTGGCTGCACGCTGCAGAGCATCAAACCTGGCGCCGCCGATGCCTCCAGAGCGCATGACCATCCCCAGATTTTGGCCGCGACGGGCCTAGCGGGCACTGCTCTCGAGCCAGCCCGCGGTCTGATACTCCCCGGCGTGTCGCTGGTGGAAAGCCTGCAGCAGCCCATGCCGTGCCATGCCCGGCTCAGCCCCTCGATCAGGCCCCTCGCCCCCGACTCTTCTCAGTCTGTCCGAGTCTCTGCTGATCGATGCCAGACCGCACAGCAAGGGACGCTCGCCCGCCTCCGCCAGGCCGAGCACGAGGCATGCCGTGGTGATATCCCGCAAGCTGTCTGGCTGTCCCATAGCAGCACCCGGCCCCAGCCAGGGGGTGTGCCCTGTCCCGCCGGGCGACATGCCGCTGCACTGCTAGTTTTATCACCTCGCTGGACTTGGTTCAGGCCGATAGCGTCTCTATATGCAGTCATGTCCGGCTGCTCCAGCACCAGCGACGATATCAGGCAAGCTGCTGCACATGATTGCCCGGGGCGCCTCCAGGGAAACCTTACATGCCCTTCCCGTTTCCCGGGCAGCTTCGCGGCGGGCTCTCATCACAGAAAGCACTAGGCTTGTCTGCATCCGTGGCTACGAGATGCGTGAGACCCTTCATGACGACACCCGCCGAAGAGAGCCTTTCGTTGGCTACCGGCCACGACCGCATACATACATGCCCTAAGCCGCTCAACCTCAAGGGACCGCGCAGCATGTTCGCTCCCTAATGTGCAATTACGCAAATCTTAGTCCACAAGCAAGCGTTGGGGTGATCATCGCTCCAAGCGAAGCCCAGACGTTTCTGGAAACCCATTAGAAGCCGGCCAGCTGTGAGTGGTTCTGCGATCAGCGCTCTCTAGTGAGCAGCCGACTCCAGATATTTCTCATCCGAGCCCGCCGAAGCGGTAGATATACGGAAGGAGTCTATTCCGTGGTTGCTCGTCCGGGCGTCCTGAACTGAGGTTGTTCCCACTAGTAACTTCATCGCAGGAGCGAGAGTCGATGCTGCACCGCTAGCCACCTTGTCGCCTTATCGGGCACATGACGAGACCCTCGAAAGCCACCGCCGCGCATATTCCAGGGTCCATGCGATTGACGTCGATATTCCCTTGGCTTCGCGTCCTGGGTAAGAGATCGCCCTGGGCTGGCACATTCATGCAAAAACTGGAGATCGATTATGATCCATCTTGCCACACCACGGCGCAACGTCATCCATCTTGCGTCTCTTTTGCACGTGCAGCCAGGCTGGAACATAATGTTACAGCCAAGAGTGCACCTGCGTCCTCCACTGCCGGAGAGATCCCGCTCTAAGCTCCGAGCTGATTGCAGGCGTGTCAGATTGCACAAGCACCGAAGTCTTGGGAGCAGAACATCACGAGGCTACAGGCCCACCCGGAATCCTATTGCTGGGTGTTATTAGCCGTACTCGAGGCTTGCCAGTGATGCCGTGTTTGGACACGTTTTTGACTGTGCTTGGGAGCGCAGCATTTTATCCCGCAATGGTGGCGGACAATGTAGTGAACGGCTATGACGGGAATAGACTCGCAAGCAAACGCCGCTGGCACTATACTTCCTGTGCTTCATCCCACTTCGCGCGTCCGCAGCAATATCCCACCTATTCTAAAAGAGAATGAGTCTATATTACCGTATTTCGCTTCGCCCTCCGAACCCTATCAATCCTCCTATGCCAGCCTAGGCTGCCTTGACAACTGCCTGAACCTGAGCAACGTAATATCTGGCGTGTCCGAGTACTTTATTCCGCGTGACAACGGGCCGCAGTATTACCACAACTAATCTCTCGATGCAACGCCTCCCGACTCTGCGCTTGCATCTATGAATCATAACTAGCAGGACAGTCCCGACCTCTTTGAAACACTCGCGCTAGTACCTCCGCGGTTGCAAAAGTCTGTTGTGATCCGTGCACGAACGCCAATCTCGTGAAATGTAAACACCACTTGGAGTTGTGATTTCTCCACACAACATGGCCCAAATCAGCTCAGCCAAACGCGCATTGGTTATTCAATATCGATTTCATGATAAACTCAGTTTTCCAGCAATTGCCAGCAAGATTGATGGTGTTTCTGCCGCCGCCGCCCAACAAATCTGTTCTAGAGCCTTTAGACGCGCCGGCACCAACAATGTCAACACGCTGCTTGAATATAGAGATCCTGCGCCTAGATCTGGTCGTCCTAGGCGTGTAGAACCTGGATCTGAAGCGTCAATTCGAATCCGAGAAGCAACGCGTGGACAATACAGGTGGCACCACCAGGTGGATGCTG